CAGTGCGAAAATCAGAAAATCAGAAAATCACTTTTCGCTTCTCGGATTTGTCCGCTAGCTAGCTGTGGGCCTCAGTAAAGGGGGACGATGGTACGGCCGTTGCTCCAGGCAACAATGGTCGAAAGGGGAAGCGATCATGGGCTCGCTAGGCAGAACTCGGGCCTCTGATGCAGATGGCTTCCGTTGTCCAATCCCCACGGCCCGATCCAAACAGATATTTGAAGTAAAGTAATCAAAGTCGAAACACACGTGCTTTCGTGTCCGGCTTCAACGCGAATTCCCATGATATCTGCGCATTGCCGCGTTTTACTTTTTCTACCCGCGTCAGACGGACAGCTGATTCCCCACCTCTGAACCACAGTGAATTGCAGATCGATGGTGATGGAGAAAGATAAATAGACCCCGTCTCCCCCAAGAACGACCTCAGCTTCTCCAGCTTCTCCAGCTTCCTCCTCATTCTCGATCCAGCAGTACAATCAGTACGACACCACCACCAAGCAACACAAGTGACCTCCATTTTCCACCTCCCACCACTCAACCCACTTCAAAACTTTGAACCTCCAAAATGCCAGGCAAGGTAAGAAACACTCGCTCTCTCCCAGTTCACCTTCGAACACCAACCTGATGTCTTCTTTTATGCAGGTCGTCTGCCGGGACGAGTGGTTGGCTGCTCGCAAAGAGCTCCTCGACAAAGAGAAAGCTGCAGTTCGAGCAGCCGCTGCCTTCAAGGAGCAACTTCGAAATGACTTTCCCATGGTGAAGCTCGACAAGGCATACACCTTCGAAGACCCCAAGGGAAAATACACATTGGCAGGCCTCTTCCAGGGCCGCAAGCAATTGATTGTCTATCACTTCATGCTTGGACCTGATGACGAGGCCGGATGTTCTGGATGCAGCTTCCTCACTGACAACCTTCCGTCATCTTTGACGCACTTGTACGCTGCCGACACCACCTTCGTTCTTGTTTCTCGTGCCCCGGTCGCAAAGATTGAGCAGTACAAGAAGAGAATGGGTTGGGATTTCCCATGGTACTCCTCTTTCGGTACAGAATTCAATTGGGATTTCAACGTGAGCCTGGACAAGGACGTTAAATCTCCGGTCGTCTACAACTGTATGTTAACTCAAAAACGTACTCTATCTTTACGATACTGGAAGCTAACAAATTGGCTAGACAAGGAGATGGAAAAGCCGTTCAAGGGTGAGCTCCCAGGCTTGAGCGTCTTCTACAAGGAAGGCAACGACCTCTTCCATACTTACTCGACGTATGCCAGAGGCTTGGACGGTTTGCTTGTGACCAACCAGCTGCTCGATCTCACGCCACTTGGCAGACAGGATGTTCCCTGGAAGCGCCACGATGAGTATGATTCCAAGGACCTCAAGGCTAATTGAGGTTATGAGGGCTTGGGTGTCTAGGCAACAGAAGTTTCTTTTGGGTGGAATTTGAAAGTATTTTGGCATGCACCAAATGACGAGACTGGAAGCAAGCAGTTCGTTCTTAACGGAAGATGGCTTGGGCAAAGGTTCTCGGCGATTGGCAGAAGTTCTCTCTTTGAAGTTAAATTGATGGTATCTTCTCTTCGCATTCAAGATCATGAAACTTCTTGACATGTGACTTATTGCTGTTTCCACCGTTCGAAGTCAGCCGGCCCACTTATCCTTAATAATATGTTTATGCAATACGTTCCAATGTCCCAATTACTAGTATCCATACTCGAGACCGTGGCTTCCTACTCTTTATGAATTATTGAGTTGTGTTGGGCCAGCAAGACTGTCCAATCATGACATCCGGCAATTGACGTGATCATCACGGCGGCGTTAGAACCGTCCAATCAACGTGCGGTTTCCTAAAGGGGGAATTCTAGCTGCTGCATGTGCCGTGGAACCACAGAACAACCACCAAGGACTTTCGACGTTCAATCCCAACCCATTTTCCTCCAACCCCATCCCCAAATACAGCACGCTTTCTTCCCAAACTTCGAGTCAAGGTTGTAAAAGTAAGCTTTCCCGGCAGTCCACCAATCTTAGTTCTATGGTACCAGGCAAGCAGCGACGGGACGATTTCTCCTATTCTGGCTCTTGGGAAAGGGGGGCAGGCGAGTTTCCCACGGCCCCACGGGGCTTCCGGTATAGGCATACCAGGTCTTGGTTCATTATAGCGACATCTTCCATTCGGTTGATGGCTCGTCAGACTTCGAGAACGCCACTGTTAGTTAAGGGCTAGTCGAACGTTGATTGGAAGATCTCATCAAGAGGCAAGAAAATTGTATTCGTCTGAAGGTGTACGTAACTTCGAGATGGCATCTGGAGGTGTTATACAAATGCCTCGTGCAAGTCTGATATGCTCACATTCTTAACAGAGATGGCTGCACCGCAAAATAAGGACAAGCAGTCGCTGTCTGCTTGTAAGAATAAAGCTGGGGCAAGCTGTGAAGGTAACGAGCAAGCGTATAACTTTCGATTTGTCGAGGTTGGCGAGCCATCTCAAGGTGGCGAGGATACTAGGTCTACTATTCGATCTCATGTCATGCGTGACTACTATGAGAAAAAGGGCAATCGTCGGCAACCCGATACCATCCCGGAACTAAGCCCAGCTACCTCCCAAAAGGAGGGGGTATTGCAGCAAAACCATAGATTTAAAGTCGGTCCAGAGGGGTTGCAAGAAGTGAAGGCGGGGCGCAAGAAAAGTAAGGGCACATCGAGAACTAAGAAAGTAACAAATGAAGCCACAAACATCTCTGAGCCTGAGGGCAGTCAAGTCCACCCCCACTCGATTTCACGGGCAACTCCTTCTCACCAGCCCGAACCACCCGCTTTTGCCATTTCAGACCACTGGCATGAACAGGAAGAGGGAGAAACTTCGGAGTATGGGTGGGGGCCAGCTGCCGCCCCTGATACCGGTATTGCAATCGGCGATGCACTGCTTCCGCCGCAATGCGAGGAGGACAGCCGAAACATCGCACCTCCCAAGAAGATTTACTCGGTATCAGGAGTGATAGATCCCTTCAACGCACTACCTATATTGTGCGTTCCTCGCACCGAGCACTTGCTACATCATGGTAAGTCTCTTTCGAAGTTATCTGTCGATTGCATGAATGCTTCTAGCATTCTGTCAAGCTTTAGTTCTTATAGAACAAGTTTCTCCTTCCTTTGCGTTCCCAAGATCTATCTACTAGACTTACACTGGATGAGCGAAGACTAACTTTATAATGCTATGTAGCAGCGAGAGGAATCCTTTCCTCAAGGGTCATGGGGCCACTGCGGACTAAATGGCTGGCGTTAGCGACTTCAGACCGAGCCTTCTTCCATGTAGCACTGTCGCATTACGCTGGCAATTATGGACTCTCACGATCAGAAAAGGATCCAATGGAAGCAATACGCTTTAGGATGGAAGCAATGAAGATCATCAACGAAAGATTGGCGGTAGTCAAGACCGCTCTGACTGATGGAACACTTGGAACAGTCGCGAGTTTAGCAAGCTATGAGGTATGAATTCGGCGGTACAAGCACATGTCTATTTGCTAACCCGAACTGAATCTTCGCAGGCTACAAACGGTAGCATTTCCAATATTCGAACACATTTGAAGGGGCTTCAAAGAATGGTTGACGTGCGCGGCGGTCTTCAAGAACCAAACATAAACCCATACGCCTTGCGCTTGATATTATGGTATGATCCTTTGTATGATTTCATCAGACCTTGCTGAGATTTCTCTTGCAACAGGGCCGACTTAAACTGTGCTATTGCTATGGGGAGAGACCCCCTATTTCCCGGCCACGAAAATGATTGGACTGGACATTTATTATGTCACTATGGTTCGATTTCCGAAGAATTGTCGAATGAACATCCGAGCAGATCATACATGAGTAGAGAGACGGATGTGGAAACATTGAACCTGGCACTCAACCAAAACTTCGAGAGCTTGAGACGATTGGCCCAGATGAACAGAGACACAGAGCCTATCAGCGTCGACAAGGAAGAGAGCAAAAGAGACAGCGACACTCTCTATCGGTCAGAAAGGAGTCTCCTAGTGCTCTCTCATATCTGGGGGCCACGAAAATTCGTCACCTCAGGGTGCCTTGCAGCCATAATATATACTGACAACCAGCTCCGTGGCATCAACTTCAGAGCTCAGATTATGGAAAGAGTCGTCGAAAGACTCAAGCTCTCTATCGGTGTGGTTCTGAGCAACATTTCCCAGCATGATCTGAACGAAAATGCTGCCAGAGCTGTACTGTGGGCTCTGGTTGTCGGTACAATTGCTTCTGACATTCGACCCTGTCGAGGATGGTTCGTCGAACGGGTAGTCGATTTCTGCGATGCTCTTGACTTGCAAACTTGGGAAGAGATAGAGAGGATTTTAAAAGGATTTCTTTGGCCACCGGCATGGTACACGCAGGGTCTCATCCTGTGGAACGAGGTCGAGGAGAACCGGCTGATGAAATACACGACGTTTCCTGAAGACTCAGTTGCCGACAATAGCGGTGCGGAACGAGGTGTTCTTGAGTGGTTCTAAATTTTCATGATCAATCAAGGGAATTTTCCGGTACCTGATCGATGATGCGGGGGCCGGCCGCTCACCTTACCGTAGCGATGCGCTAAAAATATGGTGAAGTCACTGTCCTTCGAAGCTTCCTTTCATCCAAACCTCACGAGACATGTCATGCTACAATTTTGGAGCCATCTATGTGTTTTTGGATCACAAGAACTGAAGATACAGCTCAAAAATTATGGGAAATCCCAGGGTAATTTACTGGTTTCGAACCGACCTCCGTCTCCACGATTCTCCGGCCCTGGAAGCTGCTTTGGACCTCAACCCTGAGGCTTTCTGGCCGATATGGACCTGGGATCCCCAGTATGTATACAGGGCTAGAGTTGGTACCAATAGATGGCAATTCCTGTAAGCTCTAAACTCAAATTGCATTTTCCAATCTTACGATTTATAGTCTCGACTGCCAGAATGACCTCTCCAAATCCATAACGAAACGAAACAAGAAATCAAAGTTGTTTCTGATGCGAGAAGCTCCCCAAACTTTATTTCCAAAGCTCTTTAAAGTTTGGGAGATCACGCATTTGGTATTCGAAAAAGATACGGATGCTTATGCAAGGGATAGAGATGCAACAGTTAAGAAGGCAGCTGAGGAAGCTGGTGTAGAGGTCATCATCAAGTCCGGCCGCACACTATGGGACAGCGATGCGCTGGTCAAGAAAAATCATGAAAAACCAACAATGAGCATCAGTCAGGTACAATCAGCAGGGCCAAAGATTGGGAGAATCCCAAGACCAATCCCTGCCCCGGAATCAATACCCGATCCAGGAGAAATAAAGCTGGATTTTGAGCAGCAACAACCAGAATCGGACCCAGATTTCAATAATGACTCTAGAAGTCATGGCGATAAGTCTTACGAGAGAATATCTGGACCTAATGGTGATTTTGCAGTCCCGACAATGGAGGAGCTTGGCTTCCCAACAGCAACATCATCGCATCGAGGTGGAGAGAGCATTGCTTTGAAGATGCTAGACAAGATAATCGCCGATGAGAAGTACACCGCAACATTTGAGAAACCTAACACCGCACCCACAGCATTCGAACCACAAGCCACCACTCTCCTCTCACCCCATCTCCACTTTGGCAGCCTCAGCGTGCACGAGTTCTACTGGCGAGTCCAAGACGTCGTAGACAACTACTCCGGCAAAGCATCACAGCCTCCCGTCTCCCTGACAGGCCAGCTCCTATTCCGAGACATGTATTTCGGAGCTCAAGCAGCACTGGGCTATTCCTTCTGCCAAACGCTATACAACTCGCACTGCCGCTTCATACCCTGGCATCTCCCCAGCAAAGTCGACCACACAACCAGGCTCGTAACAGGAGAATACCACATCGACTCGGCACAGGCAGAAGAATGGTTCCAACGCTGGAAATATGGACTTACAGGCTTCCCTTGGATCGATGCTCTGATGCGACAACTTCGTCGAGAAGGCTGGATTCACCATCTTGGCCGGCACGCTGTCGCCTGTTTCCTCACCAGGGGCGGATGCTACATCTCCTGGGAGCGCGGGGCAGAAGTATTTGAAGAGTGGCTCATTGACCACGAAACTGCTTGTAACGCAGGGAACTGGCAGTGGCTGTCCTGCACTGCTTTCTTCGCACAGTTTTACAGGTGTTATAGCCCAATTGCGTTCCCGAAGAAGTGGGATAAAGATGGCAAGTTTGTGAAGAGGTATGTGCCTGAGTTGAAGGATTTGGATGCGAAGTATATTTATGAACCGTGGAAGGCGCCGATTGCGGATCAGAAGAAGGCTGGTGTGAGGATACAGGGTGAGGGGAAGGAGGAACAGGAGGGTATATACCCGAAGCCGATGTTTGACTTCAATGAGAGGAGGGACGCCTGTATAGATGGGATGAAGAAGGCGTATAAAGTTGGGCTGTATGGCGATGACCCGAAGGTCATTGATGGGACGTGGAGGAAGCTGTTTGATGATGCTGGTGAGGGACGGACGAAAGGGAATACTTTTGGCGGTGCAATGGAAGAAGAGGTCGGTGAAGAGAAGGCAGTACAAGTTGATGATGGGAATGGTGAGGAAAATAATGGCGCGCCTGAAGAAGATGAGAGTGGTGGAAAGGAAGAAGGCAATGAAAATAAAGGGGGCGACAGAAAAGGGGCAAAGCGTAAGCGAGGGCAGAGAACTCCGGATTCACACGTCAAGAGATCCAAGAAGTAGCCAGGCCTCAAGGCAATGAATGATACGCTCAAAATGAGTATCCCTTGCCTGTGAAAGACATGACCATGCTCTGAAAGTACCTGATCGGGCCGAGACATTGAAGCTCATTGACACTTGTCGGATCTCAGACGCGAATAATTCAAGCATCACCTTTCGCAGATATTCGTAGACAGAAGTAGCAGCCTAGAAATTGTACGAAATGGACGGCACACATTGAGCACCTCGAATGGTCAATCCCAAATTACCACGAGATACACTTCTATGCGCCCCACCGGCGCTCCTGATTTTACAACCGTTGCCAATCTAAACCAGATCCAAGAACACCAAATGCAAATGCCCCCAGCAGAACCTCATCAGTCATCCCACTCCTCATCAAGTTGATCAATGAGTCGATTCTCATCCTCATTTCTATGCCTTCCTCTCCGATTCGAATTGCCGTTTGCCGAGATAGAGAGAGCGCTGTAGCCTCTCCTACTTGGGAGGAAATGAGCACACGACGATGTGGCGATGATGAAAATATCCTGAAGTGAACTGTGTCAGCTTTCTTCTTCTTTGAGAGGTGAGGTCTGGGACGTGAGAGATTGAAGGTAAAGAAGTGGATTCCAACGCCGATGTATGCTAATCTATCCTACAAGCCACCTTGACACCACTCTGCAGAACGAGCAAAATACAGGATCTGTACAGAATGGTGGTGTTTATACAGAACTTTTGCGTCTCTTTCAAAATTCTGCCAATGGGCCGAATTTATGAGAGATGGGTGGCGTCCCAAGACGACCTCGACATATAGCCTTTGTGAGATTTTCGGCCAGCGGACGGCCGCACTTCCATAGTAGGCAAAATCCCTTCCCGAACTGAAGTAACCCGAGGGAAAACTCTCTGCTTCAACGGCTGGAGAAGTGTATTTCCGCTCACCTTTATGAAGCTCCCAATACCAGCCCACATGCTGTAATTCGGTAGTTGCCTCCACCCCCGTGCATGAGCCACATTTCGTTGATAGAATACACCACCGAGGAAGTAAACTATGATGGCAATAGCTCCAATAATGGCAAAGACTGCCCCTGGACCGACAGATTGCTTTGCAGGCTCGGCAGTAACACAAGCAGCTGTGGAGAGAACCTCGAAATGATAGGAACACTCATCCGGATCTGTGCCAACGAACGAGGGTGTCGCTCCGGTTGCGAGAGGGTCTTTGTCGCAATGGAAAGAGATCAAAGCTGACTTTCGGCGCACCCCTTTTTTATCCTTTTCGTCATCGCCCTCGTCGTCCTTGACTGCCCGTCCATTCTTATCCTTCCCACATGGCGATCCATTTGTATATTGTAGTACCAGCCTTTTTCCGCGGACAGTTAGGTTCGAGGATTGCTGTCTGAAAAATTGTTAGCGACCGTTGGGGAACTCTTCGAACATAGCCAGTCTCACCCAAGAGAATACTTCTTCGAGCCTATCTCGTAGTAGGCACTGACGTTCTTCCAAAGATCGTGGCTAATACCCTCAACATCCTTTATAGGGTCTACCACCGGAGCGCAGATATTCAAGGTGAAATTGGCCTTGCCATCATGATAATCCCATCCTCGAGCGTGCCAATCATCCGTCTTCACCCCCTTTGCTGGTTTCTTTTGGTCGTCCGCCGGTGGCAGAATGGCAAGTGATCTCAGATCATAAAATGATCCAGTGGAAGATGCAACAGTACAGGGGTCCGAGGGCTTCGTCTTCTTGTCGTCAGAGGCAGCTGCGTTCACCCCACTATGTAATGTGAGTGTCAGGAGAAGGGCTGTCGGCAGTGATGGGAAATGCATGGTGAAGTGAGGTAGAAGATGAATGCTAGAAACAGAGCGCCTGCAGGCGCAACAAGGTAGAGGCGTATACTACGATGGTCGTTGGATAGATGTTGCTGACCAGCGATGGAACATTTGCTGGAGTGTACGTAGCCTCACCTGCGTCGTCCAGATACGGTAGGGGCGTTCGTCATCCAATGAGAAGACATCGTTCCTGCTTCCATTTTGAACCTTAAATCTATGTCACGTGCAATATTGGCTTTTAAGGGGCAAAGGGCTGAGGCAAGGTCCCTTAAGCAACAGCCTTTCCAAGAGATGGTTTAGATCTGGAGCCTCTGGTGGTTTCTTGCTGAAAATTTGCCCCAGTGTGAAGTGTTCCAGAGGAAAATTCTGTTTGAGTTGTTGAATTCTCCTCGACCAATGCAAATACTGCAGAATGTCCTGTACCCCTGGCTGACCCGTCCGATTTTTAAGTCAACGCGAACACGATCGGCAACTCAAAATCCCGATGCCACCATGAAGCCCCAGCCACAGACAGTGCGTACCCTTGACTTCTGGGGACCAACTTGAAGACTACAAAGTCCTTAATGGACAATTGATTCAATCAATCTGCCAACTCAATTGAAGCTGTCCACCAAGATGCCCCCAAAAGCTTCAAAAACTGTCGCCGCCAAACATGAAGAACCCCGTGGCTACGAGTTTGCGGGACCGTGAGTTTACAACCTCACCGAAGCAGTGAAGCAAGGCTGACTTTTAATTGTTAGGCCAGGAGCATTTGCAATCTCCTTCGGGCTGCCATTGGCAGTTTACATCGCGACTTTCCTCTGCAACGACATATCTGGATGCCCAGTACCATCTGCGCTCTCCCCATCAACCTTGACAATTGAGCAGCTGAAGAAAGATGTGGGATGGCCCGCAAACGGAATATGGGGGTTGGCAAGTTGGGATGTATCTGCGAAGGTCGTCGGATACTATTTGCTCAGTATGGTACTGCAGCGGGTTCTGCCAGGAGTAGAGGCCATGGGCACTGAGCTTGCATCCGGCGGCAGACTAGCATACAAGTTCAATAGTGAGTGTGAAAAAAATTCCCTTGCCCTGCCTTTTTGCTAATGGGGTGTAGCGTGGTCCTCTACAATGTTCACACTCGCCATCTGCGCAGCTGGAACCGTGGTCCAAGGCGCCGATTTCCCCGTCTGGACTTTCATTTACGACAACTACACACAAATTGTTACAGCCAACATAATCATTGCATACTCTTTGGCAACTTTCGTCTACGTACGCAGCTTCAATGTGAAGCCTGGCAACAAGGAACTTCGTGAATTGGCAGCAGGTGGACACTCTGGAAATATGCTTTATGACTGGTTTATTGGACGAGAACTCAACCCCCGAGTCACAATCCCCCTCCTTGGCCAGTTCGATATCAAGGAGTTCTGCGAGTTACGTCCCGGCTTGATGGGCTGGATGGTCCTGGATTTTACATTCTTAGCCAACCAATACAAGACATACGGGTTCGTCACAGATAGCATGTTGCTCATCACTTCCTTCCAGACCCTTTATGTTTTGGACAGTTACTGGATGGAGTCTGCCATCCTCACTACCATGGATATTACTACCGACGGCTTCGGATTCATGCTGGCATTTGGTGACCTGGTCTGGGTGCCATTCACCTACTCTCTCCAAGCTCGGTACCTTTCAGTCTACCCATTGTCTCTGGGCGTCTATGGCACAACTGGGGTCCTTGGCGTTCTCGGCCTTGGATATTACATCTTCCGCAGCTCGAACAACGAGAAGAACCGCTTCCGAACAGACCCCAACGATTCCAGGGTCGCCCACCTGAAGTTCCTAGAGACGAAATCCGGATCCAAGCTTTTGATTTCCGGTTGGTGGGGCACAGCTCGACACATCAACTATTTCGGTGACTGGATCCAGGCTTGGGCATACTGTCTTCCAACTGGAATTGCAGGTTATCTTGTTCAGCACAGCTCCGTGGCTCCAGCAACTGGCCAATCTTTTGCAGATAAATCATTCGTGTTTGGCGGACCACACCTTCACACTGAGGTCTTGCAAGGTTCGGCTAGGGGATACGGAATGATCTTTACATACTTTTATGTTGTTTATTTTGGCATCCTGCTGATTCATCGCGAGATGAGAGACGAGGAGAAGTGTTTGAGGAAGTATGGCGAGGACTGGAAGCGATACACAAAGATCGTGAAGTACAGGATCATACCTGGTATCTACTAGACGAGGGCTTGGGATATGTATCATAGTAGAGGTGGCAGTCCTTCCAGACATGAAGAATTAGTGTAACTTTACAATAGCGTAGCATAACATGGCATTTGAATCGCATAAGATCAAAAATTTGTCACTAATCTAAGTGAATTCGGGATATTAGAGACCGAATATGAATTACTGAGCGGACATTTCGCTATACGAATAGGGCCTAGAACGGAAAACTACCGGTTGTCGCAAGAAATGACAATAGAGGCCTTCCCGAGAAGCCCGGGAGACAGACTCTTGCATGCCAGTCGGCCCGAGATGTTGAAGAGTGGGATGGTATGGGGAGAGCGGGTACGCGGAGAGAAAGCAAGCCAACCCGGGGCAGTGGAGGCTCCACGTCAGGCAGACGGTGAAGCCTTTCTTGCTAAGCCAATATAACGTTACTTTGACACCCAGTACTAAACGCACGAGTCCTAGCAGAAAAGTGTAGGGCAAAGACTAAGTGTCAAGTGACAACCTCAAGGGTGGGTATGCGTAAACGAAGCAGAATTTGAAGACGGCTGGAAAGGTTGTGGGCGGATGAGGCGGGGATAGTTGGGGGGAAGAGCTTGAATCGGGTTTACAGTGATTCTACTTCGAACAGGAACACCTGTAGAGCAGAAGGCTTTGGGCACCAGATGCCAACGTTTTGCTCAACTACAGTCCACAGCCGAGTTTAGAGCAGAAAGTGTTTCACCACTCGAAAATATACTGGTACTCATTATACCTTTGCGGGGCCGAAAAGACTCTCTGCACGGTTCATGTGGGAGCTGGGAGACCCCAGCCAAGACGGCGTCGGCTTTGGGGGATCCACGTAAATGCCATCATGACGTCTCCGTACTTCAGGGGGGGAAGAAACTGGGGAAGAGAGGAGCCAATTGAGGAAATTTAGGGAGGCCGGCCAGTAGAGATGTCGTCTACAATGACGGACCCGCAGTCTCGGTCCTTCTCCGTCTTCAAACCCCCTTGATTTGACAAACGGGGACTTTGGTTGCTAAAGAAGAGCGCTGCCAATATTTCCGAGAGGACTCCGGCACTCCAATGTTGCCTCAACGCACAGTGCAGATCTCACCAAGCTTGCAGACTAGAGCCGCAAGGGGCTCTGAACCATCCCAATGACCGAAGATACAGGGGTAGCTTTGGAGCTCCAGCTCAAAAAAATTGGAGAAAAGAAAACCAGCAAACTCGTATTTGACGAAGGGGGCTGAGGTCAAGATCTGCGGGTTCATAAAAATGCCATGCTCCCCCATAATTCTGATCGTGAAAAGATTCAGTTCAATTCGAAGTCTTTTTGGTTGTTCTTGTGAATAGTACTTCGAGATGTTACCTTCACTAGCCGTTGCCATGCTGGCAACGCATTTCGCTTCTGCGTCACGTCTTCCAACGCGACAAAATACAGGGGTAAGATCACCACTCTAAATAAAACATCAACTCCATGCCTTCATTTCACACCATCCATACATCAACTACGAGGCTTGGGGGAAGCGTCTCCAGCTCTTTTGAGCCGTGAGGTTCACTCAACAAGGAGCATGCGATACCTTCTCGAGATCGTTGCTGCATTAGCCGCTCATTTGGCGGGAAAGGACTCCGTTTTGACATCCGTACAGATCTACCCGAATGGCACCTACCCGGGAGCCATAGACCCTTTCGCTGAACCTGGAGCACAGTCTTTACAGACTTCTCCTCCTTTCTATCCTTCACCCTGGATGAACGGTCAAGGCGAATGGGCCGGTGCTTATGCTAAGGCCAAAGACTTCGTCTCACAGCTGACGCTTCTCGAGAAGGTCAATTTGACGACCGGAGTTGGCTGGGAAGGAGAGCAATGTGTAGGACAGGTAAATGTCCCATCTTAAATTGATCTCATATACTGACAAATTTTGAAAGGTTGGCTCGGTCCCAAGACTTGGATTCAGGTCACTCTGTATGCAAGATAGCCCGGTGGGCGTCCGAGATACAGATTACAACAGCGTCTTCTCTTCTGGTCAGACTGTAGCAGCCACTTTTGATAGAAGCCTGTTCTATCAAAGAGGGTATGCTATGGGAGCTGAACATAAAGCCAAAGGAGTAACTGTTCAACTCGGACCTGTTGCTGGTCCGCTTGGCCGAGCTCCTGAAGGAGGCCGGAACTGGGAAGGTTTCTCACCTGATCCCTATCTAAGTATGTTTGAAACTTTCCAACAATGTGACCGAACCTCTATGATGGAAACTGATAATCACTAGCTGGTGTTGCTATCGCCGAAACTGTCAAAGGCACTCAAGATGCAGGAATTATTGCTTGCGTGAAACACTTTATCGGGAACGAACAGGTTCGTAGAAGTTACATCAAGCTTTTTCTATACTTCAGTCAACTAACAACCTCTCTAGGAACACTTTCGCCAAGTAGGTGAAGCTCAAGGATATGGGTACAATATCACCGAGGCTGTCTCTTCCAACATTGACGATGTGACAATGCACGAACTTTACCTTTGGCCATTTGCGGATGCAGTTCGGGCTGGTGTAGGATCGGTTATGTGGTTGGTATTTCTAAATCTTCCATGAATCTTTTCTTTAACACTTCTGTAGCTCTTACAACCAGATCAATAACTCCTATGGTTGCCAGAACTCCAAGATGCTCAATAACTTGCTGAAGAATGAGCTCGGCTTTCAAGGCTTCGTAATGAGTGATTGGCAGGCTCAGCATACTGGAGCAGCCTCCGCTGTAGCTGGTCTTGTAACCAACCTATTTCTTTGTCCTATATCCCGAGCTCCTTACCTCACTGGTCGGGAAGATGTTTCATGCACCCGGCTCGCTCCTCGCTCTCTCCTCCCTAAAGAAATACGTTGCTAATTTGATGGTAGGACATGACTATGCCTGGAGACACCCTCTTCAACAGTGGCGAAAGTTTCTGGGGCGCAAATCTGACTCTGGCTGTTCTCAATGGGACGGTTCCAGAATGGCGAATTGACGACATGGCTCTTCGAATCATGGCGGCTTACTTCAAAGTCGGATTGACTCTCCATGAGCCACCAATCAACTTTGATTCCTGGACTCTGGATACCAATGGACCTCTTCACTATGCAGTGGGGGCAAATACCCAGCAAATCAACTTCCATGTCGATGTTCAAGGTGACCATGGTACTTTGATTAGGGAGATTGGTGCCAGGGCCACAGTTCTTTTGAAAAATGTCAATAGCGCACTTCCTCTTTCGAAGCCCAAATTTGTTGCAGTCATCGGAGAGGATGCGGGTCCAAACTTGGACGGCCCAAATGGCTGCGCAGACCGCGGTTGCGATCAAGGTTCCCTCGGCATGGCTTGGGGTTCGGGGTCTGCCAATTTTCCATACCTCGTTACGCCTGACTTTTCCCTAAAAGAACAAGCTCTTGCGGACGGTACTAGGTATGAAAATATCTTCGACAACTATGCCTACTCGCAGATTAGCGCATTGGTATCGCAGGCTGATGTAACCGCCATTGTATTTGTCAACGCGGACTCAGGGGAAGGTTTCATCAATGTAGACGGCAACGAAGGCGATAGAAAAAATCTCACCTTATGGCAAGGAGGTGACGAGCTGATCCAGCGAGTTTCGGCGCTTTGCAACGATACCATAGTGGTTATTCATTCAGTTGGCCCGGTTATTGTCACTGAATGGTACGATAGTCCGAATATCACAGCAATCTTATGGGCTGGTGTTCCGGGCCAGGAGAGCGGAAACAGTATCACGGACGTGCTCTACGGGACGGTCAACCCGGCTGCACGTACACCATTCACATGGGGGCCAACAAGGCAAAGCTATGGCACTGACGTTATCTACACTCCTAATAATGGCGACGGTGCACCACAAGACAACTTTATCGAAGGCCCTTTCATTGACTACCGTGCGTTCGAGGCACAGAACATTACCCCTATCTATGAGTTCGGATTTGGTTTATCCTACACAACGTTCGAATACTCGAATCTCCAGGTCACCAAGTTCAACACCAGTGATTATAACCCGACAACGGGGATGACCAAAGCTGCCCAGGTCTTTGGTAACTTCTCCACCAACCTGAGCGATTATCTCTTTCCCAACGCCAGCTTCCCTTACATCCGACAATACATATATCCATACCTCAATACCACTGATGAGAAGAAAGCATCCGGAGATCCAAACTACGGACAAACTGCTGCCGAATTCTTGCCACCTCATGCCAATGATGGCTCTCCTCAGCCCCTTCTCGGTGCTGGTGGTGCTCCGGGCGGAAATCCCCAGCTATGGGACGTGCTCTACAGCGTCACAGCCACGATCACGAACAATGGCACACGAAATGGCGAAGAGGTTCCTCAACTCTACGTTTCCCTTGGTGGGCCTAATAATCCTCGGCTGGTGCTTCGTGGATTTGACCGCTTGAGCATTAATGCTGGACAATCTGCTACATTCCACGCAGATATTTTACGAAGAGACTTGAGCAATTGGGATACGGTTTCGCAAAACTGGGTCATTACATCATTCCCAAAGACTGTTTACGTTGGTCCCAGCTCGAGGAATCTGCCCTTAAGCCAAGCCTTGTGAGGACGATTTTTATAAACGACGACGAAGGCTTTGGGTGGGAAACTTAGACGGCTCAGGGTTACAGTTAGCTTACACTGAGTAGGGCTTAGACTACCCTTCACGAATCGCGAAATCGGGTAGGGGGCTGGATAGAGGAATCGTTAGATAATGATAGATGGGGTGTACAGTATATAAACCGAGAATGATAAACTAATTAATTCTAAAAGTTACACAATCCGCTTTATAATCCAGCCTGTTCTTTGTAATAGACGTTGTTAGAATTGTAGCGAGCTATGAGAACACCCGAGTCAATGTAGCATGCAGGTTAATGTTCTAATAAGCACTAAGGACAACCGTATGAAGCCGACCAAGGAAACGTAAACGAACCCCCTTTAAGCGAGAGTCGCGATGTGCCGTGACAAAATTTTAGCAAACTATAACACATGCGCCACGACTCAAGGTACTCCTCATCGCCCTCACTCGAGGAGGTAAGCCTGGCTAAAATGAAAAAAACATTAAGGAGGAAATGGCAAAACTCTGCTACCAAGCCCGCAGGGTTGGTAGTGAGCGAAAAGCAGCAGGAGCTGGTTTTTTTCGGACCGTTGTAAAGGAGATCGGGCGACTACCGGGTAACTTAATAGTTCTTTCTGGCTTGCTAATCCTTGCCACTGAGGTGGAAATGGTGGTTGGTAACTGAGCCGAAGCCGAGTCTATTGTCTCCCCCTTATCGATACAGTCTCTCCATAGAGTCAAGTCAAGCGAAGCCAAGCCACATATGAATTAACCGAATAAAACGTGCTTAAGAGGAAGGAGCATTTTATTCAGATGCCCCTTTGTGTTTCAAATACTGGGCTGCCTAAATTCCGAAATGTAAGCGCAAGATCTGATATACTACCTCAAACTCCAAGGCAGAGCCCAAGCTCTCTCTTCTTCACCGTCCGAAAGAGGAGAGATGCTATACTCCGGGCACCACTTCAAGATATCCACCTGCCTATCTGCGTGGTTCACCAGAGCCCCACCATAGCCAAAAGGCCCGTCTGCCCAAAAATCACCAACAGCAAAGAACGACGAGACTTCCTTTGCGGCATCGTCGCCCATTTTCTGCCCTTCACCTCTATAGGCTTGGTAGTCATCAAATCCCAAAACCACTCATGCTCGAAAGGCGTCCTTGTGACTCCATTCGCATCCCTATATATCGATACTGATTTCGCCCAGCTCGTCTTCCAAGCAATATTGATCGTCGCGTTCCTGTTCCGCAAGGATAATGTCCCACTGACTCGGGTATACCCTCGACGTCCGAGTCTGGGTTCTGGCCAGATATTGGCGCCCGATGAAATCGTATTTCAAGAAATTATCAAGCGACAGCTCCAACTTAGACCAAATCATGATGTCCGCGCCGAAGAGAAGCACATGTTCCACGGGCATGAGCGACTCCTAAAACCAAGGCCCCGTTAAGAACTTAGCTCTCTTGAGAGGATCGTGGAATGGGTCGTCGACTGCTACACCCATTGGAAGGCCTCTAATTTCTACCATGCCATCCTCTATTAAATGATTAAACACTGCTGATTTTGGAGCATGTCGACGACAGACGGGGACATGAAGACGTAGATTGGCCACTCGGGACACAGGACGGAAGAGAAGTGGAGGATGAGAGGGAGGAGGTGAGAGAGTGGTCTTGTCTCGAGGACGGCTGCCATTTTCTTAGGCTTCGTCGCCCCAAGCACCGAGTCATATTGTGTATTTTCCGAAGACATCGGAGCAGGTGGTGGGGCTTTCCCAACGATAACACCAATATCGTGTTGCGAGAGCCCATGGCTCGGTGAATAATTTTCGATATCGATAAGGTCCAATGGATTGACCTGGTCGTATGAGGTTGTAATTCTCGTAATCAGCAAGAGGATGACAGTGATTGCGAGAACAGCAACGGCGATGAGGCCTGTCCTTTTCTCAGGGCCTAGACTTTTTCTCTTACCATTATGGTCGCGAGAGGGATGTTAGCCAGTCTCTCTTAGAGACTTCTCCCTCAATCTTACCTAGGCCTTTCATATAGAGAATAAGCCTTCCGGTGCATACTGAAAGTGTTGTGCGCCTCTTCAAGGATTCCTAGACGCGTGTATTGGCAGCTTCACATTCCCCGTCGTAGATGGCGTCAATACATTGTAGCACACGGTATACCGAATCTCGAAAAGAAAGAAAAAATCTTGGATTGGAAAAGGACGTCAACGAAGACTTGAACACGCAACGCTGAAAAACTTCAAAGTACCGGCGATTGTGTCATGGCGAATAACCTGAACGCGTAAGGGGGAGCATCTCCAGGAATCTCAAGTGAGTCGTCTCCTTTTCAACTCGTCCATTTATTGTGGTGCAACAAACATCAAGCTTCACGGTACGTAGTTTTCCTCTTGCATTGTGTCTAGCATGCCAAGCCACGATTCGTGACATTTGGCTGGAAATTTTGCTACGTCTGCTTTCCATTTGAGGTTTACGATCTTCAGTGTAATGACTGATGACATCTGTGCTCGAGATTTTGTACACCTGCCCCATTTCCCGTTTTAAAATGATTACAAAGAAGCACTTTATACAACGCCTGTATTCCCTGCAAACACGCCGAAAGCCTTTCCCTTGAATCCAGTGTAGTCACTGTGACGCCTGTGTAGCTCATATCTCGTAAACCGTGCAAGTACGTGAGCCATAATCTAAGCAAATTGTCCCTCCCATAACGGCCGGTGTGGTATACAAATAAATATGATGGGCTAAAGAGATGAACTGCCACATGGTTCCCGGTAAGAATGTATGTTTTCTCCCGAGGCCGATTCAGCTGGGAGCATTTGGTGGTGGGCTCGTTTTGCTGGTGCCATTTGGGAATTGGTGGGATATAGAGCCCAGGTGAGGGCTCCCACCGTTGACGGATTTTGATTTGTCCGATCTCGGGGGTGTGATGCCATTGGTATGATCCTCTCCGTGGTTCGGATGGGCCGAAGACGTGGGCGAGGCTTGATATCCTGGGATCAGGTCAAGGAGACCCTGTTTCCGACACACTTCCTCGTAGTCAGGCTCCCCAGGATACACTCGGGTAATTCCGTATCGCCTGGGAAACCTGTCTAGTGGAGGCGGTTCTTTTAACAAACGTGTCTTTTGGGGTTCGGCCTCTTTGATGAATTCACCGTTGACATATAATCTTGGCTGCGGTGCAAAAGGCTGGCCGACTGGGGTGTTCGGATCCCGCTTCCATTTGTTCTCGATGAACGGCATTGCGGACGTCCCGATGGTCTGAGGTATCCGTAGCTCCATGTACTTGACTTGCAATTCAACACCCCGCAAATGAGGAAATCTGGGGACGATGAACATGAACTCAGATATCTGCAACTGTTAGCAAGATATGTTCAGTCTAAAATACTAACTAGCACGTACCTTGACAAAAAATAAATCAAGACCAAGGAATAGAGTTTCATTTTTCTTGAAGACTTCGTGAGCTGGCTCGCGTTGAGATGGCACCTGTTTTCTCAAGATGGACAGATTATCTTTAAGAAGAATCATTCCATTTTCTGTTCCCCAAACGCCTCGCTTTTGCTCATGAGACAATTGTATGCGTTCCCAGGCGGTGTCTAATGCAACCGTCAGTTTCTTTGTTCGTTACGGATATCAATAACCAACTCACATCGTGACAGTTGCAGGTCTTTCTCGCCGAGAAGTATCGCGACGTGAATATTAAGCATCCACTGTTCTCGACCGATTGCCTGGCCAGTGGCCTTCGGCTTGATGGTATCGTATCTGTATCCAGCAATTCTCTTGAAAAGATTGGCAATTTCTGGAGTTTGTGGATCGCTTGCTTGATCGAACCACTTCAGTAGAAGCGGCAGCTTTGCAAGGCGTTCTTCCCTCCGTTCTTTTTCAATTCTTGCTCGCTCAATTCGTTGCTGTTCCAAAGCTGCAGCCCTTCTGCGCTCCAATTCCTCTCGTTTGAGTCTTTCTTGCTCAAGGTAAAGGATCCTCTGTTCCTCCATCGCCCGACTATGGGCTTCGGCGTCCTCTCTTTGTTGGCGCTCCTTCCGCTCGGTCTCCTCTCGCTGACGTTTCTCTTCTTCCTCTCGCGCAGCTTGTTCACGAGCTAATCGAGCTTGTCTAGCAACTTCAATCCTCTCTTTTTCTTTTTCCCTTTCCTTCTCGTCCTCTAGCTCTTTCTGACGTGCAGCTTCCGCTTCTTTTTTCTCACGTCGCAATTGGGCCTGGCGCTGGGCGTCTTCCTCTTCGATCTTGATTTGAGCACTTTGTGTATCTGACGGTTCCTTGGGTGCTCGATCGCTCGAGTGTTTCGGTTTTCTTTGGGATGGATCAGAGACTGAGCTAGAGGTTGAATTTGCAGACTTCGCCGGACGACTCGACGAAGCTTTGTCGCTACCGTTTGAATCTCTGGGTTCATCGGAATTTTCGCTTGGCTTTGGACCAGAACGAGCTGACTTGGCTTTGCTCTCCGCGTTTGATTTTCCAGAGGTATTCTCCCGTGAGAGGGCGGTTTTCGCTAATGTTGTGCGATGTTCCGGGGAAGAGTTGGGTGTGTTCTCTGCTTTCTGCCCTGTTGCGGCTTCTGCATCTACTTTTCTTCTCTTCTGTGGGCTCCCACCGGAGCCATATGCGGCGGTCACTTCTTGCATATTCGATCGTGGGGGTGTTTCGCTCTTTCTAGGTCTCTTGACGGGGCTCTCGCCACGAATAGCATTGAGTCGGTCCTTTGAATCGTCTCTTTTGAGAGATCTCGCCCTATCTTTCTCTGAAGATTGTTTGTCCGATGTCAACTCCCTGTCACCGACGCCAGAAGTTGAGCTTTTGGAGAGGCGAGGAATGTTAGGGCTAGACTTTCCGTCTAGCTTGTCCGACCTAGTGTCGGAAGAGCCGCGCTCACGCTTGTCTTTGATGGAAACACTAGAAGCATTCGAGGCAATACTGGCACGACGCTTTTTTTCCAGCTCTCGCTCCCCTCTAGTGACAAGTTTTCGTCTCGGCTTGACCATGGGATCGCTTTCTGACAGAGGAGTATCAGATTCGGCCTTCTTGGACTGGGATTTCTGATTTGGAGGTCCCGGAGGACTCGATTCACGGTCTGACAATGCCATAGCAATATTTTCTTCCTTCCTCGGGCGCCCAGGCCCTCGTTTCCCGAGGGGTTGTCTATCTTTCGATTGAGTTAATGACGAAGTGCTTCTGTGTTGACTTTTGTTTGACTCGATCTCTTTGCTCTTTGGGCTTGAAGCACTTCTTTTGTGAGAAGGGGCTTGACAGTCGTCATGCCTCGCAGACTTCTTTGAATCACGGTCCGTATCTCGGGCGTCCCGTCGAAGTCCAGGAGATCGCAGTTTGCTTGAAGATTTGTGGGTCTTCTGGTAATTATCAAATGCTTCTTTTAGAAGCGTTTCCTCTTCTTGCCACTTTGGACCACCTTTCCTTTTTGCAATCTCGTAGTATGTTTCTCCCCTGTGACGCAGTGTGGGGTTAAAGTCACTTTGTGCGAGGAATAGTTTGATGACTTCGAGATGTTTGTCTTTACCAATAGCAGCAAGGATGGGAGTTGATTGCTCCAGTGGTACACCCTCCAATGGGGCGGGGTCTGCGTTGAAATTTCCCAAAGCGAATAGGAGGTTAATGACGGCATCGTGCCCACCTCGGGCGGCATTGAAGAGCGCTTTCGCATCATTCAGGTTTGGATTGACACTCAGGATCTGACTTATCGCCCCAACGTCTCCTTCACTGGCAGCTTTTTGTAAGGTTGCAGGATTAGCTGTCATCCAAAGATGGCTGTTGCTGGTCTTTATCCTTCGTGCCGTGCCACCCATTCGACCCATCGAGGTCTGCGTTTCGAAAGCTGGTGGAGTCTGTCGAGGGCTTTCCTTTGGATGAGACAAACGGCTCTCGCTGTTCTCGTGCATCTGATCTTCTGATTCACGCCGAGCGGTCGAGGTAAATTTCTGCTTCGCTGCCATGATTGCTGCTCTCATCTCACTCGCCTTTTCTCTATCTTCCTTTGAATCTTCGTCGTCTTCGTCGTCGCCGTCGTCGCCGTCGTCGTCCCCCTCTCCATACACACTTATCTTATCAAGTGGCTCATTGCCTTCGGTATTAGCAAGACTGGGGTTTGCTCCAGCGTCGAGGAGCAGTTTTACTACCTCAACATTCTTGTTGTCAACTGCATCGTGGAGCGGGGTGTCTTTCAGATCATTGACAGCGTCGAGCTCGCAACTACCTGTATGAATCAGAAATTGTACAATGTCCACAAATCCCTCCAGACTTGCGATGTGCAGAGGGGTGTTGAGGGCATTATCAGCAAGGTTGACATCTTCAGGTCGTTCTTCATATCTCTGTTTGACAATGTCCAATTTGCCACGAGAACAGGCAATTGCCAATAAAGTCTGGCCTGATGAATTGACGTGCTTCTTGTGTGGAGGCATTTTTGCAGGAGATATTGCGGATTCCCCGGTCGTCGGCGCTGCTAGATTCCGGAGACGCGAACTTCGAGGGTGTGAGTTGCCGCTGGCAGAGGAGTCGTCGGAGTGGTACTCGGTGGACTGCAGAGGTGCAGGAACGCGCTTCTTCTTGTGGCTCAGTCCGTGTGAAGATTTGGAAGGTAGCTGTGTAGAGATGCTGCGCCTGTGGCCTCGAGGATGTGGCGAGATGGATCGGGTCCGCTTCCGCGAGGTGTTGTCAACTTGAAGCTTCGAGGATGAACGTCCATCTCTGTTCGCTTTGTGGTCTGCACCAGAACTCCGTTGCCTGCCAACTCCTTGGGACTCAGCGTCAGCTTCGTCTTCATCACCAGACCCGGATGCGTACTGCTTCCTTCGTGGGAGGACTCTGTCCGCCGATTTGGCTTTATCACGAATGGTAGGGCGAGTTGGAGGCGAAGGAGACTTGGACAGGTCCGAGTCGGACGCTGCAGGCTTCGAAAGTGAGGAGCGTGTGGTTGCTACAGGTGAGGTGGGCACAGAACTGAGACCGCTCGAGTTCCCAAGGTGGGCGGAGTCATCTTTGCTGGTTCCGTTCTTGGTTCGTTTCCTCTTTCCCAAGGAAGTCGCGATTGTCGCCTTTTCTGCTCGCGGCGCCGACGCCGCATCTTCATCCCGCTCCACCAAATCCTTGATGTCAGGAGCATCAGTCATCACTTCATCCTCGCTCTTGTCTTCATGTTTGATAGATTTTCGGACCCTCGAAGGTGAATGGCCATGCTTCCCGGGAAGCACAATTGTTTCTGCGTCCGAGTCGCTCTTCTGACCGGCGTCTTCGATGTCGGCGCCGGACACGCTTCGCGGAACCAAATCCATCGCAACGTCCTGGGGCAACGGGGGCGGCGACGAGCTGATGCCATTTGGAGTCATTGCACGCTTCTGTCCATCAGGCTTTGCGCCAGGCTCATCGGGCGACGCGTTGTTTTGCCCAGCAATGGCCTCCACATTGTCCTGCACATCCATATGGTCTAGCGCTACGGCCTCCTTATCCTGTACATCATCGTGGGTCAGTTTATTGGGAGACACTTTGGCAGTGTCGAGGAGGAGGAAGGACAGGGAGGATCATCCGAGTCCTAATCCTCGTGAGGCGGGTATTCGCAGGCTCGCTGGCGCACAAGGCCAAGGGGCAGTGCTCAATGTACGGTAACGTTTGCGACAATGAGAGAGGCTTTATAGGCGTGCAGGTCTTGAATTAGGGGTGCTTGTCGTGATCTTGGAGAGAGAGGCCGGCCTCGAGGTTGAAGCCTTCACCACATTGGCTTCGCTACTGTTACGGCGGGCTGCTACGTTGACCGACTTTTCCCTGCCGACGCGGCTTAAAAGCTACCAGGATGAAATCAAGAATCATCCATGCCCAAGGGAAAAGGGGTCGCCATCTCTTGACCTCATGTTTCCGCCGACAATGTCCGGCGGATCGAAGAACACCCAGCAGAACCCTCATACCGTCCAAACAATTCGGCTGTGAGATCCAGCAGTTCGCGCACCTCCATAACCGTTGCTGTTCCTGCCAAGCAGGCCCTTGTCGTCTTCTCAGGCCCTCTCTCCAGCTTCCTGTTGTAGTTGACATCTCTCCTTTATTCGACTGTGACGTTGCCTGTTCTTCAGTCGCAGACCTGCAAAGGTGAAGAGACTTCAACTCTGAGCGAAACTGAGGGTCGGCTGCAACGTCTCGCACATCCCGGAACGTTCGCAGTGATTTATTGATCATTGTCCCTCGCAGAAACTCCCATTTGCTATGCCAAATGCAATGGCTTCACTAACAGGATCAGCGTGTCTTGAGAACTATAGAATTCAAGGCCTCCCATCCAGCGCTTTCTACATATCGGAGTTCATCAGTGATTTGGAGGAGCAGGCGTTGTTGGATAAGGTAGGGTAGTTTTGACTGCTAGTGAGAGTAAGGGCTTACCTGGCAAGATCCCCAAGCCTCGATGGAAACAGCTCTCGAAAAGACGACTTCAAACATGGCCGTCAGAGCTTGCCAAGAACACACTCCTCGATACCTCGCTGCCGAAGTGGTTAATTGAGCCCATTATCACACGAATCCACTCTATTCCTCTCACTGCATCCGATCCGCAGAAGCACATGTTTTCGGATAGCCCTCATGGCAGCCCCAACCACGTTCTCATCAACGAATATCTTCCCGGACAGGGTATAATGCCTCATAAGGACGGCGCAGCTTATCATCCGGTTGTCTGTACTGTGAGCTTGGGATCGTCAATTTGTCTTGACGTTTATGGCACCAAAGAAGAAGGAACTACCGAGACTGAGCCAAAATGGAAAATCCTACAGGAACCTCGAAGCTTGTTGATCACAACTGGTGAGATTTACACTGACCATCTTCATGGCATTGCAGAAGTTGAGGAGGAGATAAATCTTGGTCCCTCTACGGTGTCAAACTGGAAGCTTCTCCGCAGCACAGACGAGATTATCGAAGGACGATTCAAGCGCCTCCCACGAACGAGCCTCACTTATCGAGATGTCATCAAGGTGTCAAAATTGGGGGCCAAATTTGGAATATTTGGCAGCCGCTGAAGAGAAAATTGTGCTTCAGTAAACATAAGGAATCATCCGCCAACGACCAGCTACCTTCTCGATACCGAACTTCTCAATATACCATTTTCTCGTTGAATCTGCAGTTACTGCGAGATTGGATGCCACGAAACCCAACCCTGCCAATACTGTCCTGTTTAGCATCTGGCCTTGTGGGCTTACAGCGATAGCAATTGCCAGATAGATCAGGCATTCGCTGGTATAGTGTGGACAAACTACCCACTGAAACCAGAATTGTCTGGGAAGGGTATACTTCTTGAGGCTTGCAAGGTGTTTATGGCATTCGTACTGGACGCCAGATGCGACTAGGAACATTGGAACTGCAATCAAAGTCCTCACCGTTGGTGTTGAAAACTCCAGGAAAGTTCTTTGTGGTCCACGATACTTCAGGGAAGCTGGGAAAGTCAGTCACTGAACATGGAATTAGGCCAGGGAACACACTGATTCCTTCAATCCAAACGGATATTCCCATGAAAACATAGAATGCCATTCCGATAATCCACATTCCAGCCCACATCTTAGACTGAGATGGCTTCGTGAAAGCAATGGACTCGTACAGACGTCTCGTCCCTTGGATAGTCATTAATAGCCAGGCCAAGAAGACTTGATTCATAGTCATTGTTGCCGGCCTTGACTTCGAAAGTGATGCCAAAAATTCGAAAGCCGTTCCTTGCGTGGATATTTGGACGGCCCAAAAGACTGACGACGCGACTGAGATCACGTAGTAATGTGTGAACCATGTATGAGGTACTTGAAATGATCCAATATATTCCAGGAGCCAGGCGAAAGTGTTCTGGTGGCGGGCTGAAGAAGTTGAAGTTGAGGTGGTGCTTCGAGAGCCATAATTCATGATATATTCTCTGAATGGCGGTATCAGAGGTCCACCAACATCAACAACGGTCCCAAGACTGAAGAATATTTGGCAGAGTCGCGCTGGATCCATGTTTGGTTCGGTTGAAAGAAGACCAAGTGAATCTCAAAAAGTGTTTTGAGAATTTGAAATCAAGAGGCGTTATCCACGTGACAACTTGACAAGGCTGAAGGCGTGCACGGACCAAGCGGATGTCAAAAAGTTGGATCTCCGCACATCAGCAGAACATCCGCAATCAGCACCTTTGAACGCAAAGTGCCCTCTCTAGCTGTTTTTGTTGGCATCCACAATCATGGCGACTACCGTAGACAAGGTAAGAAAATACCCCCGCATGGATGGGAATATCAGGGGCTAATACCCACCACAGATCAAGGACATCGAGGCCGAAGTATGTCGTATCTCTATCACCTCCTTGAGAACAAATCTTACGTATTATTAGATGGCCAAAACCCAAAAGAACAAGGCTACATCCTTCCATCTTGGCCAACTGAAAGCCAAACTCGCCAAGTTAAAACGCGAGCTTCTTACTCCCACAACGAGCGGTGGTGGAGGTGGGGCAGGTTTCGACGTCGCCAGAACTGGTGTTGCCAGTGTGGGTTTCATAGGATTCCCTTCTGTGGGAAAGAGTACACTCATGAGCAAACTTACTGGTCAACACTCCGAGGCCGCCGCCTACGAATTCACAACTTTGACAACTGTACCAGGCCAAGTGGTATACAACGGAGCGAAAATACAAATGTTAGATTTGCCTGGTATTATCCAAGGAGCCAAGGATGGAAAGGGAAGAGGTCGACAAGTTATTGCCGTTGCCAAGACTTGCCATCTAATATTCATCGTCCTCGATGTCAATAAGCCCCTTACGGACAAAAAGGTTATTGAGGCCGAGCTGGAAGGCTTTGGCATTCGGATCAACAAGCAACCACCTAATATTGTTTTCAGGAAGAAAGACAAGGGAGGTATCAGCATCACAAATACGGTTCCCCTTACCCACATCGACCACGACGAAATTAAGGCTGTTATGGGCGAATACAAGATATCCTCCGCAGATATTGCAATTCGATGTGATGCAACGATCGACGACCTCATCGATGTCCTGGAGGCTAAGAGCAGAAGCTATATTCCGGTTATATATGCCCTCAATAAAATTGATGCCATATCGATAGAGGAGTTGGATCTGCTGTACAGAATTCCGAATGCATGTCCAATTTCGTCAGAACATGGGTGGAACATTGATGAGCTGATGGAACAGATGTAAGTTGCTCTTTACAAGCCGACTTGACTATTCATTCCAACGAATGAGAAAGCATCCCGACTCGTCTCCTAAGTCGAGTGATCGCTAAAAGGGGTGTGGATCACGTGTGTCTATATGGTCTGCCAACCTCAGTACAGGGCCAATTAACGACCTCGTGGTACCCTTGGAAGTCCCGGGTTCATAACTCATCAATTAATGGTATATTACTTGAGCTAATGTCCGTGCAGGTGGGAGAAGCTCAACCTGGTGAGGGTATACACAAAGCCTAAAGGGAAATTACCCGACTATACTCAACCCGTCGTCCTACGTTCCACAAAGTGTACCGTTGAGGACTTTGTAAGTGGCTGACTCTCTCAAGTCATGTTCTACACCAGGAATAATTCGCTGACCGTTCAAGTGTAACGCCATCCACAAAACCATAGTCGAACATTTTCGAGTAGCAATTGTCTATGGCAAGTCAGTGAAGCACCAACCTCAAAGAGTTGGGCTCTCCCATGAATTGAAAGATGAAGATATCAGTATGTACCCCGTTTTCCTAAAAGTGAGCTCGTTTTTAGGACCTTCTCGCTGATCGATCTTCAGTCACCATCATCAAACGATAGGATCCGTCAGACACTTACATGTCACTCTGTCATCCAAGCCCAACAACCTGCTAAGACGGTAAAACAAGACTTTCAACAACTGCGGTTGCGAGAAAAGTATCAGGAGATTAGATCACATGAAGATGGATCTTATGTAAATGACTGGAGCTTTTGGCAGATCTCGACGGCAGCACTCTCGGTCAAACATTACAAACCCATTGAAGCGGGCAATAGTGGCCAACAGAATTTTTCTTGCTAACTTTCCCACTATAGTATCCTCCAACCCTCCCGGGAGGTATTGGTTGATCAGAGACCTATGGTGGAGGACAAGTGGAAGACAGCCTAAAAAAGAACATATTTCTCACAACTTGACCAGGCTTTTGCCGCATTTAGTCTCGCAGGATTGTTTTTGATGTCTCCGCTATCGGTTTTCGTCCGAGATGTTTTACCCCAGACAGCCAGCCACATTCATCCCGCAAGTAGTCGGAGAACAAGCTTCATGGGTTCCAAGCTGCATAGCCGAGTCTCAGGGGATGGCGAGGACAATGGCATTCAATCTGGAAGTGGATGTGAACAGTGCAGCCACAAGACGGCAAGTGCACGGACATGCAGCGGTCCATCGCGTCTTCAGCGCCTCGCGCACCACTGAAAATCAGCGAGGCTTTCCTTCAGGGGGGTCAATTCAGCCTATGAGCAGACCGCACCGAGAAAAAACACCAGCCAGTCATTTCTTGAAATTAGGATGCGCGAGACCAATTCGACAGATTTATGCTCAACTCCACCGTTCAAATTCGCCCTCGTACCGCCGAGCTGTCTGGATGGCCTGTGACTCCGGTCTGGTGTTTCTCCCACCGACCAGGGAGGGCATTGAGCCTTGGACGAGGCCCGGCTCGTGGCACGGAACGCGACGAGGTGCAACATGCTGCTCAAGTTCTCAACGGCTCGTGGAGCCTGAAGTTGTCCGAAAAGTGCCTGCTGAGGTAAGCCTGTTACAGGGTAGTGACAGGGAACGTGCCCTAGCCTCGATAAGAAGCCACCGACTCCAGAGCCAGTTTATTTGAGGGCAGAAACCCTGACTCAAAACGACGATGGAGAACACTGACAACAAAAGCAGAAAATGGCGAGAAGAGGCTGACGGCACGAAAGGACGGCGGCGGATCTTCTACGCTGATCTTTGCTTTATCAACTCCTCCCACGGTGCCACCATACGGCGCAATTTCGATGCTACGATAATGGAAGCCAAGCCAAAAGCAAAAGGATGCGCCATGCGACGTTAATTCCTGCATTGGGTGAGGAACTAGCAGCCTCTTTCGAGGTGTGACCCGCTCCGCTAGGAGCATTTCAGCCTTCAGGCTCGACTCTGAGTCTGAGATCCTCGATCTTAGCCAATCTCGTCGAGCTAATTCCCTAAACGGCCTTTTTGAGAGCATCCCTCCTCGGCGGCCGAAGAGGGCTAACATCCAAAACATTAGTATCTTCGAAGATAATGATATTTGACCACGCAAGCATCCCCTCAGGCAGCCCAGCTAGACGAGCCACTTGGAACGAAGCCGAGAAGGAATTCGCTTGGACCCTCGACGAAATCTTCCAATGGCCAGCCCTGATATCGACATCCACGTCCTGGGATGGCACCATTGATTGCTGACAGAGGAACGACATCGGCCAACTTGGGGCAAGCCCCCATTGCCAAAGTGGCCGTTTATGCCTTAGACTTGGCCTCTTCTGAAGCCTCGTGCTCGGCAGGTGGGTGGGTGTGTGAGAAGGGACGGGCCATGGCCCTAGAGAGTCCGCGTGCCAAGTGGACGCTGAAGCCGCGAGACATGGCTAATAACGTAGTTGGGGGCTGCTGGGAGGAACACAGAGGAGCGATCTAGCGATTCTGCAGCAGCAACATAGGCGGGGACTCGCCGGCGACGGAAAGCTGGCAGTGCCAATGAGTGGCAGGGCCAGCTGCCTGCCCGCCATCCGCAGTCAGCAGCTGCGCAGGGCTTGGGCGAGGGGTGCGAGAGCGACATTTTGTACTATTGATCGCAATCGGAGCTCCAGATGCAGCGCTGCTGGCCTCCATCCCGAAGGAGCGTATCTGAAGACAAGCCCCCAATAATCTGTGCGATAGGCAGCCTGCAGCTAGTGTTCTAACTTCTCAGAGGCTGCTGGTCGCGCCGCTGTGCTCGCATCTCTCCCTCTCCCTCCTCCCACTCCCACGCTATCAAGCTCCCCTAGCTCGCAACAGGCCCTGCGGGCCAATTATTACGGGCCTGTGAGGGCAAAGGCCTCCAGCATACCCGCGCTCATGAACCTGGCACTTTTTCGAAGGCTTGACTCGGCATCCACTCACTAAAGCCACAGCTTCTTCTCCGCACAGTAGCTGCTGCTCTTCCCCTGCGGCCTGAGCCTGACCTGCCTGCCTCCCCGTAGCTCCCCCAACTCCTCTCCGCACAATATTACCTCTCTGTCTCTTCCGGAACTCAGTCGACGTGCATGTTTTACTTGCTTTTATGCTGTTGCGCGTTTAGGCAAGCACCCTTCGCGCTCGACTCGACCTTTCTTTCCACTTCCAACTTCGCCGCCGCTGCAGCTCAAGAGGCAGGGTTCACATATTGACGCCGCAGCCAGGAACCATTGCTTATCATGCATGCAGTCTGCCGTTCTTGAGGGACTGCCTTAGCCAGGAACACCATCGCTGTCTTCGATACGCACGAACAATCAATCGACTTGCAATTGCTGTCGCATACACAGATATTGGAACCGAGCATTCATCCAGAGGATGCACGATTCCATGATGGCGCAAATTGGAATGGACCACGAGCATCACCACCACGACAACGGGTTTGGGAGCAGCGATGGATGGGTTGATATCAGTAACAGTTACAACTCGTCTCAACATCAATCGCCAATATACGAACATGGAGGCTTTGGATTTATGCAGCCGGTTCAGCACAATGGGTTACCTACGGAGCATTATACACAGAGGATACCTCAACCTCCACCACCGCATACAACCCACCAGCAACTGCTACCCCTCATTATGCCAAGTCATCCAACATGGCCCAGTATGTTAACAAATCCAGCAACTTACACAGCGCCGCCGGTTGCAATTCCTCCAGCATCAGCTCCAGTGGTCAAAGGCAATGGTACAAAATTGCCTGCAATTCACGCAACCCCGTCTCCACGGAAAACGCTTACTGATAGCGATCGAAGACGGATGTGTCAATACCATGAGGAAAATCCTTCTGTAAAGCAGACTGAAATTGGAGGTGAGAAAATAAAATCTGGTATCCTTGGTCCTGTTGTTAACTCTTGTACAGCAATGTTCGGTGTTGAACGAAGGTATTTTTATATACAGCTTGTGTTTCCTCACTTACTAAGATCTTATTTCCAGCACTGTGTCCAAAGTCCTCCGTCAGCGGGAGAAGTATCTCTTCCCAGAAGACCGTAGTCTTTCTCCAGTGAAGCGTGCCAAAGGGAAATTCCCGGACATCGAACGAGCGCTGTCAAACTGGGTTAGAAACATGCAGAAACAAGGCCACCCTTTGACAGATGCTGCTATCAAGGAGAAGGCCAGATTTTTTGCAACCACCGTGGGCAGCAACAATGAGGGTCATCTGAAAACGAACAGCACCAGTTGGCTCGAGAAGTTCAAGCAGAAGAATGGAATTGGAGGTGCCAAACTAACCCGAAGAGCTTCAGAAACCAACATTTCTGACAGTGGGTCTCTCAATCCGGACTCGGCGGGAGGGTCGGCGTCCCAGACTCCCAACGGCATCTCTCCTACCTCACCAAGCGGCTTACCGTCTCCGTCACCACTGTCCGCAACTAAGAGCGATGAGGATCTGAAATCCGAAAGCCTGAATGGATATCTTGAGTTTGGCCAGGGCAACAGTGGATACAGGCACTCGAATTCTCAGAGTACCACATCTCTATCGAGTGCCTTCACAGACACCGCGCCTTCCTCATTTTCAGGCGGACCAACGAGTCCCACGACTCCTTTCGCCTTCTCCCCAGATAACAATTCTGGATCATGGATGCCTTCGCAACAAGCTCGATTGCCTCCACCAGGAAATAATTTCCAACGACCAAGAAGCCAAACTTTTCCCATGCTTGGAATTGATCCATCCTTCATTTCCTCGCAAACCAACGAGCCTCTCACTCCCAAATACAATCTTCCTGTAACAGCGCCTTCGTCAGCTTTAGAGTCTCCGATTCACGAGATGCCTCCACCGTTTGGAATGGACGCGGCCATCTCTTCACCTCCCTTGCATCACAGTAGCAGCAATGGCTCTATGGCTCCACCGTCATCGGGAACACCAATCACTGGTCTACAATCGCCACCTGGATCTTCAGCTCCGGGATCACCCACCCAGGACGACGCTCGAAGAGCTCTCGATACTCTAATCAACTTCTTCAATCAAGCTCCCAGCGGCCTCGTTGATCAGAACGAGTACATGACCGTCCTAAAGTTGACTGAAAAACTGCGACTGCAGCAAAGCAACGGGCCGTTGCCAGGAGGTCTCCATCGGATCGCCGAGCAGGACTGTGAGATCCCGGCGCCGAAGATGGAGCAAACCATGAGTGCACCCTGCTAAAAGCAACGAATCTCCTTTCACGACCTCCCAAAAATTTCTTGTACATCTCGAACGGCAATTTCTTTCAAACCTGTCCTTACAAAATATCTATTCAGCTGCACATCTCCACGGCGTTACTATGCTTCTCGACACTGTATATCGGCGTCCACAGCGCCCATACGAGCGGCTTTCTTCTCTTCACAACCATGTTCTTATTTCAATTCGTACCGTATACTCTCTACACGTCACTCTTCTCGGCCGGGGTTGGTGCAGGCTGGCATCCAGGGGACCCGGAAAACCATATACCCATGATACATCTCCCGCTCACGCGAACTCGCTCTCCGTTGCTCATTATCCATTCTCATGGCTAGCACTGCTTTTATTCGATTCCACGGGGCATGGCACACGACGCTTTTCGTGCCGTTTTAGGAGAGAGCACGATCCCCGAGTCGAACTCGGGGATCGGCACTCTAGGATTTAGGCTTGGAGCTTTATGGGTGTTTCTTATGGCCTGCCTTGAGGCTTCATCGTTGTACTTTGATCATTGGGAGGAGGATCCGGATGGGAAGACAGGAATTGGACTGGCCGGGAAATGCTTGCCTTCAGGAGGCAAGTGGCCAGTGGGGTTGGGTTATGATCATTTTGCAATAGCTGTCAACTAGGTGGCCCCTCTGATTTTGGGAGGCCCTTCTGAATGTCTTGTGTCTATGTCTCTCAAATGTGTTGTGAAATCATCTAGTCAAAGCTAATTGAGTCTCTCCTGCAGCAGTTCTTCAACCCCCTTTTCTGCCATTTCGGGTATCAAGCGTACGATTATCAATTCCACAACTCCATATAGCAGGTGCTTATTGCAATAGCTGTCTCCGAAGACATCCAGAACTCGCTCCACCTCCCTGACTCGGCGGTCTATACCAACTCCAAAATATACATCCTGGATCCTGGTCGGTATCAGGGTGAGTATGGCTTGGGCGCATCGCTGTCGAATAAGGAGTTGCTCGGAAGCGGTGGGGATAATCCGTGGGGGAGCAGGAGCATTGTTGGGGAACAAAGCAGCGCGACCTGTACGTAGCAGTGTTGGCAGTAACGCTGGCTCTAACACGTGGGAGTGAATCGCGTGGGAGAGAATTCTGTGAGAACACAAGTCAGCCAATTACTTAACTGATGGAGAAATTTTCCACGACTAGGACGCCATTATCCCGAGGCGTCAAGCCATGCATGAGGAGTTCAAGGGCAACAGATTGATGAGATGTTGGATTTGTATGCAGCAGAGTTAAGGGGGCCAGGGCTCAAGCGGAATCATTAAACCCCGCGTTGATAGCATGGACGGGCGATAGCCCAACTCGCTGAAAGGTCTTGGTCATCATGGAGACCGGCCTGCACAGCTCGGCCCAGAAAGGCCAGAACAAGGCGGGCGGCCCTGCGATGAGTGGCTGAGAAAAGACGCTTTGTGCGGGAGGAAGGTGCGGTACGACGCGAGGAAACCGGGGGCTTGAGGACGCATTGATAACGCCGGGCGCGTAAAGAGGGCTGTCGTAAGGCTCACTAGAGCTGTATTCCAACACCACTCGCGAAACCCGTGCAAGGGTGGCAATGAGCGTTATGCGGGACAAGGTAAGTCGAAACGTTCAACAATGCAAAATGACGATCTGAAAGTGTGATTGGAAATGAACTAGTCGGAGGATGGGCTGATATTGCATTGTCCCATTGAACGAAAACGAGGAATCCTTCCCTTGTGAGCATGGATCGGAGTCGCACAGCATAACACTTGGCCGTGTGAGATTGACCTAGCAATCAATGAAATTCGAGACTTCGAGGACCATCATCGCCATTCCCGCTTGCGCAGATTGCAGGCATGTCATGCACCGCGATAACAATTGTTCCTTGCCATTCCACACTGAAACACCCTCAGCTTCTGAAAGCCGACTGGGACAATAAAAGTCAAGTGACTGAAATCTCATGCGGTGTGACATAGGCTATCCGGCGCTTGGCCGGGACCAGAGGAGGGGTTTCGAGAAATCGACCACTCACTTGTCAATCATCCCATCTGTGCTCCCCAGTTTCCCCGGCCCTGTCAGAGCCACATGTTGGAGCATAGAAAATGTGGCACTCAGCCATGGCATGCGGGCATCTAGATCCAGTAGATTAGCGGCACAAGACCATATCTTCATCTTCACAATAGGCTGTTTAATTTGGTCTGTTCGACCATCCCATATATCGTCAGCACTCGTCGACTCTGGCGGTTCCATGTGATCCTTCAACGGGCTAGAGCCAGTAACTTTCATCGTTGGTCGAATACGAGACGGCAAAGAAGAAGATGTAGCCAAGGTGATGGCGAAGAAGCGGACCGCGCTGAACGCGAGAAAACAGTACTGAAGGGCTAGCCAAAAGGACTTCTGTAGTGATCGTTGAATCCACCATCTCTTCGTATTTCGACCAGTCAAATTCTTCGACATTGCGTTCTCTACACCCGAATTCGATCTCTCAGCACGGACTTGTGCCTTCGACTTTGGAAGATGAGCTTGCAAGACCTCTGAGATCTTTGTGATCCCCTCCCATAGCATCCACGGCTCGGATGCTTTTCCGCCAATACCACCTCCCAGGATCATCTCGGAGAAGATTTGGCCAACGATTGCAATTAGACAATCATTTTCCAGGTCCTCTGTCGGTAGCAGAACCGCTAAGACCCCTTGGACTAACAGTTGCCTGTATGCCGCTTCTTTCTCCGTTTGCTCCTCAGTCTTTGGTTCACCACGATCAGGTACTGGCGACAAGGCGGGAAATGGCCAGAGAGAGTGGTAGATTTGTCGAGGATCGCGTTCAATTGGGGGAGGGTGTTGAGGGTCGTGTGAAACTCGGTATGCTGCGTAGCTTTTAGCAACTTGCACAGACGGTCGTATTTGGGGCTTTCAAGAACCTTGAACATGAACCTCTAACAACTCCGGCAGCTCATCAAATAACAAGCTCTCCAAATCAATGTCCCTCAACCTTTGCTCCAGAGCCCTTGTGCAATGGGCAATGATCTTCACGACCTCCTCCACAAAGACTTGGTCTGGTGTAATCTTCGCATACCATGTTTGCACAAACTCCCTAATTATTATGGCAATGAATGCGTATAACTGCAGATCCACTTCATTACTACTCGTCAAGGGTGGTAGGATCTCGTCGATGGGGCCCGGCGTACTGCGACCTTTATCGCCAAGCTGGGAACATAGCGTGCGACGAACTAAGGATATTGTTGTTCGATCCGAGAGGGCGTCGGCGGATAGCACCCGTACATTTTGGCGGGAGGCAGGCGTCTCGGACCTTGGGATGGTGTCTCTATTGGCGGTTGCGGATTGTGAAGATATATTCGAGGTTGCCAGGGCCTTCAGACGCGGTTGAAGACGCGACATTGACCGCTGCGTGAGTCTTTCGGTGCTCCGGAGCACCTCGGAATTGGGGTCCTGATTCTATCGCGTGGAGTCTCTCATTGTTTTTGCAGAAGAATGAGTTGTTCTTACAACTCGATGATCAACATTTGACGTCTCGTCACCAGCCTTGACTTTGGCGCTAATCCGTCTTTGGAGACTCACTGCAGCAAGTCAAATCACACCACATCACCTCTTTCTTGAGCAACACAATCACTGCACACTTCAAATACAAGTTTTAACATTCCCATGTTTCTCCCTTTCTTATTTCAGTCCGGGTAAATACCATAAAGCATCTTTACAACCATGTCTCAAGCCTTCACTGACAACATTCAAGATCCGGATCCTTAAGCGTGGATATTTCCACAGGCTCCAAAAACGAAATCTCAGGTCTTGCGTTAGCCATGCGCCTAGTCTCTAGCTGTCTTTCGAGGGCTATAGGAAAATGATGTTCTGCGTATGCCTTGAACGTTATTCCGTCCATGTCCGATGTCCCGGTTGAATCGTGAGATGTAAAGACCAGGCCGCCCACCAGTATGTTCGACGCTCTATCTTTCTTGTGTGAGACGAAAATGATCCTCGTCAATTCGGGGAGCAATTCGCAAATCTTGTAAAATCTGGGCACCCCTGTTCGTCGTACACCTCCCTCGCCATTGAAGGCATCCTCGACTTGGTACTCGAGAATCAAATGCCGAACTTCTTTTGCCTCTGCTTTGCTTATACTCCCAGCGAATGACTTGAGATCTTCGAGTTCGAAATTGACTCCAAAATGGATGATGTCCAGCTTTGGACTGACGGCAAGGATCCCCAAGTTATCGTTCAGGCTGGTTGGGTTGATTCTGCCTTGATGCTTCTTGAAGGTTTGCCTGGACTCGGCGCACACAGTGGCAATGTTTGACTGGATTCTGCTGAATAGATCGATGTCGGATGTAGTTGGATCGTCGGATTTTCTCTCATATTTGAGGATTCGATATGCAAAGGCCAATGCCTCCTCCCAGATCATAAGACGTAGTTCTGGTGGCAACCTATCGAATTTCTCAAAAAATCGTGGACTATGGTTCAAGGGCGAGAGGGTTCCCGGGACGCCACCAAACGTGGGCTGATTTGTGAGCCCAGAGATACGAGCAACTGTGGGAAGAGCCATGATCGCAGTGAGTGTTCGATGGATGTTGTTTTCTAAACTGTGCCGGGGACCGAAATCTAGTGATAGCTGTCGTCCAACTGTTGTAGCCGGATTTAAAAAGATACAGGATGTGAAGGAGGATAATAAAGTATTGCGATGCAGCAGAAGCTATGTTGAGTTGAAGAGAGTGGGCGACGGAGGGGATTTCTTTGAACCACCGGAGCCACAGTCCGTATATCAACGCGCTAAAACCCAGGCTCCCCCAAGTGACTCAATTACTGCAATGGGACATCATAGTCTGGCTTCCCTTCCTCGATTGCATCTAGCTTTCCTAGTCGCCTTCCAGGGTTTCTTGTTGTTCTTGCAGTGGTGCAACCATGCGGAAGAGCTTGAAACTTCCTCCGAGGCGGAAACCAAATGGGCTGGATCACTTCACCAATTCGGTAAAACTGCGCAAGGCTGGGAATTAATAATCCATATTTGATATCCTAAGAAGATCTGGATGGAATCTTTAATTACAAAGACGTTAAACTTTGTGGCTGGATGTTGTGATGTTCTAGATTATGTTGAAGTCTTGTCTCATGCATTGTTGTTAGGCACCCATTTCGAAAGCCTTCCCAGGACCAATCTCCCTCTTTATCCTACGATTCCACTTCCGTCAAGGTTGAGTCCAACTTGAGTACAATTGTCACCAAAGCTAATCCAGATTTTTCGCCCTAGCCATATATGATTGTCTCACCAGTACAACTGGTATTTTCCAACCCGGGTTCCAATCTGGGTTCTTCTCTCTGAATGTTCTCGTTTTTTGCGAAAGTCTGCGCCTAAGAAGGCCAAGCATTTTCTGCTCTTCGTACTCCCTGCTTTCACGCCAATGCTCTGGATTAATTCGCGCCGGGTTACAACTTGGTTTGATTTGATCAATCGAAGCACCCATTGGCTTTGGTTGTTGGATTGATATTTTGTTCTTATGAGCCAATCAAGACTTTTGTCGCCAGATCAGAGTCCCGCACGGGGTACAAAAGTGAGCACCTTGAGCCTTGGAATTAAGAGGGATACCTCGAGAATATCCTGAAGAGCACGGTGCAATAAAAGGTTGATTCCGTAGTCGTATTGTACTGTAGTATGAGTTCGCGAATTTGAGTTTTGTCAATAGAACGCGCGAAAGCTTGCAAATGCCACATTTCGAAATGTGCAAAACGGATAGCATCCTTCTCCAAGTTTGCGTAGATGATTGGATATCCTTCACAGTCTCCAAATAACGGCTTGTATGTCTTCAGATATGCCTCCCGAGCTTCAGAGCAGATATGGGCAAGGTGACAATCGAACGCACTTCTGATTGAGAACCTGCCGTCGTGAGCAGTCTGCGGGGTACTGCTTCCCATATTGATCGTTGATTCTGGTTGATCTATTGTAGGAATAGTTACAAAGCTGATTATCCGAGGTGTCATGGCAGCCGCCGGTCTTCCCAAATTTGGAGCACCAATTCTGTAGGGAGAGGCCCGAACTCAGGTGGGATGGTTTGTTGGACTGCATAGTTGGTAAGAAGTTGCACCATAGGAAATTGACCCAGAGCTTTTCCATTCGACTCTGATTGTGGAATTTTGCCGTACGTGTCTCTCACCGAGAGAGTGGGTTGGTTGTAGTTTGTAATATTGGGTATAGTGTCTTGCTTCAAGAGAGAATCGCCCATATCTTTGAAATTGACTGTGGAGCGCTGGTGATACATAAGGCACGGCGACGTGATATGGATGAGTTCGATGGATAATTGGCAGCAAAGTATCTTTAATTGGTGTCGAAACGTTGCTCTTGGAGAAGACGGATGATCGGGGTGATTCAGGGTGGCTTGATGAAACCTTCAGACGGGTAAGGTTGAATAATAACCTTGTAGCCTTCAGACTTTCAGATGGAAAGGTCCTTGGTCCAGCGCTGTAGACGAATCACTGAAATTTGTAGATTGTGGAAGCAAGATGGAAAGATTAGAATCGGAGAGAGGAGGTGAGCAAAAGTTCAAATAATAAAGTTTTGACGACTAAAATCCTATCGGTCCAGATCAAGATCGGAGGTGACTTCGTTTCGAAACATGGAAATCTGGTATCAGTTATACTAATTCAAGAAAAGTAAAGGTGCCTTGTTGTTGCTTGGGCCCGAGTTCTGAACCATGGTTCCAAACGGCAGCGAGACGGCAGCGCGCCAAACTGCGAATGAAGTCTTCAAGACATCGGAATGGTCCCAGTGTACTTTCTCGAGGGATGAAAATGGATTCTTGGTGTTCAAGTTGGAAAACTGAAATCTTTGCATCCTCTTAAGTTGAGATAATGATGAAGACGGACCGTCGGGTCACTCTTTATATCGTTGTCATGACTCTGTTACTTGTTTATTGCAGAATCGACAAAGTAGTGAATTCTGTGTCCGCGTCCAAAGTTGAACAGATATATAGATAAACAGATGAGAATGATAACTTTACCACACTTCTTCATCCTTGCTAGAAGGTAAGGGTCATTGTCTTTTCAATATTCGTCCGTGCACCCTCGCTGTTTTATCCCCTTTTTGTTTACCGAGATCTAGTAACTCGTCCAAAACATCAGAAAATGCCATTGCCACTCCGACTTTCGACTTTTATCGAATACTCGGTTTGGAGCGCTAACTTAAATTTGGTCATGGCGCTCGTAAAGGTAGAACGGCCCAAGGCCGTGCCTGATGCGAGATAAATTTAATATTTTCCCAGAGCCTCGATCTGAAAACCGCGAAACATCAACACAACCTCAACTCCAACAACAGAGTTGACGCCGCCCTAACCCTCCATCTACATCGTGGCTCTTGAAAGAACTTTGGCACGATGTCTTCCTCTCCTTACCAAAACAGACTTCATCAAGCTCTCGCCCGCGCCATGGCTGAAGAACAAAGAAATCCCCGCCGATCCAGCACCCCTCTCAATGGCGACGCACCTCCATCACCTCAATCTCCATCTGCCTCAACATCTGCTTCCCCCGGTGCCTCTCAAGGTGGCCGTCGAGTCCAAATCAAAATCAAAGTAAGCAAGCCTGAGTCCTTAAGCCACCAACCGCAGCTAACTCCCACAATCAGATTAACAAATCTCCACTCAAAGGCGGTTCTCGAGGTCTGAACGACAGCGACGACGTCCCTCAAATTAAGTTCATCCCGGGTCCCAACAGCAACGCGCCTCGCAACTACGACGACCTCCCCGAGAGCGAGAAGATGGCGGAGTACATCAAGGAGAACAAGGCGCACCTCGCCGAGCTGGTCGCCTTCGAAAGCGAAGGATACACAGCACGTATCAACTTCGATGATCCTGCTGCTCCGAGGCACGACGCTGTCCTGTTTGAGGAGGAGCCGGAGGAGGACCAGAAAGCGTTGAATGATGTGCTGCATGAGAACTACTGCTTGAGGTTGAGGTGCGTAGGTCTTGGGGGAGAAACCCCTTTCCTATTTTCGACTGTTTCATGGGATTCTCCTCAGGCAATGTCCTCTCCCGAAACAATCCTAATCGAGCAATTGCTGATTCCCCCGCTACTTAGGTGCCAGTGTATCAAGCTTGCGAAGACGCAGGGTTGGGAGAAGCTTTGGCCGAGTGGTACCGAGGTTCCTATGAAGATGTATGGCAAGTACATGTTCATCGTTACTTTCCCATAAAGGGTGGCCGATTTGGCAGCCAAATCTTTGAATGGGGGGATTGCGGCAGGCGTTGTTCTACTTGGGGGCGTACAATGGCGTTTTTGAACTCCACTGGTTTATTGCAGGGGCTCTAGAACAATAAGCACCAGAAGTACTTCTCAAAAATGACCATCGCGTCCCAAGCATAAAATGCAAATACAATTGATTCGTCCCTTCAATGTCCCAAATCAAGTTGAACATTTATCTCGGGGGAGAGGGTTTCAAAGTTCTAGAACTTTGAGGATATTTGCGAAGGGACTTGACTTTGAATATACCATAACTCATGGGAACATTCAAAGTCGAAGTATTTGAAATGTTCAGCGTAACTTCGAACATTGACAATGGGACACTGCTTTTGTCCCACGAGGTCCCTGACGTTTGAAAAGATTCAGATGTTCAACTATGGTAATGTCTTCCACCGATAACACCATCCTAATCCATGTCCAATAGAAAATACCTTTACCAACTGAACCTATCTAGCAAACCATGCGCTACCATGCCCCAAACCCAAACCCAGAAAACCCGAAATCAAATGCCATCCGTCCTATCTCCTGCACCAAGCTCCGACAATGTAACAAGGAAGAGAAATTGTAACCTGTGCCTCATGTTGAATGCACGCCAAATCACATAATCTGGCACCCGTTGCTCCTCGCTCTCCTCCTGCGTCCAATACCACCCATGCCAACACCACCTTCCTCCTCGTCAGCATGCATCATCTGCGCCTCTCTCGCTCTCCTCCTCCGTCTTCTCAACCCAGCACCACCAGCGCCAGCCTCCTCGTTCGCCATCATATACTCAGCCCACCTCCTCTCCAGCCTGCCTGCTGCAGGTAGGTCACCCTCCAAGACTCGCTTCATATGCTCGTCATGGGTCCCTTGCCAGCCATAAAAGCATTTCAATGCAATGATTTCGGTCGGGTATGTAACTCCAACCTGAGCTCCAGTCGGCTTCTTGACTTCAGAGTTGCGGGACATGACTTCGCGGATACCGGTCCACGTCACATTTTGGCAGTCGAATACAACCAGTTGGAGACCGATGCGAGGTCGTGACTTCGCACATGTCGTACGTGAAGAGCGGGCTCGGATCATGGATGCAGCTTCGACCAGGGCGAGATCACTGATCTTTGTGTTGTCCAAGTCGGCGCTCTGAAGGCCGGTGCAAGCACGAATGACTGGGAGCATCCCTGTATCGCCAAGATTCTCACAGTAGCTGATAGAGAGATGCTCAAGGTGTGGAGCGCAAGGAGATTTAGCTAGATGTTCAGAGAGCAAGTCGTTGGTGAGCTCAGCAAGTTCTTCGAGGTCGAGGTGCGTAAGGTGAGGCGTGGTTGCTAGGAGGTCGGAGAGAGCGCTGTCAGTGAGTGCCGTGCAACCACTAAGTGAAAGACCTTGAAGTTCAGGAACGAGATGTGCAAGTGTCTTGACACCAACACTCGTGAGGCGAGTGCAGCGACTGAGGTCAATGTGACGGAGCTTGCGGGTTGGTACCAGCGGAATGTCTGTGAGGATGTCCAACTCGGGATCTTGGCCAGCAATCATAGTCTGAAGAGCTTGATCGGTAATATCAGCACAGCCACTAAGAACTAGCCTTTCAAGATTGTTGGTTTCAAAGATGTCCTGAGCAAGTTCAAGATTGTTGAAGCCCCTGATCTCGCCCGCTCGAAGATCTCTCAGCTTAGGACAACCAAGAACGACGGTTCTAACGCCGCGAGCATCCATATGAGTACACCAGGATACATTGAACATCTCCAATGAAGGACAGGAAGAGGCAATGATCTTGCAAGTTCCATTGGTGACTGCTGTCAACCCAGTAAGATTCAGGTTGATGAGTCTTTCGTTGGATTTGAGCAGGTTGTGCAAGATTGGACGTTGGAAGTTCCGGCATCCCTCGAGGGTGGCGTTGATCAAGTTCCGGCATGCCTTCACAACCACTTCTGCCCGCTTGTAATGCTCGACCTGGACACATCCTCGCAGATTAAGGTCTTTCACAAAAGGGCCCGCTGCCACGATTATCTTCGCCAGGGATTCGGCCGGGATGTCTTTGTAGAACTCCGAGGCATCAAAACATGTCCAAAGCTGCCCATCGAAGCAGGTCTTGTAGAAATTCTTGCACACACCCGAGGCACGTACTAATCCCTTCGGAGTTAGATATGAGAAGATCGAGAGCTTGATCTCGTGAGGCATTTCCCCCCAAAAATCGAAATTGGCTCTTCTAACTGGTTTTACTGGAGCAATTGGCAACGAGAAATAGTCTTCCATGATCTCTGGAATTGCAGAATGTGTCGGGAATGGAATTATTCCTCCTTTCGACGGAGGTCTGAGCTCAAGTGGTAGCCCACTTGTTGGAGTCGAGGTGCCTGGAGATATTGAGCCGTGTTCAACCCTTCGAATAGCAATTCGACCATATGAACCATCGAAACCTGGCGTATCGACGAAAGGAGAATTCGGTATAGACGTTGGAGCAGTCGAGAATCCGCCTCCAGACCCTTGCGAAGAGTATGAGTCCCCATAGTTTCGGGGAGAGTTGCCGCCAGCCAAGCTGACACACGACAATGTGCCTCTGCCACCATATGGATTGCTGCTCGCTCTCCTCCGACCCAGCTGTGCCAATGAGGGAGACGACGAGATTCGCTGCAGACCCCGCAGAAGCTTGGCTCGACCTTTAAGTTTTGCAGGAGAGTCGATGGGAATAGCTTCGGAATGCTCGATGGGAATCTCCGCAGACCCCTCGGCCTCGAGAATCATGTCTGGGAGAGCGCTTGCCATGGCAGGCGACGCTGTGGGAAGCTGTGTGCGCAAACAAGTTGGAGTTGTTGTCACTGTCGCCTGGAGAAGTATGTCAGGTCAGGTTTCCTGCGGGGTTGTTGATTCCAACCCGCTTCTGTGCTTTCGCAGAAACGAGCAATCTTGATCGATGGCTCCCGGCACCGATTGTAGAACGACTGGTTAATCTGCGCCGAACGCCTTGGAATACAGAGGCGGGCGTTTCTGGCTAAATCAAGGAAGGCCGTGAACTGCAGTTGGCGACATGTGTTGCGGACGTTGTTCTAGCGATCGTCCTCAGATTGGTGGGCTGAGCTATTATTGGATGGTTGGATGGGTGGATGGGGTCCCGCTCAGTTGATTGATTTGATTTTCAGGGTGGTGCCGAGTGGCGAGTGACGAGTGTCGAGTGACAAGTGGCCAGTGATGAGAGCGAGAGCTGGAGCTGGAAATGCTGCAGTCCTGTCGTCGACGGTAATGCCTCTGCTCTCCTCTGCTTCTCCTCTCCTCTCCTCTCCTCAGCTCAGCCCAACTCAACTCAACTCAACTCAGCCAACTTCCGCAGATGGGAGGAGTAAGTACCGCCGCGCCCGCTTGTATATTGGGAACTACGCAGAATAAGGGATTTCTTACACTGAACGATCACTCGTGGGCACGTGATCAATACTGTAGAGCGAGCTGGGGCTGGGCGGGCGAGTCCAGTATCCTCTTATCGATAAGGGTGCGGTATCGATTGTCGATTGTCGATTATCGATTATCGACAGTCGATCCTGTCGCGTGGTCGTGGTGGAGGTTTCATTCACCCGTCACACGACAATTCCGAGAGATCAGGGAAGAAGAGCAAATTCAGCATGTGCAGACTGTGAGCTTTTAGTCTACGAGCTCCTGACTTAGACCTCTGCCCCCCCAACCGACTCCGACAGAAGCAAAGTCCGGCTGCAGGGCCGCTGCAAGCCTCAGGGTGCGGAACCAGGCTATCTGCAAACCAACCAGCACCAAGACACCAAAACACGAGAAAAGCACTTCCTTTGTCAGAGCTCACCTTCCAGAGGGACCTCCCTATCCAGCCGTTTGCGGGAGACACACGACCCCATTGGTGGAGAGACCTTCACTCCCCGACATCACACCAATATTGTTCGCCTCCCACAACCAAAAGGGAAGAAGCTCTCAGTTTGCCAGGAGCGGGCAGGCCGTACCCTCCCTTGCTGAGGACTGCTGCTGTGTGGGGTCCCCCTACAAGTACTTACGGAGTAGTACTCGAATGCACTCCACTCCACTTGCGACCCACCCTCCAAACCCGACGGCCCAGCTCGCCCTCTCGCCCTCTCGGCAGCAAATAGCCTCCTCCTTGGGCTCGTCAATATTTAACCCCGTCAATTATTGACCAGCCTGACGAGGGCCCGTCGCGTGGCTGAGCCAGAAGGGCCGGATGAACCTCTGCAGCAGGGCAGCAGCGGCAGCAGCGGCCGCAGCAGCAGCAGCAGCAGCAGCAGCCGGACCAGCGCTTCATCGGATCGTTGTTCTGGAAGCATGCAGCAGAAGGCCCTAACAGATGCCACCTCGCACCTGTCAGCGACTCAGCTGTGATTCCCCAGGGCCAACGATATGACTTCTTATTTCTTATCTGACATTCGTCTTCCTGCCCCGTGGACGATAAGAAAAGACCCTTCATGCAGGCTGTACAGTAGTGTCCTGGGGAAGTGCCGCGTGCCATTCTCCCAAGTTTCGTGGCAACGGGAGGAGGTCGGGCTCAACGGGCTTCAAAGGCACGCCATGCCACATGAATTTAAGCACTCAATTTGAGAAGCCTCGGGTCGTGACAAACGGCTGGCAGCCCCGGCAGCTTTAGTTAGCGGCTTCCGGGTCTTGTTCCATTCGCAGTCGATGTTGAGAAACCACGTGATCTGAGTGTTGATTTGGTGTACGTCACTTGCACTTCGTGAAATCCTGACATGTACTCTTAATATCGATTCGTTCACCCGTCGCCCTGCGCGTAGTTGTGTAAAAACGGTACAGATCTCCCCAACTTCCGATTTGTTACCATATATCACGTGGTGCCTCCTTTCACTTGCACGTCTGTTAGGTTTTCCTCGAGCAGGAAGGGATTCCAGCCTCTGTTTCTAACTGTGGAGAGGCACAGCGCTAAAGTTAATTCTAAATGAAAAGGTTGACTAAGAGAGAAGGAATACGACTCGTGCGCAGTCTCTCTCAGACCCATGCCCGACCCCAATTAAGAGGAGCCTGCACTTAACAAACAGGGACCATAGCGGTCGCGGATATAAAGATGGATGACTACACTAGTATGGAAATAATGATAGCACGTAACGGCAACTTACTCATTCATTTGGCGTGCTTCCTCATTCCGCGTACGGTCCATGTAAAATGACACTGTAGGGAACCCCTCAAAGTTGCTTGACGGGATAGAGGACTGGAAAATGTCAAATAGCAGTTGTATATATAGTGAGATGCGGATGTCCCCCAGGAGCTTAAGGAACTCGAAGTCTTGTGGACTTTCTCAGATAGTTTTCATAAACTTTCCTCCAACTCAACTTGGCTTAAGTTCTTGGCACAAGAGGGCAATGCAAAGATCCTCGCAGAAAAATGGACAGTACTAAGAGGGATTGCCCCTTATCTATCCCACAAGACGATGTTGAGAGTGAAGGAATGGTACACAAAACCGATGATCCACCCTATGAGCAACCTCATTCGACAGCCTGCGATAGGGCTGCAGCTCGCCCTCGGAGAGGTTGTAGGGCAACCTGGCTTCAACGCTTGCGAGCCGTTGATGACTATCCACCTGGTATCACAAGTTTGGACGAATTCCAGCATTTATCTAGGAGTGTAACAAGTGTAACACACTGAGATCTTGATGGGTCCTCTGCGCAAACGCTAGTCTGCCGAACTCCGTCGTGTGAGTACCTGATGTCTTACATCAGTTGAACCAACGTTGACAACGCTTATGATGAAGATGTTGAGCTGCAAACCGTAGAATTGTGAATTAAATGGGGACAAAGAAAGATTCCGAGGACTAGTACTTCAAGGAGACGAAGACAGAAAATAAATGACTCGCCCCAGAGACACGCGAGTAAGTTGGCGGATGGGACTGCTCCGATCCAGGAGAAAACTTTAGTCTTGTCGTCAACAGATGTCCTTTTTTCCACCTCGTGAGGAGTGACCCCCGTCCACTGGCCCAAAACGATATGGCGCAGACATATGGGCTTGGTTGATTCGATCACATCTGCGAGGAAAAGTGCGAAGGCGTGAGTTGGGGAAGGGGGGGCCTTCACAATGTGATGCTCCGTAACTGGATCTGTAGGATGGGATGGTATGTTGGGGATGTTGGGACATGTTAGACACATGACTCCACATACGTGGACAGTTCAAGTGATCGACCAACCACTCTTCGTGGGAAGCTCGCCGCCCGCCGACTCTTCACTCCGGGCTCGACTTCGTTGTTTGGAGGCTGGCCTTCTGATTCCTGCCCTCAGTGCCCTTTCAGCGAGAATTCTGAAGACGGCATCACACGCTAGGAGATAATAACGCGTCCTACATTTCGCAAGCCCAAACGTCTTCCCGTCTCCCAGGCCAGTGTACCACAGACGTCAGCGTCAGCAACAATCCCGAGCATATCGACTGCCGCTGAGGAACATCTTCACGTGCAACGAAGGGAATATATTCGATTTCCTACTGACTTGGCGAGCCACGCATCCAGCATTGGCCTGAAACCGCCCGAGGACCTGTTATCACCGGCCTCATTGCAATGCTTTGCCAATAACATCCAGAGCTGGGCCTTGTGTTCGAAAATCAATCTGGCGCGATTCAACATCCCCTCCCATGCCACTTGAGCAATCTTAGCTCAAAACTTATGACCCCACACCTAGGTCCACAGTCCCCAAGTTTTTTCAAGCAAAACACCCAGAGCAGCCGACGCGGTTTCACTGACAGCACCGCGAAGTTACGAAGTTACGAACATTCCGCCGAACTCCCAAGCAACGGATACGTACAACAGCCTGGGCAGTCTTTCTCTGCCGTGGTAGCCTTGCAGCCATCCCAACCTTTCTGGCACTTCCGGCGCATGCGAAGGCTTGATACTTGATACACCCCCACCAGTCCCGAGACATCTGGCCTCCCACCGCGAGATCTTTGTCCAACATCCCACTGTCTCCAATTATGCTGGAGCCAGATGGGCCAAACCATCATGGTATGTTATGTCTCCAACTTTGGCATCTATCAAAGGTCTGCCGGACTATGGGGATCGGCATCCGCTCAAATTGGGGCATTGTGCCGAGCAAGCGCGGGACTATTCTGGCAGTGCCAACCTCAGTCAAAGGCCCATGTGTTCGCCTCTACTGTTTATCATGCATAATTGAGTTATCATGACTGATTTGTGAATCTTTGGCAGGCATCGACATACATTCAGGAAAGAGCGATAGAGGCCGCAGTCTTTCTCCCCCCAGCGACCAACTTCATCTGCCCAAGAACCGAAGCACCGGAAACCTTCTGGCACATAACCCCGGCACGGAAAGGGCTCGAATACGGTTCTCATTTGATGCAGGGTCGGCAGTTGCAGAATACGATACAATTTCGAGGTCAGTCTTCAAGATCTCGGCTCTTAGTTTTGGATATCACGAGGCTCGGCATGTCTCTGGTGCCTGTGAATGTACAAATATAAAGTCAGGCACGGCTGACCAGATATTTTTATTAGACCTCCAGTCATGACAGAGCACGAGCATGGAATGGGTGCCTCTGGTCTGCGGCGAATCCGCCAGCAACCTCCAATGCGGCCTCCACCTACGCTGCCATCTTCCGAGTCATCCTCTCGCAATGCCTCCATAGGTCCTCGATCAGGCTCCATGACTCTCACACGATCATCGTCAATGATAATACCTCCTGGGCCTGCTTCGCCGCCTTTAAACTTCACTGAGGACCTCAGCAGATTTCCCTCCGAATCACTACATTCCTTCTCGTTTGCCCACCAGTCTGAAGAGTTCATACATAATCGGCAAAATGTTCTTAAGAGATCTGTGGAGTTCATGTCACAAAAATTAGGTTGGGGGACTACAAATGCAGGAATTGCCAGTGCTCAGGCCCGGGTCAGTGGCGATCAAGAGATGCAAGGAATGCTAGAGCTGTTGGCGAGGGCCAAGCTCGTTGGAGCAAACAATATTCCAGGATTTGGACAATCGCAATTGACGGGCCCTCTCACGGGACCAGCAGTGGCTGAAGATGTTGGAAACCTTTTCGACAACAGCTTTGCACTTCGGTCCCCAAGCTCCGAAAGCTTTTTTGATAGTCCCAAGTCTTCGCCACCCCTCACTCGAACGGCCCTCCCTCCCCTGGCAGCGAATCCAGAAGATCAACACCAGATCGGCGAGATCACAGAAGAGCCCCTATCTATCCTCCAGGCAGATTCCGAAGCCTCTTCCCGGACACCAACAAATGAAAGCCGAACCACTGCTAAGACCTCTCCACCAGTAACACGCCGGCAAAGTCTCAGGAGAACTTTCACTGACACTGCTCCCTTAACATTGCAAAATAAACTTATGGATGCTTTAGCACAGCCCTTCGTCGCCGGTGACTCATTTCATGAGCCGCTCTTGTCACCACCATTGCAATCGTCATTCGTTGTTTCGGGCCCTCATCCCCTCGGCCCTGCAGTACACGGCCATTCCAGTAGATGGGCACCAGCAGCGCAAGCTATATTCACTACGGAGAGTACTTCACCGTTTACAATCCTAGCAGCGAATGACCTTGCTTGCCTGGTGTTTGGGGTCACAAAGGCCGAGGTGCGAAAAATGGGAATACTCGAAGTCGTTCGGGAAGAGAGAAGAGCTTGGCTGGAGGGGAAACTACGAGGACCAGGACAAGGTTCTGCGTCTGGGTCCGGCAAACAGTCTCCTCGATCGCCCCCAGGAACGCAGAGTCAGCAAACGAGCCCGGCCCCTACGGCCACCTTTCTTCTTGGAAAATCGGCTGGAGTTACTGCTGCGCTGCTGAGCAGACCGAACTCTCGGCAATCGCAGAAATCGCCTCGCAGGGCACAGACCGATGATGGGGCAGGTTCTAGCCTCGTTGCAAGAACGAAAGCTGTCAAGGGTGGTCTGTATCACCCGAACAACAAATCAAGAGGCGTCTTGCTCTGCGGTGATGTAGTCCCAATACAGAAAAGAAACGGAGCTACCGGATCAGCCAGCTTATGGGTGAAGGAAAAGAGGGGTGGCCTGATCTGGGTTCTGGAGGAAATTCATGAAGATATAGCTACATTAAGCTTAGACGACGATGCTAAGGTCACCAACATGACTGGATCGACTGGGGCTATATGGGGCGATGGCATGACTAGGATTGGAATGGATGTTGGGAAGCTATTACTAAAGATACCACGACAGGGCATCGATGGGAGGACTGGAGAGATTGACTATGCAGAGATAGCAAAGCGGAAGTATTTCACGGCCCGGAATTCTGGACGCGTCAATATTCCTTGCACAGTCGAAAGAGTGCAGGGCGGAACTGATCTTAAGGTTTCCAGTTTCCCTCACATAGCTGGTATCATGGTTCTTTCGGCCCAGACTCTGAAGATTACCAGTTCTAATTCGGTATTCTCTGCCGCGTTGTTTGGACAGGAGAAACCCGACGGCCGCCCGATTACTGACCTTATCCCCGACTTCGACCTCATTCTTAAGATTCTTACTGAAGAAGATGGCGTTCACCTTGTTGATGGAATCGTTATCCCTGAGCATAGTTTTCGCCGCGCTCGAGCCTTCCTAGCCTTACGAGATGGTAGGGCGGATGCAGCTTCGTACTTTCTCCGACCTGATGGTTTACCAGCCAAGCACAGGGATGGTTCTGAAATTAAGATTGATGCACAGCTGAGGGTTGTGAAGTCCGAGGTTCAGCAACCAAGTTTCGACGAGCATGTCATTGAGGAAATGGCTGACGAAGAGGATGATCGTCATACTACAAAGTCTGAAACTTCAGGCGAAATTGTCTATGCTCTTTGGATTACTTACTCACGCCATATTCACGCTTCGAGACAGAATCTTGACACTGCTTCTCCTCTACTTTCTGGTGTTGAAACCCCTCTACATCAACCATCACCTGGACAAACGGAATTTGCGAGTCCTGTTGAGTTTGAATCAGACGAAGAGCTGAAGAAGGAACACTCACATGCGTCCTTGCTCACTGCTCAGCTCAAGGCGGCTGCAAAGAGGACTGCTGCAAAGCTCACAGGACGCGATCCCCCTGTTTCACTGGAAGAGAAGAAGGAGCCCGCCCCTGAGATTGTCGAACCTGTACACAAGAAATGTATCGACGACTTCGTCATCCTTGAAGAAATGGGACAAGGTGCTTATGGTCAAGTTAAGCTTGCACGGTACAAGAAGAACGGTAACAGGAAGATGGTTCTGAAATATGTGACGAAGCGACGCATCCTGGTTGATACCTGGACTCGGGATCGCCGACTCGGCACGGTACCTCTCGAGATTCACGTTCTCGATTATCTACGACGAGATGGACTCAAGCATCCCAATATAGTTGAGATGTCTGATTTCTTTGAAGACGACGTTAATTACTACATCGAGATGATACCTCACGGGCTGCCGGGGATGGATCTGTTCGACTACATTGAACTTCGCGTAAATATGGAAGAGGACGAGTGCCGAAGCATATTTGTGCAAGTGGCGAGAGCCATCCATCATCTCCATACGATAGCCATGGTTGTTCATCGAGATATCAAAGACGAGAACGTAGTATTGGACGGTGAGGGCAACATCAAGCTTATCGATTTCGGCAGCGCTGCGTACATCAAGAGTGGGCCCTTTGACGTGTTCGTGGGCACTATTGGTAATATTTCCGTTTCCTAACCAGAGCTATGCTGACCTTCTTCCAGATTATGCAGCACCCGAAGTACTGGCCGGAAAGCCTTACCGTGGCAAAGAGCAAGATGTCTGGGCCCTTGGCATACTTCTCTACACTATAGTCTACAAAGAGAATCCTTTCTACAGCATCGATGAAATCATGGACAGGGAGCTCCGCGTCCCATACGTGATGAGTGACGATAGCATTGACCTGATACGTGCAATGCTCGACCGAGACGTCGATTCCAGGATTACAATCGAAGGGGTACGAGAACACCCTTGGTGCCTTGCCCTTGGCGATGATGAGTGAAGGTTATTGAGGCGAGAGGTTCTTAAGTTTTTCGGGAATCGCTCAAGAAGGAAGGGTGAGGCAACACCAAGGCCATTGCGTATGAGAGAGCATGCGAGCATGCATACATCTATACATTATTCATCTTCAGTAGACTGAAGGAGGTAAAGAAACACTTGAGAGTAGAAATGATCAAAAAAGGCGATAGATTTCACGAGTTACGATGCAGGGACGAAAGATCAGATGATTATATGGTGGTCTATTTTGGGAGGGGCTCAGACTTCATGATACCCAAGAGGTGGATTCGGATTTGTAGAACGAGACCGAGTGATTTGCATTATCTGCGTGGATTGAAGGCAACTTCAAAGTTGTTATAGCATGGCAGGAGGGGCGGCTTCATAAGGGCAGCATTGCGTGGGGAACTTTTGTGTATATGATGAGACGAAGCGTAGACGTGAACTGGGCGCGAATGATAGACCTGAAGTCCAGCAGCATTCTCGAATGTTTATAACCTTAATCTTGCCTTCTTGATGTCCCAAGTGGCGTCAGTGATCGAGTTGCTTTCAGCGCTTCAGCTCATGATTGCATCCTTCCAAGCTTGCTTTAAGGAATTTATTGTCAAGCCCACACCTGTGAGGATGGGCGTGGAGCCCCTGCTTTCACTTTAATGAGATGCCATGGCAATTCAACAGGAAATTCAAATTTATCTAAATTGCGACGCCCATCCATTCTCCCAATTACTTTTCGTCTTTTCACCTTCCACGGTCAGCATATCATCCCCTACCCAGACCTGACGAATATAAAAATTCTCGCCTCTCTTGCTAACCCATTTCATCTTTTCCTTCCAACCTCGGATCTTAAAGACCAGCTTCTGTTTCTTCTGGAAGTGGTACTTTTGTGGCACGCTTGAAATCGCGTGCAAGCTCTATCCACCATGCGAGATCTTTATCTGCGTAATATGAATCGAGCTTCTCCTGCACCGTTCGTTTTTCTGCTTGGGTATTCATCTGATCTGGCATCTCTTTACTTTCCGCGTTAGATTCGAGTTTCGGGTTGTTCATTTCGACTTGTTGGACGTGTTGGGTTGTGTTCGCTGGGCGATGGGGGCGATTTTTGGAGGAAGAGGCGTTGGAAGTCACGTCTGCGGACACCAACCAGGTCAACGAGGGAACGGGAAGGTAATTGCAGAACTTGTTAGAGTAGGGACAGCTTCTTCACACGTGATGGGGCTGCTCCTTTGCTTTCAAAGGACATACTTAGCGCATTTATATGAGCAATACTCTCGGTGCCTTGAAGAAGTTGCTACTGTTGACTGTTGCCTAGTGCGGACACCGAAACCATTTCTCTGGGTTGAAATTGTCCCTATTGGCTCTATGTAGTCAGCCTATTCAATAGCAAGTGCCTCCTGGGTATATAACGGAAATAGTTGTGATGAAGAAAGAAATAAGGTGGAAGGAGGTCAGTAAGCGAGACTTCTTCTTTTGCGAGAGACAGTTTGACCAGATATACGAGTCGATGGTGCCAGCCATAGATTTGAGAACAGCTGGATTCATGTAACCATTTTTGGGGGCATCTTGGGGAACGCAATAGTAGGAATTTCAAGTTCAGAAATTTTGCAATCAAGGTTCTTGTGATGATAGGGATAGATGTATCAGTCTATTTTGCTATTAACTATGGTAGTCTAAACATACTTCTCGATATCAACTCAGCCTACTTGTCCCGAGAAATTCGTTCTTGGGAAGGAATCTCTTCCTCTTCCTCTGTTTCGGGTTCTTCGTCTGGCTGTGAGAATTGGAAGGGCCTCTGGCCGAAGGTAGCAGGCATTGATTGTTTGGGGCCCGCTTCCTTCATAACACGCAAGCGGTCATTTGGTTTTCTGGTTCGTCCTTTTTTTTGCCTTGCTGGATTGGCAACAGCGGTTTGAGGTTTCCGTCCGGTGCCTCGAATATCAATTGATGGCAGAAGAGCCTGAGGATGGTCCTCTGGCAGCGAGAAATCGAAAGGCCGCTCGCCAAATTTAGCAGTCATGGGTTGCGAGGGCACTGCTTCCTTAGTATCACGCGGTTGTTCCTCTGCTTTCTTGGCCTGTTCTTTTTTCTGCATTGCTGGTTCGGGTACAGCCAGGTGAACCTCCCATTCTGAGCCTTCATCTCCAATTGATGGTGGGTTATTACTTTGTCTTTCCAAGGCATGTTGCTGGACTTCAGGATCGTTGATCTTAGTAGCCATTGTTGAGACTGGCTTTACTCTACCCATTATTGCGCTTGTTCTTAATATGGGTAGGTTCTTCGTTTCCTCTGCAATTAAGTGAACTGTAAGTGCGGCTTTGGGAATTTGGATATCAGCTCGAATGGAGGAATGTTTTGATGTTCGGTTACTAGCGATGATGTGGAGGAAACTTGGGGGGTATATAGAGGTTGCAAACCCACTGTTCACTGCTGATGAACAGCATAACTGGAAACCTAACGAGGACTGTGAACAGTATCAACAAGCCTGTTCGTATTTAATATTCTTTGAAATGATTGTTCTATGCCCTCTGCTAGTCGCCTATTTCGAATACATAGCCAATCATGTGAAAACTGCCGTATTGGTATTAACGGAATGGAGCGATTTCCACTTTGCTCCGCCAGCAATTAATTTGGCAAAATTCATTCTCCTCAATACTGCACATTCAAATCATCCTACTCGCGCCACGCTTCTCAAAGAAGTATGAAGAGGTTTCTCCTCGAGTGTTGGCATTATGTATCCGCAATCTTCTCCGGGTTCTTTGCTTACAGAAGTGTGGATCCTGACCCATCTTGTCTCATCCCTCTTCTTCCTATTACCAACAAAATTACGGCAACGAAGGCAACTCATCGGAGGAGCTCCTCAAGCATTGGGCACTCGAAATTTTTTGGGATAGGAGTCCGACCATGGCCTTCCAAACATCTTCCGACCTGTTCCTTGTCCAAAAGTTGGCGGTGACCGGATTAATGTATCTTGGTAAGCTCCCTCTCTTTATTCTAACAAGAGCTCCCTTGTTCTAACATTATCAAGTTCTTTCATTCCTCAACTGGACAAGTCCGATAAAGGAAAGAGCCCCTCAACGAGTGAACGCCGCTTTTGGCAGGCGAAGCGAAGCGTTACTCCCTATTTCGTTAGCGTCCTCAATGTCAACATCTCAAGTATTTCGAACTCTTCTAACGTGCTCGGTGATCTCGACACTCGAGATCTGTCGAGACAGCTTCTGCCCTTTGCTAGAGCAGTTGATGCGACCGCCGAAATGGCTCCAGATAAAGGAAAGGAGATATTGGTATGTTTACTACCTCCATCTGTACCCTGCTTGTACTGAATCCAACCAGAAGACATACTCTAAAAAAGAGGTAAGCCCCAACAAAAGGGCATCAACAACTCTTGTAGCAATGCTCAACTGCTCTTAGAACATTCTACTAGCAATGTCCAGCAGCTGCTGGAACAATCTGCTCTCGAAAACATTTCAAAGGAATAATGCTGACTCCGATTTCTTGTAGTCCACCGACGCATCCGTACCAGCCGCGGTACTTTCACCCTCAAACCAACCCCTACTCACAGTTGAGGAATCTACTACCCGCACTGAGTTCCCTCGCTTCTCGAAGCTACCTCCTGAACTGCGCATCAGGGTTTGGCAGCATGCCCTCCCTGTAACCGACCTATTTCTTTGACCCATGCCCCAAGCTCCCTATTTCACTAATCAAAAGAACGAGACACGCTCCCAACTCCCTCCTAGCTCCCTTAACCCCAAAGACGCAGGTTGCTAATTCGTTGAAGTGTCCACGTGTGATCAGAGTCAAGGTCTACGTCCTGAGAGCTCACGTCTCCAATGCTCCCATCGGACTCCGGTTCCGGTCTTCCACGCCCGTTCCAGCGATGTTGCACTCTTGTCAAGAATCGCGTGTCGAAGCTTTGAAGACCTACCAGTTGGGAATGGGAACCGTTCGAGACCACCCTAGGTAGGTCTTAGCTCTAAATACTACCCTTCAGATGACACTAAAGTGGTCTCAGAATTTATGTGGACTTTAGGAGGGACACTATCTACTTGAGAAATGTTGACGAATCCAATGGCCATAATTGCTTCACGCTCCATTGCCTTCTGCGCAGCATGGCAGACAAGGAGCTACAAAAATTGCGCCACTTGGCTGTCCAACAGAGCTTTTGGGAGCGTGCACGCGATGCCAACACGGCAGTGCTTCTCGATTTCCATCACCTGAAAAAACTCACACTGGTGGTTGAGAGGCCCGAGTCGGAGGACAGTAAAGAAGTAGCATTTGCGACACCGAAGCCCTCGGATGAGAGGTTCTTCGAAGACTTTGACGATGAGTATGATTCCGGCTCTGTAAGTCACGATTCCTCGGAGTAGCACTTCCCAACAGCCCTTGGAGCATTTTACTCGCATAGTTCTAACAGCTCCCGGAACATGTTACTCCCGAAACTACAGTACCTGAAAGAAGTATGCTGACTCCGAATTTTTGAAATAGGACGCCCCTGGATTCATTTGGCCGAATGATGCTGCGAATAGCCTTCACGAATATCTTGATGACGTGATCGAAGGTCATACTTGTGATCTTAAGAAGCCCCGAGTTGAGTTTAAGGTCCTTGTTCCAGCTGAATAAGGAACAATGGGGAATAAAGGACATGGGCACGACAGAGGGGACGTTAAGAGCAGAATATACCAACATAGGCCAGTAGATTGCTTTGCTGATGCAGCGAATATGCAATAAAACATAAATAAAATAGATTGGGCTCACAATCACTTGATATAATTGCTAACATACACAGAAATCTAAGCAAATCTCCCCTTCACCGTTTTCCCAGCTTCTCGAATCAGATTTCTGCACGAGCTGCACGGGGCCGCAAGGGATTCCTCATGCTCCTCATATCCCAAGCAGCGCTTCCCGTCTTGACTCGACGACGTGGCTTATCCAAGAATTTCTCGTAGAAATAACCGCAGCTGTAGATGGTGTTTTGGTGGTGGCACATCTTGCTTGATATTCGTGAGTTGGCATGGCTTTGTAGATACCGTACTAAGTTCGCTGATTGCTTGAAGAGAGGAAAATATTCCTAGCGGAACGATTATGGCAGCAGTGGATGATGACTCTTTGCGTCGAGATTTCGATGGAGACGATAACTATGGCTCTGAAATAATCACTGAAAGGCTTTGTTCAGCAACAGTAAAGAATTAGGACAGAAGTTTCGTTCGGAATCAGGGTAGGTTTTTGAACACTTGACATGCTGTGCCACTTCTTTCATTGTTTGAATCATCTTGAGACATTCGAAAATGGCTTCAAAAAGTCTCTAAAATTTCAAAGCAGACAAGCCGAGCACTATCGTCCAGCGGCTTCAACGATGCCTCAACTTTGACTCGTGCTCTAGCCAGAAATTCCGGCATGCTCGATGCCCCCAATGTTCCACCCACCACTCCCCAAAGCTATCTTCTACCTGAACATCAACTTTGCTGACTCTTTCCTCTCTCTTCAGCCCGCAAATGATACATGGTTTGGGCGCTACCAAAGATCCTTCTTGTGTTTTTACATGCATGGCTTCATTTATCTCGGGTATAACCAAATGGACTGAAGTATCTTTGATGCTCGAGTTCGCAACAGCAATTGCTGATCGTAATCGACCTAATTGCTCCCTCCATACCCTCACAACATCTGCAGCTTCTCTGTCTTCTCGGGTAACTTCGGCTTTATCAACACCTGCCAGCTTCATCCCCCCTTTTCCGCCAGCTACAGCGGGCCCGATCTTCATGGCTTGCGAGAGCAAAGTATCTCGCTTCCAGCGTAGTTTCCGACCTGCAATAAGCCTTGCTGCCACTACAGCAATGAGAAGGTAGGCCCGCAAAAATTCCACTGTTGCGGGGTCAGAGATGATTCGATTTTTCAAAGAAAATGTTTGATTGGCAACAGCTTTGAAGAGTGTTGATTGTGGGAGGTCAAACAGCGGCGGGAATAATGCAAGCAAGACGGATGGTGGAGGAATGTTTGTTGGAGGTGTCATCTCTACAGGCCGAGCGGCTTCCGTGACCTGATCTGCAGCGTCCCATGCCCAAGCATCGGCTTCAATGCCAGAGGCCGCCTTGGCATTGACCACTGCCGGTGTTTCTGGAGGCAGATCTGCGAAATCACCCCATTCCTCTTCATCTTGAGCAGTTGAGACCGGCGAGTCTCGGTAGATATCAGGTTTTGGAACAGCGGGCTCGAATGTTGGCCATGCAGTGACAGGGGACGCTGACTTTAGTTTATCTTCGCCTTTGATTGAAGATAATTGCTTTGTAGCCAACCCAAGCTCAGCGAAGGGGTTCCTTTCTTGGAAGGATGGGGATTTGGGAGCTTGCGGATACGGCAGGACATTCGAAGTCAGGGTCGTTGATGCTCTTAACAAGTCCGAAGGTCTTTTTGATGACTTCGAGCTCAATGTAGTTGCGCCAAATAGGTCATTCAATGATTGGGATTGTTGCGGTTGAGAGGAGGGCTCTTTCGAAGTCGCAGTCTCAAAATCACCAAATTCATCATCTTCTTCGGGATCATTAGATACCTCATCAGCATCAAACAAGATTTCTCCACCAGATGAAGATTTTCGGGCCAGTGCTGGTTTAGGCAGAGGAGGGGCTTGATACGGAGCTTTTGTCGTGGTTCTATATGGAGAAGAATGTTCCAAGTCATTTGTATTACCCGAAAACAAGTCGAGGGTCGATCTCCTTATGATCCTTGGCTTGTTCTGCGTCGGCCCTGAAGCCGTCTGGCCATAATAGGCTTGATTTGTATTCAGCCCTGGCAGCGGTGCCTTGCTCTGCTCTGGGAATGCCCCAAATGCGCCCCATATGTCGTCTCGAGGTGCAGTGGGCTTCTGCGGTGTGGCTTGCTGGAAGCTGGTCATGTCTCCCCATATATCATCAGCCGGCTGCGTTGTAGGAGGCTGGCTCTTTGGAAAGCCATCGCCATATCCCATGTGCCCATCGTGACTCGTATTGCCTAAGAATGAAAGTTCATTCAACCCCGGGGTAGAGGTCGACGGAGTATCTTGGGGAGCTCTGTAGAAGCTGTCGAATTCGGCGAGAAGGTCGGACGACATATTCGAAAACCTCAAAATGAGTTGTTACGCGAACGGAGTAAAGCCTCTGGACCTTTCAAACAGATTCAAAGAGTAGCCCCTTATTACGCTGCCTGTTATGCTGGGTTCAGGTTCCTTCGCGAGTGGTGTAAGTCATGAATAGCATCGCCGGCAGACGCGTGGCGACGTTCCCACGTCGACTATCTACCCCCTGCGTATGTAGAGACCTTGGAGTCGAGCCGTTCTGCCCGCTTCGAGAGCTCGAGGTGACGGGAGAGGTGTGTTTGAGGAGAGATTGTTTTCTTTTTCCTTGCGCATTGAGGTCATTTCAGGAATAAGGCTGAGGATCCCGTTGATTGGTCCATTTTCACCGCTGGTGACCCACCTTTCGAAACATGGCAGGAGACGAACAACTGGGGCTGAAGAAGTGGGAACCGCGGACCGCCAACGTCAACCCCCTCTTACCTTTCAAGGTCAAGTCCTGACTTCGACCACGGTAGTGATGCGATCGTTGGAAGAGTCAAGGTACAAGTTTATGCAGTGTAAAGTGTGGCCTGCACGCGCTGACTCCTCCCAAGAGCACGATGGCAAGTTACACTAGGACACGCCAAAAGCGTCGAGGCTCTGAAGAAGTCCGTCAGACTGGATGGTGACGAAAGTCCCAGCAGATCTGGACTCCGATCAGTCTGTTGGAAGGTAAGTCTTGGCTCTTGGATTCATGGAGGGGGAAATGACAAGTCTGTAGATCTTCCTACTCTTTCAAAGCACCGAGGTCACGGGATGGTCTGGTACTCTGATAGATTCTCGGAGTGCTTACACTTCTCTCCGAGAACATCTCCTCAGATACATAGAAAACCCCGATGAGCTCGGCTCTGCTTTGGATCCCTTAGACGATGATCAACATGTAAGTGAATCGTGTGGATGTGGTCTTGTCTTGCTTTATTGAGGGTGAAATCGCTTGCCAAATTGCTAAAACCTCTAGTCCCCATGGAATACTCTGCGGCAAGACGAGGAAATCCGGGCAGAGATTTTCCAGGATGTCGAAAGATGTATGCCAGAGGAGCCTTATTTTCGAAGGCCTGAGACACAGCGAACCCTACTGGATATTTTGTTCATCTTCTGCAAGATCAATCAAGATGTAGGATACCGACAGGGCATGCACGAGCTTTTGGCTCCCATTCTATGGGTGGTCGAGCAGGATGCAATTGAGAATCGGAATGAGAGTGACAAAGGAACTTCTGCAAGAGATGATCCTGTTATGAAGCAGATATTGGATCCTGTTTACATCGAGCACGATGCCTTCACTCTCCTTTCTCTCATGATGCGATCAGCCAAATCGTTCTATGAGCTCGGAGAGCCAGATAGACGACCAAGCACGCCCTCTACAGGTTCTGGAACTCCTCAGCATGGTGCCTCCCCTATTGTGGAGAGAAGCAAGCGTATCCATGAGATATATCTTGCAAAATTAGACCCAGAGCTTGCAAAACATCTCACAGATATCGAGGTGCTCCCGCAAATTTTTTTGATGTGGGTTTTTAACCTGTCTTGAAAGTTCCACGCTGACCTCTGGAATTAGACGCTGGATTAGACTCCTCTTTGGGCGCGAATTTCCATTCGATGAACTGTTAGATTTGTGGGATGCTCTTTTAGCAGAGGATCCAGCTTTAGACCTTGTGGACATGGTTTGTGTTGCCATGCTCTTGAGAATCCGATGGCAACGTAAGTCAGTGCTTCAGCCGATTGCAGACTCAACTGATATCCTCTGTAGTGATAGAGGCGAACTACTCGTTCGCATTGATGCTTCTACTCAAGTATCCAGCGCCTGACTCCCCAAATGGCCCCCAAACATTTGTGGATGATGCCATATATTTGCGGGACAATTTTAGCGCGGCTGGGGGTGCAAACATTATTAGCAAGTATGGTGGAAAAGCACCCCCACTGCCTTCGTCAGATTCAAGGCCATCAACACCCCTTGGCCAAGCATTGGGTCACAAGCGTAATATTTCTAGAACGAAGTCACCTTTACCATCGCCGGCAAGATTCTTGCAGCAACAGGGTGGAGTTGAAGCTCTCTTTCAAGGCGCAGCTAAAGGCGTTTTTGACCGAGGGGAGCGCCTTGGCATCAATAAAGCCGTCCGAGATGCAGTCGGAGAGGTAAAGAAGAACATGCAAGGACTTCAGACATCAAGGACTAATTCAACAAAACGGAGACCATCTGATGGTATGAGATGGTCACTTGACGACGGAAGATCAGTGCCATCTTCACGGGCCTCAGTTTCCGCCATAAACGCGCGAAACAAACAACTTGCACGCATGCTTGATCAAGCAATGACTGATCTCCGTGCCGTATCAGTTTCCGAGGATGAGGACAAGGACAAATATATTAAGGCCATGGATTTGGCAATCGCCAAGGTTGAGTTTGTGAAGGTCTATTTGGAGGACGCAACCATGCCTCTACCAGAAGAGTCATCCCACACCCAAAACCCAGATCCCCAGACCCCATCCCCGCTACCCGCTGACACCCCACCACCCCCACTTCAACAGCCTCTGCAGGGTACAACGACGCCAGATCCCACGGCTTATGCGTCTTCAGATCTGGAGGGTGGGAAGGCTGTTGCAGAGGACGTGGGGAAGCCGTTGCCTGCCAGTCATAGCCTGGACGTGGATGAAAGCAAGGCTCCGGCTATTGCGGCTTCACCTGTTGCAATTCCATCAACAAATTTACAGCAAATCACCGTGGAACCTGCAAACGAAGAAGAACCGCAGCATAGGCCAAAGGCCCCTGTGCCTACACGATCCACGATTGCACAGTCCAGTTTTTCATGGATGCTGGAACCAGATACCCCCTCTGCATCGGCCATGAAATCGTCTCCTCCTAAATCTTCGCCTCCATTCCTCAAACCTACCAAGCGACCAGTGTCCGGTTCTGGCCGAGACAAAGCGGCATTTCTGTTTGGCGACGTGGATGACTTTCCATCGAATATCCAATCCCGACCTCGTATTGACACTGAGACGTTCAATCTGGGTACTATCAACGGAAACGACTCGTGAATGGGCATGCGGAGGGTGGAGAATATGCAGAAAAGGTGGGACAATATCAGAAGGAAATTCTCCCTCTAGAAGCAGAATAATCAGAGCAGCGCGCGAGGTTTCCCTCTTTAATTGGTGCCCGATTTCCTTTTGGTAAATCACACTTTTGTTGCCCTCCATTTCTGGACTTTTACCCCACGAATAGACTGTGGGTGCGGACTTTTTCGTCTAATCAAATGTCAGTTTCAATAGCCGATTGGCGATCTCCCTTGGGGCAAGGAATCAAGTGGTGTGAGGGGATGGGAGCAAGTGAGGATCTGGGCACTGCAGCCTGGCTCGCCTCTGAACGTGTGGTGAGTGAGGTTGCTGCATGCAGTATCCCACGCAGAATGCACGATGCTGCATTTGATGGCTGCCTCGTGCTTCCAATCTGGGGCTCTCCCCCCTAGCCCCGTTAGTTCTGCATTTTCCACATTGTTGATGAGTCCCAAAATACGCCCCCAGCCCAGATCGTGTGCAATGCAACCAGCCTTTCTGGACTTGACCACCTTGGCCCTCTTTCTGTTGATGAGATTGCGATTTAATGCAGCATCTCGACGGGTTCCCGGTTCGGGATTTATGCCGGGGAATGCTTGCAGTGCAGTCATGTGAATGTGGCCATTACCCCTCTTCGGATTGCCTCCGTGAGACTTTTTGCAGGAAAGTGTGGAGGATTGGTGGATTGGTCGAAATATCGATTGAAAGTGTCCAATGACAAGGAGCAGCATGCTGGAAATGCCCTCAATGGTCAAAGAGCTCGCCTATGCAGCAGCACAGCAGCAGGAGGACCCTCCTGCCTGCAGGCAGTTCTTGAGGGGGTCCACTAGTCCACCGCCGCTTCTGACTGGCTGGAAGGGCACTAGTTCTAACTGGAACTAGTCTCGCGTAACGGGACCGCGAATGGCCCTACCCCTCCAAAAGGTCCACCCAAGGCAATATCAGCAAAGCTCTTCCAAAATTTCCTGGCCTCTTTCCACCTCTTTCCGCCTTCTCCTCCTCACACGAAACGACCATCTTCCCCCTCTGTCCCCGTTCCTCCAGCGATCCCGACGACCTTCACTCGTTGCTCTATCCCTCCCGCTCCGTCCCTGTGATCTATCCCCGTTCCCCGCTTCCACGCGACCCCCCTCGTCGCCTTCTCCTGCGACATCCGATTCTCCCTAGCAACCCCACCAGATCCCATTCTGCGCGGGTTCAATCTCCTCTGCAAACCACCCCAATCACGGTATGATATGGACATTCTCTTGTTGTTTGCTCGAGCAACCTCACGTGTCCAAATCCGTGCATTGGGCTTTTGCAACCACCTGTTCACCTTTCTGATCCACTGCTAATATGTCTGTCTCATAGACAAAGCGACTTCTTATCGTCGCAGCATAACAACTCAATTCCTCTTCTGTCGTGCGACCTTAATTTCTATTCAGGATGTCTGCTCCCCAAGACAATCGCGACAATGCCGACGAGCTTGTCGACAGCATGAACAACCTCAACGTTGGTGGTGACGAGGGTCGTGTAGGACCTGATGGTGAACCGCTTCCCAAGACCGACGAAGAGTATGCCGAGTCGCAACTCACTTTGAGGGCCATTGTTTCTTCCAAGGAAGCTGGTGTAATCATTGGCAAGGGCGGCAAGAATGTGGCCGACCTCCGTGACGAGACTGGTGTCAAGGCCGGTGTCAGCAAAGTTGTCCAAGGAGTCCATGATCGCGTTCTGACGATTGCTGGAGGATGTGAAGCCATTTCCAAGGCTTATGCAATTGTGGCAAAAGCTTTGCTGGAGGGCGCGCCACAAATGGGTATGGGTGGAGTCGTATCCAACAATGGCACGCATCGTAAGTGACTATACCACTATGGCTCGGGTTCTTGACTGATTGGTCCTAGCTATCAAGCTGTTGATCTCCCACAATCAGATGGGCACGATCATTGGCCGACAAGGCTTGAAGATTAAGCACATCCAGGACGTCTCCGGTGTCCGCATGGTAGCCCAGAAGGAGATGCTTCCTCAATCGACCGAGCGCATTGTTGAAGTTCAAGGTGCACCAGATGGAATCCAGAAGGCTGTCTGGGAGATCTGCAAGTGCTTGGTTGATGACTGGCAACGAGGCACAGGAACCGTGCTTTACAACCCTGTTGTACGAACTCAACCTGGTGGAGGTCCTGGTATGGGTCAAGGTCTGGGAGGAAATGGACGTGGTGACTATAACAACAACCGCGTCATGCGAACAGGCAATGGTGCCGATTTCAGCGAGGGCGCCCCTCGACAATACAATAACCGTCGCTCCGACTCGGATGCTGCCCAACGCGGTGGTCCACCAACTCACGATGAGAACGGAGAGGAGTTGCAGACCCAGAATATCAGTATTCCATCTGATATGGTTGGCTGTATCATTGGCCGCGCAGGTAGCAAGATCAGCGAAATCCGCAAGACTTCGGGTGCTCGAATCAGCATTGCCAAGGCCCCTCATGACGAGACTGGAGAACGGATGTTCACAATCATGGGCAGCGCGAAGGCCAACGAGACGGCCTTGTATCTCTTGTATGAGAATCTGGAGGCAGAAAAGATGCGCCGAAGCCAGGGCAGCCCTCAGGACTAAAACGTCTTTAATTCGGATTACAATAATTTCTTTGCATCCGGGCAGCGTTGTCGAAGTTCTTCCAGATCTGACTTGCCGCAAGGCTGATACTGCGATGGATCTTTGGAAGTCCCCGACTTTTCTCTAATCGACCGTTATTCCCTTCTACAAAAGCATTTCCTGGCTCATTTTTCACGATTCCACTTTCCTTTCGATACGGACTTTACGAATTTACGGTCATCCGGCAGCATGGTGTACTCAGGTAGCCCATCAAACTGCCGTTCCTCCTCGATACTCGAAACAGACGATTCGCCTTGACATTCAACAACTCGAGATACCGACACCCTGTCTCGACTTCCTCTGCCAACACGACGTCCTCCCTCGAACGCACGAGAATCGCCCTAATCTCGTCTTCATGCGGCTATGACCATAAATTCTCACAAAGTCACGAATCACGACCGACAACGAAGCTCTTTGCCCCACTCCCATTTCCAGAAAACGCTGGACATTCTCGACTCTCTCGTCGTCAAACTCGCTCCCTCACTCCTCACAACATCGAAAATAGCCTTATTTGACTCGTCACTGCCAGGGCTGGCTCGTCATACAGACACTCTTGATCTTCGGATAGGATGTACGTAGATTTAGTCTCAGGCTAGGCAATATGAGCAAAGAACTCTGAACACAAAATGTTTGAAATTTCAACATGTGATCAGAGCTAATCTAATAGGGGATAAATCCTCATTTACCCCAACAAGCAGCCGCAACATTGTTAGTTATGAGCACAGGAAATGTCTGGCCCATTTCAAATGTTCATGCCCCGCTTTCAATTCCCCTGGACGCCCAGCAAATGCTTCAATCATCCTCCTTGTACTGTAAAACGCGCCCCCCCTTTCTTGTCCCCACCCCCACCCAAACACCCTAACCTCTCCCACCGTTATAATCAGCTCCGCCAGCTTTCCTCAACCTGACAACGATATCCTTCTCGTCTAAATCCGACTTGTCTCTCGCATCAACCTGGATGCTATGGTGTCCCAAAACCTTTTTGACAGCCCCACTCTCAATACTAACTCGTGCTTTTCTCATGACCTTCGTAGATTCTCCAATCCATACTATGAGCACGAACTTCACACGCTTGCTTTCCGTATCATTGGCATATTCCACTCGTGAGTATGCATATTGCGCTTGTGTTGGGTCCAGTTTGTCTGCTAATTCGGAGAGACCTCCTGTCCCAGTCTCGCTGAGCTTTAGTTTGTCTCCTACGGCTGAGGCGTAGGAGATTATGAGCCAATTCGTTTCGTCCTTATCTGAACGGACAGCATCGTATGCTGCAAGAATATCGGGGGCGTCAGCACCAGACATTTTTGAGGGTTTGATGGGGGGGGAGGTCGGTGAATGTTGAGGATAAAGATTTTAGTCGGATCTAGTCCGCAATCTGTTAATAATGTGGAAATTGATTTTGAGGTGAGCAGAGTCGCCAACTGTGCCAGAAATAATTGTCTAATTTGAAATGGAATAATGGAAGGACTTGAGGTTAACTTGAAGACGGCACAACTTAGCGTGTCAGATTTCTGCCGAAGCACTTTGCTTGATAGGGAAGATTGGCGGGCGGTGTGGAGATTCAAGGTTCGTCACTTGTTGTCCAAATTATTATCTGTCCAGAACGATCAGCGGTAATAAACACTCTAGACTTTGCCATTGCATGAAGTTTCCTTGCATCTCTCACGCTCCTTCTCGTCCAGTCATTCCTTTCAGCATACCCGCACATAATTCAGAATGGCAAGAACGAAACAAGCCACTCCCCTTCGCCGAGAGCCTTCGTCCGAGTACACCAGTAAAGCAGACCAGAATGGGACACCAACGAGGAGCTCACGAAATTTGGACAAGGAGACAGATAGGACTGGACGACGGGGTTCCGTTTCACTTGCAGCTGAGAGCGTGATTGAAGCTCTTGCGCCAGAGGCAAAGAAGGAAGCTGGCGCATTGCAGTTCTTGGTGGCAGTTGGTGGCATTTACGGGTCGTTGTAAGTGGTATGAAATCTACGTGGAGACACAATTCTGATTCTCTGGATAGCCTCACTTGGGCACTCCTTCAAGAACGCCTTACTACAACTCCGTATGGCAATGCGAGCTCCCCCGAACTCTTCAAGTTCCCCGTCTTCCTCAATACCGTTCAATCGCTTTGCGCAGCTTTAATAGGCTATTTGTACCTTCGCTGGGATACCAAAGGCTCGAATACAGCTCCGATAATACCAAATCGCCGAATTCTGGTGCCTTTATTCCTCGTGGCTGTCACCTCATCGCTAGCATCTCCCTTTGGCTATGCATCTCTCGCCCATATCGACTATATAACCTTCATTCTTGCTAAGTCCTGCAAGCTTCTTCCCGTTATGTTCTTGCACATAACTCTGTTTCAAAAACGATACCCACTGTACAAATACCTTGTCGTTCTCGCCGTCACATCAGGCGTTGCAGTCTTTACCCTCCATGCTGGCTCCGCAAAAGCTCATTCCAAGCCCTCAAAAGCAGCCATCAACCCAGACAGAAACAGTGCATGGGGTCTCCTACTTCTGGGTATTAACTTACTGTTTGATGGCCTCACGAACACCACACAGGATCACATCTTCCAGACCTACCAGCCGTACAAAGGGCCTCAAATGATGTGTGCAAACAACATCATCAGCACGATCCTCACATTCTCATATCTCGCTCTCTCGCCGTACGTAGTACACACAGGTATTGGCGAGTATCTAGGTATGGATCTCGCATCAGGAGGAGGCGGCGAGTTCGCAGCAGCACTGGGATTTATGGCCAGACACCCAAGGGTCTGGTACGACGTTCTCGGCTTCGCCATGTGCGGAGCCATCGGCCAGGTCTTCATCTGTAAGCCCCTGCCCTCCCCCTTGTCCCCTCTTTGTAGGCTAAACGAAACCAGTCTACACACTCTCAACCTTCTCCTCCCTGCTCCTAGTTACCATAACCGTCACCCGCAAAATGCTCACCATGATCCTCTCTGTAATCTGGTTCGGGCACCACCTCGGAAGCAGGCAGTGGATGGGCGTAGCGCTCGTTTTCGGCGGGATAGGCGCTGAAGGAATCATCACTCGCCGCGAAAAAGCTGCAAAAGGGAAAGCTAAGCTGGCTGGGAAGAAAGAACTCTAAACTCTCCCACCCAGCACTTGCTACTTAGACATCAAGAGTTTTGCATATATTTGGCGCAGGAGGAGTATTTGAATTTCAAGACTAAAAGGAGTTCGTTGCTGGGTCTACGTTTTGATAGAAAATAGAAGCACATGAGTTTCGGTCAAACATTTTAACGTTTTTTATTTTCCTTGAATTCTTTCCATTCTGGATGCCGTCTTTTGTCCGCGTAAGAAGTTCTCGGCATACGAGGATCTTGATTTTTGGCCTTGATGCGAGCCTGGTGCCCACAGTCCTTGATAAAACAGGAATCGATGTGCTACCACTATTTTGGGAATGTACTGAGTGTGCAAATACCATGTCCTCAATCCACGACTACACCTAATGATCACATGGACGCCATCCCAAAATAGGAATTGCAGACTTCATCCATTCACAGGACTAGCAAGCAGCCTCTCTTCCAACCCACACGTTGACTCTGCAATCTTTCACAGGACTCGCATTAGCCTCCTATACCAACACAACACACACTGAGTCACCAAACCTCACATTTAAGGATCCCTTTTACTAGGGTATCCGTTTATTCCGAAGCCTCGGCCTCAACTCGACACTCGTTATATTATACACAAGGGGATCGTCTATGACGAGTCACCCAATTCGCTCCAAACGCCACTATGCAACGCCGTGCACCCTCATGACGGCATGTTACTCTAACGCCATAAATCCAACCCAGTGTGTCATCATCTCGCATGATGTGGTATATCTCGCTGCAAAATTATCGTCAAACTCAAGATCTTCTTGGCTCAGAGGAAATCATCGATAGATCGGGTGATGGGCGCTTCGCCTTTGGTGGGCGGACTTCGTGGATCCTCGTCCAACGCCAGAGAGGCTCGTTGCGTCGGAGTGTGGAAGAAGGAGGACCGAGGAAACTCGAAGAGCCGAGGAGAGAAGACATTAGGCGTTGGAGGAACGTCTGCTTCGGATCCGAAACTGCGGGAAAAGCTCTGAAGGGGGTTGCTCGTCATTTCGGTCACGCGAGGTGACATCAAGTCTTCCCACTCATTGCCTTCACGCTTTGGACGTTCGTTGCTAATGGACACATCTCCGAAACCAAAATCGAAGCCTCCAAGCCTCTCAATCGCCGAGTCGGTTATGGTTGGCTCGATATTCTCCTCTGGTTTGGCCAGAGCACCGTCTCGCGCCGAAGCATTTGGAGTCGAGTTACCTCTTGCTCGGGACGGAGTGGGAGGTTGATCCGCGGACAAGGTCGGCCTGTGCTTCACCGTCTTTCGAATCGCATTGTTCTTCTCCGCCTTTTTCCTCTCAATCACTTTCTTGAAGTCGTTCAGCGAGAACAGAAGTGACATGTTCGGGTTCACCCAGCGAGATTTCGACTGTGCTAGCGAGTATGCTTCGTTCGGTCCCAGATCCTGGTTGATATACATCCCATAAGCGATAATCAAGGTGGCTGACCGGCTGGCACCTTGTTGACAATGGACAAGAACCTTCTTCCCTTCTTTTGTTCTGGCTTCTATAGTCTGGCACAAGTCCCATAATTCATCCTTTACGTCTGTGTTGTGATCCCAGGGTACGTGAATATACTCTGGAAGCTTTTTCTCGACCGAGGGTTTCGGTGTTGTCGGTGAGGATTCTGTCGAGCTTGATGGTTGTACTTCGAATGCAGTACTGTACGACATCATCGTAGCCGCGGTATCTGGGGGGGCTTCATTGGCATCTGGAGTGACTTCTGTCCGACCTGGAACCGGCACAGAGTCTTCCTTTTTTGACTCCTGTGGGTCCAATGCTTTGAAGGGATTTTTCACCTCACGCGCTACGTTAATTATAACGTCAAACTTCATTGCCTCTTCCAGTTTTGGTTCCAAGTAAAGATGAACGCTGGGTTCATGCATTAATATTGGGCCTTCTGGATATGACGGAGATTTCGCATCTTCTCCTGAGTGTGGCCGGTCGAAGCTATCACCGCCAACAGCGACTCCTGGTATTCGGGTCGCCATTTGCACTGCAGCGGGGGCTTCGTGTGCGTCTTCATCAATAGTGAAGGTGTTCATGGCGAGGTTTGACTCCTTGAATCTTGACGAACCAAGAGGTTTCCTTTCCCCCAATGTCATGCCGCCACTAGGACCAAAACTTGGAGTCGATAACATCTGTGGTGACGAAATTGAATGCTTCAAACTCCTCCGTTGCAGCATCGTTGGCATCCCTGGAGATGCTAATGGCTCGATGGCTAAAGAAAGATTGTTGGCCGCTCCAGTGTTTAAACTGAGTAGGCTCGGTTTCCGCCTCCCTTTCAACGTTGGGGGCTTTATAAATGATGGGGAAGAAGGCTCAGAAGATTGAAAGGAATCAATACTTGAGTTGAGGTTAAGAGCGAGGCTTTTGGGATTTTTTGCTTTGCGCGGTAATGGGGAGGTCATAGGTCGGTCGTCGTTCAAAGGTAAACGAGGGGTATTGGTGTCATCCATCTTCAGACTTTGAAAGGAATCTAAGCCAAATGTCGACCCAGAAAACGAGGATAGCGGTACTAAGGTTATTGGTGATTCGGGAGAAGAGCTGGGTGAGGGGTCCGATAACGAGGAGGAGTCGACTGTTGAGATCGTCGTGGTAGGGGAAGAGTCGGTTGAGTCAGAAGCCTGTGTAGATGTGCTTTCTCGGTATTGGTGTGAATGTATTTGTGGGCTTTCTTTCTCGATAGCGTGTTGTGAAGATTGCTGGAGGGGGTGCTGAATCGTACGTGTCGCTCCAGACAACTTTGGGGGATGGCCCAATGCCGGGCTCTCTACGCCCGCTGAGTCCATGTCATATACAGACATGAACGATGGTATGTGACTCTCATAAATCCTCGGGCCAGCTGCTGACGGCATCTTTGCAGGTTGGTAGTGAGTTCGGCCCCTCGAAACGATAGCAGGAACCAAGGCCCCGTCGGCCCGTTGCCTCAACCGTCTTGCCTGAGAGTCGACTGTCCTCGATACCGTTGATCGTTCAGCGAGAGGTGGGGTTGATGTTGCAACCGCAGTGAGCGACCTCCTCAACGGTTGATTGTTAGCATTCGAGCACCTTGACAGCGGATTCGTGGCAGGAGCACGCGAGGATATAAGGACTGTGGAGGAGAACGAGCGTTGGAGGCATCGTCTCTGATCAAATTCGGGAGACATAGAACACCAAATGCTGTGGTGTTTCCCGACACGACAAACAGTTGTTGTACAGTACAATTCTTGAACCAACTCAGAGATGAAGCCTCTTGGGCAGCGGGTATGAAGAAGGGAAGAAAGTCAAAATGAAACGGGAGGTATTTACCAGGCCCTATGAGGCGCTTCCGAGCTGGGTCACTCGATGGCAAACCCCCGTGCTTAGCGCCGCGAGATGACGCGCCTGAAATTATTGAAGGCCGAATGAGGGAGAGGAGGCCAAGGGAGGCGGGCGTCGGTAGGCTCAAATCGAGGTGCGTATGAAGATTGGTGCGCGATCACTGCCACGAAGGATGCTTCAACAAGCAAGAACAACCCCTCGACAAGCAAGCTAATCGTGCGTCTCGCAGGTCAGCACAGGCAAAAGGTGCCGCAGTGCTCGTCGTATGGCCGAGCCGCTAGATTCTCCCGCGTTGTCGTTGTCGTCGTGCTGCCTACACCTCGCTCAGCCGTCTGGATGTCGCAGAACTCAGCACGGCGACTGCAACGAGACAAAAGTTCAAGTTCGAGTTCGAAGGAGAGGCAAAATAGTCTCGACGCTGTTGGCGACAGGCAGGGTTGATTATTGTTGGCTCTACTACCAAAGCGTGTCAGCTCGCATGCAGCCACTAAGGGCGAGGCCAGCCGGATCCGCTGCCTATAAATAGCCCCCTTGTCGAAGGGTGGGCGCCAACGACGAGCGAATGGGAGCGAAAGAAATTGGCCTTACAAGCAGACTCCTCCTTCTGGACGTCTAAAAGGGTCTCGAGCAAATCAGCTGCCGCTGCCGCACTGGCTTTGCCGTAATCAAAAGAGGCCTCCCCGCCGACAACAAAGGCGATATGTATTGTGGTAAAGGCTCGCGAGAAAGGGCCGTTCGAAGCGTTCTCTACGCATTCCTCCAGGGACAAAGAGCTTTACAAACCGGGACCACGCAAGGACGAATTATGCAGATCGAGAAGGGAATGCTGCGAGCAGGGAACAATTATCGATTAAGTGGATGGGTGGACAGAAAAGTTTCGTGGGGCTTCGACAGCGTTGCGCCGGCTGGAACGTCGTGATGTTTGGCTGTCGATGAAACCCCAACCTTCTTCCCGTCCAGACTAAGTGAATTAGATGAAAATAACAGTGTCCAAAGTGCGAGAGGCGCCGCGTTCCGCCCAAAACAATTATTCAAGCTTGCTTCGTTGGGTTGGTTCCTCTCGAAGGATTCGGAAGCGGACAAAGGGGCAGAGTAGTGCTTTGCGACCGGTCGACTCGTAGCTGCAAGGAACAGAGAATAGAGAGGAGAGGGCGATGGTGGTGCCGGAAGGCGAGAGCGACGGGGTCAGAGAACCATCCTTGAGAGATGGAGTCGGCGAGGGCAATGGGAGCGAAGAGGAGGAGCGGGGAGGGGGAGGGGGAGGAGGAGGAGGAGGAAGAGGCGGAGGAGGAGGAGGAGGAAGAGAAGAAAAATTTGACGTTGATGATCAACGGAGAATGGATGGGTGGTGGGTAGTGGAGCTCGGAGTGGAGTGAACATGAGAGGCCAGAGAGGCCCTCGCTCTGGTGCCCGCTCTCTCTCGCCCTCGCCCTCGCCCTCGCCCTCACCCTCACCCTCACCCTCAGAACACAATGCGGCCTGAAAACTGGAGCAGAATGCCTGGCGGAGAGTGAAGCGTGCGATGCATGTTCCGCAGGACGCTGATTGGGGCGAGTCGATCAAACCCTCGACAAGCTGAAACGAAGCTAAGGACGTTTTTAGAACTGAGCCCAGGAGTGGCCAGCCAGCCAGTCAGTCAGTTACTAGCGCAGTCAACCAGTGTGGCCCCGCAAGAATCGTCCAAGCAGGTCAAGCCGAGATGGCACCTCGAAGCGGGCATGGGACTGGGACTGGGACTAGGACTGGGACGAGGCCTGGGCTTGGCATATTGAAGAGCAGCGGCCCCCCCTTTTCTTTCGTCACGTGTGTGCCACCGCCCCTTGGTGGCACTCTGATAAATATAAATAAATATGGCTTCTCCTTGCTTGCCGGCATTGTTAAGGCCCGCAAGCATGATTGCGTGCCCCCGCGTTCGTCTCATCATTTAACAATGACGCTTTGATCAGAGCGAGGCTGCGAGTGTGCAGGCCGTGGAGAGCCCCAACAATGCATAAACTCTCAACCCATCTCCTGCCATGACCCGTTGTTCACGTTGCTCAAGTCGTCCCCCGCCAGGCAGTCAGGCCGTCATCTCTCCAAAGTGAGGCTGAAAGCTACAGTAATAAACTGAAAGTCCCTTAGGCGGAGAGTTTCTTGGAGTAGTTTCGAATCAATGTTTTCGGCCCCAGGAGATACAATTCGTCGCCCCGTGCCCCCCGATTCAGATGGCAGTGCTCTGAACCTTTCGTCTGCAGCCTGCTCTCTCCAAACACTCTGATGGTCAGACAGCTCGGGCCAGGTCAGCACGGTAATGATTGAAATGAAATTCATTGTGGGCAGCCTCTCGTCGCTGCAGCCAACTGATGAGCGACCTCTCCCGAGTGCCGGCAACGATTGGCCAATTCGCCAGACGCCCCAGCATCGTTGAGATGCACGACTTGTGGTCTTGCATGCGGCAAAGACGAAATACGTGGGGCAGAATTCTTCGTCACGCACCTCCGGCCGAGTTTCTCGATCGTCTGCAGAACCCCGGCTCCAGTGGTTGGGGGATATGTATATACCTTAGGAAAAGCAAGTTGGGTGTGATATGTTTGTTGTCTCAACCCATGGCGGCCGGCCGTTACTCCCGCCCGCAGTAATTGTCATCACATTCTTGAGTTCTTCAGCATGTCTCCGAGGTTCCGGCTGCCTCCTGTTCCTCTGTTCCTCGACACCCATCGCTTCATTTCGAGCAGTGCAAGCTAGGGGGAGGCTTGGACGACGAAACCTCGTGAAGATCTGGGCGGGAATAATAACGTGGCCGGCCGGGGCGTGCTAGCAACCGCAAGGGTCGAAACCCCTCCTCTAATGCAGGTCGAAATGGATGCCGAGCCCCTGAGTTTTTGGAATTCAATGCTACAGTACAGACTGCAGGATGCTTGTGATGTCAACCAGCAGAGAGGCGTCTGAAGTTCTGAACAATGAGGATCTGCAGATATTTGTAGGCTGTTTCAGAAGGAGAGTTTTGGAGACTCTGGTTCTGGTCCGTCCGTGGGTGCAGCGCCACACAGGACCTTGCGGTGAAGAGATGTCCAAGGCCAGCACTTCGCAGCACCAATTCGACGACAGCGTCTCCACCAGACTTGTATAGTTAAAGCACAAATCTTCCAGCTCCTCTCCTTCCATGGAGCTACGGATAATGTCAGATGCGTTGGGGCCCATGCCTGGATCCTGCAACGGCGTCTCTCTAAGTCTTTCTTTTGGAGCATCTAAGGATTCCGTTGCGACTTTCCGCCAGCCGTTAGGTGTGATCAGTGTTGAATCCATGCATGGGCGTTTTGCGCTTTGGTCCCGAAGAAATGATAACAAAATTGGCCCATCTATATTGAACCGCATTCCATTCCTGTCAAAACCCCGTGAAGCCCCTCCCGCCTGCTTGCCCTCCCCATCTTCTGGCCAGGCCAGTCCTCCGTAGAGCACAATGGAGGTGCCTCCAGAAGCTCTCAGAGAGCACACAGCTTCGAGATTGCCCTCGTACCGCTTCCTGGATATCAAGACGACAGGCCCGGTCGTTTCGGTCTCACCTAGAGCGATGCACGGCCACGATAAACTCCAGGTACAGGCTTCACGGCCCAGCAACGAGCCAGCTAGTTCTACCACCAGCAACCTCATAAAACCTCCTTCTGCTAAAGATACCGTGCACAACCGCACCCATTCTGCGAGCACCATCTCGACTCCCCAAAAGCGCGATCCTCCCAAGGCACGACCGCAGACGCTTCCCTATCCCAGCATTCCTGGCGCTCTCGAGTCGTCCATTCAACCGGCGCCGACCTCCACGCCCAGAGCACAAAAGGCAAGAAATGTCAGCAGGGACGTTGGGAAGGGGCCGCCCAGAGCAATGATTACCCAGCGATCGTACAAAGTCGAGAACTCGAGCAGCTCTTCCACCACCGACTGGGTCGCACAGCAGCAGTCGATTTCCACCGGTGACGGCGACGGTGACGAGGAACACCCGCCGCAGGTTTCCGCACAACCACAAACATCACGCCCCGTTGCAGACAGCGCGCCAGGAAGACCTCTCATCAAACCCATTCGTGGCTTTAAGCCTTCGACACGCAAAAGCGTCGAGATGACTGCGCGCCGCACTTCGATGGATCCGGACAGTACGCTGAGAGCGCTGGACGGGTTTGAGAATTCACCAAGGAACCCAAACCAGACCGAGCAGGACGAGCACAATAGCGATGATAGTGATTTATTTCTACGAGCAGCGAGGGAGGAGGAGTTGGCGCGACAGGCCAGCAACACGAATGGAGATGGTCTGAGCCGCTCCGATAGCAGAAGGGTAGGTTCCCATATTTATATCCCACATTCACGATTCCGAGATCTGCGAGGAGGATGATCCTGCTTCAGCACCCCACACTTTCCTTCTTCAAGTTTCAACCTAGATCTGAAGCCATGTACATCTTGTGGCTTTAATCTCATTAACACATTATCTCTAGTCCCGAATCGGACATCGCGCATCTCTCCCACCTTCAAGCAATCAGTACCAGCCCTCGATATCTCGTCGCCGTGGCTCTGATAATGAGAGTCTCAATGGTTCTCGTCTGGTCGACGAGCAAGAGGGCATTTCTCAGGCATTGACTTATCGTCCAGCTGCCAGGGACCGCCCTTCTGCGCTCGATGATATCAATAGAAGCCGATACTTTGCTGCGAACTCTCGATCTACCCCCACCACTCCAAGGGGGCTGGGAAGTAGAGAGATATCCCCGGAATCACAGACGCCTTATGGTGGACGCAGACCCTCTGCCCCAGACGCCGCACCACCTTCACGCACCTCCTCATACCGCCAATCGAATCTGTCATATTCGACCCCTCGAACTTACAATTCGTCACCTCTGGTCTCGCGTACAATGGACGTGCCTGACACCCCTGAGACACCCCGTGCAGCAGAAGGAACAGAGTCTACTGTATCAACAACAGCTCCATCCACTGTCTGGGACGAGTTAGAAGACCTCAAGTCACGTATACATAGACTTGAGTTAACAGGAAAGTTACCGGCCACATCTGGAGCTGCAATGTCTCGTGCCTCCAACGAACGACCGCCCACTGCAACTACGACCGTCACCACCATGTCCTCATCCCCAAAGAGGGGACGAGGAAATAGCATCTCGCCAACGGAAGCTGTCCCAACTGATAAGCCTGCCGAGGCTCACCCACTCCTTCATGCAGCTCTTGCGAAATCCAAACCATTACTGAGCACCGAGGTATATAAAGCCTTGGAGGCCACTGCCGCGGACGCTCTAGCGATCGCGTCTATGATGGGAAGCTCTGGCCAGCCTGGACCCATCTCAAGCTCACAGTCCACCATTGGAGGAACATCTTCGGTCTCAGATCGACAGGTTCGTCGGAAAGCCGACAGTATGTGCCGAAGCTTAACGGAGTTGTGTCTGGCATTGTCCGAAGGAAAGACTGAGCAGAGCATGCCTGTTGTCAATCAAGTTGCGTTGCAGCCGACCAGCCGTGATAATGAACTTCGTGTCAACCCAGAAACAGCCAACAACCAGCGCCAACTGGTAACGACTGATCTTACCAGGGTGAAATCCAGTCCAAGAGCTCTGAGTCGTCTAGAGGCACGACGAAGTAGCCTTCTTGCGACGAGTGCATTACCAAGCCCTCGTCACGCACCTTCAGAAGCCGGTACTCCTACTCAGAGTTCGATGGCTGGACGTCGAACATCATTGCTCCTTCGAAGTCGACGTGGCGGCACTGAGGAACCTGAAGAGGAAGACGATACCCGGTTCCGCGCACCTTCTAGAGCAGTTACTGAGCTTGGAAGGATCAGAAACTCTCCGAGAGAGTACACTTCTCAACAACCGCTTCCCGAGAAGTCAGCTTCTGTGCAGTCTTCTTTGCCGGTCAGGAGGCATTACACATCAACAAATCTCACGAACAATAGTGTCCCCCCAACGCCGCCGGTCTCGAGTTTAGGAGGCAGAAAATACCTGGACCGGTCAACACCTGAGAGAGACACCACCAGTGTTGTGGGAAGATTGGCTGAGGATCGTGGACAAAGAAAATCGTCAATTGGCCAAGGCTTTCCATTAGGAAGAACAGGTAGCCTAAATCGAAGGAGACAGCCTACATCAAACGACTCATCTGCCGGACAGCAAAATGGGTACCAATGATCTCAAATCATTATATTTGTACAACATCACGATCTGGAGTTTTGGAATCGGCAGCGCCTACATTGGAGCGTCTTTTCACAGTTTGTTTTCGCCAACATTGGGAAGGGGCACTTTGAGATACCCAAGACATGGTTCAACGATGGCACGATGAAACGTATCACGGACGCAATAGCGAACACTATGAGAATGCTCTCGCTGTAAATATTGCTACTTGCGTGCCTTTGCATCCGCTAGCCTTTCAAGGCCTGTAACACTACCCGCTCATGAAACGGTGGATATAGCTTTCCCATTGCTTTGCATTGTAGCTAGATATGGAGTTTGGGAGGTGCGTGTCTACGGAGAGGAACCATGAATGTATAACAGTTTGAGGCGCAATTCGCATTTGCCCCGAGCGTGCTCGATGCTTGACATTTGCACCCTTTCTCCTCGCTCGTCAAGTGACACCCTTTTCCATCCTTTGTCTCTCCGTCATCAAAATCGGCATTGAGTTGAGAAAGCAAGCGCTGGGCGGAGGAGTGAACAGAAGTGAAGGGAGTATCATGAAAGCCGGAGAAGTCAGGCAGCCTAGAACGGAATTTGATTTCATGTGCATCATTTAGTCACTTCTGAGTCCGTGGCAGAGACTAATAACACGCATTTGTGCTGGTCGGAAGATATCGGCTCCCTTTGTGGTCTCCAGTTCCAACTCCTACTGTGCACAACAAAGTCTGAATTGGAACAGGATTACGAAGACTTTCAAGAGGGCTGGTGATTTTGATTTATCATTCAAGTCAGCAGGCTCGAGATGTCATCCTCTTTCGTCATTGGCCAATCCCCGCCTCTAAGCACAAAGTCTTCAAGATCTTTTGTCCTCCTTGTATCACGAAACGTCGAATAAAAGTCTGTCCAATCCGCCTTGTAGATCGGTAACAGCATCCATGTCTCGCCATCCGCTTCCAGTGATTTCAAAACCCCTGAGACCTGGAACTTCTCTAGAGTAGAGCCGAACTTATCTCTTATTGCTTCGAGGAACGCCTTCCAACTTCCGTCCACCAACTCTCCCAGGATAGATAGACGTCTCAGAGAATCTACCTGCCTTCCAAGGAAGGAGAAGAATTGGGCTGTATCCATACTCACTCCAGAAAGTGAAAGTGTATGCAATTTGGTTGGGCATGGCGGGGTTTGCGGGAGGAAGTCGAGCGGGACAGGCAGGAGCAATTCAAACTTGAGGTAGATGTTTTCCAGATTCGGGGATGCTGAAATCCTCTTGCGGAGCCGGGTGCTGGCGATGCCATTTGAGAGGAACTCTTGCGGCTGATCGCATATGGTCAGGTTAAGGGACTTCAATCCGTTGAGATATCCATAAATATCCGGAGTCACTAGGTCCTCTTCGCCGCTGAAAAAGAACGAAGTGAGCTGATCATGGCCCATGTGCTGGATCTCCAACCCTGCCTGTTTTGCCGCAGCTAGGATGTCCACCAATTGGCTCGATCCCCGTTGACTTTGGAGTGACCGATAAGTTTCCATGTTATACTCTTCCCATACTTTTCTCAGAATACGGTGCTTGAAGGGATTGGGGCACACCACATCGAGCGTGGTGACTTGAGGTGCCTGTCGAAAGGCACGGATCAGCGAATCTCTGTCCCGCTCTTGCTCATCATCGAGATGCCTTCGCTCGATAATAGCATCAAGTTCTTCCAGTGCCTCCTGCTCCTCTCGCGTAGGGACAAAGTCTATGATTTCATAGTGACTCAGATGCGAATGACGAGAGCAAACTATAGATCGCAAATAGTCCGCATCCCAATCCTTAAGTTTCTCTGATTAGCAATGCCGAATAAGGAGCATTTTCGTAGATTGAAAATATTGCTTTTCAAGCTTTTCATGCTGAAAGCACGGCTAGAAAGTACACATCACCGGTAACATATGGGAACGGGGTCTTTGTGCGTGGAGAAACATGAACCTACACTGCTGTAAAATTTGACCTTCCTGATGACTCTGGCCGCTTGACGTGACACATTTGGGCTGGCTCCAATACTGATAAGCCGCGGAATATCGAGAGAATACGACTTGATGGTGAAGCAGGGAAGTAGCAACGTTTCCAGTCCGACCACAGCCCACGAAGTTGACACTAGGCGCAATGACTTCAAAGCCTCGATGTCGACATAACCGTAGATTAATCTCTTGACCTCGTATGGTAGATTGGCAGCCATGGTATGAGGCTGTTCTCGTAGCAAGAGAGCCTTGCCATGAGGGCTGTGCTGATGTTTGAGTTGGTTTCATCGTTTGTCGAAGTTGAGATGTCGTGCCGGTGACTCAGGCAGGGCTGAAGGGCAGCACACACTTAAGCGAGATCATTCATAAAAAGCTCTCTCCTCTTCACACATTATGCTCAACAGATCGTTTTTCGTCTTTTCAGCTATCAAGAACTCTTCTACATACTACCCTTTCTCCAGAACATACGGCTACCAAATCAACGACAAGAGCACAACCAGAATGGCTGCTTCTAGAAGTGGGGAAGATTTCATACACATGGCAGAGGAGCTGGATCTCACAGATCGGGGAGGAAAGCGAGGTGCACGAGGAGGCCGGCCAAAAGCTGGGGGAAGCGGTGGCAGCGGAAGCAGAGGAAATAGAGCTGGAGGAAGTGGCGGGGGAGAGATGAATAGGGAGGTCGCCATCTCTAAGGCCCTGTCGAAGTTACTGAGGCATGCCGCTGTGGATGTTGGCCTGAAACTCGATCCGGAAGGGTTTGCGAGGGTAGACCAAGTTGTGAGTATTCGATTCCATATTTATCCAGTGACAGGGCCTCTCGTTGAAGCTCATTGTCAATATCACGTGATTATCACGTGCACCTTCTTGAACAGGATGCCAATTGATATTCTCCAGATGCAATGGCAACGTCTGAAGTCACTGCACATTACATTCGAGGATATCCAAATAGCCACAACAGATAACGCTAAGCAACGATTCTCCATGAAGCCGAACCCATCACTGAACCCCCCTCCTGATCCAAAATCCGAAACCCCTTCCGACTGGGTTATACGAGCAAACCAAGGTCATAGCATAGCCGTCGACTCAGCAGCCCTGCTCGTCCCCATCACCATTGAGGCTGGCAACCTTCCGGATGTTGTGGTACACGGAACGTATTTCGGTGTGTATCAAGCTATTCTCGCTTCAGGCGGTCTGAAAAAGATGAGCCGGAATCATATCCATTTCAGCACAGGTTTACCAGAAGAGAAGCAAGGAGTTATCAGTGGCATGAGAAATGACGCCGAGCTGCTGATTTACGTCGACATCAAAAAAAGTCTGGAAGACGGAGGAGTTTTGTGGTGGATCAGCGAGAACGGCGTCCTCCTGACGGAGGGTGATGAGAATGGCATTCTGGGTACGAAATACTGGAAAAGAGTCGAAGGCAGAAAGCAGGACATTGGCATCCTCTGGGACAATGGTGAGCAGGTTAGAGAGCTGCCCCATAATTTAAGGAACAAGAAGCCGCCGCACGGAAAAGGGCCTGTGCCAAATGGCAAGGAGAAACTTGCGAAAATCGATGCAAAGGGGAAGGGAAAGTTCATAAGAGCTCCGGACAGATCATTTGGAGAAGACCCCCAAGAAGCAAATGGATCATAGACTCTATCAAGAATGAAATCTCATCGAACCCATAATGCTTCAGCTTGTGTGAGAGTGTCTAGTGCACTTGCAATCGATGATTATCAGCTACCATGAGCTTATTCAGATCGTGAACACGGGATGCCCAGAGAGTTTTTAAAAGCCTTGTCCTTTTACTTAAATGCTATACCAGGGTATCATGAAACACGTTAACGCCGAGCAATGCTTTCCATGACCGTCCATTCTCTTCCTCACTGCTCAAAGAAACCACCATCACTGTCATCATCAGCCTGGCCAGCATTCTCATTGCCCGTTGCATTTTGCAAAGCACCGAATGCTTCGTTCTTCGCAAATGCCATGGACTTGTTCTTAGTCCTGGAATCCTTAGCCTCGCGTTGACTCCTCCTTTCCCTCCGATTCATTCCAGTCATGTCCACCGGAGGGGGTTGTGGTTTCGCCTTTATTGGTTTTCTCTCCAAAGATTTCGAGACTTGAGCCGGGCCAACTGATATCCTGTTTCTCAAACGATTGAGAGTCCCGTCCTCCATGCATTTCTCCACCTCGCCCCACATTGGTGGCTTCGGCTTCGATTCAACCTCCTTCGAAGAATCCGGATCATTAGGAGACGAGGCCTTCGGAGGATAAAGGCTGACATAAACCTCGCTGAGGGGACAGTATTGGGTGTAGTTGAGGTCGACTTCAGCTACGTGCATCTGAGCCTTCAATGTCTCGACTTCTTCTGTTGATTCGGCAGCCAGTAAACATTTCCGCAGCTTTTTCAGTAATCTCGTAGCTTTCTGACGCTCTGCAATAAATCGATCAGTAGGATCTACCGTCTTCGAGCTCACTGACTTACCGAAGAAACGAACCATGTGATACTTCTTAATCATCTTTTGTCTAGTCTTCTCTGCCTGTGCAGATGCCAGTTCTTGCTGGTATGCGGCCAGTGCCCGTTCATCTTCTGCTCGCACATCTGCTGGTAGATCTTCTGCACGCTCCAGTTTCCTCGTCACATCGCGGACTCTCTTCTTTATGGCATTCACGCTTGATGCATGCGCTTGCTTTCTCTGAACTGGAGGCTCGAATCTGCGGGGTTTCTTTGCTGGTTTTGAAGGGTTGCCATAGACTTGGGATTGCCGTGATGCGTGAACCGCCTCTTGGGGGGTTGCTTCCTGATATTTCCTCTTCATGACCAAAGGTGTGCTCTGCTAGAGTTTAGAGTTCCTGCAGAGAACTCTCGGTAATTTTGTAGCATTTTCACATTTGAAGTCACTAACCTTAGCGTCGGCAGAATCTCACCGCCCATTGAACCACGTGATATTAGATGGGATGAAGAAGACGACCAACACTATTTCTTTTCAGACGTGTCTGTGGACATATCCGCCTCCTTGTTTAATCAAACTCGCATCGTGACTTGAGTACTGGAGTAGAAAAATCGAACTCCATATCGACCTGGGACTTCACCAGACTCAGACTATAGTGCTATTCCAATGGTGTGTGGACTCAGGACCAAGTGAGAGGCAGATGCTTCTAGGGTTGTTGTGAGCGTCGTTGAACGGGACCAGAGCATAACCATACTAGCCACATTGAAACGATGGACCGAAATGAAGGAATTATCAGGTGGTCACCCAACCTCTCCCTTGACGAGTTCATGGTCTTCAATCTCAACAACAGGGTTATTCAACTTTATGAAGCTACTGGCCTTGCTCAGCCTGGCCACTTTGACTATGAGAAAGTGTCTAAGCATACGGAATTTCCAGCTATCAACACCTACGACTGGTCTCCAGTAAACCGAGGACTTGTGGCGGTTGGGACTGGCCAGGGAGAGGTACATCTCTTGAGGGTGGACGATAACTCGAATGCCTCTCTTACGCTCCCTCTCAAATTGCAACGGCCTTGCCAGTCTGTGACCTTCAACACCACTGGACTACTTGCCGTTGGCCTTGACCGAGTACGCAATGATTCGTGCTTGCAAATTTGGGATATCAACCGGCGTCTAGCAGGCTTGGATCCGAATAAGAAAGGGTGGAACGTCCCAACCATGAACCTAGAGCCGGGGAAGAAGCTTGAAGCTAGTGTTTCCATAACTGCGATCCGTTTTTTTGAAGACCAGCCACAAACTCTTGTCGTTGGAGTCAAGAACCAGAGTGTCCGGATTCATGACCTCAGAGGTTAGTATCAATCCCATATACCATTTAAACTCAAGAACTAGAACTAAAAAGTATAGACCCAAGCTCGAGTGTAATCAACTTTCAAACCCGGTGTTGTAACAACATCGCTATTGACTACACCGACACCAACTATTTTGCCTCGTCTACTCTTGATCAGCCAGGGCTCGTCGTTTGGGATCGTCGTGCTTCGAGCCGGTCTGCTGCTTCCACCGTGTATCTAGAGTCATTCGATCAAGAAGAAGTCCCTTGGGGTGCAGCTCTTAAACTTGATCGTGCGATCGATGTTGAGAAAAGCACCTACATCAAGCAACTACGATATTCTCGGGAAGAACGCGGCGCTCTTGGAGTTCTTTCAAGTGCTGGCCAACTTCAGGTATTTCAGACAAAAAGAGAGTTTATTGATCCGGGTTCCTCGGATGATCTCCATATAAGTCCAGAGCTGCTAGAGGCCAAGAGTTCGTTTGACCTTGAGTATGCGTTCTTTGATCCAGGTCATAAGAGAAAGTACGAGCATCGAATCGTGTCTTTCGATTGGCTCAATCTTGGAACATCGGACCTTCAAACTCGTGTTGTTGCTCTAAGGGCGAATGGAGACTTCGAAATTCTTCAGATGCCCATGGAGTCTACCAACCAGCTTTCACAATTGGTTCCTTGGAAGCCACCGCATCGCCGTAAGTCTGAGTTCAGAGTTATCGCAGTATTTCTTACTAAATTTGATTAGTCGAAGACCCTTACATAACTCTGATGACCTTCGAAGACGCTTCGGAGGGAGTGAAAATACGTGGGCCGTTGTTCGCAGCCGCTACAAAACTGAATGTTGCGGTTTTTGGGCCTGCGAAATTCCATTCCCCGAGAAGCCAAACTCTCTTGAACGCCGCGATCAAGAAGTCATTGCGGTCCTCAGAAAACCCTATAGTTGACCTTGCTTCCTCCATAGATTTGGAATTGAGCCAGAGCCATTTTTTGAGCAACGCCAGCATATCAACGTCGCAATTGTCAACCTCCACTCAGCTATACACCAACAGAGAGGTGCATGATCAATTGCATTACTCAACGCTTGGTCTCACTCGATCAAAGAAGCCTAGAAGCGGGCTCCTTGACCATATTATGTTACGTCGGGCACTCGATGGCTATCTATTCGACTGCAAAATCAACAAAAGGATAGCTACTGATGATCAATGGCTACAAGATACTTGGGAATGGATTCAAGGTGAGTCATCCCAAGTTCTTGAAACTTACATGCTTAAGGTTCATGCAGGCGCCCATGAAGCAGCACAAGATGATACAATGGTCTGTAGGCCTCTCGACCTCAGCTACATGGGCGTTTATACGATATGGATGAATGTGCTTGGTGGGACTTCTGATCGATTTTGTTTGTCTCTGCTAACATTTCGATAGGGGAGAAGGCACACTCCCGGTTAATTGATAGCACTGTGATTCCCGACACATCTCAATGGGAACGTCTCATTGGAAATATCAATAAGCAAGCCAGTCGACCCCATTTCCAAGGTGTCGTCACTGCAAGGCCGCATCACAGGCAGCTATGCCTTGCAATTTGTGGTCTTAGCAAAACGGTTGATGAGCTTGACAGCGATCTTGACGTTTTGGAAGAGCAAAAGAAATACACAACTGCGGCTGCCTGGGCTCTATTCGAAGGAATCCCCAAACGTGCAGTAGAAATTTTGAAGCGGGGTGGAACAGATCTATTATTCGTTGCTATGGCACTGGATATCAAGCTTCAAAGTACTGCTTCTCTGGAACTTGATCAAGTTGAATGGGGGAAAGCTCTTGGAAATCATCCTGAAATGGCCGAAGATCCATATTTACGCGCAATTTATGGCTATATCACGACGGGCGATTGGGCAGTCATTGCTGATGAAGCAGGACTTCCACTCCGTGATCGTGTTGGAGTTGCACTGCGACATTTTGACGATGACAAACTCACGGACTGGCTCTCGATCCAAATGGAAGAAGCATCTCGGAATGGCGACATTGAGGGAGTCGTCTTGGCTGGCATCACCGACAACATGGTAGATATTCTGGCAAAGCGTATTGAGAAGTTCGGGGACTACCAGACGCCAATCCTCATCATGTCATTCTGCTACCCTCGTTATATCAACGATATTCGTTGCGATGCCTGGCGTGAAGCCTACAAGGACTTTCTCCAACGACACAAGAAGTACATTTTCAGAGTCAAGTTTGAGCAACAATCAACAATCAAGAGTCGACTGCGAGACGGCCTTCCAGTGATCAAACCGCCACCGCGACAGGTAACCATCCGCTGCCTCAACTGTGATGCCAATGCCGCCAACGATCTCGGAAACTCTGGTGCAGGTTCAACCTCTGGTTCCTTCCCTGGTTCAACGACGGTTGATCCTCGGAACCCCCTCGCTGCCACTGGCATTAATGCTGGTCTCTGCTGTCCTCGATGCGGCTCTCATCTATCTCGCTGTGCTGTGTGCATGGAGATCGTTGGCGTTCCTCGCTCTAATCGCCCTGAGCAGTCTATCAACGCCGAAGTTCGTCGAATGGCTAACTTCCCAACCTTCTGTCTGAAATGCAAACATGTTATGCATATGGACCACTCGGTGGATTGGTTCAGACGCCATAATGAGTGTCCGGTCCCGGAATGCAGGTGTCAGTGCAATGCAAATGCAAGCCGGCAGACCAAAAGCGTTTGAGAGAGGTATCAGCGCCGTTAATGATTGGGGGCTACATAAGATTTGGCCCACGTTTGTGCTTCGAGTCCTCCGCGTCATGGACTGATTGAGGACTCCAATTCTACACTGTGCGCATTTTGGATTTCATCAGTCTATCAGGCGTTGAGGAGTAATCAAGTTGAGCAAACCGGAGTTGCGAGGATATACCCCCAATTATTGTAGATTTGGAGCACATTCAACTTGCAGTTCGACTATGAGTATATCTAATCTAATCTATCTATGGGCTAACTCACATGCTCGGCCTATCTACTTAATTTCTTCTCCCTGATAAAGCACACACATATCAAGGACCCACAAATAAAAAGAACCGACGCCCCGAAAGCAGCATTCTCAGCCTCCTGGTAACATCGAACTACAATCTCCCTGGTATGGGGTTCCAACTCCTTGATGTAGTCTAGGCTTTGCCTCACTCTCTCTACAATCTTGTCGGCGTCTTTTCCACTCTTCAGACTCGCCCTTAGCTGCGTTCTGAGAGTCTGCTGGACAACCGTAGCAGCCATAGAAACCCCAACCACGCTCCCGAGAGACCGGAACAGATACGTGCACGCTGTAGCAATTGCCTGATCCTGTGGGTTCGCATTTGCAATGACATTAACGAGCGTAGTAGTAATTACCTGGTTAATCTCGGAGTTAGCACTACCTCAGACAAGTAAGATTCGGGAGTTGACACGATTGCTCCATGAGCCCATTACTCCAAAGGAGAAGTCCAGAGGGCAGGAACAATTCACATGGGGAATTCTCGCTGCGAGAAAGTACACGTACCGCTCCGCCGCCAAGACAAGAGATAGTTATCCCAATTACAATCCCCAAAGTGGAATCAAAGAGGAGACCAGAGCACAAGGTTATGATGGTGCTCCCAATGATCGCAATGATGGTGGAGATGATCGTGAGCCAGTAATATTTCCCTGTCTTCTGCATCCACTTCCCGCCAAACAAAGAGCCAAGGACGGAGCCAACGGCCGCAGGGACTGCCACCATATCAGGTTAGTACTGCCTTTGCTGCTATCTGAGGATGAAACACTTACTCAAACGGAGTCCACTGCCTGCTGCTGTGATTCCATCCACCGCTTGAAAGTACAGTGGTAGGTAGAAGAGGAAGGCCGTGTTTGCAGCTATAGCGAAGAAGTTTGTGAGGTAGCTGGCAAATAGAGATCGTTCGAAGATGATATGGCCCGGTGCGAAAGGGCTGGAGGCGACTCTCTTTTCGATGTAGCCGAAGAGGGCGAGAAGTGGTAAAGAGATGGTCGTGAAGACAATAGCATAGACATCAGACCACGATACGTTACCTCCTCGGTCGAGGCCAACCAGTAGGCAGAAGACGGCAAGTACAAGAGTGAACGCGCCGAGGAAGTCGATACGGCGAAGTTTCTCCCTCCAATGCGAGTGTTCTGCCTTGGGGAGGTCGAGCACAAAGTAGACCACGACACTTGCAAAAATGGAGAGAGGAAACTGTCCAAGGAATGCCCTAATGTATGTAAGCAAGGTACTTGAGCTAGATCAAAGAATTTCGCACCATCTCCATCCAATGGAATCAGCCATCAGCCCACCCAATGGCCCTCCAAGTGCAAACCCCGTAGCAAAGACAATGTTCATATAACCTTGCCACGTTCCCCTCTCTCTCAACGGGATGATATCACTGAACAAAATGCTTACTGCGGCTAAATTAGCATGGGACATTCTTGAACTTGAAGAGAGAACTCAGGAGTTGTGGAGTCAGGACAAATGTGCACGTAGGCTCGCTGGCGGACTATGGGCTCACATAGCAGAAATAGCAAGGAATTATGAGAGCAAAGCTTACCCAAGGTAGTCATCCCGCCGCCACCGATTCCTACACGGGTCAGCTTTCTTCATGTCCGTGTGCTTCCACGGAAATAGATACTCACCAGCGAAAGCCCTCGCAGCAACCAGCTCCCACAAGTTCCTCGCAAGACCGCAAAATAAACAACCTAATCCAAAAACACTATACGCAAACAAAAGACAAGGCTTACGCCCAAATATGTCACTCAGCTTGCCATAAAGTGGCTGAAAGCTCGTGAGAGTAAGGAAGTACCTGAGATCGTCAGTAAAACTCACCCAACCTCGAGAAAGAGAACAATAACGCAGCAGCAATCCAAGACGTATCATTCAGCGCATTTAAGCTCGTTCCGATTCGTCCATAACTGCTCACAATGATAGTTTGGTCCGCTGCAATGAGGAAAACCTGCGTTCAATTAATACCCCGCCCCGCCTTCTTTGCACATCCAGAACGAATGAGCTGAGAACTTACACCGATAGCCACCGCAGGACAAAGAATGTAAAGCTTCTTCCTCATTTCTTTGTTGCCTTCAAATAGCGGGTTGTCCTCGGTCACCTCGACAGCCTCCTCATCAACATTACCGCCATTATCAACACCGCTCTTCGACGCCTCTCCATCGACATTCCCTTTTCCAGCCGGCTTGATGGCATTACTAAGTGACGGGTCATTGGGCTGTGGTGTATTCTCACTCAGCAAAGCCGTCCTCTCATCGGGTTCGGATGTCGCATTCGACAACGCCATTTTTTCACCAAAGGCCTCTGGCTGACGATCTCGTGAAAGCAGATGCAGCGCGGCCTTCGAAAAAGCGGGTCAAAATGACAGATGGAACAAGCAGAACTGGTGGATGATATTACTTTGAGAATGATCTGCCGCTGGCTCTCTCGGGGCTTTGACGAGAGCTCCAGTCTATGCTGGGGTGGTGATTGGGTAACCATACGATTACGGTCGAAGGTGAGACAGCGCGAGGTAATCATGATCAGTAGTGGTTAACGGATTTGCAAGGGAACTCCGGGGACCATTTTACGGCAATAATGGAGATATTTGATCGTTACTAGGAAATGAGAGGCATCTACAGGCTGAGTCCTACGAAGGCAATCAGCCGTAACACGTAAACAATCTTCCCTGCTTTGGTGATGGGGTTTCCATGTCACGTGCCATTTCAACAGTCTTCAAATTTGATCTGGATCTCTCCTCAAGTGCTTTATGGGAAGTTCTTCTAATCTTTTGGATGCTAATGAACCGAAGGCTTTCCTCTAGACTGCAGCCACCCCAACGCTAAAGCCATTTCCAATGGCATCACAGTACCTATCCTTCACATTTGGTATACCTCACAAACGCCTCTGGAATGCCGCGTGAATCATCCATCCATATTGTCTCATTCATCACCCCTAACCCTTCTGTCTTAAAAAGCCTTGAAGAAACCCTGCGAGACCCTTTTTATCAGGAGATGTCGTCATAGATCTGATGAAGTCCGTTCCATCAATGCCCATGGCTGGGAAGAACGATTGTTGAAGGTGCTGGATGAACATATCACCAGTCTTCATATAAATCGTTTGCTCTAAGCCTGCAATTTCATTAAGCACCTGCTTGGCTTGAGCATCTGTTGCAGGGCGAAACGAAGGCTCCCCTAGCACTTCCCAGCAAATGGGATGGAACCTCTCGATGAGAAAGCGATCGAAGCCGGGGAAAGCTGGAGTTGGAGAAATATTCGACGAGAGCGCCTGTGCCGAGAGAGTCGCAACATTCGGTCCACCCCAGAGATCAGCCATGCGTGTGATGACAGAGAACGCCAGTCGACTGGCGGAGAGGTTTCCAGTTCCGCTGCTAACAGTCGTCGCCAGTCCCGTAACAGACACGATCAGAGGTTCAAAGAATCCTTGATTCGAATCGCTTACAAGGACAGAGCCTAGCTCGTTGTTCAGTATAATTTGAACAAACGTAAGATATTCCCTCCTCAATTCAGCGAGCTGGATTTCATCATCGGTGCCCGTGACAGGCTCAGCTAACCCAGCAAACACTCTTTGGAGGAGTGGGGTAAGCAATGAGTCCAGCACAGTATAAATTTCCTTCTTGAATCCAAAGACAACTTGGTCCAACAGACGAAGAAACATTGCCATCTCATCTTTAGAAGAGCTCTCAGAAAGCAGGCCATCAATCCAGCGAGGAAGTAGGGGCAGCATCCTAACGCCCAGAACTCCCATAAGCCTGGAAAAAGATGCCCGTGCTGCTGTCCGAACGTCAAACGAGCTCTTAAGCGCCTCTAGTGCAATGAGAATTGCTTCCGCTGCACGGCCAAACTCTTCGGATACCTCGTTCAACGGAGCATTATGGGCAGTCGCTGCATTTCCAGGAGTCCAATCAGAAAACCCATGTGCCAGAGTTCCCAGAGCCATTATAACGTGATGGATCTGCAAGATTGCTTGAGCGTCACCAGCTTTGGCCGGAGCTAGGTTCCTTTCTATCTCAGAGAACAATGGATCCATGATTGTCCTTGCGTATAGGATTTGTGTCTGAACAGGCGTCGTTGACGTTGAAGACATACAACCAATTGCCTCAAACAGGTAGAGCTGTGCATTGAATGCCGCATCAGCAGAGTGATCGCTCTCATCAGAAGACATGTCATCGTCGGCTGTCTCGCTTGGAACCTCGGCCTTGATAGGTAAGAGATCGCTGATGGACTGAATCACGGTCTCTGCAACATTCCCAACGTGAGCTCGGAGGTGCTTCACAAATCGGTGGAAAAGGTACCACGAGCGGGTGCGGACCCTGATGTGAGTGTGATGAACAAGACGAACAAAGTGCTCCAGAACTTGGGGAATGAATCCGGTTTGGTTCTCGAAGAAAGAGCAATAACGGACACAAATCTCCATGTATTGCAGCTGAATTGCAGGATGAGCAAAAGATGCAATGCCTTGGAGTTATCATTAGCCTCTTGGTTCGTGCCATACACCTTGTTCAAAGCTTACCGGAGTCGACCATTTTTGACATCATGACGATCAAGCGCTCAGCTGCCACGCTTGATGGCTGGCTTTTGGCGTAGAGACCACCGTTGGGGACAGTGAGCTCTCCAAATAAGTACATCTCATGGAGAGCGAGATCAAGGTCACGCCAATCCATTTGGCCCCCTTGTTGATCGAGTGTCTGGAAAGTATTCCCAACAACATTGCTCAAAATCTCGACGTATAGTCCCTGATCAACAGCTGCCACACTCTTTTGCAGTACCTGTAATCTCTTTCTCAATTCCTGGAATTCAGCTTCGTCAGTCTGCTCGTCCTCATTTCCCCAAGATGATGTCTCATCGTATCTCATCTTTTGAATAATAGCGTTTAGAACTGGCGTCAACATAGCTGAATAGGCTGGTGGAAGAGGCTGTGCTCTGCGCAGGAAAGTAAGAACATCTGTAAGAGATGGAATGACAGTAGAGCAGATTTCGTCATATTCGTCAGAAAAGAAACGTAGAAGGAGAGGTAGGAAGGATTGAATGAGTTGCTCGGCTTGTGCTCGAGTCTCAGCGGGTGCCAGGTTATCTTCCAAGACTTTCACAATGTCGAACACTACATTGTTAACGAGCTTCGCAACAGCTTCTGCAAGATCCGTATCATAACTAGACGTAGTGCGTAGATCGTGTAAGGCGGGACTTGCTATGAGTTGAGAGACCACGTCTCCAAGGTTCAGAAAAACAATCATCCCGATTTTGTCAGACGCTTTCATTTTCTTGGCCACAATTTCAGTGAAGGTGTCAATCGCTGCATCCCGGACTTTGTCTTCTCCATTGGTGGAGTTCGTCCTCCCAACGAGTTGAAACAGCAGGTTGAGCGTGTCCTGATTCACGATTAAAGATATATCGATCCAGCTCACCCACTTCCCGATAACCTTGAGGCACATCTCCACCACAGCATCATTCCGGTCTCTCCATTGTGTGAGGATTTCCTGCCAAGACGCGGCTACCTTTGGGACATCACGAGCTCGGAGAATGTCTTTCAGCTCGGTATTCCGTTTTGTCTCTGATCCAGAACGAGTAACGAGCACATCCGCAATCTCGTCATGAATCGAGCTAAGAACCCTCAAGTAAAGCACAACACCTGCGATATTATCCCTTGATCCATTGTTTTGAAGCCTAGTCTGAGCAAGAAAATCGTCCAGGAAGCTCTCCCAGCCCTGCTGATAAAGGGCTATGAAGAGAAACGTCAAGGTCTGCGTGAGCTTATTCTGAAGACTGGGCGGGTCAATCTGGTCTTGACTGCCTGACCCGTATGTCCGCCTAATGTACTGCAGAAAGGTTTCTTTGAGGTGGGTTAAGCTACCTGCATCCAACTGTTGTGTCTGAATAGAATTATTGACCACATCCAATGACACCAGCCGGACAACTTCGGAGCATTTCGGAGATCTTGTGAAAAGTGTGACGCAAGCCTGCCTGCCCTGAGCATCAGAGCGGAGCTGGTTGAGGAACTCAAAGGCTTGAGCTTTGAGACTTTGGTCGGAGGAGGGGTTCCATGCTATCTCAATGGCGTTTTCGACCTGGCGGAAGAGGGCTGTGAGCTGAAGTTCAATATTGAGGGCTGATGTGGTGGTGTTGACATCACAAGACCCCACCATGGCGAGGTTCATGAGATGGCGGTGTCGACTTACCTGAGAGTCCATGACGTCCCGCACTCAGATGTGAGCGCCAGAGTGTCAGATAAAGGTCTGCAGATATCTGTTCTTACCGCTACGAGGGTCGCAGCAGTCGAACTCGAGCATATATCATGCTTCCCCTGAGGGTCCGCTATCGAGTCATGGTTTTTTAAGGTGGTAGGTGACGAGGGCGTTACGGGAAAGCGGATTCTGCAAAACCGCTGGGTTTAAGGGAATGTAGTGACCAATGTGCTGTCTCGTAATGAGGATCGCAGGTTGGTTGGGGCAAGATGTCCTTTGGGCTTGTGTACAATAAATTCAGTGCCAGAAGCAGAAGATGTTCCGGACACCCCACTGACCAAAATATGGAAAGCCACTTTAGCAGGGATCATCAGGTGGGTTCAGCCACAGTTGTGTGTGCTCAGCCTCATACTTTGAAATAGGTCACGAGGACGCAGTAGGATGATACACACACTAAGAAGGAAGTGAGTTTATTTTGATTTACACATAAACAATTTGAAATTCATTGTACATAATCGGTTGAATTACTGTCCAAAGTCCATGTTCTTTGGTGAACTGCAGCCCATGCAAACGCCAGCAATGAGATCTAAACCGCCATTCTACGAAGCGCCAACCTCTGACGCAAGTACACGATAGCCATGATGCAAAAATAAACCCCAGCAACCAAGATCACCACAAAGGCCAGTAGATCCAACGGAACAAAGACTCCCGCGAGCAAGAATCCCAGACCCACTCTGCGTAGGTATCGTAACTTGGCATCCGAGAGCGTATTCCTAACAAATATCTCATCCTGGTTGAACTTCCTGGATCTTGGATGTTCGTCCTCCTGCTGAAGTGGGTTGAGATTCTCTGCATCTCATTGGAATGCAAAACCTCCGGGAAACCCTTGTGGAGCGCCTCGTTGTCGTCCCCCACCAGGCATGCCTCCTCCGAACTGATGAAAGCCTCCTCCACTGCGCCCACCTCCACCCATTTGTGCACCAAACATCTGCATAAGAATTTCAGGATCGATGCTCATGCCCCCGCCCATTCCGCCCCCACCAAAGCCTTCCATTGGATCTACGAGGTCCTCACCACTATCGTAGCGTGCACGTTTTCTATAACTTGGTCAGCATCTTCATTCGGTGTGTGTAGGGGTTGGCATACTCGGGATCACTCAAAGTCTCATAAGCCTCGCCAATATCCTTGAATCTCTCAGCTGCTTGCTCATCATCGGGATTCTTGTCTGGATGATGGATGATAGCAGCCTTCCGATAAGCCTTCTTGATCTGGTTCTCATCTGCATCCTTCTCAACCCCTAGAATCTTGTAATAGTCCTTCCGCTTGCTCTTCTTCAACTCCAATTCCGCTTTTCGTAGCTCCTTCGCGATGCTACCATCTTGTGGATCCTGCTCTTGCAGGTCTTTCAACTCACGTACTGCAGATTCCCAATCACCAGATTGACCCAAAGCAGTTGCCTTAGTCTTCTTTGCTTTGGTATAGGTAGGGTCAAGAGAAATCGCACGCTCACAATCCGATATTGCGCCGTTGTAGTCTTTGAGTTGAACTCGGCATAAAGCTCGATTCTGCAGAAGCTTCGAGTTGGTGCCTTTGTTGAGTGGATCAACCTCAAGCGCTTCGGAATACTTGTCGATCGCCGCTTGCCAACGTCCGGCCTTGTAATCTGCATTTCCGTCGGCCTTCATTTTATCCAACTTTTGAACCATCCTCAGATATTTGACGGCATCTCTGTAGTCTGGGTCACAGTTCAGGGCCTGTCGGAAATGCTGCATCGCCTTGTCGTTCTCCCCTTGTGCGTACAGAGCCCGCCCCCGCAGTACTAAAGCTTCCGGATCCTGGCTGTTGTTTCGTAGGAGAGACATAGCAATATTTTGGGCGTCTCCCAGTGCATTGATATTCCCCATCTTGAGGTACGCTTCTCCTCTCATCAATTGCCATTTTCGAGGCTTCGGAGCCCCCAACCCAAGCAATTTCTCAGCCTGGTCAAGAGCATGTAGCGCCATAGATCCAGTAGTCCCATTCTTCAGCGCATCTTCTGCGACCTCAATATGTCCAAGCATAGATTTGGCAGGAGCGATGTCCTTTGCTGATGGTGCCGGCTGAATGCGGGCATATGTACTCAGAGCATCTTGTGGGCGGCCTAGACTGGTATAGACGCGTGCAAGTCGGAGAAGAATCTTGGGGTTTTGTGGATCGAGTTCATCTGCTCTTGAACAATCATTCAAGGCATCGTTGTATTGGCCATTCGAAATATATGCTGCCGCTCTGTTGCTAAGATAGGTGGCAGATGAAGGCTGTGCTTCAACAGCTATGGAAAGGAATTTCGTCAGCTACTATTACGCTTGGTATTCCACCTGGATTCTTTACCTTTCGTATATTCTTCAATAGCCTTCTTATACTCCTTCGCCTTGTAAAATTTGTTGCCCGCAGTCTTGAAAGCCTCCGCTTCTTCTGGTGTGGATGCGGGTACCGTAGCAGGACTCGTAGGGCTTGACTTGTGTGGAGGAGGGACAGGACCTTCATTACTTTGAGAGCCATTTGTGCCGTTCATCTTCGGAGAGTCGAAAGAGCCTGGCATGTTGGTTTGAGGTGATGGGGAGGCTGGCGCACCATTTGGGCCTTCGCTATCAATGTCCATGCGATCCGGGTCCGACATGCTGGACAAGGCAGAGAGCCTGCGAATCTGGTCTGGAGGGAGGTTTAGAGGGTGGGTGTTCAGATCGAAGGGATGCCTTGGAGACTCTGGGCCGGCTTTAGGAAAACTGCGACTGTTGCGGGCAGACCCTTGTCCAGGCCTGTGGTTCTCTTCCTTGCCTCTGCCTGATTTCGAGGAGGAAGAGGAGGATTTCTTCAATGGCGACCGCGACCGTGGTGAGTGGGATTCCTCGTCACTGGTGGGCGTCTTCTTGGGTTTTTTGGGGGACTTGGAGAAGATGTTCATTTGAAAATAGGTCCCGTTGATAGTCGTGCGTTGAAGGCCGTGAAGTGAGTAGCCGGTTCCGCTCCGTGGTGGAATGTGAGATGTGGTTGGTTCAATCCATGCAGCCGCGGGAAAGCTAGGTAGGTATTCTTCTGTATTCTTTTCGGACTGTCTTGCTGCTGCAAGGGAGCACAGGGAAAGCAGAAGGAAAATTGAGGGAAGAGCAGCAGCTTTGGATGCAGAATGAAGATAAAGAGCTTCGGACGCTGGCTGGCCGGTGGTGTCGCCTTGGTTACAGGCTCGCAGCAGTTCTGGGTGCGGGCGTCAATATTTTTTCAGCGCTGTCCACTCGCTGGTGATCTCCGCGAAATCTGCCTCGTCAGTGGTCGGTGCTTTTTTGGGGGTGCATCGAATCTTCCAGAACCAGGTTCACTGACGGGAGCCGGAAAGGGCGCGATTCTCAGCTGAGAGCAAAGCGAAAGGAGTGGGTAATTCCGTTGTTACGAGAGACGCCGTTGTTATTCCCAGCGGACTTCTTTCTGCATCATTCTTGAAAATATTCAGATGAAAAAGTTTCATCATGTGATTCAACGGAACACGATAGGCGATAAGAGAGCAGTGAAATAACCCCCTCCCTCTCTATGTTTCAGCCTTGTCAATATTTACAAGAGCTCGCGTCCCCACCCTCCAGTCACCAACAGAGAGCTTCAATGATCTCTGTGAATCGGACAGCTTGGGGGGCTGTGGTTTGACGGGACGGTGTAGCCTTCTTTTTGGTCCTTTTGGTTTGGGCAAGCAAGCATTGGCAAGTGGCATCAATATTTACACCCCAAGGCCCCTCGCCTTTAAGAGCTCAACTCTATCCTTAACCTTTCTAATTAATAAATGATCATCTAATCCTACCATCATCCAAAACTGACTCTCCAACGATCATCTGAAGTACACCGGAACGCCGTAAACACATACAGATGCAGCGTTCAGGTATCGAAGGTTACACGCCTCTCTTCCCTTGGCAACCGCCTCCACCAATGACATTTGTCCACTTTGCTCTGCCTTCAGTCTTCCCTTGCCTTTCCCCACTGTCCCTGGTTCAAAAAGACCCCAGTGCTCAAAAGTGCTCTTCGCAAATCTATCAATATCCTTATCCGTAACGTCCCACAATGTTGCAACCAAGGCAGGACAGCCGGCATGCATGTAGTTGGTGGGAGGCCCATATGGCTCGAAAAGGCCGGTCTCGATAAGAGCTCCACTGCTACAACCCATGAGCATGGCGACGGCACACTTGTCGAGCTTCTTGATCTCTCGAGCTCGAATGTACTGAGCTCCACTTCCGTGGCCGAAATATAAGAGGAGATCCTTCGATGTCAATGCTGTCTTGATCTCGTCCTCACTTGGCTCTCTGTTGGTGATGCCATCCCAGCTATTCAGACTCTCAAGGGATTTCTGGAATGTACTTTGTGTATGTTTAAGGTCACCACTTGGATTGAGAATGTAGGATCCGTTTCCTTGACTGATGTAGTGTCCATCCGGAGCATCCTTTGGCACATCTTGGTCCTGCTTAATTACTCTTTCCCTCAGGCAACCAAGGGATGGCAAACGCGACACTGCAAGACCATCCATACAAGGCAAGGACTCCCAGGGGAAGGCGTGCAGCGCTTTGTCGAGTATAAGAATAGTGTGGCGGCCCTCGTCGATTTGATTAGATCCCCGAACAGCTTGGTGGTAGGACCGCAACGCATCGTGTGTCTCCACGACAATGGAGTCAAAGTCGATCTCTGCATACGCGTTGAGTTCTCCGTGAAACTGCAGAACATCCACAACAAAATAGAGCAAGTCAGTCAATGGCTCTGAAAAATCACAGTCCTCATCCGACGCGTCCCCTAGTCCGATGAAAAGGTCCAAAATCCGAGAGTCCAATGTGATGCGTGGCACATTAGTCTTCTTTCCAGTCTTCTGCCTCGATGGGAGGTGCTTGTCCAGGATGTTTTGAAATGATTTCTGGAAACGTGCAAGCAACTCTGGTCGTCGTGCATGCTGGGAAAAGATTCCGGTAAAGCCTCCCAGCCAGACCTTTTCTATATTTTCAAGGAGATCTCTGAGACGCGCGTCTAAGGCTTCTCTTTGCTCCCACCAAGCTTGTCTAGCTTCTCGTCCACTTCTACTGTGGGCATCGTGAGCACTCTCATTTGCGAGGTCGATGACTTCCAGGAGCTCAGAGCGACCTTGTTCGAACCCGAAAACTTCCTCGTCTGCGTCCATTGAATTATGTCGTGCGAGTGGTAAGCGTAAAATAAATGGGCTATGCCCAGCTTGGAATTTGGTTATTGACAGCTCGTGATGGCTCTCGCTAAGGGAAACTGAGATCACCGTCCATGACTTGGGAATAATATCGATATGGTCCTTCTGGAACCGAGACGTATCGCCATGGAATCCTAAGCTAGACCTTCTAGCATCACAACATCCGACATTAGGCCAGGACGATTCTTCTAATTTCGATGTAGGGTGCGAGTCAACGCGAATGGCTTTGGATTCCCGACGACATGCAAGAGTTCGTGCCGTTTCTAGAAATATCAGTCTGGAGATGGTAGGCATTAGGGGTTGAGTATACCAATGAAGCAACTTGCAAACCCAGGATTTGCCAGAATTTTACCCTTGACTTGACCAGCGGCAGAGAGGAGAATCGCAACGCTGTTTAGCAGAGTGGATACTTTGTAAATGACAGCCATTGGAGCGACAGCAATAGCGATGGAATGTACTTCCGTTAAATGCTCTTGAGCTTGACGCAACTTGTCAAAGAAGCTATCAGGTGCTGGGCTCTTCGATCCCGCCCGATCCCGGTTATTTCTCGACATCTGAGCCTTCCTAGGAGGAGATACTTTAATAACAGATAGTCTATCCCCATGTTTCTCCATTTTTGAAGATCCTACAACTGATGGGAACGATATGGTTGAGTCTTGCAACACGGAATAGACTGGATCTGCGTTCATCTGTTCTACGCTGTGCAGCAGGAGATGCTTCGCTCTCGCGAGGCCTTGATCAACAATTTCGATCTGAGTGTTGGCGAATGCTTCAGCTTCATTCAGACACTCGAGTGCCTCAGCAAACTTCATGTTGGAGATCAGTGCCCGAGCTTTATCGCGTAGGATCACAGCTTTCAGTAATGTTAATTGAGGGCATTTTTCAGCTACTAATGGACCCTCCTCGGTTTGTGAGTGTGCTTGGGCAACAGTTTTGTCCTTTGCTCCAGCAGCCTTGGGACGTCCAACAGCCTTTCGGGAAGCTGGCTCCCTTCGTTTTGAAACCGTGAGTTTGGGCATCTGCTCATGCACATCGCTGGACTGGTCCGGAAACTTGTCGAGAAATTCGATATAAGTCGCCGTTGTGAGAGACTGAAGAACATCTTGTGCTTGGTCATATGCAACAATTTCGGCATCTCGATCACCAAGGAGGCCATGCATACTGCCCAAGTGATACATCCGGAGTGCTGTGTCTCGATTCTTCTCGCATGGGGTTGAGACTTGCTGAGCCTCCATCAGGAATTCTGACCCTTTCTCCAGGTTTCCAGATTTCAACCAAATAGATCCCAAATGAGCAGCGGCCATAGCCAGATGAGTTTCCGATCCAACTTCCGTTGAAAGTTTGTAGGCTTGCTGCGCATAATACAGTGTTTCTTGAAACATGCCGTGATGAGCGTAGAGTTGTGAAAGATACCTGAGACCGTGGAAGAGAGGAGCGACAAGATTCCAAAGGGTTGAACCGCTAGACGTTCGGACAATCGAAACATCCATTTGCATGTTGGTAGTGGACAAGTTGAGCTGTGAAAGCTCCTGGACCAGCTTTTCTGTTGCTTTCTGGCTGGAAGAATCCGGCAAACTGATTTTTCTCCCCGTTTCTTCTTCTGTATTTGCCCAAGCACGCCGTAGGAGCCGGACACACTGCTTGGCATGAGTAAGTGCAAGTGAAGCGGTCCCACGTTCCATAGCCAACATGGAGTACAGAAGGCAGGCGTCAGATATCAAAAGATTCATTTTCGTCTTTTGTTGAAGACCAGAAACTGATCTTTGTCTGGATAATTGGTCTTTTGCTAGCGAATACATACTTTGCGCAGACGCCAGGTAATCCTCACTACACAATGTCAGCTTTTCAGATATCACAGACCCCACCAAGATCTTACATTTTGTCTAGGTTACCTATGGCCAGCAAGTATTGAGAGTACGAAATATGCAGCTGTAGAGACGCAAATGCGGTGACCCCATTCTGTTGATTGTATATTCTTGCCCTGTCCAATGCCAGTCCAGCCTTTCTGGAGTATCCAAGCTGTAGCCATTGGACTCCAAGACGTGTGAACCCGAGAACAAGATCATCCGGGCTAGATTTATCACTATAAAGTTCGTCGATATCCGCTATCAATCGTAAAACGGCGACTCGAGCAGTAGCATGCCCCTTCATCTCAAAGTAGTCTCCAATGGTGTGTAGATGGGCGACAAGACCTGGGATGTCATCCACCTGACGCTCCAGAGCCGCAAACTCTTCGCAACGTTTTCTGATGGACGACCACACTCCAAGACTTTCTTTCAGAACATCAACGCTTGGCTTTTCTTGCCGAAGCTCGGTTGTCGTTAATGCCATGGCACGCAAGTGCTCAAGATACCCTGCCAGACGCTCATCCCTCGTCCCTTCGATGGTAAGCCCCGTCATTGATGTAACACTCAGTTCCGTGGGCACATCCTGCACAATTTCCTCCAAGTTTTCTATGTCCAACGGCCACAACCGTAGTAGAATTCGAATCCGTCGAAGGGGAAATCGTGCTCGGTCGTATACTGAAAGAAGTTTCCGCAAAGCCTGGGACAGAAGACAGTGAGCAGTTGTTGACTCACTTGCTTGCTTTGATAGTGTATCAAGCTGAAGTTCCAGAACCGCACCAATTTCCTCTTCTGACCATGACGATTGAAAGAGTGAGATTTCCGACACTGAGCTTGAGTACTTTATCTGTACTCTGAGAAGAGATTGGATCGTCCGGCCAAGCGTGGCCGCCTCAGCATCCTCTCCATTCCAAACCACCTTAATCGGCCGGAACGAAGCCATTTCAGCTACGGCGGAAAGACAGCCATCACTGATTATTTCGTCTCGGAGGCTGGATAGTGTCTTGGAAAGCTCATCATAACGACCTGTCGTCTTACAAAATTCTGCCAATCGCTCAAGTTTTGTAGGCAAGAGAGCTTCCTTTCTCTCCTGGCACGGCCGTGCTCGAACGGCATCGATGGACCGCCGTAGAACTCGAAGTTGCTGGCTGTCTTTGGTACTGTCAGGACTCCGCCGCATGTCAAGATACAAAGTATAATAAAGATTCGAAATTCTAACGTGGTGCGATGACGGTCCTTCGCATGCAGTGGCGTCGTCACGGCTCAGGTCAAGTCGATTAAGAAGCAAAATGCAATCTTGAAGCTTCGAGTCGACCAAGTCCCACGCCATTTGGCCTTCCCCGAGAAATGTCCTCGCCAAAAACAATACTGAATCTATTGAATTAAGAGCTGGTTTGCTGATGAAGTATCGCCGTTGCTCATGGCGGAGGATGTCTTTCGTTGCAGAGTTGACATCCGGAGGGCTTCCTAAATATCTTATTGATAATCGCGGGCATAAGAAGACTAGAGATTCACACATTTGACGGAGACCGTCAGGCATCTTGTTGGCGGCAGTCGGCCCTGACGAAACCTTATACTGAGAAAGAACAGTCATGGCAGATCTTCTTGCTTGAAACGCTTCGATCAACAGGTCATCGATCTCGGAGGATTCGCCCTTGAAAGGGCGTTCTAGTTCTTCGAGGAGGGTAAGGAGTAGTCCTTCGTCCTTGGGATTAATGGTTGTCATTCGAAGCTTGAGCGATACCAATCGAGCAATGGCAGAGCATCTCTTCGCTTCTGAGTCGATCTTGGGATCTAAAGTTTTGCGGTATTCTTCGGTCCATTCAATTGCCTCCGAGATAAGGTTTGCATCTTTTGCAAAGGATCCAAGGATTTTGTAGATGCCTCCGAGTACGCACTTGAGACCGCGTGGTTGAGAATCGGAGCAATCATTAAGTAGAGTCATGAGGTCTGCAGTAATAGAGGCGGATATTCGATATTTATCAGGTGCATCACTTCGACTTCGTCGAGCAAATGATGAAAGGCACCGGAGGAAAGGATCAAATATCTCCCTAGACAGGTTTCCCTTATGGCCCACAATCCCCCACCAAAGGAATCGGTTATGGAAAGCCAGAGTCTGCAACTGAACTGCGGCCTCCGGTATTACACTGAGTCTTCCCTCGACAGCAAGAGCATCGTCTGCTGGGGAGACACTAGGAGTGATGGATAGCAGTATCTCTGACAGGTTTTGGAGCTGGCGACTAAGCTTCTCCGCTCGTTTAAGGTCTTTTGACTCCTTGGCGGCCAAGAGGAGTAATCTCGTTGGGGATGACGGATGACTGGTGATTAATAACGGGAGAGCAGCTTCAGCATGCTGTGGCTTCCGGGAAGAGGCCATCAGTCGTAGGATCTGCAGTTGAGTTGTGATCACCAATCCTAATCTCGCCCCTGTGAACTGTGTCTTCCCAAAATCTAGCAATTCAGGCAAGGTCTGGGCATTTGCTGTGGGTGACACCTTTGGTACAGAGCTCTTCTTTGATCCATCTACTGATTCCAGCCGGCGCTTCAAAATCCTCAATTCTTTGGTTGCCAGATCATCCAATCCTAACGATACAAGCTTCCCGATCAACACAGACATCCCATTCTCGAGTTGAAGATCTGGGAAGTCGATGCCTGCTATTTTGGAAGCTTGCAATGTTCGAAGGCAGGAGAATGCGATCCGAGCACATTCGGCAGTGGACCGGTGTTCAGAAGAGGCAATCGACGATGATGATGAAGAAGATGGCCTGATCTCACGACTAGATATGCTTGGAGAGCTCGAGACTCTGTTTAGGGACCGGGGCTGTAACGGGGATTGAGGTAATGAATTCGACCGCCGAAGTGCTTTCCTCGCAGAAGCTTTAATCACGTCCTTGGAGGAGCCTTGCCCCTGTACTGGCCCGGAGACGGGTGCCCTGATGGCATCGCTGAGGTTTTTGAGAGTAGCATTGATAATCTCGGTGGCCAATATTGACCTTTCCTTCGGTGACAACTGATTTTCACCTTTCCCCAGTTTGTCTTCGCTTGCAACTTTCTGATTTCTAGACTTCGAAGCCGGCTTTGTAGATTTATGTTTCGACGATGCGGTGGTTTTCGTAGATTTTATCGAACTTGAGGCAGTTGTAATATGTTGAATGCCGGTCTTGGGGAGTAAGAGCTCGCTGAGTAGTGTTGCCGTGACCGGTGCGCAGGTCGAGATTGAGCCCACAGCGGCGCGAATCGAGTCTGCGGTGGCTTGAAGAGAGGCCATTACGATACAAACACTAAGTACAGCAAGTGCAGTGTTATCGAAGAGTACGCATTATACAAGATGCCAATGGGCAGATCAATGGTGTTCAACATTCAATTGTGTAAGACAACCAAACCCAGTTAGAAGTAGATTTCCCGCTTGGAGGGTTGGCCTGGCAACGTCGGCGAATAGATATTCCGGATCCGAACTTCGAAAATTGGTGAACCTCGAGCTTGCCTCGAAATTAAAATGCATCAACACTTCCATTTTGACAATTAGCGATGAACAAGACAAAGATGCTCCGCCAATTTCTTCTAGCGCTACCTGCCATTCGCACCTCACTACTGCCTCTTCGACCGAGAGCACTCCACCCTCTGCTCCATCGACAATATGCAACAGCACCAAATGTCGCTCAAACATCGTTCTGGCTCAGTCTGATCCCGAAACCCCTCCGCCAAAGCTCTCCCCGTGCAGCTTTGAAGAAGAAAGTCAGGTCTAAGGAGTGGAATCCTGCTACTTTCTTCATCATTATATTCCTCTTAATTGGGTCCATGTCCATCCAAATGATTGCATTACGGAACGAATTCGCAGCGTTTAGTCGCAGAGCTGACGCAAAGATTGGGCTGCTGAAGGAAATAATTGAAAGAATACAGAACGGGGAAGAAGTTGACGTGGAAGGGCTACTGGGTACAGGAGACAAGGAGAGGGAGAAGGAATGGGAAGAAGGTAACTTTGCTTCCGTAAAACAACAGTGGTTATCTAATGGGTATCATGTAGTTCTCCAAGAAATCGAACGGGAAGATCAAGCATGGGAGCAGTCAAGAAGAAGTAAGCCCAAACATGGAGAGGGGGAAATTGCGAAAAAAGCGCCGATTGAAATACCTGCCAAGGTGGAATCAAAATCAAAGGCAACGTCGAAAACCAATGCGCCCTCAGGATTCTATTGAAACCTTGTATTTGGGTCTATCACTTTCATGTACAGCATATACAACTCTATTCTAGGACAGCATGTCCTTGGAGATGCGACTATTTATGCTCCGTTCTTCTGCATGGGAAGGATCACTTCTGTGTTGATCAGAGACTCCGTTACGCTTCAGTTGATCAACCAAGTCGGGGAGGATCTTGTCTGTTCCCATGTCGATTCGAACACCGGATTCTCCCTGCTGACTGACTAGCAAGTCCTGGAAGAAAGCATCCTCTCCCCTGACTCCACCGAGATTCAATATCCCAATCGGCATTCCCCTTTCTTTGGCACGCCTCGCAAGCCTCCACGCAGAATATGTTGCCAGAGAGGTTCCCAATATCAGCAACCTACCAGATCCGTCAATTACATGCTCAGCCGCCTCCTTCACCCTAGGCGCAATGCTCTCTCCAAACATGACAACAGACGGCTTCAGAATTCCAGCTGTACTTGTTGACTTCCAAGCACCTTCGTGGTCAATGTCGACTTTCGACTGGACACCATCACCGGAGATCGGTGGGTTCGCCAGACAATGAGGACAGGGCGGGTATCTAAATGTGTGGTAGGGGGCCCCCGGAAGATCAACGTCTCCATCCGGGTTCGTTTTCATCCCTCTTGCGCGCCTTTCATCTGGATTCTCCGTATCTAATGCTCCTGATGCAACTGCGTCGGTCAGAAACGCAGCCCAGACTGGATTCAACCTTGCCAACGACTCTTGGAAGTCGTCCCTTGCCAACTCTCTGTGGCAAGTTACGCATATCAGCGCCCGAAGAAATCCATGAAGCTCAAGAGTCGGGAGGTCCGGATGGGCTATCGAATGAAAAGAATCTACATTTTGCGTAATGACGTTCCGAACGAAACCCATCTGCCCAAGAGTCTTAATAGCATAATGGGTAACATTCGGCTTGGCCTTGTGTAGATTCGTCCATCCTAAAAAACTCCGGGCCCAATATCTCTTCCTCGCTTCATGATTTGCCAGAAATTCATGATAATAAATTGGTCGATACGTCTTATTCACCCTATATGTCCCTTTCGTCCCTCTGTAGTCGGCTAGGCCAGATGCAACCGAGATGCCTGCACCAGATAGTATTACCGTTGAAGTCGGGTCTCCGAACCCATCTTGTAAGAATGGCGAAGGAGGGGCTGTGAGGAATGTCGAGAGTGCTGCAATTGCCCCAGTGATAGTATTTGCATTTCTCGGTATGGTATTGGGAGGAGGTAGAGGGCCTTGCCGTGGTTAGCAAGGGGGGATTGGGAGGATTGCATTGAGTGGACTCGAGATGTTTCCGGCGTGGAGATGTAAATCCAGCCCTCGCTCTCTTCTGAACGATGAGGTTGAAAGGGTCACCTACCCGTATAGGGAATTCTCATAAGCGGCCTTTGCATTGAGGAACCAGCATCGAAACTGCACTGCGTATGGAGCTCAACAGAGTGTCCACTCGAACGAAGATGGGTTGGTTGCCGATTGAAGTGAGGATATTCGCGTCATGACCGCCACACATTCAGCCGTGCTTAGTAACAAACAGTCAAGACTCGACCCGCAGCCTCCGGCAACCGCGACGGCTATTATTGGAGCAGTGCAGTGTGGGCCCGAGAAGGTGAAGAAGAGTGGGCGGCGCCCTGTGGTGTTGGTCCACTGCCCCTGGCAAAGACTTCGAAATGGCTCGGGATTGATTGACTGGCCTGGCTCCTCGTCAACTTCTTCGTCATTGGGCTTGCGTCTCTTTGCCCTTGGCAGCACTCACAGTTCGAGCAATTGTCCAAGTATTAATGCGAGAATCACTAGACACGCGTCCTGGGTCGCAGGTTTGACCTGGCAGAGGTCTCCCCAGCGGACGTCTTGATCATCCATCATTTATTTATGCCTTTCCGCTGCTCCTCGAATCGGGCGCGGTTAAGGCCTGTCACCGCATTGAGGCTGAGAACACATCAACCACAACAATTGAGGGTTCTCCAAACTGCCGCCCTCGACTCTGCAGCTCTTCGGTCCTTTACAAAAGGCTGCATCCCCTTCCACTCATTTCCGAAATTCCAATCTCTCACGAATAGCTTCAACCCTCGACACCGTCCAATGGCGGCCCTCACACAAACGCAGACGCGCTCTCACGGCGGTCATTCCCATCATCATCATGACAATACCTACCTCACTTCTACAAACAAAAATGATGCCGGGGTGCGGATAACTCGAATAGGCCTCTACTCCAATCTTGGCATGGCGGTTGCCAAAGGAGTAGGAGGATACGTTTTCAATTCGCAGTCCATGATTGCAGATGCATGGCATAGCTTGACGGACTTGGCCAGTGACATTTTGACACTGGCCACGGTGTCATGGAGCTTGAAGCCACCTACCGCAAAATTTCCTACTGGCTTCGGAAAGGTGGAGAGTTTGGGGTCTCTGGGAGTCAGTGGCATGCTTCTGTTCGGAGGATGCTTTATGTGCCTGAACAGTTGCGAGATATTATACGCACATTTCTTCCTCGATGCACATGCTGCTGCCGAAGCAGCCATGCACTCCCACGGCCATAGTCATAGCCATGCAGCCATCGGGCCCAGTCTGCATGCTGCCTGGCTTGCCGCTGGAACAGTCATTTTGAAGGAGTGGCTGTATCAAGCAAGTAAGTACATTCGTTTCCATTGAACACCGGCAACGACTGACGTTGGTCCCCATAGCAATGAAAGTTGCGAAGGAACGAAAATCATCAGTTCTAGCTTCCAATGCGATCCATCATCGAGTCGATTCTCTTACCGGGATCGTTACCTTGTTTGCCATTTTAGGGGCTAATTTCCTACATGAAGCTGCATGGCTAGATCCAGTAGGGGGTTTCTTGATCTCACTGCTTGTTATTAAGGCCGGCTGGGGCAATACCGTCTCGGCGCTATACGAACTGGCAGATAAGGGAATCGACAGCGAAGTCAAAGCCTCAGTTACAAGAGCCGTTGAGAAAAGTCTTGTCAACCTGAAGGAAGGATCAGAAGTTGAATTGCGGGAAGTCGAGGGTGTAAAGTCCGGTCAGAATTATCTCGTCGACCTGCAGCTTGCCGTTCCAAGATCCTGGACAGTCGAAGATGTGCGCGAGGTCGAGGAGGGGGTCAGACAGATGGTTGGCTCAAAAGTACGGGGCGTTCGCAGAGTCAAGGTTAGATTCGTTCCAAAAGAGGCTGCGGAGACGTCCCTGTTCGATGAATTCATCCCGGGAGATGTGAGCCCACGATCGAGCCCGGAACCAGAGGAGAATGATCACGATCACGCAAGCACAAACGGAAATGGCAAGAAGCACCAATAGATGTGCTGTACATATCACTCGTGGAGTTTGGATATCCGGGGCCGGCGTTGATTTTTGGGAGGATAGAGAAACTTCTCAGATTTGGCAAGAAGGAGTTATAGGTGGCATTTACAAAAACTGCTGTTTATCAGGACCTTCTACTGTAGAGAAATGATGCCAATATTCCTTCCTATTAGTGCGCATAGAATGGATGCAGACGCCACAGCAGCCACAGTTGGTGTTCAGGCTAAATGTGCAGCTACCTCCTGCCCCGCTTCAACCCCACCACGAACAATCTTCTTCAAGAATTTTACAAAGAGAAAAAGAACACAGAAGGTTGATGGTTGGCTGATTGAAAAACGAGTAACATCATCTTTCAACTATAATTTCCTCGGCACAATGTCTGCTCAAAATGGGCCACTGTATCTGGGCTTTGATCTGTCAACTCAGCAACTGAAGGGTGGGGCCACGTGAGCACGTGCTTGTTACAACACAGCTGACAATCGATCCATAGCAATTGTTATAACATCGGATCTGAAAGTCTTGTACGAGGCCAAGACTGACTTCGATGCAGATCTTTCCAAATATGGAATCAAGAAAGGTGTCTTTGTCAAGGAGGAAACGAGAGCAGTCTACGCTCCCGTGGCTATGTGGTTGGAAGCCGTAGATATTGTTTTCCAGAGACTCAAGGACAAGGGAACACCGTTCTGGAGAATAAAGGGCATTTCCGGGTCTGGTCAACAGCATGGAAGTGTTTACTGGAACAAGACAGGCGAGGAGTTGCTTGGCAAGCTGAGGCCTGAAGAGACTTTGGTTGATCAACTTGCAAAAACAGCTTTTGCTCATCCATTCAGTCCCAATTGGCAGGATGGGAGCACTCAGAAAGAGTGTGACAAGTTTGATGCTGAACTGGGCTCTGCAGATGAGCTTGCACAGATCACTGGAAGCAAGGCTCACCATGTAAGGTCCTCTTTAGGAAAGTTGCAATATCAGCTGACCTTGCTGCAAGCGCTTTACTGGCCCACAGATCATGAGAATGCACGAGCACCACCCAGATGTCTACCGTGCGACATCTCGAATTACCCTGGTTTCATCGTTTCTTGCCTCTCTATTTCTGGGCCGCATTGCACCCTTCGATATCAGCGACGTATGTGGAATGAATCTTTGGGATATCAATGCTGGTACCTGGTCTGAACCCTTACTCAAGCTCGCTGCTGGAGGGTATGGTCTCGAATCACTGAAGCAAAAACTTGGTACGGTTCGTGAAGATGGAGGCGGCAGCATGGGACCAATCTCGGCCTACTTTGTTCAACGATATGGCTTCCTTTCAGACTGTAGCGTTGCTCCCTTCACTGGCGACAACCCAGCCACCATTCTTTCGCTGCCATTAAGGCCACTTGACGCCATCGTATCCCTCGGGACTTCAACAACCTTCCTGATGTCGACGCCAAAGTACGTACCGGATCCCGCCTACCATTTCTTCAACCACCCAACCACAGCTGGACTGTACATGTTCATGCTTTGCTACAAAAATGGCGGCTTAGCCCGCGAGAAGATTCGAGATTCCCTGCCCAAGTCTACCGCCTCGGACAGTTGGTCAAACTTCAACGAGACCGCTCTTGCTACTCCTCCTCTCGGTCAAAAAACTCCTTCTGATCCAGCAAAACTAGGTCTTTTCTTTCCCTTACCGGAAATTGTACCAAACGTAAGATCAGGAACCTGGCGTTACACGTGTGCAAGTGACGGCTCCAAGCTCGAAGAATCAACGAATGGATGGCCCTCGGAGGCAGACGCAAGGGCAATCGTAGAATCACAAATCCTCTCGTTGAGACTTCGTTCTCAGAAGCTCGTCCATAGCCCTGTGGATGGTGTTCCACCACAACCTAGAATAATCTATCTCGTAGGCGGAGGTTCTTTGAATCCTGCCATTGCAAGAATCGTAGGAGATGTTCTAGGGGGAGTGGAGGGAGTATGGAAGTTGGACGTTGGTGGGAATGCGTGTGCGCTTGGGGGTGCTTATAAAGCTGTTTGGGCTATTGAAAGAAAAGAGGGACAGAGTTTTGAAGAGTTGATAGGGGAGAGGTGGAGGGCGAGTGAAGCTATTGAGAAGGTTGACGAGGGATATAGGGCTGACATTTGGGCAAAGTACGGAAACGTGCTTAGCACTTTTGAGCTGGTTGAGGAAAAGATCTTGGCAGGAGAGGAGAGGGATAAGTAAAAGGTGTAAATTGACCCGTGCTCATAAAAGAAGTGCCAGTGAAGTAAAAGAAACGTTTGAAGTATTCTTCCCAGGCTACTCTCGGTTATGTTGCCCCCATTTGTAGCTCGAAGAGAGACTGACAGGCAAAGCCAGTACTAATTTGAGCTATACTTTGCAGCGTTTTTCTTGGTCCCTTATACTTTCGTCGCGCCCTCGACATGCAATATTATGAGCACGTAATGGAGAGAAAAGATCTTTTATTTGGTCTACTGCTTCTTGCAAGTGTTCGGAGATGCAAAAGCTCGTTTTGGGGTCATGGCGAGTGATTTTAATTGCCAGGAGTGAATAGGTTTCTCGAGTTCCATAGAGAATACGAGATTTGCAACGTGACTGAAACAGAGTTCTATCGGTGGAGCTTGGTACAGGAATTCTTTTGTTAGCATCTTCAGCTGCAGGCTGCTATCCAAGCAGATTATCCTCCGGATTCCAGATTGCAGCCTTGTCCTCGTTGAGTTTACCTGGCTCCTCTCCTCAATCTCCCTTGTGGGAAATCGTTCATGGGCCTTGTGGTATGAGTTCTAGGTAATTCTTGTGGTTGTAGTGCATATAAAGGGCACGTTCAAAGTCGTAAACGGAAAACGACGCCACGACTGCGACTTTGAGAACAAGATCTCCACCAGACCGAATCAAATCTTACCAGTCCTCCTCGTACTTGGCAGTACGATTTTGTTTAGTTCCAAGAAGTTTTCGCATAGAGGACCATTAGCCATGATAAGCTGTCTCGTGAACTCCCTCAACTTTGACTTGCTGCGTGTATGTTCGTCAACAAAGCGCGCACCATTTGCGGTCTAGTAGTCTCCTTCGAAAAGAAGCCTAGTAAAGCTTCGTGACAGATTATCTTAAGTTTGGGAGGTCCTACGTGAAGCGTAACGGTTTCTGGGTGTGGACAGCTTGTAAAACCTAGAGGCGAAGTCAGTCCCAATTGCGAATATAAAGGTAGTGGGGTTGATTCTGTACATCTTGGACACTTCCTTGCTGCGTGATATAACTCGGAGGGTGGTGCCGCAAAACCGATCGTTCGTTGGGTCCCAGACTGCATAGCATTTCTTACACATGCATTCGGAACTCCTGTACAAGGCAGCTTCAGGAATATTCGGGGGCTTTTCCATGCTGGAAGTTGTGAGGAGAAGAGTCTTTGAGGAGCGGTGGCTCGGAAGTGAGATGATTGGGATCAATTTGCTGGTGACACCAGTTTCGAGACTCAAAGCTGGGGCATTAACGGGTATTCTGGAGTTCGCAGTCCAAGAGGTGCCATACACAACCATCCAGAGTAGCAGGCGATGAGCCAGTGAAGGAGCTCCAGGATGGAGAGATCACGGAATGGTCGCGGTCTAGGGGTAAAAAGTTTGGGAAGACCACATCGAGTACTAGACTGCTCGGAATTCTCGACCTAGTGAATAGGACGTTGCAGAAAGGTGAGCATGTTGATACAACCATCTAAACAAAGGACACATTTTTTCTCTCAGTGATGAATAGTCGAGGAAGGCGAAGTGAGAAGGCAAGCGATTCAACCAGTAAGAGCAACCATCACTTCAGGACGAGAACACTCAATCCCACGACTACCCTTCTTATCAGCGCTACACATCAACCTAGGTAAGGCCTTCCACAGACGCTCTCCAGTTATTGCGGGAAAAGCTCATTCAAGACCAGAAGAAGGCACTAAAGGTTCAATTTTTCATGCATCATTGACCTACCCAGCTCTTCACTGAAAGGATCAAGTATCTGCTACCCCACTTTAGAGAACATGTGTTTGATTACCTGCTAATCAGAAAGAAGTTTTTGGATCTACCGTTACAAGCCATGCGAAAGTTCGACCCAACGATGAGCGAGTCAAATATCCCCACCGCAAGATCATCCTATGCTTGCAAAGTCGTCTTAACTGAAATGAGTTCGTAGTCACCATCCACATGCTTTTGTGAAAACCTGAGATGCAAGACTAGTAAACTAAAGACTCAACCGCCGTATACTCTGGCCATTCCCATCCATTTTTCGAAAAAAATTTCACCCGTCGCAACCATTGGCACTTTGCTCGATCATTCGTTCGTAAAGACGCATCATAAAATTCGCACCAGTAAGATGAAGATCATGTGAGACTTTTGGCCGAGATCTATGATCCCAGGCTTGGGAATGCGCTGGTATCTTCGGGGTTGATAGGAGCAGCGCTGGAGCCGCCTCTTGGGCCAGAAGGACGTCCGCCTCCTCTGTGATCGCCACCACGAGCGCGACCTCCTCGGCCCTCACCACCGCGTCCACCACGGAATCCGTCACCTCTGCCGCCTCGGGGAGGTCCATCGCCACGGCCTCTGCCACCGCGGAATCCACCTCGTCCACGCTCAGGTGCCTCGACGAAACGCTGATCGATCTCAAGGAGTTGCTTCTGCTTGCGTTCGCGCTCGCGCTTGGCCTTTCCTCCAGAACCAGCGACGAAGTCTTCCTCTTCTTCCTTAGAAATAGGCTTGGCATTGGCCCATTTCTTATCCTGCTTGCTGCCCTCGTTGGGCTTGCGGGCCTCGGGAACACCCGCACCAAGTGCAAGCTTCTTCTCAGCGAGTTGAGCGAGGTAATCAGAGTAGGAGATGCTGTTGTCCTCTGGCTCGGGCTCAGCTGCGGGCTCAGCGGTATCGGTTGGTGCAGCATCGCCATCAGCAGTCATCGCCTCCTTCTGTTCGGCATTGGCAATAGCTTCACCAGCCTGCTCATCAGCGAGTTCGGCTCCGCCTTCGTTCGCACCCCAACCATGGCCGGCTTGCTTCTCAGAATCACTGCAGATGTTAGAAAATCCAGCCCCTCTGAAACTTGGACTTTGCTCACCCTCCAACTGATCGGCTGTGTCTGTCAAAGTTGCGATTGCCTCCACGTCCTCGCCCACGGCCATCATAGGTTCCTTGAGCACGCGGGGGTCGATCTCCTCGAGGCTCATCGCCGGTGGGCTTGCCTCGGTTGCTAGCACTGCCTGCATTGCGATCACGGAAAGCTGAAGTGTATGAACATGTTAGCAGGTGTTTCAGATAGCGCATTGGGCTGCGAGAAATTTGAGTGCGAAGATAAAGCGATTGTGCATGTCCGAGTAAACCACTAACCTCCTTCATTGCCGTTAAAGTTTCCACGACGACCACCTCGGCCTTCAGAAGCTACGGGTGCCTTGGCGGCAGGGGCCTCGCCAGTGGCATTCCGCTTGGTTGTTCTTGCGGGAGTCTTGTCAATGGCTTTAGTAGGTGGCTCGGGTTCCTTGTCGGAGTCTTCATCGTGGTCATTGCCTAATTGTCACCATCGTCAGTCGCGTGGTCATCAAAAGCTGTTGACTGGCGTAAGTTTCGTCGTACCGAGAAGCTCGTACAGGTTCTAGAATCCACAATGTTAGCCAGTGTGTCTAAAAACATTGTAAGATCGTGTCTCGACGATGGTTGCGGGTCTTTTGATGTCTTGGGGAAATTCGAAAGATGTTTTTCTGACCTTTGAGGCGACGGCTGACATCGTGCCCGCCTTTTAAAGCGCCTCCGAAGAAGGCTCTGCTATCGAGAGGACAATTCGGATGGAGGAGGTGGGATGATCGAGACGGACAGGTTCCTATGCACTAGGAAGCTGTCTCTCGAAATGCTGCGATGGAAAACTCGTCGATGTTTGTTCGGGCCAACGTGCTGAAGTTGAAGGTACGAAAAAAGAAGCGAGGTTGCTGGCACTAGCGCAGAGAGTGCTCGCTAAAGCTCACACAACGCAACCTCACGAAATTGGGAATTAGGGCTTTATTTTCACGAGGAGTATCCTTCTCGATGCTGTTCGAAACCATGCCTATCCCATGCCTCTCACTTTGCTCTGTCGAAGAAATCGAAGTGTTGGTGACGGCAGGGATATTCAGGGGTTGGCTTCCTTTAAACCCGCTTGCGGAATTCGCGGGCGACCAAAATACATAGCAAGGAAGTATGGGAGACTTGGGCCTGGAAGAGTACAAGACAAGTGCGGCGAGTCGGTACTCTCAGACAATCTCATAGCAGTCTCCATTGCTCAATCTATCAATCTACTCCTTGTGGAACAAGTCTTTCAACTCCTTTTGCAAATCCTTCCTGTTCACGTTCCACGCTCCTCACTTGCTGCTTTCGGCCTCATTTCTCCCTTCACCCTTTTATTCTTCGCGTTGCCCTTAATGCCTTTTGCCATTTTCTGTTTCCCGCGTTTCTCTTTCTTACTTTTATCAACTGTAGGCTCTGCCCTTGTAGCGGTGTTTTTCTTCTTCTCTGCACCACGACTCTTCTGCTGGTACTTATCCAGGGACTCTGAAGAAAGCGAGAATCCTTGAGGTGATGCCCGTCCATCACTCCTTTTGGGCAAAAGCTTGTCCTCCAGGACATTCTTTCGTTCTTGCAATTGTGAGCCCAGCTCGCAACATGGTTCGTCGACAGACTCTTCGGCGACGGCGGAACTCGTGCTTTGCAGAAAACAGGCATTGGAATCCTTTTGAAAGGTCGAAACGCGGAGAAGATCCTGCGGATAGGGAGTCCTTCTTCTTGGTGGTGGGGGATGATGAGAGGGATACTCGGGAGGGGTTGAGTGCACTGAATCAGGAGTGTGGACTCTTCGAGGGCATTGGTGACCTTCATTGTCGTTCGTGTCGTCCGCTCCATATCTAGTTTCAAATAAGATCGTCCTTTTTGCCCGTTGCTTACGAGATTTGTCGCCATTGTTCATGGGAAGTGTGGCCTTTCCACCGCCTCTGAGGCTGGGAATATCGCCCAAAGCTATTGGACTCCGAGGGAAATCCTCAGAACCGTCACTTGAGTCAGGCTCTTTATCTTCTATCGATGGCCACCGCTCGGGCAAGTGCTGACAAGAATGCTCGAGAGCGGCGTTGCTCTTCTGCGCCCTTCCCCTTTGCACATTATTTGGAAGCAAATTCATCCACGAAGGCAGAGGCTTGAATTTGCCGGGTCTGAATGCAGGTTCGCCGACAGGATTAAACACTGAGACGTATGCACCAGTCTGCCCAGCCCCCTGAGATAGGTCAGAGTTTGTCCTGGTTCTTTCCGAGTGCTGGTGTTCGTTGTCCATGCTGCCATCGGCCATTTCTCCCATGTCAGCAGCGTTGTCGAGTAAGGATGACATATCTTCCAGATTCAGGAGATCGTTTGTCTGCCTTACATCAGCATGGGCCCCCGTTCCGTGGGTGTGAACTTACGAAGCAGCCGGAAGAGCCATTGATATACCTCTTTAAGTCCCGCTCGATTCCCGTCACACCTCTCAGTCTCCTTGGAGTCCTCATTAAACGTCTGCGAGCGAGTGTCACCTCACTTTCCCTTTCATCGGTCAGCATGTCCAATCTGTCTCTGCTCAGCCCTCCGTCAAACAGTGTGACGCATTCCAATCCCCTTTCTAGGACTTGGCCCTGACTCTCAGCCGCCGTTTCGACAGAACAAACATTGCACAAGGGGATAGTGTCTAATTCGATTCCAACAGTCCTTCGGCGTCCGATTCTATCATCTTCAGCGCCATCCCATTTGCCCCATTCCGGGCTATGGTTAGGAGACTGAGGAATGTTAATTCGAGTTCTGCAAATCAAACAGCCAAAGCATCCTCTATGCCAGAAGCACCAGCCCAGACTAACGACCTCATCACCCCTAACAATGCATTCTCCACATACCCAGCAAATACTCAGATCCAGAACAGCGCGCCAGCATGGATGGCACACGATGCGAGCAGAGGTACCTAGAAGCTTAGGCTTTGAGCCACACGGTTGGTGCTGCCAACAAATCGTACAGATGAAGGTTGCTCCTGATCGAGAAGGAGATGCCTGTTGGTCTATTGTAAGTTCCGAGAATGGGGAGCTGGGCGACCCGGTGCTGCATCTAGGGCTTCCTTGAGAGGAAGAACATGCATCGATCGAAGGCGAGACTGGACTGTGCATCGTTCACAGATGCAGAATTGTGGTCGAAGGAATGGTGGTACAGTTTGTGAAGCATCGGTTTTTAGTAGGTAGAGTTGTGGCAACGAACGAGGGTTTGATTTAAGTGACAGGCAGAGTATGGTATAAATGAACGGCCGCGAATAATGTCTTCTAGTATTTCAAACGAGTGTGGGTGGGTATGATATGACCTCAGTGGACATCGAGGTTGCGTCGCTGGGACAGAAAGAAACCCCCGGGAGTAAAGCGGTGTTGAAGGGTTAAAAAAGATGGTTTCAAAACGGGAAGGTACGATTGTCATAACCAAGTAACTTTTATTCTCATATCCTCATACTCTGATTTCGCCGCCCATGCAACGATGCGTTAGGAAGGAGCAAGTCTTGTAATAATTACACGAACAAGAATTGAAATCCGACAATTACACGAGAAAAGGAAATATCCCGTGGTGGGAAGTTCGTAAACCAATAGTGGTGTCTTTTGTGCAGTCGACCATGATCATGAGCATGAAGAAAAGCTCCAATATCGTCTATCCATCAGCCCATCATGGTCATGATTCAGCTGTCGTTCTCAACATTCATTCACCATACACCAAACAAACAACACAAATGCGCCACAACACCCGTGGAAATATATCAACAAGAAAGCAATGATTCCCTGACCCGCCAAAATGTAAGAGTGCAACAGCAAGTCCGTTCTTTCCTGCTCACTTCCGCATCTTTGGTCGAGCCAGCATATTCAGACGACTAAGACTCAGGACGCCCTTCTTCTTGGCTGGGCTTTGAACCTTAGATTTGGGAGTCATCTTGTCTGCTTGCAAGTTGGGAGCCATAAGCATTTGGCCTTCAGCAACCACAGTCTTGTGCTTCTTCGGAGAACGCTCGATTTCCTCTTCGGTCTCATCATCAGAGTCAACACGGCGACGCTTCTTGTTAGCCATACCGTGTTGGTTAGCCATACCGTGTTGGTTAGCCATACCGTGTTGGTTAGCCATACCGTGTGGTACAGCGGGAAGAGGTTCAGAGTTCTCCTTATTGTTACCAGGAAATGCACCTGGCATGTTGTGAGGAAGAATACTCTGACGGACTTGACGTACGCTAGCTTGACCTGGAGATGAACCGAATGCTTTTGGAGAGGCACCGAAGCTGATTGTGTGGTCACTGCGGAACGTGAATGTGCCAGGTACTGAAGGAGGAAGTGTTGAGATGGTTTGACGAGGCGCCTCGGGAAGTGGATGGACACCAGCGAGAGATGGATATTCAACTTTAGTTGCATCATTCTCCAAGCTGGAATGATCAGCGATGGATGGATACTGAACGTTGGCCTCAAGTTTCGCACCGCTAAGATACTTCACTCTGAGGTTGGTCTTCGATGTCGAGCGAGGAATGCCGGACTTCATTGGAGAAGGGGAGTTCTGTCCCGTCGCGGTATGCTTATTGACAGTATCTGTTGTAAAGTTGACATGCTTTGCGATCTTCGAGGTTCCGCTTCCACCAGGAGTAGAAGGAACTGAAGGGAGTACCTTGTCGAGGTTGGGCTTGCTGGGGCTTCTAGACAACGTGGGAATGGCAGTTGACATGACACTTGGCTTCTTTGCGCTCGAGCCCGGGTATCGGAGAATGGACTTAACACGATCGAATTTGCTAGGACTACGCAAAAGACTCTTTGGTTCGGACTTCGGAGCGCTAGCAAGATTATTTGCGGTTGCAGATTTCGTAAAGGTCTTGGGCGTGGGGTTCGGGTTTGGCTTAGACGGGGACCGAGACAAGGTTGGAATCTGCGTAGCAGGCTTCGTGGCACTCGCAGCGCGGGCCAAAGAGGCTTGCGTAGGAGTTCTGATTGACGAGAGAAAGCTCGATTGGGAGCGTGGAATAGTGGGAGTCGTTGGCATGACCTTCTTATTTTCGGTGGAAACTGGTCTGGCCGAGGAAGTATCATCTTCAACGCGCTTTCTTGCACGCTTGGCTGGCACAGTGTTCTCCAATCGCTCAGCCTCCTCGCTGGCATGTCCAGCCTTCTTATGGGATTCCTCCCTATCATCCAATTGGGCTTTTGATGGGGATCGCTTCAGACTAGCTGTACTTGGTGTGAATCGTCCTGGCTGTGCTCTGAAAGCAGACGGATGGCCAGCAATCGAGTCCATCTTCTTAAATTCCGCCATGTGAACATCACTGAATCGGCCAACCTTTCCCTTCGGCTGCGCAATCTTGCGACCTCCAATAACACCATCAGCTCGTTCTTCTCCCAAGTCGCGCCTCTCCTCCTCTCGTTCAGCCGCAAGCTTAACTTTGATTCTGAGTGCCTCTTCACGCAACTCGTCCATCATTCGTTGGGCCTCGGGGCCAAGCTGGGGCGCAGGATGAGCGAATCTAAAATCGAAGGTCGGCGCGGATATCTTTGATGGTGTCTGCTGCTCGACTCCAGAAGGTTGATTCGGACCGGTCGCCTTAATGTCAACAAAACCAAGACGCAGACCAGAGTCCGGCTCTTGTGTTGTGCTGTGATGGACCTTGCTCGGATGCATCTCTTCCAGAGATGGCTTGATACGACCCGCAGTGGCCGGAGTTCGAGGAGCAAGGGGCGAGGAGACAATGGCATCGAGATTCGATTGCGCACCGAAGGTCGGAGTCTCATCGCGTTCCGTAAGAGATTCGAGACGACTGGAGGCATAGTTGGTGGGCTGTTTGGAACGAAAAGTTAATACGCGGGGTTGGTAAGAAGGAAACGCGACCAAATACCTTTTTGGGGGTGACAGAGCTGCCTCGAAGTCTGGAGGACCGACGACGAGGAGGGGTCATGATGAGGGTTTCCTGTGAGCTCCAGCTCACGCTTGTTCGGTTGCCAATTTGAGGAGATTGCAGTGGCAATTCAATGCAAGGTTGTGGCAGCCATAAAGGTGGTTCGGAGCTTTTTTGTTTACTTGGAGGTTCGCTCTGTTGATTTGGCGGGGAAACCTGACGCGATTCGCGAAGCTCCTTAGCGCGAGGCTACACACGGCTGACAGGTGAAATTGCAACAAAGTTGCGGGATTGCATTTTAACTTCATTGATTCAGAACCTTTGGAACATTGAAGGATGTGCAACAAGCCATCAAAAAGACAGTTCACTGCAAATTCGGCCTCTGGAATGATCTCAATGTACCAGAAATGTTGGAACATTGACGCACGCCAAACTGGGTGGCCGATTTTCGCAGCCCCGCACATTGGCTTGACCAGGAGGGGGCAGTTTGCACTCTTTCTGCCACCAACGATTTCATCCTCTCAGCCTCACCGAGAAAACCAAGTGCACACGCGGGGTGCAACGTTCGTCTCGTTGCTCGCGTCATCCCTCCATCATTCCTTCCATGATCCAGGATCTGCTGGTGAAGGGCAAGAACAGCCGTTCCCACTCGAAACATGGAGGTGTGGCTGTTCCTCGTTCCTCGTCGGATCTGATCATGGGTCGTCTCCCTCCAGGCTGGCAGCAAAGGCGGTCAATTCCTGCCTGCCGTGGCGCGAGCCCGCCGAGGGGGGCGAGCCATCTCCGAGGACACGAAGTCAGGACACGCATGCACCGGCGTGCTGATGAGCAGTTTCACTTCACAGACAGACACGATCAACAGCTGCTGCGCTGACCACGCAGCTCGCCAGATGGGGAGTTCGAGTTCAACTGTATGATAGCATTCGCGACGAGGCCAGCACCACAGCCTTATACAGAGGAGTTCGTTCGAAGCGAGGGGAGGACTTTCTTCAAAAGGACAAGCCCGCGGAGATGGACGATTTGGATCTGCAGCCGCACAGCCAGCCCGGCTGGTGGGCCGCTGCAGTGAGGCAGGCAATTGGACCAGAGTCACCAGAGAAGCATGGCTGGCGGAAGCGAAGCGAACCGGGGAGGAGGAGGCATGGAGGGCATGAGGCATGAGGCATGAGGCATGAGGCATGAGGGCATGAGGGCATGAGGGCATGAGGGCATGAGGGCATGAGGGCATGAGGGCATGAGGGCATAAGGCATGGAGGATTGGAGGGGTCGTGGTCCCGTGGAGCTCGGCTGCTCGAGGCTCGAGCCTCAAGTCTCGAAGAAAACTCTTCTGCGTGCACCGGCTGGGAGGGGGCGGACGCGGACCACTGAGAGCGCGTGCGCACCACGCGCCACGCACTGCTCGAGAGTCGAGATCCCATCGTCTCGCAAGGAGCAGGCTGGCCAAGACGCATCAAGCCCCATCCGGCTCTTTTCTCCCTCCCATGCAGTCTCTCCGCATCTGCCATCTGCCACACAACTGCACACCAACTTCACACCTCCCCGCCACGACCGCCACGAAACCGCAACGCTCCAATTGAGTCCATGCCTTGCCCATGCCTTGCCCATGCCCAATTTGCGCGGAGGGCAGGTGACATCGGAATTGGCCGCAGGCGTTGGCCCATGCGATGCGTTGCAGCATCAGAGAGAGCATGGTTGTGTGTTGTCTGACCCGGTCGTTGGCATTTGTGGCATTGTGGCATCGACGAGATTGCCCTGCACAGATGCAGCACCCGTCCGCCGTTTTTACACTTCGCGGGGCCTTGCCCAGTGACTGAGATCCAAGACCATGGCTGGCCGCTGGCCCTGGCCAGCAGTGCAACCCCACTACTGTACTGTCCACACCACCCAACTCCCAGCTCCCCAGCTCCCCAGCTCCGAGCACCCAGCACCAGCACCCAACACCCAAACACCCAAACACCCAAACACCCAGCACAACCACCCCCCTCCCCGTGGCAATGCAGCGATGAAAATTTCTCTGCCCGAAACAGGCGCCGGACGTCACTTCGCCGACCTTCCCTCTTCCCACTGCTCGGTGGAGCATGGAAGCCGTAGAAGCTCTGGAAGCCACCCAATTTTGCGGAGGAGCCAATAGAGCGTTGCTGGTCGCCCGTGCCCTGGCCTCCTTTGGTCTGTGTTTTGTCCTGTTCGGGCCAAGTGAAGCTTTTTTAATTCAGTGGACGTCTTTGCCAGCACCGGTTTGCCGAATGTGCCTCCACTGCCCCCAGCCTTGACCCGGCTCCAGTCTTCGTTCCGCCTTCGCTGAGGGGCTGCAAAATTCAAATACCAGTGACCGACACACCCTCCTTCCAATTCTTTTACGTATCCAATTCCTCATCCCATTACTTTGTGTGCAATCAATCTTCATCTATCTATCTTTCTTCACCTTTCAGCCTCGACCATCGTCCCTAGTTCTTACAGTCCAGTTACCAGATTCCCGGGTCCCGGTCAGACATACAGACGAGCTAGATCTGGTTTAATACCACATGTAATCGCCACACACCCGTTTAAGCCACACTGCCAACGTTTGGGGTCATTGTATTTACTCTGCTGCAAGTCTCTAGTCGTGATTGTGGCAGCTACAACTGCCGTGGTCTGGGGTAGTCGTGGTGGGGCAGCAAAACTGAACACACAATATCTTTTGACCTTGGAAGGCAATGGCCGACGACATGTCTATTGATAAAAAAGAACCTAACCGGGAGGGTTCGGAGGACTCCATGGAGCTCAACTCCCCAACACCCGAAGCCGAGACTGGAGCCCCCCAGGAGAATACTGCTCAGCAAAAGAGGAAGGGTGGTAGAAAGCCTGTGGGTTCTGTTGCAGTATCGCCTAAATTTTGTCTAACTGACGGTACAGATCTATGCTACTTCCGAGGAACGCAAGCAACGGAACCGCCAGGCCCAGGCTGCCTTTAGGGAGCGTCGGACTGAGTACATTAAGCAACTTGAGGAAACAATCCGAGTGCACGAGACGAATCTGCATAACCTGCAGACTGCTCACCGGAGTGCTGCAGACGAATGCCTTATGTTGAGATATAAGAACTCTCTTCTGGAAAGAATACTACTAGAAAAAGGTAATGACATTGCTCTTCAAGCTCTCCGGCTGCAGATATTAAACGTCCTTCCAGGTATCGACGTACAGGCAGAATTACGAGCCAAGACTGGGAGCCCTCACCTTGGTCCTACGCACATGCCACAAAATATGGCGCAGGCACCAACTGTCCAACGAGCCATCATGAACAGACACCATCAGGCAAGACGATCAAACTCGAGCATCGCCCCCAAGTTGGAGCCCGGTGCGCCTCTCCAGTCTCCACAATCTCGGCCCACCCCATCCTCGCACGCTTCATCGCCTACTTCGAACTCACCTAGCTTCGGCCATCAAGGGGTGATGACCCCTCCAGCTTCGGAGACGCAGATGCAATTCCAGCAACAGCAACAACAACGGCTTCAGGCCGCGAAAGCACAAGGGCAACATGGACTACTAGGAACGCCTGGACTGATGACTGCCGCTGGAGGATTAGGCGCCGCCTTAGGACCAAAGGGACCAGGAACCAGTGGGACTGGTGGGACGGGAGGCACTCCAGTATCTGCCGCGTACTATCCAAGTCCCTCTGGAGGGTTTCAAAACCATTATGAGCAACTCGGCAAGCTTTCCCCTCCCTTCCCCTCTCTTTTCTTTATATGGAACTATGTTCGTCCTAGATTGATTCCGTGAGTACAGAACAGGAGTACGACGCCCAAACCGATATGGTCGATGACCAAGACCCCGCCGAAGCCGGGCCTGGCCCGTACCCCGAACCGATTCCACCGCCCCAACATCAACTTGGCCAGCAGCAAATGGGCCACCAGGGGCCTCAAGGTCTTCAAATGGGCGACAACCCTCAGGGATACAACTCGATGACACAGCTCCTGGATCCATACGACCCGACCATGCTCGATATGGACCCCTTCGGACTTTCGGCATCGATGCAATTTCCCTCTTCCTTTTCCTTTGATACGAGCTCAATGAGATGAAAGCCAATGATACCCCTGGGTTAAGGAATATGATCTGGAAAATTGGGGGCGGGGGCGTTTTTGGTAGCATTTACATGGGGACGGGGCCAACAATTGCATATTTGGCGCTTTATATCCTTCGTCGATTTTGATCGTCTTCAGTGGTTGGGTGTCGAGAGTCTTGGATTTGTCCAGTCTCTTGAGAAGATGTCGCTTGAGCATGGGTCATCACAAGTTTTTGAGTGTTCTCGGGGTTGTTGCTCTCGTGTGTAATAAATATGTGGGCAAAGCAATAAAAATAATTGCGGCCGTAGCCTAATTGAAAAAGCATGCACGAAATGAGACAGCGTGACAATGAAGGTCGAGCAAAATTCCACGCAAGAATATGCTACATAGTGAAGCAACAGTTGCTCCCCCACTTTGTAAAACGCGTGTGCTTTCGGTTGCTTTTTTAAGAGGGATTATTGGAAGAAAGGGGCTGGCTCGGCAAATGTTGGTACGATGAAAGGTTTCTACAGAAAGATTCTCAATCTACCTCTTTCCCTGCCCAGCCCAGATAATCAGATCCAAAAAAACTCGGTACTGGATCAAGATCAGTTGAGTAGACCAAAAATAGTGAAAAGTCTTCCTTTCCGATCTGCGGCAGAAGATCCCAGCCTCGCGAGTTTGATTGGCTCAAATTGTACACCCTTGGTCTCCCAGGCCAAACGTACAGAGGAGACCTCGAGGCTGTGGCTTCGCGACACTCGAACGTCCAAGCTCTCCAAGAAGCCTTCAAGCAAAGATGGCACCAGTCAGTCAAGCCGACCATCACGATGTCGTCGAGAGTAACTCTCCCGCTTCCAAACCCGATAGTGAAAATCAAGCTGACAACCACTCAGGACAACTCAAAAATGTCATTCAAGACCTCTACCAGCTCATGATCCAAGTAAACGCCTACGACCTCGCTGGCCGCCCAACTCGAGATGTCCTGGAGAGCAGCGTGTAAGCTTCCCTTCTCCCTCACTTGCGTTCAGGCTGACGGCCATCAAGCACAGAACTAGACCGCACCCTCGAAAAGATTCACAACACATCCAACCACCCAACCACACAACTACCCTCCATCCCACCAGAGCTACTTCAGTACGTCGACAACGGGCGCAATCCCGACATCTACACGCGAGAATTTGTGGAGTTGGCGCGGAAGGGGAATCAGTTGATGAAGGGGAAGCTGGAGGCGTTTGGCAGCTTTCGGGATGTGCTGGCTGAGGTGATGGTTGCTGGGTTGCCGGAGCTGAGGAAAGATGTTGTGGACGTGGTTGTTAAGACTGGGGGACATGAGGGTGTTGTGGGGAAAGAGGAAAAGGCGTCTTGAACGGGTCACGAAGAAAGCTTCTTTTAATGGATTCGAGCGGCATGCATAGGTGGGGAAGGCGTTGCTTGGGCATACTGAGGTCCAAGAGCAAGGAGTTTGGGAACTATTCAAGGCGCTACAGGATGCATATCACGGCGTATTAAAATGGGATATGGGTGTCACGGAGTCTTGAACGGCATTCGGCTATCCATCCGGTCAAAGAAAGGCAGTCCATCTTGATAATAGTACCAGCAGGCACATTCAGCACCGCAATATGCGAGTCCAAACCTGGCCCCGTATGTCTTCAGCAGATTTTCAAATGGTGCTTCAAGAATGGCGTTTGCTCACGAACTTCAAGTTTCCAGTTTAAGGCTGGTTCCCGGGCTTCAATTACGAAGTGAGTTTCGCCGTCCTGCAGGGGTTTGTTGCACGCCACTCCAATCTTGTTTGGTACATTCAGGTTGTGGGATGCCAATAGTGAATCCGAAAGCAAACATTCAGTCCGCATTTCTTATAAGGACGCTAACTCTGCTAGCGCTTTGTTACTGTTTAAAAAGGGGGGGGGGGGGGGGGGTGTGGGTGCGTGATGAGCTCTCATAGTAATAAATGTTGCGTTAAATGATTGCACCTTTTCTACAGATGCCAACTTTACTTCACTTTTGCTCAGCACATATACTTCGTATATATTATTTACTCTTCGACCAATGACTTCAATTTTCACACTTCGCCCCAATATTGTAATAGATCTGGTGCATTGAGATACGTTCCAGGCTAGGGAGCGATTCCCTAGGTAACCTTTCGTTCCTAGAGGTTGAGAGTCAATCCCGTCTCTAAATATTTTGACTGCTCATTTACACCTATATTAATATGATCTGAGGTTCATCTCATCGGGGGAAATGGTAAAGAGAAGAAGAATGGCTTCCGTTTAAGCTTGAGGACCACCCTCAACTAGCCAGCCTCAAGGCATCTCTATCAATACCAGCAGTCTAGATTTGGATTACGTGCCCAACTTGATATTTTTCAAGTGGGCTGCGAGGATAAACATCCTGTCTCGAGCAGATCTCGATTATTTGAGTGCTTTGGGGAATCTACTGAATGGAAGGATAAATCTGACCAGGTCATACGTATGGGAACATTTTATCCATATGACCTTCAGCACTTTTGGCTTTACATTTACGCTAGCTTCATTGAGGTCAGCGAGGAAAGTGAGGCAGAGATTTGGAGGAACGGGTAAGGTGTTAGACATTCTCAGGGAAACATCACAAATAGCTGTGTCATCCCCTGAGATGTTTAGGTTTTTGTAGGTTTTTATGCAAAATCCATGTTCCACCAATTTCCAGGCGCGACATCTTTTCCCTTTTCTTGTATGGAGTCCTTGGAAATTCTCCACTCCTTCTCCCATCCAACAAGCAGATATCCACTTCCAACACCTTCGGCAGCAAACCCTCGCTCTTTACCCGCATTCAAGACGTCGCCATTGTCGAAAATCCCTCAGTTATTGCAGTCGGTATGGACACATCTCGTGCTTCCCTCTCAAACCCCTCTGACTTGAGTCCTTCCTCGAAAGTCCTTCCCCGAAACTGTGTGCTGTAATTGACTCTACAAGGTCTTCCATTTATCAACCTTCAGCCATCTGCTTCACACGGCAAGCTCAAATATCCCCGTAACTGCCTAGTTGGAACAAAGTTTCCAGTTGAGGAAGGAACTCTTTTTCGTTTTGGCAGCTGTTCACGAGAAAAGGGCGTTCGGGGATGATAGCTGTGGTAATGGGCCGGCCTCAAAAGCCTGTTCTATCTCATGCATAAATTTTTGGTCCATGGGTGGAAGCTCGATCTTGAGGCTTGGGCACTTTCTGCGTTTTTGAAGATTTTGTGATGCTCGCTTGCCTAGGCCGGATGATTCTACTGTGCTGCGTGAAGTTAGGCATGAATTTCAAGTCTGGTGAGACATTGAAAGGGAACGGTAGTCTAGCTATTGCACACCATATGTTGGACAACTTCCCCAGATATTCATAAAAGTGTAAAATAACTTACTCCTCACTACCAGCTCCACCATCAGCAACTGCCTCTTTTGCGTCCATTGATAACGCTGCAAGAAAACGTGCTTTTTGGTTCCCGTTTCCACTCGAGGAGAGAACTACAGTGAATTGCTTCCTCAACCATAATCCCCCCCCCCCCCCAGTGCGTCGTCTCTGCCAAAAACCCGAGAATATCTCCAACCAAGCGGAACAGAAATTCTAGCAAGAAAACTCGCCCTCCTTCGAGGAGTGTAGCCCCCTTTCTTCCCGTCCATCTCTGCAGAGCCCGCACCTTTCGAGGTCCTCTGGTCGCCCTCAGTCACGGCGCTGCCTTCTCGATCCGTGTCACTCCTCGTCCTCGACTTAACATTCTTCTTCACTTGCTTGAGGTCCGGCCAGACCATTTTCGTACGCCCAACCCCATCTCTGTGGTTCGTAACACGGACTATTTGACAGCGCCAAGGCTTCTGCATTCGAGAGTCCGGAGTGATACGCTTTCGTCATGTAGTTCCCCAGCAATCATGGCCCCGCTATGTTATCTCTCGGTGAAAGGATGATGTAAGGGTGATGTTTGTAAAGCTTGGGAAGAGTCTTGAGGGATTTGTAACATTTCGTTTCGGGAGGAGGGTTTGGTAGGGTGCGTGGCGTAGTGTGTTCCAATAGAGGGCCGAAATAAGTGGCAAGGGCTGGTGTTGTCGGGCTGGGTTGAGATTTGAGGAAGTGAACTTTTTCATCCGAATGACTAGACAAGTGGGACGATGCGATGGAAGCTGTCAGTGAAGATCTACAAGTTGAGACGAGACGGAACACGCAAGCGAAACATCAAAATCAAAACAGCCAGAAAGACTGTTGAAAGCCGTTTGGAAAAAGGGTTTAATAAGTAACATCACGCCTTTTTCTTTCTTTCTTTTGAACAGAAGGGGAGATGCTCAGTGATTCATTATTTTGCCAGATGTGGACCAGCTGTTGATTAGTTGAGTTCCTTGAGGATTTTCTTCAATTCGGCTGCAACCGCATCTCCGACTTCCGCGGTACTCGATTTACCACCAATATCCTGCGTTGTGATTCCATTCTCAATGGTTCGTCGTACAGCCTCTTCGACAACTTTCGATTCGGTAGGGAGGCGAAGAGAATATTTGAGCATCATAGCAACAGAAAGGATAGTTCCGACCGGGTTGACGATTCCTTTGCCAGAGATGTCCGGCGCAGAACCTAAGCAGAATTAGTCTTCTTCCATAAGATATAGAGATCTGAATACTAACCATGGATTGGCTCATAGATACCATTGCACCTGCTCTTCCCATCCGGAACTCCACTCAAACTGGCACTTGGCGACAAGCCAATGCTTCCCGGGATCACGCTCGCCTCATCACTGATGATGTCCCCGAACAAGTTGCTGGTAACCACGATACCATTCAGGGCCCTCGGATTCTTAACCATCAGCATAGCGGCGCTATCAATCAAATGGTGCCCAATCTTCAGCTGGGGGAATTCTTTTGCCATAATCTCAGTAACCACCTTTCTCCACAATCGACTCGTCGCCAGGACATTCGCCTTGTCCAAGCTCCAGACTGGCAGAGGAGGGTCGTGTTGCAGAGCCAAGTGTGCTGCAAGTCTTGTAATCCTCTCAATTTCAGGCCGAGAGTATGGCTCCGTGTCCCATGCGATTCCATCGCCATCGTCCTCCTTTCTCTCGCCAAAGTAGATGCCGCCAGTAAGCTCGCGGATGATATTGAAGTCTGTGCCACGGCAGACTTCAGCTTTCAGAGGTGAAATATCGACGAGGGACTCGGAGGCAAAGTTGCATGGTCGGAGGTTGCCATAGGTGCCCATCTGTTTGCGGAGAGCGAGAATTCCCTGCTCAGGACGGACCTTTCCTGTGCCCCATTTCGGGCCACCAATTGCACCAAGGAGAACAGCATCAGCTGCCTTTGCTGCCTCGAGGGCTTTGGCAGTCAATGGCTCGCCGGTAGCGTCAATTGAACACTGGCTGTATTAGCTGTTGATCCTGAACAAGAGGCAACGATGTTCACCCCGCCGAGAAGATGCTCTTGAAAATCAAACTTGCCAACACTTGGCCGTTCCGCTTCAAGAACTTTAAGGATCTAGATCTCGTCAGTTGCCCTGCTCTCTTTTTTTCAGAAGCAGAATTCAGTCCCACCTTTACGGCTTCCGCAACAACCTATTTTGGTGATTAGCAAGCTTGTCTTCAGCCATTGGCTGCGGGCGGAACTGACCTCGGGACCGCAATGATCGCCGGCAAACACTACGATGTTGTGGGTTGCCATGTTCTGTGATGGGAGAAGAGATGGTGAGCGTGGGAATGTTTCACGCGACAGTTGAGGGAGCTCTCAATGTTTTGCGTGCTGTTTGCCCCGCACTTCCGATCATCGGACGAGAGCTGAGGCGGGGTGGGGTGGTAGGGAAGCTGATGTCTAGTGTCCAGAAATACGCAGGTGTATAATTCGGACTTGCTGTTCTATATGCCGACAAGCGAACCTACCCCTGAGACAGCCACGAATGCCCAGGAAAGCATATCACACAAAATGATTGGTGTCCTCGGGCGCGCTGTTCTACATAGTCTTACCGGACCAGAATAATTTCAGCTCCCTCGGTCCATAGCCAGATGGGATTTTTTTTTGGTCAGAGACAAGCCCATGGGACGAAAAGGAAACCAAAATGCTGTGAAGACCTTGAGGCGGTGTCCGAGTAGTCTCATGCAGTCCAATGCACAAAGTCATATTGAGACATTTAAAGGTATGATGATGCAGTCGTAGACATTTTCTCTGCAATGTGTATCTATGCCCACGTTCCTGTTCCTTACTTGCCTGTCGTGGCTCGACCAGATGCCGTGCACGTATGCGTCACACCCATTATGTTATAGAAGAAGGGTATCAAGGACAAAAGAAACTTGCGTTTGCATATCATATTTCGTAATGCGCGTCCCACCATTATGCTCTAAGCATTATCCATAATTTTTGGGTTCGTGAAGATTGTGGAGGTGATTAGGGTGGTTTCTTCTCTCGAAAGGGGCGATTTTGGGATGAAGGAATCCCACTTGTCCGCACGAGAGCTGGCGGACTACAGTAGCCTAATTACCAGATCATGTTGGCACGGGACTCTTCGAGACCCTCAGCGGAACGATTTGAAAGATTTGTGTGCCAGAGGTGAAGAGCCAAGCTGAGTATTGGCTCGAGCTTGCTCCCGGATGCGTCCGCCTCGCATATTGGGAGTTTGGGCACAGAAGGCACATATGTAAACGGGTGGAAGACTTCGGCGATCGATGCCAACACATTCTGAGTGAAGCCAATTATCACAAGACTCACTACAACAGTCAGTTCAGTCTCAAGTCATTTGTTCTAGGAATACTGACCACTGAATCATGAAGCCTTCGCTATCTGGATTATTGCAGACGCATCTTGTAGTGCCACTTCGCGAGCTTGAAGGGGTTGCTCCATCTGGATCAGTGACGGTGGTTGGGGAGATATTGGTGGAGGAGCTGTATTGGGAATTACCACGAGGGGTATTGTCAGAGACATATCGATGATGGCGAGGATGTCGTGCCTTCAATTGGCTTTTCTTTCTCTCCTCCATGATCTTCCGCAGCACAAGCGTAGCATCTCCAGAACCGTCGTCCTCTTCCATTACCGTTTCCGCTTCACTCCCCATGCTATCACGCCGGGTCGATCGCTGACTTGATGATTCCGACTGGGTATATCCACTGGCACTGTGCCTTCTGACATCCACCCCTCGATTGCTAGTCTCGAATCTAGCGAGTTTGGGAGCCTTTGATTGCGGTGGAATGGCAAATGACGAGTTTCGACTTGGCACCAAAATTGGTTCATCGTCCGAAGAAGATTCATCCTGGGACGAATCCCATTCCTCATTGGCTGGTGGTCCTCCTCGGGCAGTCTTTGGCTCTTCCTCAACAACCACAGTTTCTGTCCGGGCTCTCCCATTGGCATCAATGGTAAACTTGACTTCAGTTCGAGTTCGTGGCGCAGGAAATTCAGGGATAGAAGTGAGACTTATAGGACGTTGATGCTTGACAGGAGAAATTCGTCCGGTTCGAGAAATGACACGGTCTTGAAGAAGTGTTACTTGTGCTCCTCCGGAGGGGGCGGTGACTTCAAACTTACCTTGAGTCCGCTTGCTCCGGCTGTCACTAATGCTTCTTTGAAGTCCAGGTCGCGATGGCCCCTTGATAGGGGAGCTAACCGTTCCTCGTTCTATTCGCCGGTTCTTGCTGTTTTCCCTTGATCCTCGAGATCGGCGAAGTTCTTCCTGATCCCTCTGTGACTCTCGTAGCTGGTGCTGGTATGGCTTCAACTCCATATGACTCGTAACAGGACGAGCGGGAGGTAGAGCACTATCTCCAAAACCAGAAGGCATGCTGACCGAGTTGGTCCGGCTGAAGAGAAGGCCTGGATCCACGCCGCCGCCAAGATTAGCCACGGAGAAAGGGTCGTCAGATACAGCGGCGCTGTCGAAGTCGAACGGTGGAAGAGATGCTCCCAGTTGTGCGGTCGTCGTAGGAAGCTTTGGGGCAAGGGGTCGTTGGCGCTTGGAAGTGGTTGTTTGTTCAGGTTGAGTGGAAGGTTGGCTTACGTTCACCGTCTCCTGGAACATCTGGTTGCTTCTTCCCCAGTCAAAGGAGTTGCTGATTCTGTGTGAGCTTGTGTTGAATAGGTCAACATCCGCGGGAAAGTCAAGATCCATGCCACTCATGCTGGCATCCGGATCCCAGAACGGCTTTGTATTGGCAAAGACCGGAGCCGTAGCGGGGGCAGACATCGGATAAAAGAACTCTGCCGAGCTGGAGGTGAAAGGCAAGACATTAGGGTGGTGGGTTGGAGTCTGTGAATTGCCATAATGGCAGTCCTGAGACTCGTTCTGCATCTTATCCGTTGAGATTTTCGGTGCCAATTTCCGCGACCCCTTTGAGGTCGATGCTGGAGGAGTAGCCGTCTGCCCGCTAAACGCCTCCTCCAAACGCTTCTTCGGCTTTCTTGGCGTTATCTTCTTTGTTGCGCTGTCATCGAATCGGTTGTGTGTGGTAGAGTATGGCCCCGGGGAAGATGGCAACTGATTTGAGGGATCGACGGGAGGTAGAGGGAGGCCTGGATTTGGAGAGAAGTGATGAACATGAGATGCAAGCTCCGCTGTTATATCACCAGTAGTGGAAAGACGTCGGCTCTGGGCAGAGGCCGTGGAGGGCCCAGGCGTAGAACTTTCCACAAAGTTGTGTTGAGAGCTCGTCAACCTCCCCGGTGTAGAGTTGAAGACAGAGTATTCTTCTGCAAATGTTGGGGTCCATCCGCTTCGACTCTCAAAGTTTGAGTTATTTCTCGGCGTCTGGAAAGTCGGGCTTGGAAACTGTCCAGATGTTGGGGTTTGCGTGGGAGTTGGGGGTTGAGCGTTCCCAAAGCTGGTGGTGAATACAAAGTTAGCGTGGACCACTGCTGCCTCTCTAGATGAATCTCCAGCGGTGCCATACCTGTATGCCTGTTGATCCCAACTCATAGCAAAGTTGATCTGCTAGCGTAAGGTAGAGAGCCCGAGGCAGGTTTGCTGCTTGCGCACAATTCCTCGGGGGGACTTTTCCTCGCCGGTCCTCTTTAACCAGCATCCACCCTCTACCCAACCCAATATATGTTTTTATATTCAGGCTTCAGAATTGCTTGGAATCAATTTATAATTTGTATTGGGTCCGTCGAAGAGTGAGGTTCGGGAAAGCAATTGTGGGGATCCGAGCACCTGAAAAAAGATTCACAACATGTCAAGCATGTATCCACCGATTCTTTACCCGGTCTAGGATTGAAGATATCAGCATTAGCTGCCAGAGAAGGGGTTTCCATTAACCTACCAGAAAAAGGCTCTAACTCCCAATGAGCTTCTTTGGAGGGGTTGGGGGAGAGGTCGTAAGCAGGTAAGGCAATCAAACGGAGCCGCGGATCGAATTGTCCGAGAAGCTGAAGGGAAGTAGCAGTCCTATAGAGAATAACAATGCGGTCCTTGAATATGTGCCAAAGAAGTTTTCGAGCTTGGGGAATGTTGTTGGGAAAGCACACGATCACGGCGAATTTTGCAATGCGCCTGGGATGGCATGAAGGAGGATTGCAGCACCGTGCCAGGATGGTACTGTACGTCTGTCGAAGCGGGATCCGAAGCAAACGCACCGTGAACTCTTTCGTGCCCAGGCCGGCGTTACTTTATCCAGAGTGTGGAGGAATGCCCATTTCTTTCATAGGCCGAGCTGGTCAAACATAGTGGAGAGCCGGCGTGGGCATGGATTAATCAAGGAAGGCAACGGGCACTGAGGGGAGCTGAGCTGAAAACACGACTATGGGCCGCAGAGAGCACGCGGCGAGGAGACCAGAGGGGGCGTAAAGCAGCGGCTGCAGTAGTAGCAGCAGCAGCAGCAGCAGTAGTAGTCGTAGAGAGGGCGGTATAGGATGCTTGCTATGGCCGAGGGTCGAGGGTTTAGCGGGGGGTTTGACGGGGAGGAAGAATCAATGGCCTTTTGGGGGGTAGGGGGGCGGCGGTTGTGGTGGAACTGAGTGAGCTTGAGTGGTGCTGGGAGAAGGTTGTTATACTCGGTCAGCGCCTGTACCTTCGTACTGCATTTGCAGTGTGAGTTCTGCGTGGGCACGGGATGAACGGGATGAACTGGGGTAGGGGAGAACGAGCGACGACTGCAGCATCTGAGAACCAGTTGGATCCGGGTCCAGCTCCAGTTCTAGTTCCCCATGCCCACGGACAAGCCGACCCAGCCAGTTGCTGGGTCCAACGGCGAGAGAAGGTCGCGGGCTGCTGATATGGCATTTCTGCTGGAACCAGTTCCGCATATTTTTTTTGCCAGCTAGAACCAGAGCTAAAGGCAAACCAGAAATGGCCCGCCGCTCCAACCTGCACCCCGGTTTGCCTTCAGATCGCAGACTTCAGATCACAGGTCACAGTTCACAGTTCACAGGCCTGGTGGGCACTGCTCCCGGGATGAGGTAAAGCTCCTTCCAAGCAAAGTCCGGACGATGGTACCTGCGCGAGCAAGACCACGTTGCTGGCACCTCCGAGCTGGCTATGTCTTTTGCTTGCTTGCTTGCTCGCTCGCTCGCTCGCTTGCTTGAACAGTCAGTTTGACAGCTGCAGGCAGCATCTGCATGTTGGCCTTGTTGGGCTGGGACCTGCATGCTCAGTTGCCCCGACGAGAACAGCACACGCAAATCGTCAGATTCGATCGTTCATTCGACCATTCGGCCATTCGACCATTCGATCATTCAGTCAGATATTCATGGGTGGTCCACTTCCAATGCCCATCGTCCCGCCATCGTCCCGCCATCGTCCAGCCAGCCCAGGCTATGGCCCAGGCGGTCAAGATAATAATCTCCGCCCGCAGGAGCAGGGCAAAAGGCGCCGCGGCTCCCGGGCTGCGAACCATTCAACCACCACAAGCAAGACGCAAGACGCAAGAGTGGACCCGTGAACTCCAGTCTCCAGAAGGAGAAGCCAACACCAATATCCCCGGAGCATCATCACTACAGTATTAACATTTCCAACACTCAGCCGCCAGTCAGCCACCAGTCAGCTTCTCATCCTCGGCCAGGCAGCCAAATTGACCACTTCTGGAGAATGCCATTTGCTCGCTGCTCCCATACTTTTCTGCCGCCAATCTCCTGCGAGAGCGTGAACGCATGAAATATTGCGCTCCTCATACCCAGTCAAATCTTGATGGGGCCCGACGCCAGTGTCGCCATCAGCCCTCGCTTCCTGTGCCGTCAAGATAGGGCCGATGATCAGAAGGAGTCGAGGGAACTTTTTTGATACAGTAATTTCACCTGCTCTTATCTTGAGCCTTAACGCACGAGAGTGGTCGTCGACTACTCGATGCTTTCGCGGCAAGACCTTCTTTCAAACTTTTGCCCAACTTCTCGGAGCGGCATCTCCAAGTGCCAAACGCTCACATGTAGTGCATCAACGTCTCCAAGTGTCAGACGATTTTCTACTTTATCAATAAGCACATGTGAGGAGTTATGAAGTTCACGGGAGTCATGAGGAGCCTACTGAGAGTTTTCCTCCTCCGGACAACTCACCGTTTGTAAGTCAGCAATGTTTGGGAGAGAGCCCGAGAGCTGGTCACTCCCCCAGAAGTGCTGGAGATCTGTCGTAGATTTCCCCAGATTCTGCACGTCTAAGTTGGAGCCTCAATTCACCCAGAAACCAGAATCACTGGGTGCAAGGGCAGATGGAACAGGCCAAGTGCCTCGTGGCCAAGCCCATTAAGTCCTTTCTTCTTCAAGACGAGGGACCTCGAAGTTTTCAACCCGAGTTTCAGGCAAGTGTCAAAGTTTCAACAAAGGGCAAACGTTCTCCGGAGGTGCAGATTTCACATTGCACTGGATTACACACATCAAAAGAAGAAGAAGAAGAAGAAGAAGAAGAAGAAAAGCAGTGGCTTCGTTCATGATTGTCATTCGCGGTCATTAAAGCTAACTACTGTGGTATCCCATAACAGGAAACTACTCTGCTATCTACCATGTATAATTAGTTTTGGTACGCTTCATAAATCATCAGTAATCACACGCCTGTTGTCTGTCATTCAACAAAGTACAAATTATTCTTTCTCGACGGGCGCCATCTTCTGGTGCCACGTTGGATAGACTCTCCGACTCGCGTAAAGTGGATTCGTCATTCGTTGAAGGGACCCAAACCCAAACAAAAGAGACATCAAATCATGGTTGATAGACCCTCCAAAGGACTGATCGTGTTCCGGTGTTGCTGAAGCTGTTGCTGTTGTTGCTGCAAAGATCCAGGCGTAGGCGTATTAGTCACCGAATTGCTTGGAGTCATTTGCGGCGTTATTGGTGTTTCGATCTTGGGCTTTGCCATGGTGGATGCACCTAAAGCTCGAGTATGACTGCTCTCCCGACGCCGTTTTGGCGCGTCTTTGATTTTTGGGTGGGTATGGCACTGACAGAGAGAGTCAGTAGTCTGTCTTAGGTGTTGAAAATACTGCTCATGACTTACTTTGTAAGCGTGTCTGAACCATGTGGTTCCCTTCTTCTTGCTGCTCACGAGAGCAACCCACTCGTTACAGCTCCCGCACAGACCTTCCCACACATCGGGGTTGCCATCCATGCGTCGAGTTTCCTGAGGCTCTTGAAATGGGCTGCCAGTTGCAGCACTGATACCATGGGTGAAACTTTTATCGTACCAGAAAGCGCTGTTCTTCAATACAAGCCACCGCCCAGGCTTGCAAATCCCACACCACCCTTCGCGCTTATTGCCGTGACCCCGGACCCAACGGGGCGTGTAGAGGTCACCGTCAAAGCGAAGTTCCTGCTCGTGTGGTACCAGATCCGGATCGCTCGGGTTCATGTCTTCCGGGGGAGGTGACACTTGCTCCTCGTGGAGGGATGCATAGAGATCGGGCGGATCACTCAGATCAGTGTAATGCGAGTGCAACGAGTGAGGGTCGGCATTGCTTTGTAACATGCGGAAAAGTCCATGTGAAAGGAGTGGTGGTGGTGTCTCGAACTGATGTGGTTCGTGGTAGTTGTGTGAGGGAAGAAGCATGCTGTTGCGGTGAAAGCCGGCGTTGTTTGACATAAGGAAAGGATGCTGTTGTTCTGTTTGTAGATTACTCAGGTTCAGGGGAAGCTGAGTGTTTGGTAAAGTTGGGGAAGAATGTCGAGATGACATTCGTGGGGGGTGAGGCGTGAAGACCTCATGTCCTTGATGATAGACAAAGGGCGAAGGGCGCCGATTTGGCAGAGGCGCATACGACCCTGTTGACCATCTCTTGCTGCGAGTGCTGTCCATTGTATACGGCGCTGAGCGCATGCTTGGCCTTGGTGAAGGAGAGGCTCGACCCCGGCTTTGCGTTCGTACAAGCTCGGTGCGGTTTTGAGGGGTCATTCTTGGTGATGCCACAGGCGACAATTGCGTGGAGGACATCAGTGAATTTCGGTTCGAGGGTGGTGGATAATCCGAACTGAAAGATGGCGCTTCGGATAGGGTCGCTGAGAAGTCCTCATAAGACGGCATTTCTGACAGCGCTCCAGTGGTTGACATGGTGAACGAAGAGCCAGACATGCGCCGAGAGCTATAGGACTGTTCGAGACTAAGGCGATCGCTGTCCATTCCAGGCCCAGGATACCTCAAGTCAAGAATAGGAGCAGTCTCGTCGGCATTGTACGCATGACCCATATTCATATCTGTGTCCAGACCGTGCAGATCGATTCCATCATCGCACGTCTTGGTGTGCCAGCCATCTGAGATAGTCAGACCAAGAGCTCCCTGAGGTCCTGTGCTCTGATTCCAAGAGTACTTACTTTCTCCATTTGATGTTGAAGGATAAAAATCTTGTTGTACTGCATACGTTTGAGGAAGGCCATCGTTCAGCGGTTGCATCGGCATGGTTGACGAATCCCAGGCTGGCAATGATGGGTACTCTTCCGGCATGCAATACGAGAAGCCCGTCTCGTGTATCGTAGCCGGTCGAGGTCTCGAGACACTTTGAGGGGTCGGCGCTGACCACATTCCCATTCCAACGGCCTCGGTCTTCATCGACATCTCGCTCGGATTCATGGTAACCGCGGGGAATGACCGAGGAGGATAGTCCCTTCTAAATTTGTTGTTTGGGCTGAATGTAAAGGAGGGTGTTTGTATTTGTTGGCGACTAAAGTGAATTGTAAGTTATGAACTAACGAGGGGTCGTTGTGGGATGGTTCACAGTTGCGCCTGGTTGGAGTCCATGACGAATGTGTCGCCCACGTTTATCGATTATAATCCAGTGCCGATACGTCAAGCCTAAAAGCATCGTCGTCAGCCTTGACAAGTATTATGAAAGAGTTATGAAGATATTCCAGGTGTGACCCACCAGACAGGGGCCGGAAGGAATGGGAAAATTGGAGGTCTGTCAACATACAAGACGCGATAAGATCGGAGGATGTGCGACTCAAAGTGTTATACTGCTTTGCCGGAAGGTAGGGAATGCGTAGGGTTTTTGCAGTGCTCTTTGTGAAACGAAATTGGACAACGATGCCTCGCGCTGAGGATGTGGGTACGAATTACTAGATTGGTATGTGTAGTGGCGGCGGAAATGAGTGTGATGAGCTGAGCTGTGCAAAAGTATAGAACAACCTCGTTTGGGGATCTGCGCAGCCTGGCTTGATGTAGATGAGAGCCAGCTCCCAGTATATAGAGAGAAGAAAAGCGAAATTAATAAAAGACCGTAAAGGAGTGACTGGTCGAATAGAATGGGAAGAGTTGCGATTGGGACGACGCGGAAAAGGTGAAAGAGGGGCAGTGCAGTGACCCTAGAGGTATAAGAGAGAAAGTACGTTCGCAGGTCGAGGGAGGCCTGCGACGGATTGGTCCAGTCAGCAGCCCTGTCCGGGATCGGGATGTCTATTGGCGACCCATGCCAGTATTCCTGATACAAGCCAAACCTCACAAAACTTGTGTGGTGAGGTCAGGAAGCAGGCCTGACCGAGGATTCTTGGCTCCAAGGGTATCTTTTTCCCAGCTGCAGTCAGTGAGCGGTATCGAAACCAAGAGCGGGTCCGGGATGATTCTTCTCGGGCTATGACAAGTATCGAGAATGGAACAGAACGTGCAATATGTTCATCCAGCAGTCTAGAAGGGGGTGGCTTGCTTGTCTCAACCCGACGCCACCGCACCATATCGAACCTTATCTGGGGTAAGCCAGGCTTAGAAGAGCAGGCTGAGGGACTATATGATGCATCCGGCGGCCCACCCAGCAGCGAGGAAGGGAAAGACACACATGCTATCCTACCACTTGAGTTCACGGACAACCTCAACGGGGTAGTTTTGTAACGTCTGGAACTTACGGATCTTGGATGAGCAGCCTGAAATAATCCATGGCCAATAAGGCCCACGATTCTCCTGGTCGAGAGGCCGCCGCCCACCAACCAACAGAGGCTCCAGGGATTGCGTTTGGTTGCGAGATCGGGTTTGTTTGAGATCTTCCACACTGCCCAGGGTTGTCCCCGGATGTTACGACTTGTCCAGCGAGGCATATCAGCCCCAATATTGACGACAGTGGGAGGACGGCTGGAGGGGGAACAACCCAGCCAGCTGGCCTCACCACTTGGCGGCGTGCGAGCTGGGCTGGCCAGCACTGCGCTGCTGGTCCAGAGGAAAACAGCTGCGAAGGGAGTTTTGCTCGTTCTGTGGGACTCTTCGCTGCTCTTCGCTGCTCTTCGCTGCTCGTCTGCAGTGCGAGGGCGACGGCACCCGCAGCGAGAGTTTCACGTTTTCCCTCGGATGAGGTGAGGTCGTTCATTATTTGTGGAGGCCGAGAAGCGAGAGCAAGGGGTAGGAAGCGAGGCGTTTGAGGAAACCCCCCCTGCATCCAGGCACTTGTTTCAGAGTCCAGGTCGATCTAACGAACATTCGACTCTAAATCCGACGTCAGGACAGGACGCACATGCGGATGACTCGGGCGGCGCTGGCCTCAAGATAGATCTGATACCGTGGAGAACGGGAGATAAAACCTCAGTCGCACCCATCACTAGCATCACCAGCGGGCTTCCGAACACCCCGGGATGTCGGGAGGATTTCCGGCGCGATCGCCGTCGCCGTCGCCGTCGCCGTCAAAAGGCGTCAGTGCAGAGGTTCGGATCAGGCACGTTCGCGATTCAGTTCACCATCTTGCTTCCCATAACGCTCCAAACGCGATGAAATTAGCACCCAGCGAAACCAACCTCTGGCTACCCTTGTGACCCTTTAATCGGTCCCGCAACCGGGTGGCTTTGTGTGTGGCGCCTTGCGGGGGATGTCCGGCTTGCCAGCAAGGAGTGTGGGCCGCTCGCTGTTGCATGATTATTCTGCCCAATTTGGGAATTGGAACTACCTGAAGGAGCTGATCACTGTCTATAATATTGATCATATGGGGATCGGTGCCGACGACGACGATTTCGGCTGAAAGGCAAACGACCGTCTAGGTCCGCGCGTTCAGGCAACGAATCCGCTGTACCGACTTGATGGAGAGCCCTTGGGATGCTCTCCTTGTTATGAATCATGTTTCCCTCCATGACGCCACCCACTGCTCCATAAGGTGTAGTGATTCATGCAAACCCCAGAAGAAGAATAAACAAGCCTAATATTCTGTGCGACTGAAGCCCCTATTCCCCAAAGAAAGCTTGAATCTATTTCGAGGTGTTGATTGAACCCATCATTTAGGGCAAGACCGATCCAAAGCGGGAAATGCTCTATACAACTCCCCTGAGGTTTGTCCCTGTCATTCAACAATCGATAAGAGAAGCAAGTCAGTCATTCTTCCTTGTTGATCCTCCGCCAGACTTCCGCTTCGGCTTCTGATATCTTTTCTCCAGCATGCTGCGCCCACTTTTTAGCCGTATTTAGAAAGTCCATGCCCCCCACGCTCTCCGAAGTATCTTGGGCCCCTATTCGTGACGTGTTGGCTTCTTGGGCTCTTCTCTGGACACTCGTCAGTTCCGAGGCGAACACATTCTGCTGATAATTCGGGGGATGTTCGAGGCTACGGCGTGGCGCTCCAAATTCGGCAGACGGAATAGCCACTGAATATGATGCAGATGCCGTGTTTGTAGTGCTTGTTGAAGAGCCCTGAGGTTGGGCTCTGTGTTGTGTTGGAGGAGGAATCCCCATCTGCGATGGTTGTCCCGTAGCAGGAGGTGCAACTGGGGTCCCAGTTATTTGGGGCCGGTATTTCTCACCAGATTTGGGAGGAGGAGGCATGGTTGTTCTGCTTGCTGGCGTTGGTGCCGCGCCTGGCTGTGGTCGAGGGGGTCCTTCGTCCCCTCCTCGAGTGGTAGGGGTGGGGAGCAAAGGTGGTACCTGTGCGTTTGGGGCGGCGGTGGGTCCGGGGTAAGGAAAAGCACCGGGTTGGGCTGGTGGGTAAGTAGAAGGAAAAGTAGCAGTGACCGTGGCAGGAATCGGATTGCGAGGAGTTTGCTCTTGAGACGTAGCTGTTTGAGGAGTTACACCGGATGCCTTTGAGGCGTTGATAGGACTTGACGTGTAGATCGGAATGCCAGACATCGCTGATGTAGAACTGGCGCGTACTTGTTATTCTGTAGATGTTTCGAAATACCGGATTGTGCCAGATTGCTGGCTGGCGAATTCGAGGCAATGAGGTATTGCTTGGTCAGTCGTGGGAGTGCTGTTAAACGTCGAACTGGATGTCTCAGAAAATCCGGTGCAATGCAGGTTGAGACTTTCGTTCCGTGGTCACTGCTTTTTTGATCGAAGAAGAGCTGTTTTGTTGTTGCTCCCTGCAGTCAAGGAGGAGACGTGGAGCTTTTGATCCACGGCGTGTCGCTTGCGGCTCGAGGGCTTTAATTTATGACATCACGCAAGCGATCTCGTCCTCCACCTCCGAATGTTTATCTATTTATTCCCACAGGGACCTGCTCGGCACAATGTGAAAGAGCAAAAATTCCTATCATCTGATTAATTAAAGCGTAGGCGACTATCGGCCTCCAAGAAACCGTATCTTACTGGCAATTGCGGTCTCAAAACACGACAGGGATTGATACAATCACTGAGTACCGATAGATCAGTCGAAGCAGCGGGGACAATGGATCTCCCCACAAAAGAATGTTCTCATGACTGGGCTTGGACATCAAGACAGTTTTCTGAATACTCAAATTTCTTTACTTTTAACCCTTAAAATTACTATAATACTCCCTTTGAAACTCTTAGTCTAATAGATATTTAAAATACTTAAAAGGAGGCATTTCTAAATATCTACTTTTTGTTAAGAAATTTGCAGTTTTAAAAAAGTATGGTTTTGCCAAAAATGCGCTAAAACAGGGAGTTTTTGCACATAACTGAAATTGAATGCCGAGGTATCCCATCGTTTAATTTTCTCAAGCTTGACTGCACGTCTCACCTGCAACGCGCCCAACGGCGCGACAGACATGCTTCACTGCCACAATCGAACATATCCGTGCGGCTGGGATCGCATTCACAATATCGAGGATGTCTGTTGTGTCGAAATATCTCCCCTTTGCAACTTCCACGACCACCACTCAGGCCTGCGCGTATCTGTTCGCGGTGTGCCTTTTCTCGATATCTTTCCTGGTCTTCCTCAACAGCAGCGTTTCGTTCGTCATTACTGATCTAATCGGAGTGAAGGACGGAGTCGGAGATCTAGTGGGAACCCTCGGCTTCGTCGATGAGTTGGTTGCGCTTGTAGCCTGCCCGTTTTGGGGCATTCTCAGTGATCGGCTGGGTGTGCGAATTGTCTGCTTTTCAGGGTATACCATTGTTGGTCTGGCTTTGTTTATCTTCGTACAAGCTCGGAATGTCTATCCGCAACTGTTGCTGGCGCGAGTTCTGTTCAGTATCGGTGGTGCTGCGACGTATGTTTTTTGGTGATTGCAAGAGATACCAGATGCTAACTCCCAGCAGAGCGACTATGGTTACCGCAATATTGCCTTCCATGACAGGTAATAGTCAAGAGAACGAGCTTCCCGTCGAATCACCAATACACGGATCAATCTTGGAAAGCAACACGCGGCACAGCATAGCTGCATCACTCGATTCTGAGGCGACCATAACACCAGCAACTTACAATGGACGAGCAAAACCTCCGAGGCCGAGTACAGGTGCCAGGAAACATACTACAGAGTCTTCTTCAAGTCCGCCGAGACTAGCTGGTCTGGTGGGTGTCTTTACTGGTTGTGGAGCTTTGGTTGCATTGGGCGTCTTTCTTCCACTTCCAGCTGAGTTTTCTCACCTCAATGGAGTGACACAAGGTCAAGCAGTAGCGTACAGCTTCTACGTGGTTGGCAGCGTTGCCCTTTTCGTGGCTTGCTTCTGCTTCATTGGCCTTCGCGGCTTGCATGGCGAGGATGGCAAAGGGTGGGCTCTTCTCTTTGGGAGGTCCCCTTCGTCTGACGGATATGAAACCTTGGATGGCCATCCAGGAATCCAGGATCAACTTAGCCCTATCAGGGCTCCGTTCTTGCCATATTGGCGATTGCTCCTAGACTCAACTCTCCTGGGTTTCAAGGATGCACAAATTGGACTTGGTTATCTTGGAGGGTTTGTGGCAAGAGCGTCTTCCGTTGGCATCTCATTATTTATTCCTCTCTACATAAATGCCTACTTTATTCGTAACGGCTTCTGTCAAGGGTCACCGAATGACCCATCCCCTGAGCTCAAGAAGGAATGTAGAGCCGCTTACATCTTGGCCGCAGAGCTTACAGGGGTGTCCCAATTAGTTGCTCTCATCTGCGCACCGCTCTTTGGGTATTTGTCCGACCGCTACCGCCGATTCAACGTTCCTCTTCTTGCGGCCTGCGTGTTTGGAATCATTGGCTACGCAGCATTTGCCAGGTTGATAAGTCCTGAGCCAAAAAACATCGATGGCAGAGGAGGGAGCCCCGCTGTCTTCCTGATTGTGTCTCTCATTGGAGTCAGTCAGATTGGTGCGATCGTTTGCAGTCTTGGGCTTCTTGGGCGTGGCGTCCTAGGAGATGAAGGTGGCTACAACCTATCTGGTCAGCTCCATGACCCACAACCTGTCTCTGGACAGGTCGTTCATGAAGCTGCAGAGACGTCACCACTAGTTGCATCCTCACGACCAACAGTGCCACCTCATTCAAGAAGTCATCTCAAAGGCTCCATTGCAGGCGTATATTCCCTTTCCGGAGGAGCGGCCATTCTCCTTCTCACAAAGCTTGGAGGATACCTATTTGACAGTCTATCGACCGGTGCTCCATTCTATATGATGGCCATCTTCAATGCTATCTTGTTAGTTGTTGGCGCTGGCGCTGGGATATATCGAGAAGTTCGGACCAAAAACCGCCAAGTCTAAGATTTCAATGCTTTCCCTTCTGATTGCAACCCCATAAAACTCCGTGAGCCATGAGTCAATACAGCAAGCTAGCTCTTACAGTTCAATTGGTTTGACGCCTTCTTGGCTAGCTTTTGCACAAATGTACTAGAGTGCATCCAAACAATGCTTGAATGTACAGAAGAGCTTGGGGACATTTTCATACAAGGGAAATAGAATTCAGCTCTCATTGTCGCCAAATCTGCAGTCACACAGTCAAATAAGTTTGCCCACCATGGGATATTACGGAGATCGGACGAAGCTTTATTCCATCGTCTATTATGTTATTGCTATTGTACGGTCAGCCCACCTTGCAAGGCTGCTAAGAAATTGCTTTGGGTCATCTAACAAACCTTCTTCACGTCATGAATCAAACACATATTTACACAACTCTATTCCGCATAACAGATGACTTTGCGGCTCCGTTTGGACTTTCTGACGGGTCGCTCCCCCTGGTCTACCATATGTTTTCTCTTTCGGCCACTAGCAGGTTTTTCCGTTGGAGAGTCTTCGGGCTTCTCGTTCTTAGCTTGAGGTCTCGCTTCCCAAGAGGCGTTTTGTTGCATCTCTTCTGGAACGGCGACGATGATGCAATCGGCGACGTCTGTCATGCTGGCCACAGTTTTCTTCCGACCCCGATGAGGTAATTTCCGGCGCTCTTTGCAAGCCGTTGATAGTTCAAGCTCTTCGGCGTAACCATGACCGCTTTCATCGATGTCCTTGGCCCTAGACTGCTTCCGACCACGACGGAGCAGCTTTCGGGGCTTTTTGTACACTGGCGATAACGCGAGCTCTTCAACGTAATCATAACAGGCCTCCTCCTCGATGGGCGAGAGTGCATACTTGTCGCTGTAGCGAGGTTCAGCGAACATTCCTGAATGGTCTTCGAGATCAAGTGCGAGCTGCTCGCTGTAATGGTGATGCCCAGCGGTGATCTCAAACGCCGGATACCAAAAGTTGGAGATGAACATCATATTGGTATCAAGTTTGAGAACGGGCATATTCGGTGAACTGAACATTGGTGCAATCGGTGCTCCGAAGCCCTCTACTTGGGATGGGCTGTAGGGCACTTCTGGTCCGGCCAGGATATTGCCACCGACTTCGTGGTAGATGGAAGTGGCCAAGTCTGTTGTGCCCTCCATCTCTGGAACATAGGGGGCAGTGGCTGCCATAATGCCGCAAGTCATATTATCTGGCTTCGGGCTGAAGGAAACGGGTAGCAGGGGTGGAAGTTGTTGGTGAAGAACACGATATATATATGTATATTGCAAAAGACTTCCTTGATTGCTCAGATGCGTCTATGATTGTTCGAGTGGAAGCTCTTACGCCTTGAGTGCACAATCACCTTGAGCCTATAATTCAAAGGACCTCATAAACAATCAATTTCTTTGGCTCCCTAACAATCTTCTTTAATCTGATTGTTCAATGCTTTGTTCAGATTAAAGAAGCTTGTTCAATGTTTTGTGCTAGCTTGATTGTTCTAAGCATAATACAAAGGAGTTCTCGGCCGCTTGAACGAGGCACAATGGAGCTGCTCTTTGTTATGTGCAATCATCAGCATTTACCCCCGCTGATACGGAGTTATGCCAAAAGACAGTGTTCTTTTCACGTTCGAAGACGCTTAAATGACGCGTAAATGCCGAACTCTCGGTAAACAGCTATCTACAGGTGGTCAATGGGCGAGACAGGGGAGGGAGTAGGGAAGCTTGGGGATTTTTACTCTCATTTTAAACAAGAGATTCAGCCTTCACTTTCTTTCTCAATGTCTCAAGTCAAGTTCGACAATTTAATGCTTCCTCTGTATGGTCCCTGGAGCTATCAATCGATCTCTCAGAAATTAGAATATTATAGTCATTCACCTTCAAGATTATGTAAAAGCCCAGCGCCAGCCGCAGGTGCTGAGAATTAGCAGTGCCTTCTTCAATCTCTACCAGTCATTCTATTCACGAAGCACAGGGTAGAGAAATAGAGCAGGGAAAGACTAGTATCAGGTAGCAGTTCAGCTGATCTTGATTGAAGAAGGTTCTGCAGGGGCTCTGTCTAAATATTTACAATAGAATTAGTAATTAGCGTAGTATCATGACCATTATACACCCCAAGCACATTATTCCAGTGCTCCACGGTCCCAGTGCACTACTCTCGCCTCCGTTTTCCCTGTCAACCCTATGTGTGCCCAACCCAACCTAACGCTTAAAGGAGTGTAATGCGACATGACGGTCGTAAATCGTGTGTGATGGGTCAAAAACTTTTCATCGAAACCTTTTCAAGTAAGGAGGAATCCCGAGTTCGAAACGCTTATGCAAGGGCCAGAAGAGCCATGGCACCAGCTACGGCGTAGGCTGCTGGGTGGTTGCTTACGGCAGCTCCTGCCGAGATCTGGGCAGGAGCAGAAGTGGTTGTGGTTGGAGGGCCTGTCACTGTGGTTTGGATGGTAAAGGACGAAGTGAGAACGACAGTACCGTTCGTACTGGTGGCTGTCCTTTCAGATGGGACAGTGATGACCTCCGTTACAGGAACCGAAGTCTCCAAAGTGATGGGAACCTGATGTGAAAATTAGCATTGCCATTCGAGAAAAGTATATAAAAGTTGAATATTGGATGTTGACTCGTCTTCCAAGTCACAAAGACGAAGGAGCCAAGGCAGCCTACGTGGAAATATTATAATATGGTATAGAAATAAACTCACAAAGACTGTTGCTTTAGTGGTGGGCGGCTCCAAGGTCTCGGTGATTGTGTAAGCTGAGGTTAACTCGATCGTGCTAGTCTCAGTGACATCTGGTACGAAATTAGTATACAGGAATTTTGAGAAGCAAAATGGATGCGTACAAAGTACCACAGTAGAGCCGGCACTGACGGTCGTATAAAATGACTCGATCTCTGTTGTTGTGGTATAAACCTCAGTCGTCTCGTAGCAAGTTGTGAGCACGGTGGTATAACTGTTGGAAGTCAGCACCGAAGTTAAGCCTCGAATGGATCATCTCCCTAGATCTGTCTGCCTGAGAAGGACATGGAAACCCGAAACTCCAGTTATTCCCCCGAAGAAGTGGTGTTGATGAATGGAGAGGGTGGAAAGGATATACTAACTCGATAATCGTGGTTGGGACCTTTTGCACGATCAAGCTGGTGCTGGTATAAACAACAGTGACCTCCTTTCCAGAAACAGTTTCGGTTTCAGTAACAGGGCATAGAGAGGTGGAAGTCTCGTAAACATATGTCTCGATATATTTAGTCGTCGGAGCAAGAGTGGTGCTGATTAAGAGTTAGTGATAGTTCGGCAACGCAAGCGTATACAACTCACTAGACTTCAATTGTGGTAGGGTAAACTTTTTCCACTGTACTGGTTGTGGTATATGTGATTGTCACAGTGGACCCGGGGTATGTCTTAGTTTCTGTGACGGGGCAAAGGGTGGTGTAGGTAGTTGTGACCTGACGATGAAGTTAGAAACCCACAAAAGAGAACCTTCCTATTTTCAAACATACATAGGTCGTAACATATGTCGTGATAGGCGGTGTTTCTTTGGAGGTATACCAGCGAGGGACGACATCAGCTTGTGCCAAAGCGAGAGTGGCCAATGCCAGGAGAGTGAAAGTAGTCTTCATCATGGAGTTCGAGATAGCAGAACGAGAGTTATTCGACGAATTATCAGACGGAGTAACGAGGGTATTAAGTAACCGTAGCGAAAGAGTTACTTGTTGCTGGAGAGGTTGGGGATGTCTGATTTAAAGAAGGTTTGCAAGAGGAAAAGAAACAGCAAACAGGGCGGGCAACCCGGTCCTCTTTTAACGAACAGACCAGATGAGGGAAATCACCTCACTGACTACCCTGTCTCCTGTGCATCCCATGTGCGTGTAGGTGCATCCTAGCTCGAGATACTCAGGTGATGCGAGGAACGCCGTCACTCGACGTCTTCTCGGCGGGCACCATGTCGCTCCATGGCCGATACCCGTGCTGCTGGTCGATACCAAGACGATTTTCTGTATGACTGGTCGTCAGGTCGTCAGATCGATTCTGCAGAGCCTTGAGGCAAGGGAGGTTGCTACGTAAGTAGGTGTGGTCTGGGCACTCTGATTGCCCTTTGGCGTTCGCTTGCATGTAGCAGCAGCAGGGCCGCAGCAGCAGGGCCACAGCAGGCGGGGCTTGGCTGCTCCCAGCAACGGGCGAGCGTCGGCAGAGGCAGAGGCTGGTGGAGGCGGGGAGAACCCCTGACGATGATGTCGATTCGACGAGTGAGGCCCCGGAGTGCTGTGCCTGAACCTGGCCACAACTCCAACAAACTTGCCTGGAAGCCAACATGGTATGGCTTGGCATGACATGACAGCGCTCGCTCTCGCAAACTCCCATCAGCACGATAAACATGATAGACAGACAGACAGACAGACAGACAGGCACTACCATATCAGGCTTGGGCTCACCTGCCGAAGAGGTGGCTTGTCAAATAAACATTGATTCATTCATTCGGTTCGCCCATGGAAGATAGTAAGGCGAGATCTCTTGTATTCCGTATGCAGCTTTGAGAAGCAAGAGGTAAAGAGGGTGGACACATCGGAGCGAACTCCTGTACGTGCAGCTATATGTCGGAGACGGGTATTGCTATAGTGAAAGCACGTGCACACCCTGTCTACTAAACTTTTAGGTGTAAAAGCCTCTATGGCAACAGCACAGCGACATATGATCACCTTACAGGAGTTCGCTCCGATGCGTCCGCCCCCTTTACGCCGTTCCTGCAAGCACCGGGTCTCTTAGCTCAGGGCAAAGGTGTTTCTCCGCGCCCACTCCTGCGTGGTCAACTCGCGAGAAATCATTGCTCAGTCCGTCAAATCCTGCTCTGCAGGGCGACCCCGCTCTGCTGCTGGACGAATTTAATACTCCTGCGGAAACTTGATTCAAGTCAGAATCTACCTCGCAGCGACCCCCCGCACTGGCCAATAGCTCGGGCGTGGCGGGAACATTTCAAGAAGTCGATACGGATAGAGGTGGGAAAGTTCCAAAGATCAAGGCAATCCTGGCCACAATAGTGTTCGTCCCTGGCCTCGCTCTGCAGGGATGCTTTTGAGTGCATGGAGTTCTCATGACGAGGTTGGTTGAGGTGGTGCAAGCAACGGGAGTCATGGAAGAGAATGAGAAAACAGAGCGGTTTCGTCGGACGAAGGGGCACCGAGGCAGTCGGACATGAAGTACCGCTCGGAACAGAGAACATCATGTTTGACAATTGGCAACACCGAGACATTCTCCATTTCCATGATGCGATCAACGATACTCCGTGTCGGCAACGACATGAAAAGCACATACGCCATATAGGTGCATGTTCGCGAGGATCCTCGGCGAATTCGATCATTCGAAGATCAGTCTCTGAGGAACCCCTGTCGGCTCTATTTTCTCGGCTCCTCTGCCCCTGAACTCTGGCCCAGTTGCGGCGGTGAGGAAGCGTTGCCGTCTGCGACCTGAAATAGCAGGCATTCAATTTAAACGTCGATTGTGGCGCGCCACCAAGATCTTCTGATCTTCCGATAAGTTCATGGGTACGCATAGTTTGCTCCCGCGTCATTGCGAATACAGTAGCAGACGAGGGGGGCAAGCGACTCCTTCTGAGCCTGAGCCTTGATAATCAAACAATCAGTCCGATGTCATTCGCAGTGCAGCACCTCTATTCTGTGATGCGATATACTGGATCCGGCTCATCAGTAAGCTTTGGAACTAACCGCAAACCCATGATGCCCGCAAGACGACTCCTCAGGCTCACCGCACTCTCAACATTTCAATCTTCATCTTCGTCTGATTCGCTATCCCATCCTTCCTCGTAAGCCTCGGCAATCTCGCCTAGGGAGTTACTGAGAGCCTCCCGCTCTGTTATCGCAACGGCCCTGCTTACGATAGATTGGAGCCTTTTCACCTGCAAGGCGACGGTCGTATCAGTTGACAACGATGTGCTGATGGCCAACGATGCGGTCACACTTGCCTGTGCGAAGATGTGGGGAAAGCTGTCAAGGAGGGGAAACAACAGGGGTGTGATAGTTCTGCGGTGAGAGTCAGCAGGAATCCCGGCGGCGAGCGACCATGCATACAGAGAAACCTGGAATGATCTGACGGCTGTTCTCGATACGAGAGCACTACATGATTTTGCTGCAAGAGGGAAAGATGCGAACTAACTTTTGTATCAATGGCAGCCCAGCAGCCCGTCGCCGTGCGCGCTCGTATCCCTCATCCTCCCCACTGGTTTCCTGTGAATCGGTAATTTCTTTAACTCTATAGCCCTCGACTTGGCCAAAAACGTGAGATTCCTTGTTACTTTGCCGCCTACTGATTTGTTCACCGGTCTCCGCAGGGAAGAAGTCCATATCAAACGTGTTTAAATCACTGTCCCCACCTGCCTGGGAGCCGCGAACGCTTCTATCTTGATAGGACACTCTGGAATCTCTGCTCTCTGTTGGTGCAGCCAATCTTCCTGGCCCCTGGTGTCTATTCGGTGCTGTTTTCTGATCGACGCTCATCCGCAACTTTGCTATGTTTTGATTGCCATTGATGTTCAGGGCGCTGATGAGTCTGTCTATTGTTTTGCGGCTTCCATATTTGGTCTTCAGTCTTGATGGCAGGCTCATACTTTCAAGTGCTGCCGAAAGAAGCCCAGACACGTGCCATGGCGACTGACGATCAACCGTGACATAATTAGGTAACCTAGCTGTAGGTAAGGTCATGGGGATGAAAAGGGATGCCTGTGGGGCGATTTCTGAGAGTGACCGGGCTATGTTCGACAGCCTCATGATTCGTTTCTCCTGTAATGTGTTAGCAATAAGGGGAATCATTCTCTAACTCTGATTGAGACATACTCTTGAAATCGACGTCAAACCGTCTTCGAGTCCCCAGAAGGAAACTGTTGTTTTGCCATATTCGTCCCTGATGCGGTCCATATATCTTGCCGCGAATCCACCCCACGCATCGTCAACTCCTGCCATGACCTGAACACCCTGCATGTGATCAGCCTCCTCCGCAAATACTCTTAAATCACGATCTAGTAAGTCATGTTCTTTGTCGAGAGAGTTGAAGAGATCTTCTCCCACTTCCCAACTCTCGAACGGCATCAGCGTTGAGCTCAACTCATACTCATTGAGCTGGACAATGGACTTTGGGTTGAAGTAGACTCTATTGAAGTCTGACCAATACCTGACGGACTCCGTTGTCAGTTGTGGAGGATCTAGTCCCTCCTCGAGGCTCTGCTGGTAAGCGCTTTGTTGGATAGCTGCCTGTCGCTGAATGACTGCTGGTCCATTCCTGTGGTATGTCAGGGGATTGCTTGCGACAGGGAACTTCTACTCACCAGACACCATGTTGGACCACAGGTTCCTCGATCTCATACAGAGCATTGATCTTTCTCAGAGAACCAAACCCACCCTTGAGATCATAGATAAGTGTTCTCGGAGTGAACGTTTCGGTCCCGTCTGCTCCAATACCAGGTCGAAAATGGATATCGTGATCGACCAGGGATTCCTCGTCAGTCGAATATGTGAAATATGACTCCTGGGAATGCATTAGTCGCGGAAAGAATACAACAGGAATCCTCCTACTTGAGTGTTCCAGAAGTGAGTCGCGAGGTAGTTACTCCTCTGCCCAAGCTGAAGCGTTATGATCTCATGCATCCTGAGCCGTCCTGTTGAGTCTTGATACTGTGCAGGTGGTCTTCAGGTTATTTGGAAGCGCAGGTGCGAATTTGATGCATCATGAGATGAGCGGCAACAATGGCTTCTGCCTGATGCACATAAGATGCAAGCTCGGGCTATCGGTGCTGTGTTGAGAGTTGGACCCGCACGCTGAGAGAGAGAGAACCAACCTGGCGCTCCATGTCACGTGCTGCAAAAGAATCCACTTTCAATTTGGGTGAAATAAGTAGGTCGTAAAATAGCAAGTTTTGAATCAGAAGTCTTGTTTTGAACCCTTTAAAGGCGAAAAAGGCAATGCCTTAGTCGCCGCGGAGGACACCCATTACTCTACACTGATACCTGAACACCCTAGATGCCGAGGCAAGCCCCCATTCCTGTCCCGGCCTAGCTCCTTGTAGCCACCGTCACGACTACGTATATAACAAAGCTTCTTTCCACGACTCCTAGCTCATTCATTGCTTTTCAAAAATCTCCCACGCCATTGTTCAATCTTCCGACTACCATCTTCAATTGCCAACAATGACCTTTCAGCAGGAGGCTAATTCTTGGCGGACTCCCAGAGCCCTCGAAACATCTCCAGCCCCGGAGGTTGGCTCAAAAGCACCCTCGTCTCCGAAGCTGCGATTCCCCAACCCCAATGGAAAATGCACGGTTATCACTTTTCTGAGGCACTGCGGCTGCCCGTGTACGTCTTCGTCTCCATCGATTCTGAATTTCTGAAGGACTCAAAGACCGTTAACACGTCCTTCATCCAGTCGCCGAGAAGACTTTCGATGAGCTTCGGAAAACTGCTGCCAGGAACCCCGAAGTTAACTTCATCGCCATATCTCATTCATCCGAAGAGTCTACCGAGAAGTGGGTTATCGCCGTGGGCGGCGAATGGGACGTGAAAGTCATTGTGGACGCCAATCGAGAACTGTATGCGCAATGGGGCCTGGGCATCTCCAGCGCGTGGCATGTTTTGAATCCATGGTCCCTTTACTCTGTTTTGCGACTTATGAGGACCGAGAAAATTAGTAACAGACCGACGGAGAGTGGTAATAGGTGGCAGACTTCTGGAAGCTTTGCGGTGGACGGAGAGGGAACTGTACGTTGGTGTAGGGTCGCGAGGGCTGCCGATGATATCCCCAATTTCAACGAGGCACTGAAGGCACTGGGTGTTAAAACTTGAATGACTTCTCGACGTTTAGGCCTGGGCGAAAAGTTTCGTTGTTTGAACTTGGATTGAACCAGCTTCTCGTCGCCTCCAGCTCTGAGGCTGTCCACACCACCACAGAATTCATCCGCAAAGAGGATAGCACTGAAATAGGTCAAGGCGTGAGAATCCACATCGCCACAAGGTCATTACATTTTTAAAATATTGGGATTTTTTTTTTGAAGGAGTGTCTATTCTTCTAGAACACCAATGTACCACTGAAGTTGGCACATTGACAAACAGTAAACTGGAAACTCGAACGACCCCCCGGAGCAGCTAACATCTCAACTTCCTACGAATCTAGGCCAGTTTAACATGAATTATGTGACCGAAATAGCCGGACGGTTCTTGTGAGAATACAATGACTACAAATCCACCGCCAATTAGTTTTCCTCGAGCTGCGCGAGGGCTTCGTGCAGAGTGACGATCTCTTCTGCCAAGTAGATTAGCACTGCAAAATGTAGAAAATCCTGAGGAGGCGAGGAGGCGAGGAGGCGAGGAGTTGCATTCGGCTCCTACGAGTCCAGAACGGCTCCTGAGCTCTCGACTCTCGTGAGAAAACCCGAAAAATTAGTAGAGAACAAGCTTACCAGGGGCCATGTCTCCAGCTTCGTCATACCTAATCTTGTCCATGGCAAGTCTGAGTCTGACAGAGAACTCGTAGCCAGGGATATTCTCAGGCTTGCCAGGGCTGACGACAGCCAAGTCGGAGAGCGCATCCATGTTTTTTCGGACCAAGTTCACCAATTGACGCGTTGTTGACGGTGGTGTTGTACGAATCTTCTTCTTGGGGACAAACAACTCGTCCTCGTCCTCTTCCGTCGAATCTTCAGCCTCGTCTTCTGTATCAAACATGACAACCTCTTCTTCTTCTTCTTCTTCACTTTCCTCCAATGGGCTGTCAATATTGAGATCATCATCAAGTACGTCACGAGCGGCCTGATACGAGCTGGTCTTCTGCTGCTTGTCGGTGCTGTTCTTCGCATTGGCGTTCGTCTTTGGGTTGGCAAGCTTGGCGACCTGAAGACGCTTGAGGCGATTACCTTGGTTCTTCAGCGGGTTGTGCCAGTTATAATTGCGCTTCTTCTCAGACAAAGATCGCTGGGCCTTCTTGAGAGCTTGGGGATTATTAGTGTTGTGTTCTTGAGTTTGGTTGCAGTGTCGAGCAAAAAGAAAGTAAAGAACTCCCGCATCATAGCTACGAAATACAAAGGCCGTAGCTTTGCTTCTGGAGTGGAATAAGGAAGTGGGGCTGCTTACTACGGCAATTTGACTTCAGTTCCTCATCGCCCTCGGTTTCGGAAGTCGCTGATGCTGGGAGAGGAAACTTATACTCTTCTTCGTCAGTTATCTCCCCATCGCTCAGGGTGAGACCGAAGCGCTTGCACTTGTCCTCCGGATCGAAGTCCATCGTTGCACCATTCTTGAAGGTTCGCTCAAGCTCCCAAGCAATAGCCTCCGATATTGCGTCTGAAGTGTCACCATAGAAGCTGACAGTGGTCAGGACGGCGTCCTCGATCTCGTGTGTCAGCTCATAGCTAATGGCCTTCGAGAAGCAGAGGGACCGAGCAGATTCTTCGAGTGCGTTACGAGACATCTTGAAAGACGGAAAGTAGTTCAACGAGATGCAAGTGCACTAAGTGTAAGAGACTCCTTCCACAGAGAGGTGGAGCCGTCGCCTCGAGGGAGAAGCTCGAATGATGTTGCAGATCGGAAGAACGAATATTTGTCATTCCGGAGCAAGATAAAACTTAATGCCGGCTCTCCGCCACCTTTGGAGGCAAGTTTACTGCATTCACCGCAGAAATTAAATGGCACTGTTTAGAAAATGATTAACATTGTGAGTGTTCGATTCTTCATTACCTATCATTTCCTACTCCAGCAAAGCAAACTCTGTCCAGCGGAACAGCGGCAGCAACTATATACATGTCTCTCTTTTTGTACAAAAACAAACGCGTTAAAGATACATTGGGCTTGAGCGGGAAGTCTCGCAGTGGTAAGAATGGGTGAAGAAATGGTGAACTTGAAAGCAAGAAGAACATAATGCCACCAACAATTCGGTCAACCAATTACAGACTGCCAAGCTTTCGAAAAACTTGATGGACAACATTCGAAGTAACCTGGGCAATATGCTCGATGTCCTCCTCGGTAACATTATACGCGGGCGCCAGGATCACATGATCTCCCCTGAATCCATCAACGGTCCCTGTACCGGGATACATGGTCATGTTAAAGGGGGCCGAAATCGCAGTATCGTGCACCCTTTGTGCAACACCCAACCTTGGATCAAATGGCTCCTTGGTTGCCTTATCCTTCACGAATTCGAGCCCCCAGAAAAGTCCTCGACCTCGAATATCACCCACATTTGGATGGTCTGCCAACCGAGACCGAAGGCATTTCTCCAAATACAACCCCTGTCTTTTGACGTTACCAACCAGATTTTCCTCCTCCACGATTCTCTGGACTTCGAGCGCCGCCGCTGCCTGAACGGGCATGCCCTGATACGTCTGTCCATGGACAAACTGACCGCTCCCATTCAGCAATGTGTTGACAACTCTGGACGAGATGAACACTGCCGCGACAGGCTGATAGCCACCACCCAGTCCCTTCCCAACTGTCTGCAAGTCAGGCACAACGTCCTCGTTTTGCCAAGCATGCAAAGTTCCACAGCGGCCCATGCCGCTCATCACCTCGTCCAGAATGAAGAGCGCGCCATGCTTGTGGCAGACGTCCCTCATTGCTTTCAGATAGCCCGGAACCGAAGGCACGCACCCAAGAGCGGCACCTACGACTGGTTCTGCTACGAAGCCAATGACGGTCTCTGGGCCAAGCTCCTGGAATTTTGCTTCGAGCTCAGTGGCTTTCCTTGCGACAAATGAAGAGTCTGACTCTCCGTCGGCCCGTTGCCGATAGGCATTGCAGGCAGAAACATGATGCACGTTGTCCATCAAGAATGGCTCGTATGGTGCACGGCGCACTGGATGTCCTGACATGGCCAAGGCGCCAATCGTGTTACCGTGATACGAGCCCTCACGAGTAATGAAGTTGACGCGACGAGTCGCTGGATCATTCTCGTAGAAGACTTGGCGAGCAAGCTTGATGGCCGCCTCCATAGCCTCAGATCCTGAAAACATTCATCAGAACCTTAATACGCAAGGATGCTGAGCACTGACCTGAGCCTGTCAGATAAACTCTGGCCATTTTGCCCCCTGTACCATCAATTAATTTCTTACAGAGCTCCTCGACGACTTCGCAGGCCCAAAAGGTAGATGCAAGGTAAGGTATGCCAGTAGATAGGATGGCAGAGATAGCCTTGAAAACCCTCTTATTTCCTGTGTGGAATTCAAGATCAGCTACGAGGACTCTAAGGAGGATACAAAGGCGATCCTGGAAAAGCACATCGGCACGAAGCAGTTGGGTCTGACGAACCGTGTCCCAAGCAAGAGACCGCAGCTCCCGATGTGGCATCGAAGATGACACGCCCATCTTTCAAGTAGAGATAGCTGCCGCTACCTCTCTCAACTACCGGAAAAGATTTATGGAGGTTTCGATCGAGCAAAAACGCAGTTCGCGCGTGTCCGTTAAGGACAGTGGTGGAAAGATGGCCATTGGGCAGATGAACACCATTGCTGGGAGCAGCAGGCACCCTGTCATGCTGATCGAGGTCTGTAAGGGCAGATGGAGACATGATGCTAGAAGAACAGACTAGCTCGGCTACGTATCTGTTCGAGATCGACTGAGAAGGAGGAGGAGGATTGACACCTTTCTAGGAGCTCATGTGTTAAGTGAGGAAAATGTCAGATGGGAGGCCAAAAAAGCGGGTGTCTCTGGGGAAGGAGGCAGGAGGCAGGAGGGGGAGTGTGGAGGAAGTGGGAGTAGAAGGAACGATGCTGGATGTAATATAGAAAACAGACCAGAGGACGGACAGTGGCAGCAACGACCAGGACCAGGCTCAGTTCAAAATGAAGTGAGATACGAAACTTGGGCCAGGTGGGCACTGGCCTCTGGATCCTGTCCCTCTCTGCGGAGCGGACGCTGAAGGGAAATGGGAGTGAAGTGTGTGGGAGTGGGGGCTCTCCAGAGTCCAGAGTCCAGTGCATTTGCACTTGCATTCGCATTTCTGGGCTAAGCTTTTAGTCTTGCTTCAGAGGCCCTAGCTTCCTCACCGCCAACCAGATGTAGACACACAGCAGAGGGACGTCGTGAGGGATCGCCAGTCTCGAGTTGGCCTCCATCTGCTGGACTTGACCGGTGAGGTACAAGCAAAGAGCACGCAGATCCTGGTACTACTCGCGAGCAAGTACCAAGCCGCGGGGCCGTAACACCACCCGAACTCTCGACCACCTCGCAGCAGCAAGACGACCTCGCCCAGGGCAGCCACATGCCCTGCTGCCGTCTCGGATGCACTTCCTAACTTGAATCTAGGGGCGGCCATCGGCTGTGTTCGGCTTGTTTAGACCTTGGGTAGCGCCTTTGGAAGATTGACCGCTCTGGGGCAATGAATCGAGGTCGACTCGTGGAATGGGTACAAGACCGAGCTCAACTTTGACCCCGACAGGTCTCCACTTGCCGACTGCTTGGCCGTCCGCGCCGAAGCTGCTGCCATGCGGAGAGAGGGAAGGGAAGGCAAGGGATGGAAGGGATGAAAGGGATGGAAGCGATGGGATGGGATGGGATGGGATGGGATGGGATGGGATGGGATGGGATGGGATGGGATGGGATGGGATGGGATGGGGATGGGATGGGATGGGATGGGATGGGATGGGCAGCTCCAGGGCTCAGGGCAAGCAGGGCAGGGCAGGGCAGGGCAGGGCAGGGCAGGGCAGGCCGTGTTTTGCAGCGAACGCCGCCCGCGTCGTCATGTCATAATCATCCCAGGAAGCAGCAAACGACAAGTCAGTTGGGCTGCCCATCTCACCTATCCCATGCTGTAACGGGTTTCCGGGAACCGATGCGATCAGATGCTGCCGTTGTCGGGTCCTTTCGTCCCATCTCTATTCGTGTGGCTCCAGCAACGGCAGTCGATCGATGCAGCCAATGTGCAAGGGGCCGCGGCCATGCGGCCTCGAAGACACAGCAGGAAAGAGCAAAGTATCTTGCCGACCCCCCTTCGTCACTCTCCCCTCCGCCGTATAGCCAGTGCTGCAATAGTGAGTGGCCGACTCGGCCTCGCCCAGGATGGGGGCTTTCTTTCTGTCCCTTTCTGATCAACAATTCAAGCAAGCAACGGTCCGTCGCATCCAGCGTTTGGCGTGCTTGGTAGCCACACAATTTACAGAAGCTCTCCAAGGAAGGACCCTGGGCCGTCCGACGGCCCACAATCTTGATTTATGACAGTATTGCATTGATCGGTGAGGTGGACAGCTGCGTTCGGTGGATGGGAGGTGAGCAATTCAGGGCAATGGCTGAGTCTGACGACCTCGACCGTTGAATTAAGGCATGTCCTGTGTAACCTCTCCTATCCGACTTCGATCTAGCTCAGGCGATCAACCCGCTGCATGAACAGAAGCGCACACGTCAAAAAACCTCCTGGGTCCCATCCCCAACTCAACTCCCTGAGCGCAGAACAACAGAATCTCGACGATGCGGAAACACCTCGCGGAGACGTAGTGTATCGTGCGAATTTTTTTCTCCCAATCACGCGCACAATCCGCACACTCGGAACCCTGCATGGATGAGTCTGGTCTGTCTGGGCGGTGTCGACAGTCCGGCATCCAAGCTTTGATCTCTCGACCTGTGTGAACTTTGTGAGCGGCGCGCGGCCACGAGGCTCTGACTTTGGCCCGTCGGCTTCCACACCTTGCCTACAGTAGCACGGATGCACGGTGCTTTGAGACTTGGGAAGCTCTCGCCCTCGCCCTCGCCCTCTCAGCATCTGACGGCCGTTCCTCTGCTCTGGTGTGCCTGCGAGACTGGCCCACAGAGTCAGAACGCACATCCTGCAAGTAAGCGACGCCCGCCATGCGAGAGGTCTCTGTTGGTCTTGCCGGCAGAAAGCGCAACGGCGTCCATTGACCTTCGCAGATTCTCCTTCTGATCGAGTCAAGATTCGGGCCATCACTGCATCAGCTCTGCTTCGCAAGCAACCCCGGTGTTACTTAAGGGCCTAAGGCTTTGCTTGACAATCTGACGTGATCTCCGCACTGCAAAAGAACCCTACCGAAACTAGTATCGGCATCGAGCCGAGAGTCATGTCTTCGGCCCGCCTCAGACCGGTTTTCGGATAGGCGGGATCCGTGAAAACAACCCCCCCCCAGTCAGGTCAGGTTCTCTGCTTGCATGAACGCATTGCCATGGGTGTCGGCCTCTCCCGAGTACCAATTGGCCACCTCGGGACTTCCATACACGCTAAAGACCTCGTCGCGCAACGACGGTACACCGTCTCCGCTCCTCAAACGCTGGAACCCAGTATTCGGTACGGTGTGGTCCACGTGAGGTGCCGCTCCAGTGGCGTCCTTTCATTCAACGGGAGTCCTGCCTTATTGTCTCTAGGTCACTTTTGAGTGCATTGTGACGGAAAGGCAAGTCCCCCACGCCAGTTTTGCGGCGTGGGGTACATGGACGACTACACTCCGGCTTTCTATTCACCGAGCTGGGAAAACCGCTCCGGGGAGACGACTCGGGATATCCGAGTCCGCTTGAAAAATTATACGGAGATTGTGTGACAAAAGGTAGTGCTTGCTCTGCAACTGGGAAAGTCGAGCCGTCGAAGGCCTCAAAAGTGGATTTCAGGCTGTTGCCCTTTCAATAGAGCGGAATGCGGCCGGCTGCTTCTTCATCTTAAGTAGGCTCCCATTGCGAGCCGTGGATCGTCCAAAGTCTGAACACCATGCAACGGCCCGGGCCACTGGCTTGTCTTCAGGTCATCGGCTGTGAAGTCGGCAATCTCGTCTCTCAGCCAAGTGAATCATAATGCAGTTTAGTCTAATGCATTGTTCTGTCCCATTCTAGTCCAGGGATTCCATTCTAGTATGCAATATCAAACCTCAAGCTGATTCGCTGAAAATTTAGTGGCTCGCGGTGAACAGCAAAAAATGCCCCTCGATTTCATTGTACTCAGTCATCTTGGACATTGATCTGTGTTGTAAGTATAGGGGAGTGTGTAAATGGTACTGAGTACCGAGAACATTGGAAGGGAGTATGAGCCGTATGTCCGTTAGTTTGAGGGAACATTCGGAGAGCAGTACCTGAAGTAGTTATCTTGGCTTTGGCACATTGAGAATGGTGTATCTTTTTCTGTCCACTGTGCAAGTAGTTAGGAAGTAAAAGGCGCCTCTCTGTCTACGGGTTCGTTAAAGCAAGCCAAAGAAGTGAAATGTACTAAAGGAAGAGTTAGTTCAATAGGAACCGACTCGTGTGAGTTCAATTCTGCATGTTCGTGCCTTGTCCCTTTCCCGAATCCGACTCTAACAAATGAACTACAAGCCACTCGACTGAGATGAATGTGAACCCGAGGACATCAGACCAACATTCGTCGATTTGACTGGAGTTCCTAATAAATAATAATTACGGATACTTCGCTCTTCGCAGCATTGTCGTAGGACAAATGCGTTTCGGATTGCACAGCCAGCTAGGCATTTTACCGCGCTCTCCAGCTTTTCTCTCGTCTTTCAGCAAAAAGACCTTTGATTTTGGAAAGATCCCGTTGGCATTTCAACGAATCCGAGCAGCGTGATCATGGCAACTTGAACCTTTCGGAGGGCCCAAACGTATTCAAACAAACAGTTCTGAGTAATTAACGATTAAAGCAGCGTGGACCTGAAAACTCTCAAGGCTCACTGAAGCGATGTAGTGGAGTGGGCGAGTGACTGAAGCATCGCCACAGTGGGAAGGGAGCGACCAGCAGACAGTGGAAGTGCCAGTAGTGCACCCAAAGCTAGACATCCGGCATCTGGCACCGACGCACGATAAAGCAGAAAGTAAACACTATTAGTACTAGTTCGGTGACCATAGAGGTAGCCTTAAAGTGCTACAACTGCAAGAGGATAGGGGCACAGACCCGTATCACGTGATAGACACTATTGACATCCAAATCATGGGGCCAAAGACCCAAGAAGTCTCCGAACGCACCTCTGCTCTTCAAATCACCAGTCCGCGCTCGACTCTTGGCCCAGCATCTCTCCCCCCAGCATCTGCGATTTGTTTCTCGTCCGCACGACGCTGTCCTGGTGCTGCTGACAGTCACAAAAGACGAGAGCGAGACAAGAACAAAGACTTTGTGACGCGCCTTCGCGTGAATCGTGACCAGGAATTTCGAAGCAATCGCAATCGCGCACGCCGCAACAGCAAATACTGTAAGGAAACCACAACACCACGTCAAGGGACAACCACCTTGGATTGCTTGCCTGCCTCTGCCTCGTTCATAAAAGCTGCCGGCGCCGCCGCTCACTCCGCAAAGGTCGGTCATTGACACAAGGTCGCGAGACGCTCACCCTCGGCCCACTTACTTTCTGCCTGCCAACAGACCAAAAGCGCTGACTTTTGCAGCTCCTCCTCTACTTCGACCCATTCTTCCAGCATATGCATATCGGCCGTTTGCGCCTCTGACTCGAGAACATGCCTCCGTCAACTAAGCGCTCACAGCGGGTACGCCGAGAAACCATCAATAATGTTGACGTTCCAGATTCCTCTCCATCACGACCCGCAAAGAGGAGAAAGAAGGTAAGTCCCCTATATGATCAATTGGATCAGCGCTGACAGAATATCAAGGCCAATTCACCCGTGGAGAAGCCAGTCCTAGAACCTGAGCCTGTTCTGCTTCCTATAGACCGATCTGGTATAAAACTGAGCGACGACGAACTGATCACTGCCGTCGTCCCCTTCCTCAAAGTTCCCGCCCACCTAGTTCAGGCCACCATAGATCATGCCAACACGCTTCATGAACGACACAATAAAGAAGGGGTCCAAGCATATGCGAAGCTGGCCGGTAAAGATTGGACCTTCTACGTCAAGAATCTCAAGAATACCATTGGTCGACCCCCAGAGACCCAGAATGGGCTTTCAAGCCAGACCAGCCCACCTCATACAGATGACATCGGAGCCCTACCGGTTGAGGCCGCGGGCGCAAATGGCGGTGTTCATATTGATTTGGGCCCCCACAAGATGGTATCTCGTTCGCATGCAGAAATCTTCTTCGATTCAGATTCCGAATTATGGAACATTATGGTTCACGGTCGAAATGGCATCCGAATTGACGATAGGCATCTTACTCGGGGGCATCGGCATGCTCTTGTCAGTGGCGAAGTTATCGAGGTTGCTGGCGTGGAAATGATGTTTGTCCTCCCCGAGCAAGATGGAAGCCTCAAGGTCCACGACAAACTCCTCCTCAGAGCCAATCTCATCCGAGTAGACCCGGACAAGCCTGCAAAGCTCGAAGCCGGGGATCATGCTTCGTCTGCTCTCCCTTCGTCGCAAGTAGCTGTTCCTGGCCAGAATGGCCTACTAGGTCCACAACCAATTGCTCCAGCGCCCCCTGATTACCGAAGACCTGGAACTCCTGTTAGTAACCGTTTGAAACCTCCGTACTCCACTGGCAAGTCGCCTGGCTTTGCTGGCGGTACCATGGTAATGAATTCCGGCGACGACATAGACCTCAGTCTTGATGAAAACCAGCACATCAAGCCTTCATTTAGTTACGCTCAGCTGATCAGCCAAGCAATCTTAAGTACTCCTGAAGAAAAGCTAACACTCAATGGTATTTACAATTACATTACATCCAAATACGCTTACTATCGATCTCAAGGCGGCGGTGGATGGCAGGTAAAGTTACCCTTTGTTTTGAAAAACTCTATGCAGCAAGCTGATTGTCGAACAGAACTCTATTCGCCACAATTTGTCCCTGAATAAAGCCTTCGAGAAGGTAGCTCGCTTAACAGATGAACCCGGAAAGGGTATGAAATGGCGTATCCTTGATGATCACCGAGACGATATGGCCAAGAATTGCAGGCGGGGCGGCAGAGGCGGACACCGAGGCTCACCGGGTGGCTCGCCGGGTGGTCTCAATTTGATCGCCCGTGGATCGAGAGAATCCGTCAACCCCAGCTCGACGCAACGATCAAAACGCTCTCCACGCTCTGGAGGTTCTCCACCCGCAAGCTCCTTTGCATCGAATGACCCCCAATTCACTCCGGATCGTGGAGGACATCTTTCTAGATCAACCCAAGACCAAGCTCCTGGCGATGGGAGCCCCTTGCCGCGACACAGAAGAAATCATGTTAGTGCTTTTGGACTGTCTGATAACGCACCTGGTTCCCCACCAGTTTTGTCTTCATCATTTTTGCAGGAAGAAGGCAATTCATTTGTCACACCAGCACCCCATCGAGTCCACCCTCGTCTTGCTCCTCCTTCGACGGCACAACGACCAAGTCAGCATATGCCGACCAGTTCTCCAGCTCCTTTTTGGAAATATGCTGATATTGGGAACACTCCAGTGAAAGGAGCAGCTTTTGATCTGAGTCCCACCAAAGGCACAAGCGCTGATGCTGAAATCGCGCCAAGTAGCAGCCCAGCCCCTGCTCGCAGATCCCCCGTAGCTAGTCCCACCAGGAATGGCGCGTCCGCGAAGCTGGAAGCGCTGGCTGATGACCTTGAAGACGAGAATGAAGGGTTTGATTTGACCAGGTAAGAGTCATCTATGGGACTTCGTACAGCTTCTCTAACACAGACCACAGAGGTTTCCAGAGCATTGGATCTTATCACGCCCCTGCGGCCAACGCAGTCGGGGCTACAGTCAGTGGTCGCTCGTAGGCCATCGTAGTTCCGGCTTGTGATACTTGAACGCGCTGGGGCGTTGTAATTTTTCGGGTCTCAATTCACAGAAACGGAGATTGGCATTTTTCTTTTCTGTCATGTTAGTTTAGTCGTTGCAAAATGGTGTGCTCTCATCCTCACTTTCTGCATAGCGAGGGGCATTTGTTCATCGAAATTACGGCTCCCATTTGGGGGTCGTTAGGGCAGCGCTTGTGAGCCTGAGTCACTCACGGCTTGCGTATTGTAATTATCTGGATGTAATCATTCATCGGCGTTGCACACATACTTGAGATCCTCATTTGAGTGAAGTTCCATCGTGACTCGAAGAAGAAAGACTTGTTCCCCTGCGCCATTTAGTCGTTCGTGGTCATGCCATAACGATAACCGGATCCTTTTTACGTAGTGTAGGAGCGAAGATAGGTCTTTTTACTACACAGCCCGGTTCAAAACCAGAGTCTATAATACAGGTATGCAAACTCGAATGTATCAATGCTGCGGCCGTGAGAGCGGGGGCCAGACACTACACGCAACCGTCCACCCCTAGCAACATTGCCCCACAAGCTGAACAACCAAGTTATCTTAAACTGGAAAAAAATTGCAAACTCATTCAAGACGCCGCCCTATGCTTCCATTCGCCATGTATACACCTTCCGCTATTTTATGTGCTACGTTTCTTATGATACAACAGCACCCCGTCTCTTCGGGTTGCTGCGTCCAGGTCGCTTCTTTGCTTTCGCGGTTTGGTCAGTACCTTCGATGAATTTGAGCAGCTCATCAATACTGCGAGAGTCGAGACCCATGGAATTTTGTGGGTCACGCCCTGTTGCGGCTTGCGCAGTCTGTCCAACCTGGGGTTGAGGGTGGGTTTGGCCCAGGGTCACACGTGGTGACAACCTAATACGACGTGCCTGCACATCTTTGGCGTGCTTAGCGATGGATACCGCGTTCTGAGTGAGTTGCTCAAGCCAGCTTTCAGCTTCCTTCGTGTTCTTGTCGTTGGGGCCGAGCTCATTGAGGAAGATGTTGTACGATTCACGCATGCGATTTACAGCCCCTTTGGAATCCTGATCGAGCGCCAACGCCTGTGCCAGCTGGAATAGAAGTGTTGCTGCGTTGATCGACTGCTTCCCGTAGACATTTTCACAGATCTTCAAGGATGCCTCAAACCATAGTCGCGACTCGTGATAATCTTTCAAGTGCTGCAACATCACTGCCGCATTGTTGATGGTCGTGATGGAGTCGGGATGGTTTGGACCGTAGATGACTTTCCATAGTCCCAAGGCGTGCTTTATATAGCCCAGAGCAGATTTTGTCTCTCCACTAGCATGCCCGAAGAGCCCTAAGTTGAGATAACTCAAGAGTGTTTCTGCATTGTCAACGCCAAGAGTCCTCTCCGATACGATTACAGCTTTTCGTGCAAGCTCAACAGCGGCGTCTTTCTCCTCGAGCTGATAGTAAAGCATTGACAACGTGTTGTAAACTCTGGCTACCTCGGGGTGGATAATGCCGTAGATTTGTTCGTGAAGCGAAAGCGACTCTAACAAGAGCTCCTGGCCGAGCTTCTTTTGGTTTTGCATAATTGATATTCTTCCGGCTTCGAGAGCCTCTTCCGCAAGTGAGCTTCTTGGCGATGCTTCTTTGATGACAGGGACGATGTTTAGAATATCGTCGGGGCTAAATGTTTGCGGAGAACAAACGTTGGAGGAGGCAATAGATGCCGGAGAGCCGTCACGAGTCTTCTTTTTCTTCTTGTTGCTGGTGCTCTGCCCGTTTGCGCTGTTATCCTTCACGGCGGTTCCATTGACGGGCGAAGTAGATTCAACTGGACTCTTAATCTGCTGAGTAGTAAAGCGGTACTCTTTCATCTCGAGTTGCAGTCCAAGTTTCAGCGAGACTTCACGAAGGAGCTGTAGTGGCTTGATATTTAAAGACCAAGCCTTGTCGATCGTATACTGGAAGCGGCGGAGAATTTGGTTCTCGAGCTCTCCTCGTAAGCTCTCAGGGGATACTTTCTGGAAATCCAGATCTGCGTCTGGATACAAAGAGATCAAAGCTTCATCGACTTCTGCCTTGGGCTTAGGGTTCAGGTCGGCTCCGAGCAAGCAGTTGAGGAGATGAGAGATGCAAGCCGCAGTCAATGGAATAGGCAAATACCGTAAATACTTGCCCGCAACGTGCTTGAAGGCTCTCGATACCATCTCTTGGATTGAAAGGATACGGAGAGATTCTAGTCTCTTCCCTTCCGCAAGCGTTGTGATCTTCCCCAGATATCTAACGTTAATACCACGTTTGTGCAGCAGTCGGCTCAAGGACTGTCCATCCATTGGAAAACCAACATCACCCTCTCTCAGGTCGTTCACAAATTCGGGAAGGATAGTTACGCGGAGGAACTCGCAGGCAAGCCGGACCTCTTGCTCATCCTTGGCCAGTTGCTCCTTTTCGGCGTCAGTGTGTGGTTCCTGGCCACTGAAGGCGTCTGGGTTCAGAGCAAAACCGAAGTTCGAAACATCTATCTTGTCCTTGTCAATATCGGCGGCTTTGTCGAGAGCAGTCGAGTTCGAGTCAGCCTCCTTCAATTCACCGACCTCTGGTTTGTCTTTGACGGTGCTTGAACCATCCTCAGCCAAGTCTTTGCTTCCAAGCTTCTTCGTTGGTCCTGATGTCTCTGTCTGGTTTTGGCGTCTCTTCTCGAGTTCACTATTCACCCATTCTCTCATCTTGAACTTCCAGTATGTATCAACCAGCTCGGGCCTCAGGACAGTCATCCGATGAGGATAGGTTGTCTCAGCAGAGCCGTTCGCTTGCTCGGTGCTACCAATCGCAGTCCCATATTCCTCCATCCACGATATGTCCAGAGGGGTAATCCGATATAAATCGAGGACGTATTTCCGCCCATCCGTTCCTAGCAGCCCCTTTGTCTCTACACTTCCCTCGAGAAAATGGCATTTCCCTTCCTTGTCCCATACTGCATGCTTTTTCACTTTCAAAGCTTTCGAGAGCTTTTCAAATACTGGAACGAAGCTTTTATCAGCCGCCACAACCTCCTTGCCATCCACTGCACCATAGTCGATCTGGTTCTCCCCTGGTTCGCGTTGTTTGAAGATACCAGGAACAATGCTCTGTCCTACGAGACGCTTCCCCAAATAGTCCACAACAACCGTCCCAGGAGTGAAAAGTCCTTCAATGTCCAATTGGTTTACCATACGAACGCCCAAGACGTCCTTCCCCGTTGCCACTCTTGCTGCCTCGTCCCCACCCTCTGATGCAAAAGTGCCTACCCCGTCGGCGCCGAATGAGAAGAATACATTGTTGTACACGAATATTTGTGCATCTTTGCCCTCGGTTGGGTTGAGAGGGGCCACCTCACCTCTGGCTACGAGGATAGCACCTCGGGCTGCGGCCTCGTTGTAGTCTGCGAATAGCTTAGAGGTTAAACGTTCCCGAAATACACGGTCCTGGACCGTCTCCTTTGGAAGTTCCCTGGTAGACTGGAACTCCTCGTTCCAATCCCGCAGCGTCTCCGTATTTTCGATGCCAGATATCAAGAAGCTCTCCTGTGTTCGCGTGATGTCTGCTTGGTGTGTCGTAAGAGGCGAAGTCAAACTCGGGACGATCCAGGGGCTAGACGGGGTAGCGTTCGTAATCTGGAAAGTCGCCAATGGTTCCTTTGTGTTGTTGAAATCCTGAAGCTTCTTGAAAGCTGCGGCGAATGACGGTGACAAGTTGCTGATCAGAGTCAATAGGGAGTGTGCTGATTGTGCTTTAGGAGCACCTCTTGGAAAGGGGTCGAATTTGCTGTTGGTGGACTTGTTTACGAAGAACCCAGAAACATGAGAGGTAATTTGATACTGCTCTCCCTCACTGGTCGTCAACAGCAGATAAAGTAGGTGACCTCTCTGTTTGAGGTGGTAAGGTGGTGGGTTCCAGGGAGAGACAGATATCGACTTCACAGTCTTGGGAGGCTGTTCTTGAGTCTCTGGAAGAAGAGAAGACAATACGCCGGGAGCTTCGAAGTCATATCCTGACATGGAATGTGCGGTGAGTGGACCATTTAAGCCTGATTCCGCAGCAGTGACTGAGTCATGAAGGGAGATGCCTGACAAAATGCCGTGCAGAGTATCCGTCCGATCTCCAGCAGCACCAATAAGCTCTCTCACTCTAACAGTGTGCAATCGTGCCTCCTTCTCGGTATACGGGTCCTCCACAAGCATCACTTCAGAATCGCTAGTGAGGCCTTTGACTTCAGATATTTGAATGAAGTCATTGATTCGCTCTCCGGTGTGCTCCAGATGAAAGCATGAGTATTGCAAAGTGCCTGGCAATTCAATAATCGATTGCCGGACATCGTGGATTGCCTCTTGGGAGGAGACCTGCAAATGTGAGTGTGGCCTCAAGGGTCAGGGCTGGACAAGCGTACCATGATCTGGATTTGCTCTGGGTCATGAGGGAGGTGTACTGTCAGTTGAAAAATAGCTTCGAAGCAAAGTTAGCAGGCGTCCTGCAGGATCGACTTGTAGCAATTGGAACAAAGGTGATGTCCCAAGTTTCATACTCTCACTGCCTTGATCTCCTCCGACTTCTGCCTCTTGAGTGACTCCATTTGTTGTCGCATGATCAGCACTGGCGAGGGTTTGGGAGCCAGCTGCGGATACGGCCGGGGTTTCTAGAATAACAGAAGGTCAGCCAAGATTGGTTCTTAGTAGACAACCGCTCCCAAAGAGTTCGAGAATAATGCTGAGAACAGTGGAAGAATTTGGCTTGGGAACGTACCAACGTCATTCACATCTGCCATGGCGAAGAATACAGAGAATAATCCCCAAACGTAAATAGTCAATGGATGTAGAAACGCAAGAAAAATATGCCGAATGCAGATGAAAGGAGAGGCAGACAGTTCCCTGGGCGAAATTGAAAGGAGAGGAAGGTTTGTGCATGAGAAGGAGGAGCTGGCAGACGAAGGAGCACCGGACCACCTGGGAAAAAAGCAGAACCAGAAATTTTGTACTATCGCCGAATATTCCCGCGATTATCCCTGCAAGTCATCCCTGTTGTTTACTGCCGACCCGACCTCCGAAAACACAACAACACCAGCTCCAGCTCCAGCACCACACCTCACAATGTTTCAATACTTCCTGCATCTTCAGCTTTGAGCACCATTGCTTTTGCCGGCCTGTTCTTGGATACAATAATGCCCGGATTGCAGCTTTGCGTTTACTATTTGCTATGAACAGTTGCTATGAACAGCTGCTATTGAACTTCAGGAGGTGAGCACACTCCACAACGAGAGGAACAGAGAGTAACTGCCTACAAGGAGACAATCATGGATACAGAAGTAATTGAAGGGGACCCATCTCTGTACAGCTTCACACCTGTGCGTCGCCGAGAATCTACGATCAATACAAGGCAATTCCAGGGCGACCAGGCACAGGAATGGACTGCGGCACGATGCCACCGCTTGCTCAGAGCATTGACATCTCGGGTCGCTATTCTAAACAAAGAGCTTGGGCGATTCTCGTCAGTAATCCAAAATGAGAAAGATCAAGTTCGAGAGAATTCGAGAGCGGCTAAGAGGACTAAAACAACACGAGCCGGTGCGGATTGGGTGCAAGCAAGGAAGCGAATTCGGCAGACTTATTCGAAAAAGAGCTCAAGAACTGAAAATGACCCACGAGGAACCGCGCGGCAAGCTCGAGGGCTCCCATCAATGAAGGGAAGAAAATCCCTGGTTCCCGGAGAGATAGCCGTCCCGACACCAATACTTGCAAGGGCCAGAGGTGAGCCTCTGGCAGAAGAGGCCTCGCTGAAGGTGCCAGACGCAAGGGTCCTCGAGGAACCTGCTAGGAGGAACAAACGTTCAAGGACACGGTATTTGGCCAACGATGGGGAATCACATTTTCACCTGTCCGAGTCATTGCTGGAATTGCCGAGGAGAATCACAGCTAGCCGATATGAAGGCATATACAGCGGCCTCGAAGCATTACTCCGCGCGACTACGACAAACGGGCTGCAACCGAAACGAACTGGAGCTCATTCCTTATTATCCATGTCTCTTCGAGCAATTCCCCGTTATATCACCCAGCAAGAAGCCTTGTTGCAGGCTCACGTGGAGAAAACAGGTAGCAAATCAGCCATCGAAAACAGAGATATAGCGACGGAGATATACGATGAACTGGAGACTCTTGGATCTTGTGGCATTGGTTGGAAGAGACTTAGGACCGTCGTCCGATCCCATGGAATACAGGTGGTTAGCGATGCTATTGGAGCTGGACTCCTGGATGTGGAATTCTCGGGTGCTTTAATTGCTCTTTGCGTCAATACATCTGCTATCGACGAAGCCCAAACGCTCCTTTCGACACTTTTAACTTTAGCACCTTTTCCAGGGCCCAAGACACCTTACGATATCCCTTGCCGGCCATTGGTCATGCTTTGGAGGTTTGCTGAACACACCGGCCGGTATTCGTTTCAATACAGACAATTATCAGACATGGTCTCCAACGGTATTCTACCCGTCGAATGGCTGGCCACTAAGGAATTCAGTCCTGTGTGGGCGAGGATTGTACACTCTCTGGCGCCCAGCTCTGATAATATAGAGCCTATGAATTTTCTCGACCTCACCCTAACTATGCTGTCTGTTGTTGGGACATCCGCCGTTCCAGAGACTCATGGCTCAGTCATCGAAGCTGCAAAAAACACATTCTCGAGCCTTCTTACAATACTTTTATCGGTCGTTCTTCTGAGTCGAGGAGCCGAAACTTCGGACCCAACGAAACAATCAGGATGTTCGTACGAGTATGAGCATGTGAGCAGTCTCCTCCAGAGCTCTTTAGCTAAACAGAGTCACTCCAATGCCGCTTTCGATCGTCCAAGTCCCTTGCTACTACTGGCGAATTTATTTGTTCACGGCTTGGATGGAATCATGATCGACCTGCGCGACTCTCTGTTACGGTGTCTTCTGCCCCAATTAATGCAGCAAGACGCCAGTTTAGCGAGGCCATCGCTGATGTATTCGAGTGCGGTCGATTTTATCTGCCTTGTTGCACGCTGTTGCGGTCAGGGAACTTCAACTTCGGGATTTGAACACCTTCAGCATTTGCACCTCCTCGTCGAATCTTTCATTCACGATATAGAGGGTGGCAATATATTGAAGGGGTTGATTGTCGACAGTGCTCTTGCCTTTGCGCAGAATGTTCCGGACCGCAAACACATAGACTATGCCACCGTTATGGATGAAAGATTTTGCGCAAGGAGATTCGGAGACGAAGACAGTCTTTTGGCCGGGCCAACTACTGATTGCGAAGAGCCCAAGACTGGGTTCCGATGGGAAGAAGGCATTGGAGAATGGGTAACGGCCACTCCTGCAATTCCGATTGTAAGAAGGAGGCTTGCAGAAGCTTCCTCCGATTCTGAGAGCGATACGCCCTTGCAACGACCAAAAGTAAGACAGATGAAGCGTCTATCGAAAAAGGCAAATGTGAATCCTTCGTCGCTGTGTACTGATAGATATGTGGATTTGAGTGATGTCTCAGTCGAGGGTGCGAAGGAAGCATTGGACGAGCTGGGAAGCTGTCATGAAAGCGATCGTTCACGCTCGTCTCCTGAGAGTAACGATGGATCAGCAGACCATTCCCAAAGCTTCTCTCTCTTGCTGTCAGATGAATCGACTAGCTCAACTTCCGATGTTGAGGTCTCCTCCATTGATACTTCATATGTCTCGAACAATTTGCCGCCAGCAATTGCACCAGATGGCCCGAGTTTTGGGAAGTGCCACGAGGTCCTCGATCGAGTACCGAGGCTCAGTAGGAGGCTGTTTCGCGGCACTCAGGACTGGAATCTCTTCGATGATGATTCTAGTGATTCGGCTTCACCCTCGCTGCCACATGATAACAGCGAATCAGAATTCCAGCGAGATTACATTGATCGAGCCCCAAGATTAGGGAGAAGAGCGCTCCGATCCAGCCAGGCATGGGAAATATTCGATGAAAGCGATGACGAGCTCAGTTTCCACTCAGTCTCATCCCAGAGAGAACAGGTTCTACATGATATTACGAACACAACGGTTTCGAGCACTAGGCGCCTGCGCAAAGCAAACCCACCGCCGAAGCAGAGACCGTCGTTCCGGAGTCCAGCATCTCATACGGACAGCGAGGACGAATTGTGTATTTGAAATCAGATGCTGGGGCTCGCTATGGCGAAAGCGAAACTTCCATTGTACCGAAGAATTGTACACCCGTACATTGAGTTGTTTCGTTTGGAAGTTTTGGGAGCGTGATGTTCGATCTATATTTTATGGACCCATCACACATGCCCAAAGGAGGGGGGCAGTCAACAATAGCTGAAGTAAATGTCCGATCGACGATGAATTTGATGCAACGATATTTGTCTCAACGAGAACTACCCCTGCTACTGTGAAGTGTGCACGCTCATTATATGTGACTTGCATGACCAGCCTCGTGACACTTGTATGCATCGGTCAACTAATGTTTAGTATTTGTAAGAATCGCACGGACAATAGGGAAAGCATATCTTGACATTAACACCACATGGCGTACGTGGTATCATCTTACCAACGAATGGAACAAATTTGTTGGGATGCTTGGAACTTCTCAAAAAGCGTTCTGTTCAGAGGCCTCTTTTAAAACTCACCCATTCGCAACAACATAGGGCAGATTTAGAAAGCCAGCCTTGGTAGATCGAATCCCGCTAGCAAGCATAGGACAATAGAGCCAGAGAAGGGTACACTCAGGAAGTATCCCCCCAATGCCTGTCCATGTTTAGCCCCTCGGGCCAAGGCACTGAAAAAGTACCGCAGAGTGCGAAACATGAACTCACGGGATCTAAAGTGGTTGTTCTTGAAGGACTGGTCGATTTGATCTTTTTTTTTTTAATAAAAAAAAAAGGTTTACATTCTAAGCTTACATTTGGGTTCTTCCGTGTAGAATGTGTCCCACTCACTGAATGTTGAGTAAATTGCTAATGTGGAGGAGAATCAGAGCTGCGTGATCTGCGTTTCGAGGGAACCAGTCTCAGTTATTGGGCAGCTTTCCTTTTTATGCATGTTAAGATTCGTTGAACGTTAATGCTGGACAAGGGAGAATCCCCGCTCTATCTCTTGCTGCAGATGGCCGGGCTTGATGAGTACGAGGAGCGGTGGTAATGTCAAGGTCAGCCTTTGGCCCGAGGCAGCAAATGCAGCGGGTGGCCTTCGAGGTTCCCTAGCTGTTATCGTAGCATGATTTTCTGGAGATGATGGCCGCGAGTAAATGAGCAGAATTGCGTTTCCGAGAAATGGATCCTGTTTCGTGCGGAGAAGTGGAGAAGCGGATGGATTGAGTAAGGACTGATGAGGAGACGGAGGAAGTGTGGACTGCCGTACAATGAATGGTCCACAAGTGTTTACCGTGGGGATCTATCTGCGGTATCTCTGTCTCCACCAGCAACCCCAGAAGGTTGTGCTTGGAAGCGGCGACGGAGCCATCCTCGTCACTCGAACAAGACCTCGCCAGTCGACTTGGCGAAGACGTACCACAACCAGGAGCTGGCCACAACCTGAGACGCCGCCGGGCCTGCGGTACATTGTCGGCAGTGCGACCACGGGAATAGAAGGCGCGCGGTGTCTGTTTGCTGGTGGACGTGAGCAGATGCCAGATGATGCCAGACTCCGACCCGAGAGAACGTCGTCAGTCCAGTCGAGAATGATCTGAAACGTTGACGAGGCTTCCCCTTCTTCTCCTTTGGACTTTGCCCGATGTCTGCTAGAAACGGCAGCGAAGTTGCCTCACGCCCACAGGCGCGTAAATTTGGGTACAGTATTGGTAATTTGGTACCAAAGTGTTTTCATAGTCTGTCACTCGGGTGCCAGCGTCGTGACTCGTGCGGGAGGAAGGATGTGATAGAGTCCTAATAATAATAATGAGCGGCTGGCAGATGCCCTGCACAGTGCAGACGCGCAGAGAGATCTGCCGCTGTCTCCTTTCGGCCATTCGGGTGTGGCCGTCTCGCCGTCTCTCAGGGGTACTCGGCTAGCCAGCGAATCAGCGTGATCGAAATGCAGATTCAGGGAGACGGCAGGACGGCAGAGAAACTTCGAAACACCAGCGTGCACCAGTGGAGCCGTGAAGGCTGAAGCCCTCCCTGCCTTTGGTGTCCGTACCCACGCAACGCCGCGAGACGCCACCCCGCAGCGTCCTGTCCTCCGATGTCCATGAGCGGCGAGCCATCTGTTGTTGTTCCAAACCGCTGTCGATCTTCTATGTATGAGTCTCTTGGCGCCGCGTGCGTTGCCTACTGACTACTGGGCCTGCGTGCGTGGGCCCTGCTCGAGTAAAGTTGCGTGCATCCACGCCTCCCGAGTCCCTTCTCTTCAGACCTCTCCAGTGATCCTACTTGAGGTACTCCCCGTATCCATATCCATGTTGCGCACGTCAGCGCCGTTCCCGTTCTCCACTCCACTCCGCTGCACGGCACAGCCTGCTGCAGGTCCCAGGCCGGCGTTGTGATGGGCTACATATCAGGGAACGCCTCCACGCAGGGGAATCTTTTCGCTACTGCACTGTGCCTGACCGCTAGCCACCCATCCCCACCCACTGCCTTTCTTTGCCTTCTCCTTCTTGTTTATTGCAAACCTCCTTTCAACATCCTCAGTCACGTCGTCCGTCTCGCGCCTGGCCTGCGTTCCTTCTCCGTTTTCCTTCTCCCTCCTTCCCGCCCTCCCTCTCTCCCTCCCTCCCTCCCTCTTACCCCCCTTCTCTGCCTTCGCTGGCCTCACTTTGACCAGGGGAACCTTTCTACAGCGACACATCTAGAGTGTCGTTCATAAACAGGTTCCTTTGACGCAGTCTGGGGACTGCCTTGGTTCGGACACCACAACCGAGTCCCACGATCATTTACATCGAATCGCACCTACATATAATCTTCTGTCAACTGCTGGCCATTTCTCAGAAATTTCCCATCCATTCATTGCTTCCGTCCCTGGTGCAGGACGATCTCGACCACGATCTTATTGCAAGATTAGTACCTACACATCTGAGGCTGGAGGACCACCCATACATTCGAACATTATGTCTTCCACTCGAACTCTGGCCGTTCTGGCCGTAGCACAGATGGTGTCCGCCCGAGCTGCCCCGGCGCAGAGTGGTACAGCTGCTACCGCTGCGCAGACCGCTGCCGCCTTGCAGGCAAAAGCTGATATGTGGAATCAGGACTTTTCCAACTACATGTTCATTATTCTTGGCTCTCTGATCGTCGCATTATTGGTCTGGAGAGTGGGCACAGAGTCCGTCAAGTATGTCCGAACATTGGCCTCATTGAGCAACGATACTCAACGGTACTTCACCGTTCCGTCCGAGAAATTTTCATCATTCAAAAAACACGTTCTTTATGCCCCTATCTTCCGGAAGAGACACAACAGAGAGTTCCAGCTATCATCCGCAGTCAACGTTGGGACTTTGCCAACTCGATTACAACTCTTGTTTCTCGTGTCATATTTTGGGACGAATATTGCGTTTTGCGTTGTGAGCATCAACTGGGATCAGCCTCTGGCTACGGCCTCGAAGGAACTGCGAAACCGTACAGGCATACTTGCTGTGGTCAACATGGTAATTCATTCTTCCATGTCCTCAATCAGGTTATCTCGTGGCAAAAGGCTGATCTGCATTAGATTCCCCTATTCATAATGGCCGGCAGAAACAACCCTCTGATCAATTGGATTGGTTTATCCTTTGATAATTTCAACCTGTTGCACAGATGGTTCGGACGGATCGTTGTGCTGGAAGTCCTTGCTCATGCCATTGCATGGGGAGCTTCGAAATTTTCTACCGGAGGTTGGGCTGCAATTCAGAAGGCTATCACAGGAGATCCCATGATTATGTACGGCTTTATTGTGAGTTAAATGTCTGGAGCAGGCTAGTTGCAGTTACTTATTACTCTTAGGCCCTTGTCGCCTTTGTCACCATTGCTTTTCAAACAAATTCGATCTTTAGGCATGCATTCTACGAGTCGTTCAAGCATATTCATATCGCTTTAGTGATTTTAATCCTCATCGCTATCTGGTATCATCTGAAGTTGGCAAACCTTCCCCAGATCAACCTGCTCATGGGCGTCATCGGTCTCTGGGTTCTCGAACACTTCAGAAGAATCGTCAAGGTCATCTACAGGAACAACGCCGGATCGAAGGCTTTGGTTGAAGCATTGCCAGGGAACGCCTGCCGTGTTACTGTGGATATGGCTCGACCTTGGACATTCAAATCAGGGCAGCACGCCTACCTTTACATGCCCGCGATTGGGCTGTGGACGTCACACCCCTTCTCGGTCGCTTGGTCCGAGGAGGCCGAGCAGTTGGATAATGAAAAACTGGCCATGACACGACAGGATATTCTCGCCATGCAAAAAACCAGCATGTCATTCATTATTAGAGAACGGACTGGGTTCACTAAGAAGCTGTTCAAGAAGGCCGAGGCCTCGCCTGACGGAAAGTTCTTCACGAATTGCTTTGCGGAAGGACCATACGGAGGGCTTCATAAGGTGCGTAATACTCCTTTATCCATCTGACGCGCTAACTTATTGCAAAAGATGCATTCGTATGGAACAGTCATGCTTTTTGCAGGCGGAGTCGGAATCACGCATCAAGTTCCTCTTGTGAGAGATTTAGTCGCAGGGTACGCCAATAGAACCGTTGCAGCAAGAAAGATTATTTTAGTCTGGATCATTCAATCACCCGAGCACTTGGAATGGATCAGACCGTGGATGACATCGATTCTCGCCATGGACAAACGTCGGGAGGCTCTTCGAATCATGCTCTTCGTTAGCCGGCCACGAAGCACAAAGGAGATCCACTCCCCCTCAGCCACTGTCCAGATGTTCCCCGGCCGACCCAACATCGAGACTTTAATTGACCTGGAAATCGAAGGTCAAGTCGGAGCGATGGGTGTTTCAGTTTGCGGGAGTGGAACCCTCTCCGACGATGTTAGGAAGGCATGCCGGAATCGACAGCATGGCAGCAACCTCGACTTTATCGAGGAAGCATTTTCATGGTAAAATCTGTTTCACTCCGGACTGCTGGATACAGATACTACTATACGATAACGAGTCGATTTCTTAGCTATCTCGGGCTCTCCGCGCCGTGACGATCTGCCTCCTTTTTGTGGTTACTTTAAAAAAAACGTTCTTTGTACATCCTAGGGGCAAGGCAAGCATGCAGGACTTCATACCATTTTTGTTCATAAACTCGAGCTGATGACTCTTGATCAGCGAATGTCATTTCAGGATGACGTTGAAGATCAAATTAGGTCTGGAAATACACATAGAAATACGAGATATGAAAGATGAAAACATGAGTTCGCGAACCTTTTCGTTTTCAGTGCTAATACTCTCAAATACCGAAGTCTTGAGGTTACTCACACTTCGGCATGCAACCTTTACACGGGCCGGGACCTATTCAATCACCAAAGTCAAAGGGTTGGTTCCTGGTTAGACGAAATATCCCGGATATGTACGGACGTTTTCCCCTCCTCAAACACCACAAGTGACTTCTGGCTCCTGGTGGACAGAAAAGCGGTACTCGTTTTCAATGTCCCAAGTCAAGCTGAACAGTGCAATAACTTCCTCTGTAGGTGTACCGACATGGATGGCACATTCAAAGTCTACCCCCTTCGGATATCTCGAAATTTCTAGAATATCAGTTCCTCCTCGAGTCCAAACGAATGTCCAACTTTGACTTGGGATATTGATAAGGAGTACCACTTTTTCTGTCCACCGCGAATCGGGGCAAACCATTGCGTTGGGCAGGACCACACGGTTATGACGTGCGGTATTCCAGCTTTGAATGCTGTGACGGAGATCGTGCGCTTTTCTGCAAAACGCTGTTTCCGAGAATGGATGTCCCTGAGGAATGTCGTTTGTGGTCCCCAAAGAGATCAGCAAGACTTTTTTTTTATAATAAAAAGGGGGGTGCCAGGATCTCTGAAGAGCGACATGCCATTGGTGTAAAGAGCAGCAAGAGAATGGAGAAGCAGCGTCCAGCTTTCGAAGCCACGCGGGTAACGAACATGCGAAAGAACAAGGTAGAACGGATAAGGGTCAAGGCAGTTGATATCATTTCAAACCGAGAAGGCGATCGCGAACACAGCCTCGAGTATGAGTTCATGTTGGCCATTACCAAAGTCCATGTCAAGAGAAACCCTTGGGTGACATGTCAAGATTGCGGTTTGGGCCTCAGAAGCCGTCTCAAACTCGAAGTACGCCTGCCCAAGTTTGGTCATGGGGAGAACAACATTATCGGAACTTGAAGGATGAAGACGCAAGAGCCGAAGTGAAGGCAACTGAAGTCGTGAAGAGAAAGAGGGATCATGATAAAGGCTCAACTGCCAAATGAGGAGAGGAGGGGCTGACTAAAGTCTCGGAACTGGGTCTGGTCATTTTGCAGGAGAGAGATAGCGAAGATCGCAGTGATGTTGCTTCAACGAGGACGGGTGCATTGAAATAACGCTGATCTAGGATTCATATAATATCTAGTAATTCAAGAAGGGTCAGCTAGCCAAGGAGAGTGTCCGAATCTGTTGTGAGTGTTGACCAGTGTCACGGTTCTGTGAGTGCCTTGGACCGGGTCAGACTCTAGGCTTCCTGCGCCAACAGTCTTGGCAAATCCCAAAAGAATTGACCTCCAGCCATTACCCTATCCATGACCCTCTAGTCGACGAGCAACCAAGACCTCGACCCAACGATCGATATGATGAGACAAGCATCGTTGTGGATCCCTTGACCGTACCTTGGTGGGATCAATGATCTATCGAAGACGAGAAAGAACATCACCCTACATAAGAAGGGCTGGAGAATTCCTAAGTCTAACACCTCCTTGCAACGAAAAGGAGAAAACCGAAAGAGAGACAGAACCCGTGGCTGTCAAGAGGGAGAGGGAGGGTGATGAGGACGCTCAGCCGCCGAATGCGAAGAGGGAACAGGAAGCGGTGGCCAACAAAACAGGAAACGGTTCCCAAAGTCTGGAAAGAAGTAGCTCGTGATGCTAGACGGCGGAAAGAAAACTGAAATGATCGGTGTCTGAGATACTCTCTCCCACTTAGGTCGATTATTAGCAGCCAACCGAATCTGGAGATAGCGAGAACCCTCGCAAGCGCCGCCCCGCCCCGCCCCGCTGCTCCAACGTCAACCTCAGCGCGCGCCCCCCCCCCCCCCCCAACCTCGGAATCCGGTGACCTGGCCCGAGAACAAGAAAAGGACCTCACGGGACAGAACAGGACAGAACAAGACGGAACAGGACGGAACAGAACAAGGCACAGCATCGTTGGTCAAAGTCGAGCTGCACCTGCACCTCCACCCACTCGCTCACGCGTGCATCAGTTAACAAGGTCTTTTGAGCCTGACCAGGAAATACCTCACCGGAACCTTCCTTCTCCCCAGACAGCTGCTGCTCATACCGTCGCCACGAACAGACCACCTCTGAACAGCTCCGTCGCCGCAACTTACAACGGTTCACGCAGTTCAGCTCGAGCATAAAATCCTCAACTCTGTTGCCCAACACGTAGGCACAGTCTGCGCTGAGTTGAGGCCATGGGGCTCTCGTATAACGTCTACCTGAACAGCCACAAGATCTACGGCTGCAAGAACTGCAAGGCGCATCTCTCGAACCATGAAGACATCATAAGTCGAGTACGTCGAGCTTGCTCCCCGCCCTCGCCGGGGTAGGGAAGCGGTTACTGACATGACATGTTAGAATTTCCGGGGCCAACATGGGAAGGCGTATCTCTTCAACAACGTCGTCAACGTTACGGCGGGCGATGCCAGCGAGCGTAATATGACCACAGGCAGACACATCGTGCGAGATATTGCCTGCCGACAGTGCAACGAGACGGTAGGCTGGAAGTATGATAAGGCATTTGAGGCGAGCGAGAAGTACAAGGAAGGAAAGTACATCTTGGAGGCCGAGTTACTTTGCAATGTGACATGAGGCGGCCTTGAGGGGCTTGCCATGGGACTCGAACACCTTCGGTGGGATATTGAGCGCAAGGAATTGGGGTAGAATGGTGAGCATTTGCTGCATTACTGGTGTTTTGGGGGTGTTACCGGACTTGGGTTGCCACGGAGGTTCCAGGAGTTCTGCTGGTATGGGCATGATAGCTTGGATTCGGCGATGGGCTGGCTGTTTATACAGCATTAGCAATTCATTTTCGTTCTCGGCTTTGGAATCATCAAATCGGGAGCTCATCCCTTGCACTGTCCAGAACACTACTGTGTCGAGGGGCACGAATAGTATCTGGGTTCACTACAATCAACGCAAAACAGGACAATGTAAAATATGCACAGTGTTTGCCTTTCTATGCCGCCCCAAACTCCGCCCAAATGCTCAAGTGCGAATAAACTATAGCCTCTACTGGTGCTCTATTGGCTCTTCTGGTAGCAATTCTTCAACGTCACGCACAATGCAGCGGTTCAGCGGCGGCCGGACCAGCCCATTGAAAAGAAAGGTACCGTAAACCAAGAGCGCAAATCCGAGGACTTGTAACCATTTGAAGCTCTCCCATCCCAGGAAAAGGGATACGATCCAAATGAAAAGAGTTCTGCAGGTATCGATTGTTGATCGCGCTGTTGCGCTGACATTTCTTGTGACCGAGAGTCCAAAGAAGTTGAATCCACTGTAAGATGTAAGCAGGGTAACTCTGAACAGAAGCGGACAGTAGGAAAGGGATAATCTACCCAATACTAATCATGATCAAGATGCTCGATACTCCGATGGCCCTGTATTCGATGATTTCCCTCCACGCTTCAACAAGATCAAAATAACCGTATTGGCCAGCATCAGTTCTTCCAACAGCCAAGTGCATGATAACCATTCCAAGAACAGTCACCGAGAACCCGAAGAGTCCTTCCCATCCGACAACCTTGAGAGGCTCCAACGCATACTTCTCTAGAATATATTCCTCGAGAACGAATTGTGAAGCAGTAAAAATTTGGGCACCAGCGATCAAGAAGACTCCAATAATAGCTCGCAGAGCCTCGGGAGTTCTCGCCTCCGCGGCAAGTACAACGAAGGCTTCTCTGGCGAGTATGAGCGCTGACGGAGTGGCCTTTGGATCCTTATAGATAGCGCCCGCCAACCCCACGATCCCAACTCCGAGGACGACGGTAACTAATGCAAACCATTGGAAGAGATGTAAAGTCCTTCGGAGGAATATGACACTAAAGAGGCCAACGAACAACACAAGTGCTCCTCTTGTCATCTGGTATATCGATGCGACCACGAATAACAAGCCCACATTCATTAACGTCGTCCCGCAGATGTCACAAATCGCGGGAAGACTCAATAAAGAGACCTTCCACCCTTTCAGCGGTAACCTCTCCTCGGAATTGAGAACCAGCACTTTAACCGCTGGGTTGATCGGCGTGCTGGACCGTATGCTGTCCGCATCGTTGGTATCCGCAGCTCCGTTCTCGTAGGTATCGACTGCCTGGTAGCCATTCTCTTCTGCGGAGGTCGTTCGGACGATGTATCGCTTGTAGAGGGCGAACCCGCCCACGAAGAGCCAGGAGCCCATTTCGCCGATAAACATCTGTACCGTTTGGATGACAGGTTGCGAGAACATCTTGTGTTCCTTGGGGTTCGGATCGTCGCAGTCCCTCACGCAGATGTTATCCTATCAATTCAGCATATATAGGTAGCGATAGAACAGTACAGACCTGATATTTGGTGAGAAGAGTATTGCAGACGCCTGTCACAAGCATCATGGTGACAAGCAAAGGAACAAGTGCCTTGGGTGCCATGTTGGGAGGGAGTCCAGGGAAGACGGTACTACGATACTTGAATGCTGCGCACTCGGGGGTGAAGTGACTCGTGGAATGGGACGGCACAGCGGGATGTAGGACGATCAAAGGACGATCCTCGTCGATCGTCTTTGGTCCGACAGTGGATGTACGGTCGTGCTGGCTCTTTGTTTGGGAGCGGCCGAGGTTGCCTCACGTGCAACAAAAGGTCACGAGCCACACTAACGTTCTTGATGAATAAGGCTGTGATGGGTGAAAGTCGTTCATCTCTAGGGAAGAAGCCATGAACAAGTAAGCACTTAACATATTGTAAACGCCTGTTTAAATAAAAAAAATCCAAATTCACAATAAAGACGTAGTGCCTTATGTACGCAGGCCAATTTCGTCCGTCTGGAAATGTACACAAATAGGTATCTTAAAACGCTCCCAGCCAACCCGCTATCTCACGACTTGTTCAACACCCGTCTCGGGTGCGCTTTCTTCAACCTCGACCTCCTCTTCTGCTTTCTGTTTTCTTTTAGAAATCCCATTTAAATGGCGCGCCTTCTTCTCCTTCGGTTTCTCGTCCTTGATGTTATTGTAGTGCGTAATTCCCATCTCCCGGTCGCGTTTCAAACGCGCTTGGTCTTTCTCAGAGACCGGGACTCCTTCAATCGCCTTCACATGTTTCCCTTCCACAAAAGCCATGATGCCACCACAGATCGCCACAATACACGCAAGGGCAACAAAAACACCGGTGCTCCAGGGCGGGCGCTTATATCGGTTCAAACCCCACATAAATCCCGCCAAGAGGGCCTGGAGGAACGTATTCCACACCATGGCCCATATCACAAAGTCCAACTTCCACATAGCCGTAGGCGGAGCCCGTATGCCGGTCAATGGAGCCTTTGGAATCTTGGTAACCGGAAAAGGTACGCTGCTTTCGGAAATATTCGAGATTTCCGTATCAATTTCACCTGGCCCCAATTCTGCAGGTAGATCCTGAGATCCAGCCAATCTGAACCAACCACGGTTGATGCCTGCCAATCTTCGAAGACCCATCTCGTTTTTCTGAATCCGATATTGGAGCAGATAGTAGAGGTCGCGAAATCGCCAGGGGATGGTACCGAATCCAGTGACACAGAAGAGCGCGTTAAGGATCTGTGAATCGATCTCGATCCAAATGCGACGCCCCGAGTTGATGTCGTTGCAAGTGGGTTTGCACATTGCTGGAGATGCGTTGCAGAGTAGCAAGAACAGCATTCCACCCCAGGCCACGACGTTGAGCCCCTTGAAGCAAAGAGAGTCAGTATGTCCCTAATTCAGGATAGTTCTAGTATAAGAATTTGAAGGACAGGGGACACAGCCGCTGCTTGTCTCAAAACCACAAGGAATAACATGTTTCTTGGATAATGGGGGCAAAACGACTAAAGATAAAAAGAACTCGGGACTGCATACATAAATAGTAACGAGGAATCCAACAGGGGTAATAAAGAATTTCCAGAAGGCGGTTAGAAATATTGCAGTTGACTCTATCCATGTGTGTCTGGGTGGAAACTGATATCCGTTGTCGAAGGGCCTAGTAAGGAATTGCGAATCGTTATCCGCAGCAGATGCGTGAAGGCTAGTTTTGGTGTCGCTGCTGCTCCGCTGATTCGTGCTCGTCTGCTTCTTCATGCGAGTCTCCATCTCTATTGGCTTTGATGTGCTGTCCATGTCCTCCAAAGTGATTCCTGCACTTGGTCCGGATGCAAGCTCGTGCTGGTCTCTCTCCTCCGCTGCTTCGGGGACACTATCGTGGCGAAATTGCTCGCTTGGTTGTTTTGGGCTATGCGGATCGACTGAACTTCTTCGTCCTTCGGCAGTCTGGGAGCCTCTGCGTGTAGATAGACTAGCACGCCTCTTTTTCTCTCGGATCTGACCTTCTCCAGACCACCCGTCACTGTTATAACTGCCTCTCCTGATATCGGACAACGATGGCACAGATGATGCAACTTGTGCAGTCGCTATACACATTCCCGTTGGAGGGCTCGACTCTTGAAAGCTCTTTGACGCGCTCCGGAGGCGGCTTTGGAGTGTCGAAGTGCTCGAGGTTTGGCGGCTTCGATTCGGATTGGAATGCTCGGCCGTCGGGCTCTTGGGGGAGGGCGGGCTACTTAATGAGGGAAAGGGCTCTGGCGAGTCATTCTGCATCATTACTCTGGGGGAGGTCATTGTTGGTTGGGGATATTTCAGAGGAGGCGAAAATGGATGACATGCGAACAAGGTTGGTTGATTTGAGATTGGCCAGGTTCGGAATGGTACGTCAGAACTGGCATGGAAGCATGGCGTGTGGTCCAAAGCTTACTCTTGGCAGACAGAAAATGGAAAATATTCTAGAGGATGCTGTGCGATAACAGATGCATGGTATGGTCGAGGAGCAGTACATTAGGGCTCGAGTATTGTCGGAGTCTGCGAGGACCACAGTTGAAGGATCTCGATGGCGACTGCGTGGTTTTAAGGTTCGCCAGCCCCTGGCTAGCCGCCTCGCTCCGCTCGCATTCGGACTCGTATTATTATTCATTCACAACTTTAAAATTGGTACGATGTCCTCAGTTCTCGTTGGCTGGTGAATTACCACAAAGAATCTCAGGATTCTGTTGCCGGGACCTGCGTGCACACAAGGCTCAGGATCGATCTTCGGGACGAAGAAACCGGCCACGCTCAAGGCCTTCAAGCATCTCCTCCACATTCTGCAGCAATAATGGCACCGTCGGCCATGCTCACTCTGCCGCCAGCATCAGCTCTTCAAGAGAACATAAATGCGCCTAAGGTCTCCCTCGAAGCCTCCCCACACCCAGCGTATCTCCACAATTTAGCCTTGTCGATAGCGCACAACCTCCAATATCACCATGACTGGACCTCCCTCTCGGTTCATACCCACTCGAGCTTGACCAACTCGCCCCTTCCGCGTCCCGTCATATCTGGTCTACCACCCAAAAGGGCTTATATCCATCCAGACGAACAAGTCGAAATCTTGAAGGTCGAGCACAGCACCGGCAAAGCCATTCCGCAGGTTCCCGAAAGCGAATGGGTGTTGCCTACCCATCTACAAGAAAGGTGGAGCTTGGCAAAGTTCGCAGCTGTGTTCGATGCCCTTGACACTGTACCTTCCGCCGGGAAGGAAACTTTGGCGGAAGAAGGAGCGGAAGTTGTTGGGCACCAATGGCAAGGCAGAAACAGACAGAAGAGGCTCCTGTTAGCTACTCTTCACGATGATAGTACAGTGGTGTACTACATCATTCACGATGGAATCGTCAAACCGAGACAGAACTAAATTGGCCTTGTTGGATCAGCAAATGGACGCATCAAATATGTGACCAGGCACTGCCTTGCTTTAGCTATTCATGAGTCCCTGACGCAACTCTCAGTACTCGGAATGAAATAGAACTAATGTTGCTTAAGCTGCTCGACCGGAACCATTCTGGTCAGTGTTCCGTTAAATTTATAGAACGGGGGCTTACTTGATCAGGCCCTCCCCTCAATCAGCTGTAGACCTTCTAGAAATTTAGAAGAGGCCGGTACTTCGCCGCCTGTACTTTCCGTTCTCCATGATCTCTAATCCACGGCATTAGAGACAACCCGGGGCTTGGGATCAACTCTAATCGGGTTATATAATCGGCTTGATCTTGATCCGAGGTATGAAAACGGCAATTCAGAAAGAAGAATTGAAGCATCAAGATATGGTTTGGTTTAGAATCTTCTTCCATTGCGAATGTCTTCCACAATTCCTCGCAGACCAAGTGGTACCCAGCCGTGCATTGCATGCTTAGAAGTAAGAGGCTTCAATTAGCGCATTTGGCAAGATCTCCTCGCTCGAAACGAGGATGATGTTATTTTCTATCCCTCATTTGCAATAGAGATTCCCACACCAAACACTCGGAGGCCATGCAGTCCGGCCGAGACCAGAGCGGTAGCTTCATTTCTCTGAACATCCTCGCAATATCCCCCTCTCGCTCGTTCCGATTAATGTAAGCCAAGCAATATCGACATCAGACGCCAACTCGTGACGATGAAGGGGACATTGAATCTTGGCAGTGTGCGCATAATTGAGCCACAAGCCATGATGCTTGTCGCCAGAAAAGAACACCGTAAGTTGCATGAATGCCACGACCAATTTAAGTTCGTCTACAACATGTGGTTGTTGCATTGCTGATCCCCAGCAGTCTGCGTCGGTCCTTAGTGGTGATACTTCTGGACTGCTTCGAACTTTTATCAGGCCCCTGGGTCGACTGCCTTGAAAAGCGAAATCGAGCCACCTTGGAGATTGGTCGTGATTCGGTACTCGTCTTGGGGGACTTTAACGTCCAAGTTGTACAAGGCTAGTTCCATTCTCGGGCCGCAGATGCTACCAGGCTTTCTTTCCTTCTACTTAGAGATGCCGTAATAGTATAGGGAATAGGGAACAGAATTCGGCAATAAGAAGCAAACTAGCAAGAAGGCAATTGGAATCTTCACGGGTCACCAATTCTGTCCTCGAATGCTTCACTCTACAGTTGCTAGGTAAAATCACAACGGGTGCAAAGTCACCAGATGACCGTCTCACGTGACCGCGTTGCAAAAGTGTCAAGGGGGAGCTTTGAGCAGCTCCCCCCCTCGTTCAGCTGTCCAACTCAAAAAAAAAAATGGTACTGGAGTCTGGCGGCAACCTCCTCTCCCAAAAACGGCCTTGGCACGGCACTCGTATGCCCTTCCTAGCCACACCAATTACGGCAGATTGACCGCAACTGGGATCCCGCAATTGGCAGCGGACCTCCCCGTCTGCAGCCGCTGCTACAGTCTCGTTGTTCAAGATCTCATTCGTATGCTGCCCGCAGTCATGCGATGCGAGAAAAGCGCAAGTGTGCCAAAGCTATCCTCCCATTTGTGGAATACGCAGTTGAGCTGGCCTGATACAGGGGTAGAAAACATGCCCTGGCCAGTTACCTCGTTACAACTCTTAAAGCATCAAATATTCTCTCCGCATTCCCCGCTCCTTCTTGTCTATATAAGTAATAGAAAGGATACACGGAACCTGGAATTATATTTCTATATCGTTCCAAAACGCTTCCAAGGTATTCCCAATACGGGGCTCCTACCGCTCTTAACCCCCCCGGACTAGCCCTAACCCCTAACCAAAGCGACTTGGAAGCGTTCTGGAAACGTTTCTAGGAGGTTATTAAGAATAAGGACTTTGAGAAATGAACTTGTATTTAGTAAAGTGTCATTAAAGTATTCCAGAAACGTTCCCGGCTGGCCTGTTTAGCCGGTTAGAAGGTCATATAAAGAACAAGTAATTTTCAGGCGTCACACGCCGGCTACCAGTACGCTAAGAAAACAACCTTTCAAACCCCCTGCAACAGGCGAAGTGGAGACGCCAAGCAGGCCAGTTGGGCTAACGAGTAAGTACCTTCCACCATTTGTGCTCGTCATAATCCCTGGTCAAGTTAGCATGAGACGTCGAGCTTTCTCGCCTCGTCATCCTATTATTACCCTACGATGATGCGGCTCAGACGTTTGCCCGGTGAGCCTTCACAACCTCGAGGCATCGCGGCCTGAGAACAGGGTCGCCACGTCATTGGCCAGGGCGAAACGGCTGAATCCCCTGCTGAATCCGTGGTGCTGCAGATTCTTCGTCGCCAGGAGAAGCAGGTCGTTCATGATGGCTGTCTGTGGGCGGTGAATGGGAGGTCCTTCATTCATCATTCGTGACTGGAGCGGCCGGCATAATGAGGGCTGCTTACTCTCCCTCTTTGACTGTACCTGTACCGTGCGAGGACGGAGCCTCCTCTGCTGTGTCTGCTATCAGCCTATCAGGGGGATACAACCCGGGTACGGCGCGGTTGTCGTTTCCGCCATGGTGACCGAAGTAAGACTCCAAGAGACGTTCTGGTTCTGCCCACGAATACGTGTGCTTCAATGCTGGCTGGGGGAGTGCCCAAAACGGGGTGGACTTGCTCTCTGAGCTCCTGGACGACGTTCCGTGATACGGCTTGTAATGCCTTGCCTTGTCCCCGGGCGCAAGAGTGCTCGCTCCATGTGTGACGGTCCCCAAAGTTCTTTACAAGACAAGAATGCGTGTCACCCAGCAGAATGTAGAGGCATCTCGCAACCCGTTGACTTCATGCTTATGTCTCTCTGCTTTTGCTTTGCTTGGCTTGGCTTTGCTAAGCACGGCCCAGGAGGCGCATGTCCAGGGCATGCCGGCCGTCGCTCATTTGTAGGCTGACATGAGGCGACACTGGGAGTCATGGAGAAAATTGGTGTTCCCGCCTTCGACAGTGCGACACCGCCAGAATTCGCTCATCCTTGCACAGGAGGCTGTGTAGGGGTTGACCAAGCCAGTAGAAGAGAGGGAGAGCAATGCAGAGATGCGGACGACGGCCCTGCTGGAGTTTGCCAGGCCTGGCCCAGCTGCGAGCTGGAGGCTTGAACCTGAAGTGAAGTGAAGTGAAGTGAAGCGAAGTGAGGTAAAGTGAAGTAGGTGAGGTGAGGTGAGGTGAGGTTGAGATATGCGCATGGTGAGGGACGAAGCCGACAGTGTGCGACTCTGCAAACCTGCGGCTGATTTGCCTCATGCCCGTCCTCGTCCTCGTCCTCGTCCACGACTGGATTCGACGCAGCTCGAGCCCAACTCGACTTTCGGCTTTGGCCCATCCAGTGACTGGCGTGCGGCGCACGGGAATCGGGGTGGGGTTGGTTGGGATGGGTTGGAGTGGGTTGGAGAGGGTTGGCTAGTTGGGTTGGGTTTGACTGTGTGAATTGTGGCCACGCGCAGCACGACTCTTCCTCTCCACCCACGAGGTGCTTTGCTCCAGCCTTTTAGAATTGCGCCTCGAGCTGCCGGCCGCCGCTTTCTGTTGCTCGCTCTCTGCCGTGGGCCGTCGCAGCGTGGGCTGGATTAAGTACCTCTCCCACTCCGACCCCCCCTCCCCGCGCCCTTTTGGGCGCACCCTTCTTCATGTATGCGACTTATATCCCATAGTTCTCCCTGCCAGGCCCGCCCAAGCGTGCCACTACTTACTCTAGTCTAATCTACACGGCTCTACTCTGCTCTACTCTGCTCTGCAGCCTCTGCTCTGCAGCCTCTGCTCTGCTCTACTGCCCTGATATACCCGCGCGAGGCCCCTTCTCCTGTCACTTTTCGCCGCACCGCGCACCGCACCGCACCGCACCCACATCGCATCGCCCCCCTTCGCCCTTCACCCTGACCCTGCGCATCACACTCTCGCCGCTCCCCCAGCAAGACCTACGGAGTACGACGCGATCCCCTTCGGCTGGCTCGCCAAGCACTTACAGCCTCTCTGGGCCCGGCTGTGGACGCACCCCCCGCCTTTTCGGTGCTCTGACTGCTGCTGCTGCTGCTCTCTTTACGTGCCTCCGCAACCTCTGCCTGTCTGATCCTGTCCCTCCGTCTCCTCGACTCGACCGCTGCCCTCCCACTTCCATGCCCAGCTCCCCCTCTCGCATGGTCTTCTCTGGCTGATATGTGATTACCCGCTTGTCGCCATAATTTGTCGCCTGGCGCATTCGATGGATGGTGTTCCTAAAAAAGTATGACTGACGCCCTTCACCCATCGAACGAAGAATATCTGGACCCCGACGATGTTGGCCTGCGCAACTCACCCCCGCTCAAACCAATGAAAGTCAATCTGCAACCGTCGCCGAGTCCGCCGCCCTCAGTTCCTCTGCCCCTGGTCAGTCCTGATTCGAGCCCAGGTCCTCCGGATCGCAAAGGTTCTAATCGGACAAAGTATCGCCCCAGCCAGGGCGATGCTGTGCTGGTCTCCTTCATGGCAGGTGGGAAACATTCTGATATTGCGCGCGACGCTGGGGATAAGCCTTTGGCCTCGGACAATGAAGAGGGGGAGGAGCCCGTGAAGGGAACCGAAGTTGCAGTCACGGCCGAGGAGGTGAAGGACGAAGCTATCCCGGAAGAAAATGGCATCGATCATCTTACAGCTCTTGCCGCGGATGCCCTGAGGCAGAGTGCGAAAGGCTCCTCTCAAACGGCGCTGAAGGAAGCTACAACGGCGAGCTCGATACCGAAAATGAGCATGCCCTGTGTTGGGGATCCGATGGAGGGGTTGAAACCAACAATACCCTCAATATCAACTCTATACGTGGATGGGACGGGGTCGAAAGCCTCGCCAGACACAACAATCAAGCACGAGATGTCTGGCTCTCCTGCAGCCGGGGAACTACCACCCATTCGTCAACACTCCCCACAATCAGCCTTGTCGAATGGAAATGGCACAGGCAATATTACTCTGCCATCCATTTCTGCCCAACTGGGAGACATCAATCACCTCACCGACGCCGCTGCAGCTGGAGACTCGGCCTTTTCACAGTCCCCTCCAGCGCGACCACCTCCACGCTTCTCGGCGGTTCCTGGACATGGTTCACCTCCCAAATCACCAAATGATACTTTTCGTCGGGAATTACCTTCACCTGGCCGAGGAGGACACTTCTACTTCAACGCAAACAGCCATCGAAGACTGTCTCAGACTGATGGTCCACAATATTCGAGCTCTGGTGATTATAGCAGTAGCAACACGGAGACTCCAAGTACGGATCAGTCAGGCTCCACTCCTGCGACAATGGCCATTGACCGGATGAGTATTGACGGCATCACCAATCCACAAATCGGTGGCTTTCAATGCACATACCCAGGTTGCACTGCTCAGCCTTTTCAAACCCAGGTCCGTCAATTCCCTAGTCAGCTGTCCAGCCTTATCTGCAACCTAACATACCACAGTATCTCTTAAATTCTCACGCGAATGTCCATTCCTCGAATCGACCCCACTACTGTAGTGTCAAAGGCTGCCCCAGGAGTGAAGGGGGCAAAGGCTTCAAGAGGAAAAATGAGATGATCAGGCATGGCTTAGTGCATGACTCGCCGGGTTACGTCTGTCCATTTTGTCCCGATCGAGAGCACAAGTATCCAAGACCAGATAACCTTCAAAGGTAAGCTTGTAATATGAAGTCTGGTGACCACAAGTTAACGAGAGAAAAAACAGGCATGTCAGAGTGCATCACGTGGATAAGGACAAGGATGATCCACAACTCAGAGATGTCCTATCGCAAAGACCGGAAGGACCAAGCAGAGGTAGACGACGAAGAGGGGGGACTTCATGACCATTCTTGATGCTGCTCGGCCCGACAAGAGGGTGAGCGGCGAGAAGCACCCCACTGCTGCGAAACAACTCGATTCGACTCAATGTTTACTGAAAACATATGGGGCATGGCTAGCTTTGGCCGTGTATGCTTGTGAAATACTCAACGGCGTTACGTGTGGTTGATATCTTAGGGAGGTGTCTTCTGATGAGCTACGATCATAGGAGTATGGAGCATTGAGGTTATACCAGAGAAGAATTGGCTTTCATTAGCTCATTAGCGCGGGCGGCTTGGGGAAGCTTCGATTTGCATCTCAACTGACTATCGTTGAAATGCTATTTTGCTTGAATCCGTGTCTATACCTTTAGCCACACAAACAACACATTTTCGCTGCGTCGCACTTCTCAACCGTCTCCTCTTCCCCATAGGCCAACATTCACGGGGTTGTCGCTTAGAACCTCGACCTCGACCTCGTCAAAGCCGTGTCTTCCACCCAGACGTTCAACAACAATCCAAAACCCTCCTGGAATGCTGATTCCCGGGCTCAAGTCCACGTCCGCTGTTCTGACCCCCATGGGAGCATCGCTGAACTCGCCACTTCCGGAAACGTCAAGAATTGTCTTATTAGGCCCCTGGGATCTTTCCAGGGACAGCTTTAGCAAGGGCCTCGATCTTGAGGATTGAATAGCATTACGGCCAGATCCACACCGTGCCACAACTCTCAACCTTGTGACCCGCGAGGTCGTAAGTGGTGCCAACACCCTGTCAACACCTTCATCGAAGACCAGTAAAGGTAAACGCAGGCTCAGCTTCCCAGCCGTCTCAGCTAGAACAGGTTCCACCAAGCACGGAACCATAGATCCAACGCGTAAAGTAAAGTTGCCCTTCTGTCCTGCTTCAAATGTTGAGCATACTATAGTGTATTTGCCCGCAGCGACATTTGAAAGGGAGAGGAGAGCGCAGCCTCGCCGATAGTCCCCTGATTCACCCACAATATCTTTTGCTGTCAAAGATGTCACGCGTTGTCCACCTGCCCAAACCATCTTGACATGGACAGCGAGTTCTTCTTGGTCTGTCTCCAATATAAGCAGGATATTTGTCGCTGCTGGAACGGAGATGCTGAATTGTGGGTTGGTTGGATACGATGGCGCGCTTGCATTTCCACCTGCGGTCCGGACTGTCCACGCTCCTCTATGGGTAGAGCAGTGAGAGAGTCTATCCAGCGCGGGATCAACTGTTAGTGGTGACCTCGAAAAGAAAGAGAGTGTGAACGAATATTTTGGTAATGGTAGGCCGTGTTGAGCAACCACAACAGTGTAGGACGTGGACGGAGTCAGCTCTAAACGGGCCAGGGTTTGTGGGGAGTCGACAAAAGCTCCCCGATGCACTGCATCATCGCTGAGGTAGACTCTACGACCATCCCCTTCGAAGACATACAAGCTAATGAATCCAAGCGTCCTGGATGCATCGGAGAGTTTATTTGGGACGGTCTTCACTATGTCCTGCTCTCCTGTAACGAAATGGCGGCAGAGTAAGATCCACACGGTTCCTTTGCCCGCCGTTGAAAGAGAGTATTGGGGGTTGTGGGTAAATGAGCCTGGACTTCGTATTTCCGGAATGGTCCATGAGAAGTGGAAATCTTGGCGATTTCGAAATAGCCCTGGATTCCAGTTCAAGTAAAGCGACTCGAAGTGCTGAGCTATATCTTCGTAACTCATCCAGAAAGTGCCCGGTGCAGTCACCAGCTGATTTGGAAGTGCCCCACGAATATCTTCCGCCCATCCTCCGCTAGATGATTCTTCAGAGGTAGGATTTGATCCCTTCCATACCACTCCGTCACACCAGGGATTTTTCACTAGCATCAAATGCTGTGAGCCAATTTCCTTCATGTCTAGTACTGCATAGTCATGTTCGCCAACTAGGCCGAGCTCTTTCTCCTCTCGTTTGGTCAATTTGCCCGTCCCCAATGTAATCATGACATCTCCAAATCCAAATGATTTATAAACCCTATTCCACGACTGATCAGGTTGCAAATCGTCACTGAAGCAGAGTTAGCACGTGCTCGAATCGAGCGTGTTGAGACAAGAACATTAACCTCTGCAAAAAGATCTGTTCTGGTATCCATCCAGTCAAGATCCAAAGATCTGTGCCCGAATTTGAACCTGGAAAGTCATATCCACCGCGGACTTTCAAGTAGGCTTTCTCCACCAGTGCTGGCCAGAGTAGTTGGGGGTTATTACGATCGATGACATGGAGACTTCGAGATATATTAGAGGCTGGGAGGCGATCGTCTATAACTACTTTCCTGAAACAGCCGTTGAAATGTAGTCGAAAAATATATTTGCCAGATTTGGACACTAGAGGCCTAGCCTTGTCATGGTCGTAAGGGAAAAGCATGGAAGCAAGGAGCTGGGACGGGCTGTTAATAGGCGATTTGATAGGTTGCAAAGGGCATGAAAATACCTTGCCATGGCCTTTATTAGCACGGGCAACCCCCGCACAGAGGCTGGCTACAACTGAGCAATCGGTTGTAATATCTTGCACTAGGTCAATGTCGTCTGACACCACCATGTCAGTCTCACCGCCACCGATTTTGGACTCAAGCGACTTTAAGCGCCCATACTCAGGGTCTTGAGGCCTGCGCCAGCCAGCGAAGATCTCTCTCTGGGCATCAGAGAGCTCCAGATCAGCAGGTTCACTGATGTTATTAACAAGGGCACGGGAGGGGACCTGGACGAGAGCACGCACGTGTAAGCTAATCGATCATTCTCGTCTAATGCGAAAAGTGTATCATCGGGGTCAGAGGTCCACTGGGGAAAGATGAAGCCATGAAGTTTGGAGCCTTCAAGCAGAATAATCTCCTCGCGCTTCGAAAGTGCTCGCTGTGATACGGGCGCTTTCAGCGCGACCTCTTTGCTCTGGATAGGGGCCCAAGAGGGAGAGGAAGAGGAAGAAACCGATTTCTTTATGCTCTCGGCCCGCGAAGTGAGCTCCTGGCACTTGGTCCGAAGCCGTGCTCGCTCAAGGTTACTGCTTGCATGCTTGGTAGCTGCCATGTACAACTCCGCAGCGAGGATGGCGTTCTCCAGGGCGGCTTCCCTAGTCGAGGCTTTATCCACGGCGAGCTCAGCTTCCTGTGATCCGTAAGTCCCACGGCCAGCCAGCTAAGTAGGAAGAAACAGGGGGGGCGGCTTGGAATACCTGCGCTTTAGCCTCCATGCCGAAAGATTTCCCTGGTGCGACCTGCCATCAGCAGCACATGGTTCGTTACGTCCACACTCAAACTCGAGTTGAGGCGCGAGTCATGAGAAATGTTGGAAGCATGTGCATGTGCATGTAGTTGAGGTGTTGGATGTAGGTGCAGGTCACGTGCAGCCGCCCCCGATACGCAAGGCTGAAACAAAAACAAGGCCAACAAGGCCTCGTCGGCTCTCGCTGTGCATGCCGAGATGCCCAGCGGCCGAGGTTATTCCAAACACAGGCTAAGTTATCGACATCCCAAAATCCAGGGTGCTACCCACCTCCCTGCCACCACCATACTTTCTGCTCTCTCCATTCTCCATTCGAACCTCACTGTATTCTTTTGATCGACCCCTTGGAAAGACCTGGCGATCCTCTCTTCATACAATATCTCCCCATGCTTTGGCAACGCTGAAGTCCAGCGCCGTACCCCTCAGTACCGCCCCATGAGAGCTTTGCGCATAGCAATTCGGACATCCACAGACGTTGAAGCAGGGGTCCTCTCCTTCTAAAGCCGCAATGGCTGGACAATCAAAAGAGACCTTGATTCCTCCATGGGGTCTAGCAGTTGCAGGAGCTACAGGCGCTGTCATTGCAAATGCACTTGTATACCCTCTCGACATGTGAGTGTTGTTACCCCGCCAGCTCCTGGTCCACCGAGACCCTAACACCCATATCTTCTATTCTGATGCTAATGGTTGCTAACCTCGTGACTCTATTCAAGAGTGAAAACTCGTCTTCAAGTACAGGTCAAGCGGAAGCCAACCGATCCAGTTCCAACCGACGATACCCATTATACCTCAACCTGGGATGCTATAACAAAAATCGCTGCTGATGATGGAGTCATTGGCCTCTATGCTGGTATCAATGGCGCTTTAATTGGGGTTGCGTCGACCAATTTTGCCTACTTTTACTGGTATTCCGTTGTCCGAACGCTCTACCTCTCCTCCCAAAAAGTACCAGCACCTCCAAGCACAGTCGTCGAATTATCTCTCGGTGCAGTTGCCGGTGCGGTGGCCCAAATATTCACAATTCCTGTGGCCGTTGTTACTACCCGTCAACAGACGCAGGGTAAGGGTGAGAAGAAAGGCATGATTGATACAGCCAAGGAAGTTATCAATAGCGAGGATGGCTGGACTGGGCTCTGGAGAGGACTGAAAGCTAGTCTCGTCCTTGTTGTCAATCCTGCCATTACGTACGGTGCATATCAAAGATTGAGGGAGATTCTCTTTCCTGGAAAGTTGAATCTCAGACCATGGCAAGCATTTCGTACGTTTTGAGTTACGCTTATCTGCTCCTGATGCTAACAATTTCCGCAAAAGTTTTGGGAGCCATGTCCAAATCTTTGGCAACCATTGCAACACAGCCGCTTATCGTTGCTAAAGTTGGTCTTCAGTCGAAACCGCCACCATCACGACAGGGAAAACCCTTCAAGAGTTTCATTGAAGTGATGCAGTTCATCGTGAAAAATGAAGGGTTGTTGGGTCTTTTCAAGGGAATTGCTCCACAGATATCAAAGGGTCTTATTGTGCAGGGCCTTCTGATGATGACTAAAGAAAGGTCAGTAGACTTACATCCTGATTTCTTGAATAGATGCTAATTTGCGACAGGATGGAGTTATTATTCATTGCCCTCTTCCGTTATTTACGCAAACTTAAGAGCGAGAGTCTTCAAAAGGCTGCAGATTTAGCCGCAGAGAGGGCCAAGCAGGCTTTGCCTGTTATTACAAGATAGATAGTAAACCCTTAGACATACTCTAATTGATAGCTAAGGTTTGTTATATATAATTCAGTCGTATAACTCTATACATATCACATTTTAGTTTATTTAGTATTTCTTTATCAAATCACAAGCCACTCTATTGTAATATCCTCAGCTAGCTCTGAATTCCCAGCCGTGGCGTAAAGTGTTTGCAAGTTATAGGCAGTATCTATAATAAGATCCTCTTGTTCCAAACCACTTGTACCCCGTGACGATTCGTTAAATACCTTCTCATAGTAAGGGATGGCGAGGTGTGTTAGCCCAAGCATGTGGTATGTGCGAGCCATGTTGAAATGTGCCTCTTGTCTTTCCTCGGTGTGGACTGAATTCCTGCGGGAATCGTAGTAACGGAATAGGAATGTTATTCCTTGAAGGATATTTTGTTGACGGTTGTCAGTCTGTCTCTTAAGCGCAAGGTGTACATAAGCAAGGCCGGTGCTGAGATTGATCATGGGATTTTCTGGATCTAGGGCATGTGCGCGGAGGAAATAATCTGGAAGCAGTTAGAACGCAATTATATCCTTAATTGGATCATCACTTACTGAGGGCGTACAGATAACTTGTGCCAGAGAAGAGAATATGACCATACAACATAAGAAGGGCAATGTCCAAGTCATTATTGATAATGGGATGTCCATTTCCGTCTCGAGCAGAGTACGAACCCCTCTCTGAAAAGTATCTCTTGCGCTGGGAGTCATTAACAAGCGAGTAATCCATGGCCTTTATCTGTCGAAGGACGTACTTCTGTGTGGGACCCGAACTGTACCATGAGATGGGAGAGTGGCACACCTTCGTTACGGCGGCAAACATCCGATATGAGTCCGTAGCGAACTGGTAATCTTTCATGAAGAACCGTGCCACGGATACACAGGTCTCTTCGTCGTTTGCCAACAAAGCGCATACTATGGCTAAGTCAGCTGCAACTCAGCCAGAAGAAAATATGCTACATACCGCACCAGCAAACGTGAACCAGAAACATGTCTTCACGAGAGTGGTAGAATACGATAGCATCTTTTGTAGCCTCGCAGAGACTGTATGCCTCGTCCTTCTCCCCATTTCTTGCTAGACGGAGTGCGTACTCCAAGAATATATCCAGCCATGTACTGAATGGGATCCCACGATAGTCATCGGGAATTTCAGCTGCCCGGGTCACCGTTTCGTCGGAGGTAGTCAAGCCTGGATTGTCAGTAGTCTACAGATGTGACAATGGCCAGGACAAACCTCGTGAAAGTCGTTCAGCCATAGCTGTAAGATCGATATCCAAGGGTGTCTCTGCCGCTATGCGAGAATCGCCAGAATAGCCAAGAAACCTGATGTACTTGTCTAAGGGATAGAATTTTTTGAACCCCCTAAAGTCGTCCGTCAAATCTCTCGCTGCATCCATCCATGCCTCAGTTGATGCTGCATCACCGCTCCTCATTGCTTCACACGTCTTTCGCAAGACAAAGTACTGGCTTTGGAGATGTTCTGCCTCTGAAGCTTGCGTGAGACGTTTCTGTGTTTGTTGTCTCGGTCGATATCGGCGACGCGTTGGCTTCTTGATTACAATAGGAGCTTCCTCGGTGTTTCTGTTCTCAAGTTCATCAAAAGGCTTGCGAGAGTTCCTGTGGTCTTGCCTCCTTCTTAACAACATCGCCTCGTTGAGGTTATGGAAGGCCTGTTCTGGCTTGCCCATTCTCTCATACATATGAGCTAGCTCGATGCGAGGATCAATATCCTCTCCATCGAGCTCAACTGCACTCTGAAAGCATACCTCTGCCTGTTGGTCATCCTGTGCTTGAAGAAAGCATTTCCCCATCTGGACCAGAAGGGTCCCATCAATTTCATCGGCCAGATGCCTCAACTTTTGGTAGTAGCTCAATGCATCCTTGTAAAAATTGGTCTCGAAGAGGTGGTCTGCCACAAGGCGAAAGAGATGAGGGTGCCGCGATGCTGCATCTTCTCCAGTGCCGCCTGGCTCGACGAGCCACCCAAAGTGATGCTGATATTTTGTTAGCTAACACTCTTTGTAATCTGGAAGAAGAGCTTACAAATGCCTCTTCACGATTGCCAAGATGTAGTCGATAAACGCCGAATTTTATTCTGAATTCGAGAGGAAGACCACCCCCGTAGGAGGCTACTGGATACTTCTCTGGATTGAAAGAAGAAACCAAGGTTCTTCTCTTGTCATCTGAGTCCCACTCACGATCGTCGTCCGGGAACTCATCCCAAAACTCCTCCGCACCTCGCCCGGAAAGCCACCGAGCTAGAGACCTAAGCTGCTGTATTGCAATATCATATCGCGCATCATGCTCGTAAAGTGTGACATATGTGTCGAGGTCCGTCCAGTCGAAGACCTGACTCGGTTGACCTGAGGATGACTTGAAGTGAGTAATGCTCTCTCTGTAGAGATCGATAGCAGTGCTGGCCTCGTCTTGGTCAATGTAAAGCTCAGCCAAGCGGCGAAGAATATCCCGGTCATGTGGCTGACGTGAAAGTATCACTTTGTAATCAGAGATTGCGGGGCCGATCTTCCCACGTTCTATACAAACAGCAGCTTTGCGGTGTCGAGCATCTAGATTTGCGGGGTCGGCCCGTATGGCAGCAGCGTAGCAGAATTCGGCGTTCAAGAGATACTTCGACCGCAGTGACCCGGTTCCTTCAAGGGCAAACTGCGCACATTGGTACCAAGAAGAGGTATGCTTTGGGCGGAGATGCGCGGCGTATATCAATGCCTTCAAAGCGTTGTCGATGTCGTTATTCTCCCGAAATACAGAGTGCAAAAGACTCCAGGCCTCGTGAGTTTCTGCATTGATACGAATGATATCTGCAATGATGAGTGCAGCGTCAACGTACCTTGCCGCGATGAAAGCTTCGGTAGCATGTCCCAGTCGCAGTTTGATGTCTCCAGTTGGTTCAGCAGCTTTGCGAGGACCCCTGTGAGGGCCGTGACGTCTTTGCTGTCCAATACGCTGTCTGGCACTTGCACGAGAAGTTGAAGAGTATGATCTGCTCCGCATTAAGGTAGAGAAATCCTGACTGCCGGTGGGGTCATAACCCTCTAGCCGGAGAACCTCTTCCTCGATGTTCGCTATGGAAGCTTCAAACTCTCGGAGGTCTGAATCGGCATCTCCGAAATATTCGTTGACTGATTCGTCCTGGAAGCTACCTTGGGGGCCGATCCAGGGTCGATCTAGCATTTCGTTCAACTCGGGATCGGGGTATTGTGGTTGTGGCTGAGCCATGTTGTCGAGTAAATCAACAAAGGTCTAAGCTGTCCAGGTCGTGCCTTCACAGGACGACTGTGCCGTATTCTTTTCCACCCCGAATGCCTAATAAAAGCCGGAGAGGATGCCGTGCTAACGTTGTTTGATCCGTCAAGGTGCGTGGATGCAAAAAGATTGAGACATGTAAAGTGGATGCGGGAATGTCGTGAGTTGAAGGCAAGGCTCCAAAAAGAAAAGCCAGTCAGCCTCAGTGGCCCGTGCATCACTCAGCCTCGCCCAGACCAAACCGAAACCAAACCATTTTAACTGCATTATCGTTGATTTTTGGTTTCTCGTGCTTGACAAGCACTAGCCGAAGGGGTGCACGCCACCGGGAGCAACCAAACCATTTTAAGAAAAGAATTCGGCTCAAAGGAGGGTGGAATTACAGTTTTATTTGGCATCGCGAAATACTACTTGGTAGGACCTAACCAGCTTGGGACCTACTGTTACCGAGAAGCGACAACAGTCTTCCTCCAGCATGACCGAGGACCGTTCAGTCTCGTTTTGCAATGGAATGGTACAATTACGATCTGAATGGCCCGTGCTGAATAGTAATTTTTGCGTCCCATGGAATAAAGTGAGTTGGTAGATCGGTTTCACATGTGGCCAAGGACATTTACGCGAGAGATACGTTTAACATTCGATGTAATTTGACAATGATCCTTTTCCAATCCTGTCGCGTGGCGATGGGAACATATATCATTCTAGTTCTTGTATGCAATCCTTTGCAAAAGGCATGCATGTAGCCAACCAGATTTCTTGTCCCCTAGGGACTTATGAATATGGTTTACTCAGCTTCGTTAACATCCAACATTTTAACATCATCGACTTCGGGCTGGGCCTCAACTTCACTTCTCCCCTCTGCTTGCAGAGGCAGTGTGCGAGACGATCGCACCAAATTATGAGAGTTTGCCCTCTGCTTTGGCTTCTGCGAGACTAATTAGCACCAAGGCCCATAATTAGAATATTTGTCACATTACCTTTCACCTGCTCGAAGACTTTGAGCATCTTTCTTCGTGCTCCCAAAGCATTAACCCCTCTTTCCTCTAGAGCCTTCTCGTCTAGCTCAACAAGTTCAGTCCAATTCATGTCTTTAAGGTTATCCGTGTACTTATGGAGCCTCAAGCTTCTCAACCAGCTAGGGATGTCTTGAAGAAGGCTGGGGTCGGTCGGATCCTCCGGAGGTTTGGAACTGCCCCTCCTGCCACGCGGAGAACGTCCTCTTGCCATGTCACCGTCCGATAAATAACCCTCGTGACCCCCTAAACCGAACTGACCAATGTTGAGGTTACCCATACCATTGAGAAGCGGGGATGATCCATCGAATGGTGCAAGGAAGTTGTTATTTTGTGGTGAAACAAAACCCATTTGACCAAATCCACCACTTTGCATTGCCAAACCGGGAGAGCTGGGTCGAGATCTACGCCCGGCAAATGCCGAGTTTTGTTGGGCCTGGAGAGCCAAAATTTGATCCCGATTCAGGACCTGACCATGTTCGTTGATCATGACCACGTTGCCGGGCATGTTATTGGGAGATATTGGGCCTTGTCCAGTCGAGCCATGACCATCGTTGGATCTAGCTCGGCGGTATTTCCGGACGTCATCCAAGGCAAATCGATTGTTCACGGTACTCAGTGCAGCTAACTTCATCGCGGTTGCATTTGCTACCATGTCGGCTTGGGTATTACCACCAGTGTTGAAGTTCGGAACTAGAGGCGTGTTCACCTAAAAGTGTCAAAAACTCTGGGTCAGTCATGCCGAATAAGGAGATTGGAATCGAGACGTGTTTCATGAGCCGTCTACCCCAAGACAATTTGTGAGAGCAAAGGTCCCATTAGAGTTAACAAAAGAAAGTCTTCTAGAACGTACCATGCTCGCCCAAGACCCGTTGCCAGCATAGGGTGATAGCATCGGCAAATCAGAATTTTGATTGTCAGGTGCGTTGATAGTAGTGCTTTGAAGATTCGAGTTTCCACCCATCTGGGCCACAGGGGATCGCAGGCCGCCAGAGGGATTGGCTTGCATGAATTGTCCCATGGGTGCTTGTCCAGAAGAAGATTTTGGTCTGGCGGCTTGGTCATTGCTGCGAGAGCCCCAGGGAGAGGAAGGTGGTGCACCGTTATTGTCGATGGTCTCAGCAGGGCCCGAGATGGTAGGAGCTGCAAGGGAGGCACGAGAATCATAGGCAGCACTGTTCCGGTTGGAGGAGGGCGGGTTTCCGGTTTGCTGTGTGAATTTTGCCTTCTCGGTAGCAATTGCAGCTGCGGCATCAGGAAACATAGCGTTGATTGTGGATGGATCGAGTCCAGAGTGCCTCTTCGCAGAGGGAGTCGCGGGAGGTCGGGTCAAAGAGTTCCTCGAGCCATCAACACTGAGCTTGTTCATTGCATCGCTGAGCCGATTCGACATTGGATCTAGCAAGGGACGTTAGTTGCAGTCAGGCGAAGAAGTAGTTCCATTACCTTTGTCAAAATTGGACGGAGAAAGGACGCCTGACATAGGATGGTTCTTTCCCATTTGTTGTAATACTTGAATGAAGAAACGGATCTGAACCTGGGTTGTCTGCTGGAGGAGAGCATACAGAGCGGCTGTACGCTCAGCCTCGCTCAGAACTCTGAACCATTGTTCGATGGCGCTCAACTCGTCCTTGAAATCCTGGTCGAGGGTCGCAGCAGCCATCTCCTCCAACGTAGTCTCATACTGGTCAATGTCGGCGATCCATTGTTGAGCGATCTTGTCCGAAGCATCGTTTTCAGCCCCTCCTTGTCCTTGACCTTGCTGAGTGCCATAAAAATCAGAGGACGGTCGAATTCGGTTCGAGGAGGGAGACGTGAAATTTGCCATGTCTGCGGACGCACGAAGGTGATGATTAGCACCTATGGCACGAGAAGAAGGCGGGCGAAGTGACGAGGTACTATTCGACTCGACCGGCGTGCTATTGCGATTGCCGATGGCAGACATGTTGAGCATGATACCGTTGAAGCTGGAGAAGCTGAAGCTGTCGACGAAAGTCGCCTTTGAAAGATGTCTCCGGAATTAAGAAATGTGAAACGAAGCTTCAGATCTAATGCTTCGTCAAGCGTCAATGCACCGATGACAATCCAAGGAAGATTACCGCGCGCACTTGGACCAGTGGGTGGCCCGCGGAGGTGAACTCGTGTTTCGCAGTCTCGATATTCCAGGGCTCCTCTCAATGCCCGGTTGTTTGAGGTGGAGGTTCTCGCCGTGTATCCAATAATAGAACAACGGCAATCGCGAACGGGGGGTGGTGGGGGTAGTTGATTGCTGACGACCGTGGAGAGCAAGATGGAAGAAGAGATTCGAGGGTTCTCAAGGCAGTTCCCGCTGCCAGGAGGGTCTAGGGATGTCAGCCTTAGCCCTCTGAAGCTCTGCGTCGACTGACTGAGCTCAGAAGAACCCCGATTCGAGGCAAGGGCCTTGTAGCAAGCTACAGTGCGCATAGACTTTTCACTTACAGGAGAAGAAAACAAACGACGACCCAAGGTGGAAGCTGGTGGATCCGAGAACGGTTGAAGAGCGCGGCACGAGATGGCTGGGAGCCTAAACGTTGGCGGTTCTTTGTCCAACTCAATGGTGAAAGAAATTAAGCAAGCTAATAAGCGCAGCCAAACACATCGATGCAATGCTGAGCCGAGTCAATCCAGTTACGGGATTTCTACAATGCTTGGCATTAGGGATACACAAATTTTTCAAGTACTGCAAAGGATGGAATAAAGAGTTAATAGCATCTGCATTGGGCTTGTAGAATAATTATTTCGATGTCATTGCCAAGTCATACACCATAACAAAGCAGCCCATATAGCAATGCTTTAAATACGAAGGCGAGTCTTTCCTTTCTGACCCAGAAGAAGCAGAGGCCCTTCAATGGTGATCCTTTCGAGTTCCAAAACAAAGTCTGGTGAGACGAATCCACTCCACCAGGCATTACCTAAACCTGCTTGCCGTAAAAAATTAATTCCCAAAATGTAAAGCCATCTGCGTCCTGGGCTTCTTCTCAATGTTCCTATGCCAAATTAATAAATTCGTCAAATAATGTAACCCCAATCTTCATGCACCATTCCCTCACGGAATTGAGAAAAGGTGTTTGGTAATGAAGGAGTTTGGATGATAATCTTGGCACGATAGATATAATCCTTCAGCTGATGAGCATGGGAAAGGCTCGTAAAGCTGTACACACAAAAATGCCTTGGTCCTTCGTCACGAGAGAGAATTCGATGGTGGGGCAGTTATTTCGAAGACAGCGTGGATTGGTACCGTCTAGCTGGTCTTGATTCATGAGACTTGAACTATTGTCCTAAAGCCCCAAAGTGCAAATGTCGATTCGCCCTTGATCGTTCGTACAGCATGACCTTGCCAATGCCACGTGCCATTACCTCGGAATCATGAACGCCGTTAAGTCTTCATGCTGTTTCCCGCTTGCCCTCCTTCAACTCCTTCTGCATGAGGTCAGCAACCTTCCAGTAAATATGTAGCCGTCGTTTCAAAACCTACCAAGGCCTTCATTGTTCCGTGGAGAGCATGTCTGTGGTTTCGGCGGAACTTGGGATCGGTACCCTTGAGGGATGGGTATCTCGAGGTCTTTGGCTTCTTGATACTAGATGGCACACAGAGAATCAGCACAGATCTGTCGAGAGCGTCGGATCGAGGCCATTTTGGAGAGTTCTGCGCATTGGAGATCACGTACCCGTTACGATGGGCTTTTTTGCTGCAGAAAGTTAGCATTGTCAAATGGGGAGGATCCTGGAGGGCCAAATTGCCTTTGGTTAGCCTGCGAGCTATTCTTAGATTTCGCCATCTCGAAGAGTCAGAGGTGCAGGTCTGGTACTGGAGGTGAGGTGTCTTGTGTCGTTGCAGGAGATTGAAAGTCGAGATTTGTGCGAATGGAAGGAAAATCGCGGTAAGCGAAAATGGGATGGGCATAACACGTGATTCGACAGGCCAACCGACGTGATTTGAGTTTATACTTTTATATGTAATATATATACGTGAAAATATATAAGCTCGTTTCAAACCCTGATTGTAATAATAAGAATCTAATTAAGTACCAGAAATTATATAAGCAAATATATAAATTTAAATCTTAATTTAATTTTAAAGAAAATTATTTAAAATTATTTAAAATTATTTTTATAAATATATATATATAAAGGTTTTTATTTTTAATATAATTTTATTTATTTATTTATTTATTTATTTATTTATTTATTTATTTATTTATTTATTTATTTATTTATTTATTAATAATATATAAAATTAATAAAATATTTAATATTTAAAAATAAAAATTATAATATAAAATTATATATTTATATTTTATTATTATTAATTACTTTTAAATCTTATAATTAAATATATAATTTCTAAAATAATAATTATATTAATATTAAAACTTTTTAAAAAATATTATAATAAACCGAAATCTAATTTATATATTTAATTAAAAGCCTTTATTATATAATATAGCTTTTTAGATTAATAAAGTAATTATATATTATTTAGAAAGCTTAAATATTTTAAAAAATATAGTTTTATTTTAATTTTTAATTTTTAATTTTTTAAGAATTTTATTTAATTAATTAAATTACTAGTTTTTTATATATAATAGCCTAGTCTATAATATTAGAATTCTCTTTTTTTTTATCTTTATTAACTAGAGATTATTATAATTCTCAAATATCCGATATCTGAAATATCTAATTAGATATTAAATACTTTCTAAATATATATAATATAGTTATTTTATTAGAGAAATATATTTAAAATATACTAGAGATATTTAAAAAAAACCGAGCCTCTTTAGAATTAATATATTATAAAATATATATATTTCTTTATAGTTTTCTATATTCTAGTTTTCTCTTTTTTAACTTTAAATTATTTTTATAAAAGATCTTTTATTTTACTTTCTAAGCCCTAAATACTATATTTATAATAGTATTTAAAGCTTATTTCTTTTAATTCTATAAAGGATTTCAAATAAACTAATTTAATATTATTAGAAATATAAATATTACTAAAATAATAAAACTTTAGAATTATAAATAATAAATTCTAGAATAATAAAAGCAAAAAGCTTTAGAATCTTTAAAAAAAATCAAATATTTTTATTTTTATAAATATATATTAATAATATATTAGAAACTTTTCTAAAAACCCCGAAAGTTAAAGAATTTTATATAAAGGCTATTCTTTAATTAAGTTCTAGAATAATAAATATTTATAAATTAATAACTTAATTATTATTTTTAAATTCTATTTTATAATCTTATAAGCCTTATATATATATTAATAATAAGATTATTAGAAAAAATATAATAAATTAATTTTCTAGAATATTATATAATCCGGAATAATATTAATTTCTTTTAAGACTTTTATTAGTTTAGATTATCTTATTAGTAGCTCTTTTTAAACCAAATATCCTATTAATATCTCTAGAAGTTTTTTAAATAAATTTATTAAAAAAAGGGCTTTTTTTTATTAAAAAGCTCCTATATATTAATTAGCTTATTATTATTAAAGAATTATATAAATAGACTAAAGAAGCTAATTATTACTAGTTATTAGAAGAATTTTAAGAAAACTATTTTATATAAAATAAAATATAAAAATATTAAAAGTTTTTTTAAGAATATTAAGTTCTATAATATTAAATTCGAGAATAATATTAAATATTATATAGTTATAATAAATCGAGTTATAATAGCTATTATAGATATAATATTTAAGGCTTAAAAAATAAAATAAAAGATTTTTTATAAAAATAATTCAAAGTTAAAAAAGAAAAAACTAGAATATAAAAGATTATAAAGAAATATATATATTTTATAATATATTAGATTATAAAAAAATTTGTTTTTTTTTTAAATATTTCTAATATATTTCAAGTATATTTTTCTAATAAAATAATTATATTATATATATTTAGAAAATATCTAATATTTAGTTAGATATTTTAGATATTTAATATCTGGGAATTATAATATTACATTTTTCTATAAAATAAACTTATTTCTGAGCTTTATAAAAGCTATTAATCTATTTAATTTTATATTATTTTTCTTTTTAAAATAAACTAATATTTCGAATATAAATATTATATATAAAAAGTAAATATTTTTAATATATAATATAAGAGAATTTATTATTATTTTTATATAATTCTAAATAAATAATATTTTTTATATAATCTAGCTAATATTATAGGTTTTATAAAAGTTTTAATATACTAATATTATTATTATAGAAATTCTATAAAACTAGAAAACTATTATTTAATATTAAAACTAGATATTATACTAGATTCTTATTTTAATTAATTTAATAAATTTTATATTTTAGTTTATTTCTTATTAGCTTAACTATAATGACCCGTTTAATATTATATTTTTATTTACTATTTTCTAGTATTAATAAGAGTAATTTCGGGTTTATTTAATTTAGTAAAGAATTCTAGAAGTTCTTTTATAATTTCTTTATATAAAAAACTAAATATATTTTTATAAATTCTAATAGCTTTAAAAGAAATAAATAATTATATTATTTTAGAATCTCAAATAAGTTTTTTATTTAGTTTCCTAGCTTCTAGCTCAAATAATTAGATTTCTAATATTTTATAATAATTTATTTTTTATTTCCGATTTTAAAATTAATTAGATAATAATATTTATTAGCTTATATTATATATTATTTCTATATTTACTTTATATAACTTTAGGTAAGTTATTATAATTCATATAATTAATTTATTAATATTTTGGCTTTATTTCTATTTAGCTTTTTTTTAAATAAGCTAGCTTTAATAAAAAAGTTCTAATCTAGAAAAATATAAGACTTATAGCCTTTTTTAGTTATAAATAAAAACTAGCTAATAATTTTATAATAAAAAGAAACTTATTAATAATTAATTATAATAATTTATTTATTTTAGTTATTTTAATAATAATTAATATATAAATATAATCTCTAATTAAAATACTAATTAATAATCTTTATTTATTTAAAAATAATTAGTTATTAAAAGCTTAAGTTTTATATTAATTCTCGTATAAAATTTATTTTAAAAATCGGATATAAATTAGATTTTCTAATCTAATATAATTATTTAATATATTATATAAAATAAAAATAGAAATACTAGTTATTTAGCTATAATTATATTTTATATAGGAATTATAATTAGATACTTATAATAGCTAGTATAAGAGTATAATTTACTAAGGATAGGATATTAGAAATAGGTATAAAATAAAGCTAAGCCGGAATTACTTAGATAAAATAATACTAAAGATTAAGATATTCTCTTTACTTTATTTTATAGCTTAGTATTTTCTAATATATGAGATTCTTTAAACTTTAAGTCTTTAATTATTATATTAATCCCGCTATTATATAATACTAAGCTTACTTAACTCGGCTTATAGAAATAATATAATACTACTAGTAAAAAACCCGTATTTATTCTTAGAAAATAAAAATAGAATACTGCTTTTAATATTTAATAACTTCCTTAAACTATAAAGAACTAGAGAGCTTAACTAGAAATATAATATTCTCTATAACCTAGTTAATTTCGGAGCCTAACCCTTAACTAGAGCAAATAATATTTCTTTTCTAGTAATTAGTTCTTACTAATATAAAAGAAGAAAGATATTATTCTTTATAATCCGGTTAATCTCGAAGCCTAATTCTTAACTAGAGTAAATAATATTCTCTTAATACTAATAAGAATAAAAGAACTAGCCCTTTTCTCCTAGTATAAGAAGAATTAGTAGTAGTTTACTAATTTAAAATAAAAAAAGATAATAGTCGGTTTTAGTCTACTAATTTAAAACTATATAAGATAATAATTAGTTATAGTTTACTAATATTAAATAAGAAGAACTTATTTAGTACTTATCTCTATAGCTAATATCTTTTCTAAAGCTATTATAAATAGCCTGGAACTAAATACTATTACTATAGATATATTAGATAAGAGGCCCTAATATAATAAAATAAAAAAGCCGGACTTTAATATTATAAACTTATATTACTAGGAAAGCTATTATAATACTATTTTAAAAGAAGATATTAAGAAATAATTAGCTAACTTAGAACTTAAAATTAGTATAAATACTTCGAAAATAGATAAGACCTAGTAAAGATTACTTATATAGGATAATCTTATTAATAAATACTATCTTATAGCTAATAAATAAGCGAAATACTATTAGGAATTTTACTTATATATTAATTAACTTACTAAGAAAGTTAATAAGCTAGAGGTAATTACTAGTTAACTTTATATAAAGGAAAGACTAGTATAAGAAAAAGTAATAAAGTAGAGATCTAAATAAGTAAATATTTAGAAATACTATAGATTCTTATTAGAAGAACTATTTAGTAGCTAATACTAAGGCTTTCTCTTACTTTTAGTCTATAGTAATTAATTATAGCTTATTAGAATTAAGAATCCCGCCCTATTTATAAATGAGAATAATTACTAGATTAATAATTAGATATTTAATATAAGAAATAAACTAATATAGAATTTTTCTAAATTCGATAATAAATTATTAAAAATTACTTATATAATATAACTAGTTACTAGAAATACCTATAACTTTATTTGTAATTAACTAGAACCTGAATTAGTTAGATAGATTTCGATTACTAAATAAATCTTTAAGATTCTCTAGTAAGCTTATAATAAAAGTAAAGAAATAAAGTATTAGAAAATAAAAGAGATATACTAGTATCTAAGACAAAAAAATAAGCTATTTCCGGTATTCTAGATAAAGTTTATTTACTTAA